TTTAAACATAATTCTGGTGCTCGAAATTTGGCAATCTTTCTAAGGCTATAGCCTTACATTTTTTCAAAAAAGAAAGTCCTACAAAACTTGAGTTATCGATCAATTATAAGAAAATTACATGTTTTGGCCCACTTCCAGGCCTTTTTTATCATGTACAGTGGTGTTATGCTGTTTTTAAACATAATTCTGGTTCTCGAAATTTGGCAATTTTTCTAAGGCTATAGCCTTACATTTTTACCAAAAAAGAAAGTCCCACAAAACTTGAGTTATCGATCAATTTTAAGAAAATTGCATGTTTTTTGCCCACTTTCAGACCTTTTCTATCATGTACAGTGGTCTAATGTTGTTTTTAAACATAATTCTGGTGCTTAAAATTTGGCAATTTTTCTAAGGCTATAGCTTTACATTTTTTCCAAAAAAGAAAGTCTTACAGAACTTGACTTATCGATCAATTATAACAAAATTACATGTTTTTGGCCCACTTCCATACCTTTTTTATCATGTACAGTGGTGTAATGCTGTTTTTAAACATAATTTAGGTGCTCGAAATTTGGCAATCTTTCTAAGGCTATAGCCTTACATTTTTTCAAAAAAGAAAGTCCTAAAAACTTGAGTTATCGATCAATTATAAGAAAATTACATGTTTTGGCCCACTTCCAGGCCTTTTTTATCATGTACAGTGGTGTTATGCTGTTTTTAAACATAATTCTGGTGCTCGAAATTTGGCAATCTTTCTAAGGCTATAGCCTTACATTTTTTCCAAAAAAGAAAGTCCTACAAAACTTGAGTTATCGATCAATTTTAAGAAAATTACATGTTTTTTGCCCACTTTCCGACCTTTTTTATCATGTACAGTGGTGTGATGCTGTTTTTAAACATAATTCTGGTGCTCGAAATTTGGCAATCTTTCTAAGGCTATAGCCTTACATTTTTTCCAAAAAAGAAAGTCCTACAAAACTTGAGTTATCGATCAATTATAAGAAAATTACATGTTTTTTGCCCACTTTCCGACCTTTTTTATCATGTACAGTGGTGTGATGCTGTTTTTAAACATAATTCTGGTGCTCGAAATTTGGCAATTATTCTAAGGCTATAGCCTTACATTTTTACCAAAGAAGAAAGTCCCACAAAACTTGAGTTATCGATCAATTATAAGAAAATTACATGTTTTTGGCCCACTTTCCGACCTTTTTTATCATGTACAGTGGTGTAATGCTGTTTTTAAACATAATTCTGGTGCTCGAAATTTGGCAATCTTTCTAAGGCTATAGCCTTACATTTTTTCCAAAAAAGAAAGTCCTACAAAACTTGAGTTATCGATCAATTTTAAGAAAATTACATGTTTTTTGCCCACTTTCAGACCTTTTTATCATGTACAGTGGTGTAATGCTGTTTTTAAACATAATTCTGGTGCTCAAAATTTGGCAATTTTTCTAAGGCTATACCCTTACATTTTTACCAGAGAAGAAAGTCCCACAAAACTTGAGTTATCGATCAATTATAAGAAAATTACATGTTTTTGGCCCACTTCCAGACCTTTTTTATCATGTACAGTGGTGTAATGCTGTTTTTAAACATAATTCTGGTGCTCGAAATTTGGCAATCTTTCTAAGGCTATAGCCTTACATTCTTTCCAAAAATGAAAGTCCCACAAAACCTGAGTTGAGTTATCGATCAATTATAATAAAATACAGTGGTATAATGCCCTTTTTAAACAATACTCTGGTGATACCTGTTTTCATTACTTTAGCTCATTTATGATTGCTGTTTCCCAGATGAAGTACGAAAAAGTTGTTTTCTAGCCTTTAAAACAGGGAAGATGTGCTGCATTTTGTTCAAGCCCAATATTTTTAATTGAAGTTTGACGTGCTAGAAAACGTTTAATAAGAAACAGCATCTTGACTTTAGCATGAATGTTGCACTTTTATTCCTATTTCTTATAATGCACCAAGGCGCTGTTTTAGAAATTTTCCTGCCTTAGAGATTTCACACTTTCAAATCTGAAATTTTTATAATTTTGATCTTAAATTTACTTTTGATCTTAACCTTTTTTTGTTCAAAAATTCACACATTACCAAAGCTGGAGATCTTCAACTTTTTTCAAACTCATTTTCAATGCTAGTTTTGGCATCACTGCTCAACCTTTTTGCATCGATGAAGAAAGAGAAAACTTTTGAGAGTCATTTTTGCACTTATAATAACATTGACAAAAACCATGGCTATATATTTTTTATACATGACTTCGTAGCATCTTTAAGGACCCAATGAACATTTCTTTTCGAGATAAAAATCGTTCAAAACATCATTATCTGAACCTTTTTATGGTATATTTTACACAAATCGAAATTATGATACGTCATTCCTGTCTGCATTTAATAGAATAGAGACAGTGTTCTAAATTCGTATTTTTGTTTTGATTAGAGTTTTATTTTCCCCGTGGCCGTATGACCATTGGTCACAAGAAATTAACGAAAAGTAACATTTTTCTCACAGGAAACTTTTGTATAGACTATTATAAAGAATTCACCAGCAAAATATTCCTGATGATAACATCTTAAATTCCGTTTTGTATTTATGTATCTTTTGCTTGTCTTCAACAACACAATTTTCATAGCATATTGGAGAATGTCAATTTCCCAAATTCCAAACTACTTAAAAATTTTCTTCAGAGCCTTTAAGGTCACATGAAATCCATGAATAAATAACACACTGGTTTTGCTATAAATATGTTTACTTTGCTGTAGTTTTTATTGATTTTATAATTTCTGTAGTTTTATTTCAGTTCATCATAAATAGCATAGAGTAGATACCTAAATGATATCTTATATCTTAAAAGCACTTGAAAAAAATGTAAAAACAAAAAACCAAACTCTTCAAGAGTTGCTATTACCAGATTTATGGAATGTATGGAGCGACCGTGAAGACCTAAACACTGTACGTCATCAAAATGCCTATTACATCTGAATAATTTATTTCTAACGATGCTTCCAAAATTCATTTTTACAGAAAGCAAGAATAGGAAATTCAAAAATTAAAAACAATAATTTCAAAAATTCACCTCAAACTTTGAAGTAAGGAAAGATATGCGTTATTTTTATAATTGTTCATCTCTGATGCATCTGGGTATCGCTTGTGTAACTTGCTGTTTCACTTCCTTCCTAATGCATGTGACGGGGGAGCAAAGTCTTCTGCAGTAAATGCTCTCAGCCTGTACTCAAGTGCTTTCTTCTCCTCTAACTCATCTCGAAGTTTAAGGGCCTACGGAAAATGCATAAGCAATCCCAAATTATTACACTTATCTCGAGCTTGGGAAGTCAATTAGAATAAAACTAGATACATTGTTTAGAGGTTCTTCTCTTAGTAGTGAACGGTAACAGCTAGAAAAACAAAAAAGGAAGCCAGTATTTTTTCAATGACCATAATTCATCTTCTGGAGATCTGCTTTGCAAATCACACAAATGCACAATGCATGTAAGTCGGCAAAGGAACCTCTGTATGAAATTTTCAAAACTGTAAAAAAGTTGAATCCTGAATTCATGCAAAATATTTTCGAACTAAGAACCTCTGATCGATTGTCGTCCACAAGACTTGCAGCACTAAAGGCCCAACCAAACAACTTTCGGTTCAAACAGCCTTAGGTCATGCCTTACCAGAGGAAATAAAATCTGAAGAAAGTCTGATCAAATTCAAAAGGTTAATTTAAAACTGGGATGGGGCAAACTGTACATGCAACATGTGCAAGACTAAATGATTTTATTGTAAATTTGTATCTAAAAAGTATTAAAAATTGTTAATTTGAATTTTTATATTTGTAAATAATCGTATTTGAAAAGTTACTGTGTTGTAGCTTAAAATTAAATTCGATTTAAAATAAGATCACAAACAAAAGACAAACAAACAAACAAACAAAAGTATGCAATCTAAATTAGAATAAAATGACGTCATAAGCAGTAACGGGAGGATCGTTGTATCTTATGAGACTGTTCAGACTAAACTTAGTCTCTAAATATGTACATTTGAAGTGTCTTGGAGAGAATGCTGCCATAAAACACGCTTTGCTTAAAATTGAGACATTTGGGAGCGAGGAAACAGCTATTTTTTTAATATTTATCCCAAGCGTTCTTTCGATAGAAGCTGGTCGAATCAACACCGTTCAAGGAAGATCTGCTTATTTCAACAACCTACGAATTACTATTTTAGTCGGCATGCCAAGACCAGTATAACAGTTAGCAAACAATTATTTACCCGATCTAAGTTTCTACGAGCTAGCTCGACTTCTTCCGAAGGAGTGAGTTTGTCATTTGCAGCTCTGTTTATTTCAAGCTTCCGAACGTGGTCCCCTATGCGATCGAAAAGCTCTCTGTCTCGATTTGCTTTGAATAATGAAGCCTTGCTCAGGTTCTGCAACGCATCTGAAACTTGCTGGCCATGCTGCAAGTGTAACGAAACGATAAAACATTAATGTAAAGCTAACGTAATCATAATAGTACTGTCTGGTGTCGGATTGATTGATTGAGGGGCTATTCACCTCTATACAACGGTTCCCTGGCTTGAATTACATAAATTCTAAGCTATTGGATCAATTTTATAATTTGGAACCAAAACTGAACTGCAGTAAACGCCGTTTCAATGAAAATCAAAAGTTTTTGTAAAAAAAGTTTTGTTAACTAGTATCTCTATAAGCAAGAAAACATCAGCAAAAATAAGTTTTAAAGAAATTCAAATATTCTTGCTAAAGGCATTTCAAATGATTTTGTATAATAAAACAATGTCATAAAAAGCTACAGGATAATTAGAATGTACAAAAGGTTTTTGAGAGGACGTGTTTTCAACTGTAGTTTATTCAAGACGGTGCTTTTGGATATTTTACTAAATTACAGCTACTATATAGCAAGAAAACTTGTTTGTTAATAAATTGATGGTATTTTCTAATAATTACTTTCATTCCCTATTTTCAAGAAGCAACTTTAAAATTGGAAAATCGCCTACCTTTGTAGCTGCCTGAAATTCTTGGTCAGCGGTACCAAATGGAGGAGGAGCATGCTCTAGAAAAGACCAGATCGTCGTTACGGCCTAAAGAATTTGCGTTGTTGGAATCAGAGATTTTTTATCACAGTCATTGCAAGTTCATATTGCCCAATTCATTTTTCATAAAACATCAACAATAAAATTCATTAATGTTATCAACGAGGACTTATATACCGAATTTCAGTCCTTGTCTAACTGCGGCCCTGTTCTTCTCTCTTTGCAGCATTTTCGCTTCTTTTCTCCATTCTTCCATTTCTTGTTTATTTCTGCAATGAACTTTTAAATATTAGCTTTATTTCACAAAAGCAATAGGCTGCCATGAATATAACGAGCGAATGTCGGAAAACAAGTTTAAAAGCTTTGTATTCCTATGTTTAGTTTCTATCTTCCTTTCCTAGCTACGAAACAATACATCTTGCATCGCTGTCTCAGTATTACAAGTATTTCAATTGTGCTTTTGTCAGTATCACAAGTAATACGAGATCGCTTTTATTAGTACCAGAAGTATTTCAATACCACTTGTATCAATATAACAAGTATTAAGAGATCGTTTTTATCAGTATCATAGGTATTACGAAATTGCTTGCTATCCATCTATGCAAATTCTACAAATAAAAGCCTGACGAGCCGAAAAAAAGGCCAGTGGCGTAGATAGATAAATTCATAGGAGTGGGGGAGGGGGGGGGGGGTTTTCCCACACAAATCTAATAAGCAACATAAAATAACGACATCAGAACTGAAATAATGAAATATTTTAATATATTCATACACTCTTTTAAGTTTATTCAGCATTATAATCTTTCCGCTCAAAAAGTTTTAGAATCTTTCCTCTCAACACATTAATAAAAAATTAACAACCATGTTGAATTTTCAGGGGAGTTTTTCAAGGGAGTTGTTCGCCCCCTCTCATCCCCCTCTACCATCACAACAGAAAATGACTGCCGAAGCTAAAGGAGCCCTACCTTTCCTACTAGGTTTTCATGAAAATCTGTTCATTGTAACACATGCTGGCTTTCTATGGCCCCGACTAATCATCAGGATAGGCCCTTGGATCAACGTCACTATCTCACAAGGACTGCAAAACCTTTGCCTTAATCAGATCGTTTTAATTCGACTTAAACAAAGCTTGGATCATTCTTAAAGCACCATTAGAGATTCGCCAAACTTACTTTCTTTGTTGTATAACCGCGTCTATTTTTGCATTCTTGATTTTCTCTTCTGCCTTTCTCATTTCTTCTTGAATTTTCCCTTCAACGGTATCCTTCTTCAACAAACCTGCGCTCATACGCTTCATATTATGTGTTAGGGTATTCTGACTTGCTGTGAAAAATAAATAAACAAATAACGCTCAGAATTGAAAACACGAGTAATTTTGCGCTTTTCTAAATACCTTGCGCAGAGTATGAAAACTGCTTGTCTCCTTCTAACTCCATCAAGGAAGTATAGCAGCCACACTTGCACGCATTTGGGGTGTAAGAAGGGTGTTTTGACCGATCATGGCACAAAATTAAAGAACAATAGAATTCTTAAAAGATGACGTTACGAATTTTTAGAATTTCCCAATCTGGACCTGAAAGAGCATCATAAAATGCCTCTTTCTAAATTTTTAATTTGTTATCAGTTAAATTTGTTACAAATTGGCTGAGATATGGCCACATTGGCACAGATTCTTCCCCCATCCAATCGCTGATATTTGTCTCTGTTCACACCTTTATGAACCGAGCCAAAATAACAGTATTCCGTTAGCAAGCTTTAAATTCTTCATGGGCCATATTTAGAAGATTGTGCCTATTAAGAAGTATCCGAAAGGTTGGCCATGTTTCTTTCTTTTTAGAACATGGAAAACACATGGAAAGTTTAAGCCACCTTTATCCACTTCCATTTCAATTTTTCGGCGTGCTGGAAACTCCTAAGAAACCAGACACTGAGGTGGCGCCAAAAAAAGGATAGCCTGGGTACCAGAGACTCAAGAAACCAGTGGCAAAGAGTGAATGGATGCAGAGAAGCAGAAGGAAAGAGCCTTACCCATTTCTGAGATTAAATAATGGGACTCTGCCACTAAGAGTAGCAAAAAGACGAATACCTGTGCTGCAACGTCAGCCAAAGTCAAAATGTGTAACTTGCCCAAAAACTCTGTTCTCTATTTGAATGTTCTTTTTTCAGTGTTGGCGCACAGGATATAAAAATTATGATGGGTGATTTCAACGCAAAAGTAGGTAAGGCAAAGAAGGCCAAGCGGTTAGATCTTTTGGCCTAGGGCAGCGGAATGACAGGGGTAAATATTTGATCACATGGTGAATAGCAAACAGACTGATTATCTCAAACATTTAGTTTCAGCATCATATGAGGAACTTTTACACCCGAAGAAGTCAAGAGACAGGTATAGAATTCAGATACATTACATTATGGTAAATAACCCTTTAGGAATGGTATAAAAGGAGTAAGAAACATATTCAAGCGCGGACTGTCATAATGATCATACTTTGTTGATGAATGAATTGCATATAAACTTGAAAAAGCTGAAGCGAGGCAAGAGTGAACCCAAGCTGCAATTGAAAACACTAAAAGAGGATGCAAATGTGAAGGCGGAGTTCTGTAAAAGAGTATAAGAGAGATATAAACAGGGTGGAAATGATGACGAAAAATGGAAAAAACTACAAAGAACTTTATAAAAAAGCCCAGAACAGTGTATTTCGATTACGAACATGACAACTAAGAAGAAATAGATGACATCAGAGATCAGATGGAGTTGAGGTGCAGAGAAAAAAGGTACAAATGAGTATAAAAGGCTGAATAAAATGGCTCGGAAAATGTGTAGAACAGTTAAGGAGAAGTGTATTGGGCAGCAGTGTGTAGAGATAGAAGACATGGAGAAGAAGGATGTTCAAATGATGCATGAAAAAGTGAAAGCGGTGACAAACAAGAAGACACCTAACGTGTCCAGTTGTACAAGAATTGAGAATGAAAATGTGCTGATTCAGTCATCAAGTTAAGATAAGGTGGACGGAGAACATCAAAAGTCTATACTCAGATAAAGATAGGGAGAAAAGACCAGAAATAAGAAAAAAAGTCAGTAACAGTAACAAAAGAGGGAACTAGAGATGCCATGAAAAAGACGAGGAAAGGCAAAGCAGTAGGAAATGGAAAGATAACATTTGAGCTGATAGAATCTTTAGGGGATTATGGGCTTGACAAGGTCACTGATATTGCTACCTATGTGTATGATTCTGAAGACATTCCTGATGAAATGCGTGAATCAATTTTTAATGACTTGCCAAAGAAGTCAGGAACAATAGATTGCAAAACGCAGAGTAATGTTGAATCGGAATAAGAGTACCATCAGGGAAGGAGTGACGAATGAACAGTTTGGATGCAAAACTGGAAAGGGAACAAGGAATGCAATTCTGTGCCTGAGAACGATTATAGAAAAATCTATCGAAAAGCAAAAGGACTTGTATATATTACATCGATTATGGAGGCATTCGACTGTGAAAAACATGGAAAGCTGATGGGATTGCTAGAAAGGTTAGAGGTTGATGGAAAAGATTTAAGATTGATAACAAATTTGTATTATGATCAGAAAGCTGTTATGAGGATTCAGGGTGAATTGGGTGAGTGGGTAGACATACAGAGAGGAGTGCAACAGGGTTGCGTTCTGTCACCAGATTTGTTTAACTTGTATAGTGACGAAGCTCTCAGTAAAATCAGGACATACGATGGTGTAAATCTGAAAGGAACTATGATGGCGTTGACCGCAGACAATTGGGAAAAGCTACAAAGACTGTTGGACATTGTAACAACAGAAAGCGAGAAAATTGGTTTGAAAATAACTGTGACAAAACGTATGTGATGGTTGCCAGTAATAAGTCACAGATTCCAGAATGTAATGTAAAGGTGAATGGAGTGCAAATGGAGCAAGTTAGTCGATTCAATTACTTGGGCAGTTTGATAACATCCGATGAAAGATCAGATTTGGATATTAAATGAAGAATAGGTCAGGCGAAGAAGGCATAAATGGGTATGAGGAATGTTTTGTGTAAACGAAAGATAGGACTGGGTGTTAGAAAGCGTTTGTTACAGTGTTATATCTGGTCCGTGCTACTGTGTGGATGTGAGTCATGGACAATAGGTAGGAATATGGAAAACAAGCTTGAAGAGATAGAAATGTGGTTTGGAGAGGAGTGATGAGGATCTCATGGATTGAAAAGATGACAAATGAAGAGGTTTTGGGCAAGATTGGAATGCAAAGACAACTGTTGAACACTATCAGGAAGAGACAATGGGGTTTCATTGAACATGAATAGAGAAGAGAAGGGGGATAGAAATGCAGATTATAGGGGCTGAGGTGGCCGGGAAGCGAGCAAGAGGAAGGCAAAGGTTGAAGATGTAAGACTGGAGGATGACGAAGTTGGGTGTTAGAAATGAAAAGCGACTAGGCGAGATTGCAAGAAATAGAAGAAAATGCAATGAGGGGCACCACTATGATCCGTCTGCGGCATTCGATGTCATGACACTTTGCCATGACTGCCATAAGATTCCATTCATCTTCTATCATCAGGGGTGGATTCAAGCAACAATGATTTGGGGGGGGGTGTTAGACACTAATCTTGATGCCACACCCTTAAGTTCACTGGTAAATGATGGAAACGCCCATTTTTGGTTTTTACTTTTAAGGTAAATACAATAAGAAGCAGTGGCGTAGCACGGGTAGAATATGGCTGACCATACTCTACAACTGTCTATTTCCTTCACAATTTGACTAATGTTCATATCCTGAATTGTGTAAGGCGAGGAAGCACTACTTGTAAAAAGTGATTTTCCAAAGTTGTAATCAAATATGTAAAAACAGTAAACAGTATTAAAATGTTTTAAACCAAGTCCGTTCTCCTTGGAGCAAAATCCACGACAAGCATTTCAGAATCCAATTTTTTTAAGGATTGGACTGCTTTAGCATTTTAGTTTTTAGATTTTAGACAGTGCTGTCGGAACGAAATTCATATTGGGGGGGGGGCGCTACGCTACTGATAAGAAGATAAATAAAGTAAAATCTTGGCGTTACTTTGCTACTACTGACTACCAACAAATTATTTTTACCGAATGAAACAAAATTTACCGAAGGACACAGAAATATTGGGGGTGTCACACCCCCTACACCCCCGCTAAATCCGTCCCTGCCTATAATCTCAATAATTAAGTTTTCTCTGCAACCTTGAGTGATATCACGGGAGCAAGCTTGTAGGCTGAAATCGTTCTTTGCAGTTTGATTCATACTTATTTAAATCATCTATACCTTTTTGCCTTCGCTTTTTCCCTGAATCAACAGAGCTTCCGCTGTTTGACGATTTTCTGGAATTCCAACCAGCACCCTGTGTTTTTTCGATAGCTGACCATTCTGTTTTTTTCTTTGCCTCAGATGGGTGAGAAAATATCGACGAACGAACATTAAAAGGGCTCTTTCCCTCTTCTAAGGAAAATCTGCGTGGCTTCGATGGTCCAAGATCATTTGCTTGATCTCTTTTTCCTTGTGTACTACTTTTCACTCTTCGATCTAAAAGACATGAAATCAAAGTTTAGTCCAACGAAGTGGTAAAGAGCTTTTTAATCATGTAGGGGATTTATTTGGATTCTGGTCTGTTTAAATGTGCAAAAGACACCACCATTGAAGAAAAATTGATGCCAACTGAAACAATTGTTATCACGGAAGCAGATTCAACGTGCGACAGTCAAGTAACCAGGAGACTTACGAGCAAAAAACTACTGCGGACTCCCGCTTAAAGTCCCTTGAATTCTGATATAAAAATTCTATTTCAAGTATTTTCTGTATTATGAATCCTCAAAATAACGATATTTTGTCATTACGAACCAAATTTCATGGTCCTCTCGCCGCCTTAAATACCTCTGATATGACAAAGTTTTGAGAACACTTAAGATGTTTTTTAAGCATTGGCTAATGACACAGAGGAGCTGAAAGCAGGAAATGAAATGAAAGCAGAACTTTTTTTAACTTGTATTTGCACTTTGATACCAACAGAGGTAACACTAGACATAGCATCATTTGATGCATTCTTCACTATTGAAACATTTCAACTTACAAACAAAGATAACATATCCAAGGTATCAAATGCAGAAGAAGAGAGGGGCTGAAGGTGAAGTGTTGAAATGCGATAAAAAATCTTTCGAAAATGTTTGACAAATATTTCAGAAAGAAGTAACTAACACATTATCAGGCCATCTATTATAGCAACAAGGACTGCTTTACCATTCTTGAAATTGATTTGATGTGATCAATATGTCCACCACGCTACTGCCCCTGCTATTGGCAAATGTTATTTTGATAGCGGGATTCCATTGTGCCAATTTAAGGAGTGGCTTTCACAGAATTAAATGTTTTATGCTTATGAGCTGTTGAAGAAGAATGGCTGTTAGTGTTTCTGATAGGCGAATAAATGTTTGGTTTTATAATATTATATTTAAAAAAGTAGCTGAGACATGACCAGTAAAAGGTAAGAATCTCAACAGTGGATTGCTTTTGTTTGGTATGATTCACAAATTTTTCAACCAATAGACCAAATTAAATTGATATGTTAGGGAAGTCTGTCTTCGCGTGGCTATTGTTTGTCAAATGTTGCACAAAATAGTTTTTTTTCAAGAAGGATTGTTTCGAGGGGCAGATAACTCGGCGAAAATCTCGTACACCTTTGGCAGAAATCCTATTGATTTATCTGAAAATCCATGGAAAAACATCTGCTTTTGTGGAAATCGCAACTGAATTAACATTTGGGTCGTTTGAAAAGTTACATTCAAATTAAATGGTCCAAATCAGAATCTCTAGCAGATTTTTGCGACGCCATTCTTCTTCACTTTCCATGTACTTGTCAATAATCAAGGACCAAACTTTAGGTGTCTTTTTCGAGAACACGATGCAGCACGTGGAAGTTAGCTTAGATCGGATGAACGATGCAGCAATATAAAACATTGCCATTGATAAATTTGTATAAAAATAACTATAAACAGCAATAAAAATAAGTTAAAAACAAACGCCTTCAAGTCTAAATAAATTTTATTTACAGCCAAAAATAAAGAAAATTTTCAAATGTAACAAACATCCATAAAGTACAGTTTCAAATTCATTCAAGTCACCAACAACACAAACTGATTGTCCGTGGTAGGGTGTCATCTTTGAAAGGGTAAAACGACACGTGCTAGATGCAGCATATAAAAATACAAAAGGATTTTCAATTTTCAAAACTTGTCCTACGTCTTCTTAAAAACTGATAACGAGGTTGATCTGCGATTATTAGATTGCAAGCTACTTTATTCACTTTAGTCAAAATTATTGTATCAATCTGCCTATTACAGTAGAGATATCAACCAGGCAAGTTCCTCTCTTTTCCCTAAAGATCGTACGATGGCCCCTACAAAGGGTTAACAGCGATGTAAGAGGATTAACTGTGCAAAATATCAGGAAGAAATCCATGTTTTCTGTCATGTTTTCAGAGACAAATAATCAAATAATTCAAGGCTTAAACTCAAGTCAAACTCCAAGCAGTAACAGTTGAATATGGAAAAAAGCATTTGAAAACAACGTCGCGTTGGACAATAAGTTTATTACTAATGGAATGCTTGAAGAGGGTTAGGAGATAGGGTTGTGACAAATGAACCTGTTAAGTATGGATGCGAAGAATAAAGTTTCTCGTTGTCTAACTCCAAAAAGATACAATTTTTACACTTTTGTGAAATTTGAAGACGGTACAAAATAGCGGAAACAAAGCATACTGAAGCACTTTTGAATTTTGCGGTACCAAAAACTTACTTTTATGAAAGTTTGGTTCTTCCTTTTTTTGGATAAATACATCGCCACGACAATACCCTCACCAACCCCTTTTCTCCCCCTCTTCACTATAAAAATTTAACAACCATTGCCTTGAGCCATTCAGCCTGGATCATTTTTAACTGCTTCTGTGACCCTTTCTACTGTTTCTGCGGACATTGTATTGTCCTTATTTAGTTTGAATTTACAAATTATTCTCGATGTCGCGATTCTTCTCAGGTACGGACTCGATCGGCTCATCATTGGCCTCCATTCGCCATCATAACTCCCGCTGTAATAGTGAACCAGCAGATCTCCATTTGCGTCTGGTAGTGATACAATCTTTCCTAAACATGGCTGCCCTGGAATAAAATGTTTCTCTGCAACTTTTATCACTACCATTTCATTTATTTCTAGCCCACTTACATCAACTTTGTTCGTGTCTTGATTCACAGCTGTGTTTCCTTCATTTTCTGGATGTTGTTTAGACTCTTCTTTCTCTTCCATGATCAAATTTTTAATTTCATTATTGCATTGCGTTGCACGCTCCTCAGATGTCCGTCTTTCACTTGCTTCCTCTGACATTTTATCTTCATACTTCAAATCAATAGCACCCGTCTTTGTTATTTTTGCCTTCATTACATTCTTCGCATTTGAATTTCCCTTCGCCTGTTTTTCCTTCTTGCTACCTTTTCCCAGCGTTCTTTTTTGCAATCGAATTGTCTTATCCTTTGACAAAGTCTCCTTAACAAGCTCTTTATTCGAACTCGTCTCACTTTCGGTGCCGTTTTCTTGCTTTTTCACAACTTTGCTTTTTCGGTTAAACGTTTCGTCTTCCGTGTGCCCAAACGGACTGTTTCCTTGCTTCCGGGTGCTGGTAAGCTATCATGTTTGTCGACGCTTGCAAATAATTTCGAATTCTGACCCTTTCTATCATTCTTTTTGCTATTATTGTTCATCGTTAGGCTTAGACTATCACTTAGAGAAGGCAATCTTAAAGGCGATGGTGGTGTGTGCGTTCGTGGTGTTTTGCGAGCTCTTTCCTCTCCTAGCAAGGAAACAGAGACAAAAATATTATCATATTTGTGCCTTTTGAAAAAATTTTGGTCTATCAAATCTGACATGAAACAGCCAAGAATAAGTTTTTTCTAAAATATAGTTTTTGAGCAAACAGAATTTTTTTTTTCTTGAATCCATCTAGGAAAAGAAAGAGCTCGACTGGCTATGTACCGAATGCTCTGAAAGAACAAAGGGACAAATTTCAACAGCATCAACCACACATCTTTAGCTCATTAATGTCATGCAAAGTCCAACTGAATCTTCGCATGAAATTATGACGTCAATTTCGAAGAAAGAATTCATGTACCTGAGGTACTTCTTGAGCTTGGATTGTTTGAGGCAACTGTCTGCAAAGCATCACGCATTTCAGAGAGGTCAACATCTAAAGAAGAAAATCCAACATCCAAACTAAAAGACTACACTCATTTTTAAAAAAAACCATTTTCAAAGAACACAAGCATAAAAAATCATTGATCAAAAGTTAAGTTAAGAACAAAGTTTTAGAAGCATGGGTGTCCTGACAGATGTTTGTGTCTAGATTAAGCTGCAAAAATCAGAGCCAATGCCAATAGGGGGCATGGGAGGGCGCGTCACACCCCAATAAGGTTGTTTGTCGGGAAATCTGAATGCTTGTCGGAAAATGTTAGGACCCTCAACAAGTCACTTCGCAACGACTGGCTGATGATAATCTTCCTAGCTTTTCATATTTTATTGCCCGTAATTTTGCTTTTAATCGATTATTTTATGTTGCATTGTCTGAAAAAGCCAAAGTTGGTCCTTGCGGAAAAATTTAGCGGCCCTCAGTCTTGACTAGTCACTTCAGCAAGAAGGCAACAAAACCTTGAGAAATTACATCTAATATATATCTGCATCATCTAAAATATAGCAAAATGGGTTGTACAGTAGGCCAGTAGACCAAAACCTAGCAAATGGGAACTCACAAGCAGATACGCATGCGTAGCATCAACCTACCATTGAAGTAGATATGTTATCGGAAATATTATGATATCTGCCCCCCTATATATCACTGCTGGTGTCAGCCCTGTGCGAAATAATAGGCAAAAGGGGAAACAGTTTTTCAGTCACTGTCAAGCTTAGAGCTTTATTGGTAAGAGATCAATGTTGGAAGAAGGAGCCAAGCAATCAGCAGGGACCATAGAAGCTTGGGGAAAGAATGAAGGGGCTTGGCCCCAAACAAGTCTCAAATGTGGTTAAAACATGACAAACATTATCTTTTCATTGGTTTTTTAGCATACTGAGACACCTAAACGTGTGTAGTATGCTCTCTGATCAGTCCCTGATCAGATTTGCATTAATTTGAAAGATTATTTACCATCGCATATCTGATTTTTCCTGAGCCATTCATCCCTTAAAAATGCAATTATTGTCTGTAAGAAAAATAATAAGGTTTAGAGTTAGCAGAAATAATTTTGGGAAAATATAATCTGAGGATTTATCTTGCTTCTATCTTGACTTAAAACAGCATTCAAATAGTTTCACATGGACTTGAATAAAAGATGTCCCGAGTCCAAGCTTTTTTCTAATCAAGGACTCCTGAAATCAGTTGTACATGTGACCATGGCTGCAAAACATAATTTTCTCACTTGGTGGAAATCACCATGAGTATTCTATTAATTGTGCATTTATTGTAGATACTGCCATTCATATGTCTAATAAAAGGAAAATAAACCTCAAATGCAAAACAAAATCATATTTGAAAATTGAAAAAAATAGGAAACAGAGCACACACTTAAGTACTTTTCACCTGAAACTCTTCACAGAATTAAAGTTGCATGATGACCAAAAGTAAGCAGAAAACAAATATTCAAGCGTGAATTGAAAGTAACTTGAGAAGAAGAAAGACACATTTGACTGGTTCTTATTAGACAAAATTATGTCATCAAATACAATCTTGTGAGGAAAACAAACCTGTGTTCCTTGTTCAGTTATGTTAGTCGGTGGATACTCTAATGGATTCCCAGCAAGATGCAGCCCAGACAGTGACTTAGCAAAGCCTACATTATCAAGGCAAGTAAAATGATTAAGTCACGTTATCAAAGACAGAGACATAGACAAAGGTATAACTTTGTTAGCCTGACTACCTAAGAGCATATAAAGGCCATTTGGCCTTAAAAATTGGGTTTGGCAAAAGCTTCAGGATCCCAAGAATGTAGCTGCAAAGATTTTTGCATAGAAAATATCTATAACAACCAAGAAGATTGACAACAGTGTTTGTGAGTGAAAGCTACTATGATTTGCTTGAAATTTATAGGCAACATAAATTCTAGAACCAATAGTTCACAGATTCTAGAACCAATAGTTCACAAAAAATTCCTGAATATGATTTATAAAACCTGTAAGGTAAAAATTGCAACAATAGGCATTATCTTTGGCTAATGTTCATCTCTGGCACATTGTAAAAAACTTCATTGTGCCCAATTTAGTTTTCTTTGCTTTCTATAAGATTAAATGCTTTTTTCCTCTTTTACATATTTTTGAAATTTTACAAATAAAAAATACTTCTTATGGAAAAAAACTGAATTGTAAAACACATTTACATGACCAAATGTTTTTACTGATGATGTAAAAACCTGAGGTATGCACAAATCTAGCCACACTATATTCAAAGATTTTCCCCTGGTCCTGGCTGATTTGACTAACACAAAGTTCACTGTATCTAATTAAAATTTCACTTTAAATAAAGAAAACAGGTAGTTTTTATATCACACTTATTGCTCAAATTCTCTAGGAAAGGAAAAACTTCCAAGTATTAATTATAGGAAATAGCAAATAGCATAATATAAAACATTTTTGAGCAAGTTCAGGAGGATCTTAAACAACATAGTTACCCAGTTCCAATGGTAGGTTCTTCAGATTATTGTTTTCCAAAAGTAAAGACCTGAGAGATCTTTAAAAGATGAAAACAAATATGAATTATATCTTGAGCTATTGCTAGCTACTGTGCTGAAGGTCGTGCAAAGAAAGAGGGTGAGCCATCCTTTAATTGACAACAAGGCAGAAAATTTGTCAAAGCAACAAACTTCTCACTTTTGCAATGGAATTATTTCTCATAGGAGGTGGTTGTCACACACCAACACGTCCACCTGTAGCAATAGCCCTAATTATATATAGTTGAATCATCATCATCAACATTCCTTCTTGCAACAATTTTAACAACCTATGACAGTAAATACAAGAGGGGTTTTTGTAAACACATCATTTTAAATGTTTGCTGAGATTGGTAAAATTTAATTGAAAAATCAGAGTAAAAGCCTGTTCATATGGAGAAAGTTGCCCTTGTTGTCAAGGTGAAATGAGAATCTTAGCTAGCCAAGAAAATTATTTTTGACCTTTTATATGCAGACATTTCACCACCTTGCCAGGATAACTTTAGAGCCATTCTGAATGATAAGTGTGGATTGTGTCAAGGATTGCGTGCAACTTAAATCTATTTCCATTTTGCTGGAAAAACCTGTTCATATGGGATAATATTTCCTCACCTAGGTGGAATCCCAGTGGTACTCAATTTCTCATGTGAACGCTTTTGCTTTTAGGTGTAGCAAAGCTATATGGGGGCGAATCTTGGCTTAAGGGGAATCCCTCTTAACCAGGAAAATGGGCAGGGGGGAATTTACTCTACATGAACAGGCCCTTAGCCTGACAAACTATACAGTCTTATAAACAATTCCAAATAGGTATAACAACAAATAAAAAATAAAACTTAACAGCTACAACTCTGCAAACTTTCTGGTGATCTTTGTTTGGATAGATTTGTTATAGCTCTTATGGTTTAAATGAAATAAGAATTGGCTTATATGATAAATAAATTTGAAAATACCTGAGTTCACCAACACTAGCCGGCAATTTTGACAAATTGTTGTTCCTCAAATCAAGCCATTTCAAATTTGGAAAATTTGAAAATAAACCATCTGGTAAGGATTTGAGGGAATTTCCTTCGAGGTAGAGAAACTGAAAAATAGTAAATAGACAAAAGTAAATTTACTGAAGAAAGATGCAGATAGATGGATCTAACCAAGAGTGAATTTACAAGGATTGCATCAAAGGTTTATCAGACAGCAGAAATTTGTTGCAGGACTTTGTGACTATTTGGCAGGGAACCTTTTGTGTCAAATATCCATTGCTTCATTTAAATATTAATATTGAATTCATGCTACTTTCTTTTAAAGAATGCTGTTTTCTTGTGATAAATAGCTTTTATTCTGCACTACAAATAAAAAAATCAAGATTAGCTTTGAACTACAATCATCTGGTATTTTCAGGGCCTGTCATACCTAACTTCGGGCATGATTTTCAGCTATAAATCTAGTTCAAGCATACAAAAACTTCATTTCTCTTTTTACATTAGCCATTCTAGATAAGTAAAACACTCAAAGACAGCCGCTTTTGTTACATCAATGGTATTGAAGGTAAAAAATGCCTGCAAACCTGTATGAATGTGTCCATTATTGTTTATATTTTCTACTGCAATTCACTCCATGCTAGCTTCATAAAATTTTTGCCTCTAGCACCACCGTTAATTTTAATCATTGAAATATAAGATAGTATTCTTACCAGGTATATTAACTACTTGATTCAATGATTAAAACGAGCAGCAAACGTGAAACCTTGAGCAAGATGTAATCAATTTTTCAATAGTATTATCTTGTTTGCTGTACTGATGTGAAAGTAAATCAAAGATCTTAGAGATTTTCAGATCTACCAAGTTTAAACTATGAGTATTGTGTTCAATCACTTTCTCCTTGCTTATTTAATACAGTGTAAACAAAATGATGGCTGTTGGAATAGCTTTGATCAAAAATCAAGAATCAATAATTAATTCTTAGTAGAATGCCAGTTTATTTTTTGGACATCAAATATTTAAACAAATTAAGCAGCTTAAAATGTCACTTGCAGTTGTTGGGAACTTTTTCTAAGCTTTGCAGGAAAGTTTGAATTTTTCATTTTGCTGCTAGGAAGTAAATTCCTGTTCAAGCCCTGAACATACTTATCTTTAAAACCAAACAACTATGTGATCTACACATACCCACAGTTGCTAGATTTTATGGAAAGCTAATTGTGAAATTTTAGAGGGGGATTCAAAGGGGGCAGAGCTAGCCTAACCTTCTCTTTAAAATGGACATAAAACTTTTAAACAGACGTAAAGTCTTCAATTTCTATGAAACGTTTCACCCAACCAAGCATACTATCACACAGAAATTTGTTGTTGCTGTTCTTGTTAAAATTATCCAACACTTAGAATCATTTAATTATTGGCAAACCTTGACAATAAAAAGGACTTAAAGCATGCCCAGATATAGCCTAAAATAGCTGCCAAAAGTCCTTGGAACACCCAGCAATTTACGCTGCATTTGATATCTTACATTCCTTTCATGAAAAAAAATACTTCCGCCCTCTTCCCCCTAAAACAATGTTGATAATTTAGAGAAATATCATAGAAGAAGCGCAAAAGAAAGTGCGTCCTAAAACCCTAAACCGTTTGATAGTCAACCAACATTGTTCTGTAGGGGAGAGGGGAAAGGGGATGATTGATTTTGACCTTGGAAATTGACGTTAATGTTCCAAGGCTTTTGGCAGGCATTGTGGCCTTACCTCGAGTTTCATGAAATGTGTCAGTTCATCAGGTATCTTTTCGATAGACTTTTTTGACAAGTCAAGCTTCTTCGAACCTAATTCCAGTGCTGCATTTATCGCATCAACAACTTCTCGTGAAACAGATGGCTCTTGCTTCCCATTGTCTTTGCTTTCAGTGGTAGCCATGTATTATTGGAAGGCTAGCTAAGCTAGGCCCTTTGCAGCCTAAACCAGTCTTCTAAAATTAAATCAACAGCATCTTGACCAAGGTTTGAAACTATGCAGTTGGCCTAATATAAGGTCTATATGTCAAACATTCGCGTAGCCCCTCTTGAACATCGAAGCGCACACATATTTTTCAAATTGGTATCTATGCAATGTACCCTAGCAACGCAGCCTCGTTTTGCAACACATAATCTCTCTGTGATTCAGCCACATTTATCACATTCAGCTTTTCATGTTAGGACCCAACGGTCACGTAGAATACGTAGTTGTTATAAGAAACAATTGAAAAAATTGCGCATTTTGAGGCGAAATGTTCATGACAAAAGCTTTGAATTTTCAAGCAATGCACAGTAAAGGGCTTCTCCATACATAGGCATAGCTCCCTAATTACCAGCGATTGGCGGGTCAGACCCGCATCAAGTCTCATAAGCCCGCCTTGGGTTAAACTCTTATAAACCCGCCTTAAAACAGAAAACTGGCAAATTTCTACTGTTGCTATTGTTGCCACAAAATTTTACGCCCTTACCACTGCTGACCCTCTAACGACTCTGTAAAATTTGCTGCTGGTATATACATTTGTAAAACTTCTGACACCATTCGTTGTTTGAGCGATTGACCGAGCGAATAAACGACACGTATTGACACACAAAATCAATTCCTTTTGTTCCATCCAAAGCTAAGACGTACTTTTACACAATATCGAAACTTAGGTACTAAACAGCCTTTCACAAGCACTGTTACGCCATTAAATTATATATATATGAAACGAAACCTCGAGTGCTTTCACAAGCCACTCGGGTTGAATGCCATCAGCCCTCTCTTAGCCTTTCCATCCATTACCGTTCTGTGTGTGTGTGAGTTAGTGTCTACATGTTTGATAGCGGTGGCCTTTCGCAAGCACCACGCTTCTCTCTCTAAGTAACTCTGTTTCTCCGTACTCTACTTTATATAACAGCATTACAATATGCAAACTAATATCAATAATTGCCGGTGTTATTGTCGGTATCTATCGTGCAATACGTAAATGAACTAGTAGGAGGTGTTAGATATATTTGGAAACGCGGGGGAACTTTGTAGAGCAAAAGGGCATGTAAAATTTTACTATACCGGAAAACATGAAAAACTAACACGCGACAAACTAATATATCCTAAACAAAGAGAAGCATGAACAAATATAAGCATAAACGCAAGACTGACCTAAAATGAAATAAGTACCTATATTACAACTCGTACGAGATTGATTTATATAGGCCTGACGATTCTGACGATTCGCTCTGACGATTCGCACCCAAACTACCCTCCAGTTTTCCTTTAATAACTTTTGACTAACTACATCTGTAGGACTGATTTAATTTTTAAACATCACAAATACCATAGTTTTACTGTTTTTTCATATTTTCATAATTAAATAAAAATTCCGGTTAATATGAAAGTCTCCGAAACTTAGACAAAAATGTGGAATTTGTGAAAACAGCCCAACGGTTTTCCTTTAATAACTTTTCGCAGAAAAATGGTGAAAATACCATTCAAAGTTCAATCAATTAAGAATGGTCTGCTACACTGTTTTTTCATAGTCTGCAGTCGGTTTTTGCACTTCGTTGTGTTTTTATTTTACAAGGAGATTGGGGGATTTTTTCCAAAGTGCAACACCGCCTCAAACCTTAATGAAGATTATCATTTGATTCGAAAGTCGTGCCAAGTGCCACCCCTGCTTCGTCTTTAATTTCCTATTGTTTTCCATTCATCTGGAAACTTGGTTCAATTCTTCAAACTCCGGCTCAGGGGGTGGCAGCTTCGTAGTGGTTTGAGGCGGTGTTGCACTTTGGAAAAAATCCCCCAATTTCCTTGTAAAATAAAAACACAACGAAGTGCAAAAACCGACTGCAGACTATGAAAAAACAGTGTAGCAGACCATTCTTAATTGATTCAACTTTGAATGGTATTTTCACCATTTTTCTGCGAAAAGTTATTAAAGGAAAACCGGAGGGCTGTTTTGCTCGAATCGTCAGAGGAAGTGTTGCGAATCGTCAGAGCACAAGGGCCTCCCCTCAATCAAGAAATCGTCTCTTTTGAGCCGGGTAGTGAGACTTTTACTGTTTTCAAGCGATTGTTTTGGAATCGTTTCGCGACCATTTTGGACAACCAAAGCAATAAAACTTTAGGTAATGGCATCATTTACAAGACTGGATGAGTAAAAGTTTCCGAAACAATTTCAAAAACATTTGACGGCAGTTGATGTGCCGAGTGGTTTTAAACTGGGTGACAGGGAAAGTATCTCATTTTCCTAGTCTTTGCAAGTCAAATAAAACGTAGATTTTTTTTGAAAAACAGAAATAAACCAATGTTTTGATGAATATTCAACCACTCAGCATAAAAACCGACTCTGGGGGTGGTGCCTTGCACGACTTATAAACTCAAGTCTACATCATGGTTAGAGGCGGAGTTCGCACTTTCAAAAAATTCCCCTACTTTCAACGCAAAATAAAAACACAACTAAGTGCAAAAACCGACTGCAGACTATAAAAAACAGTGTAGCAGGTATCGAAAAAATAAATAAACGTCTGTTTCGGCAAAAAACCCGAGATTTGAAAAAGTTATTAAAGGAAAACTGAAGAGCGGTTTTGGAAAAATTGAGATTTTGCCATCATTCGGGGGGCTGAAAATGTACTTGAATCAACTTTAACCTCTTGCAAACTATTAAAAAACAGTGTAGCAAGCTATGTTCTATCGATTAAACTTTAAATAGTATTTATAACATTTTTCTGCGAAAAGTTATTAAAGGAAAACCAGAGGGCTGTTTTGCTCGAATCGTCATAGGAGGGTTGCGAATCGTCAGAGCGCATTCTGTGTCATGGCTCTCCCCTCAATAAATAAATCGACTCTTTTGAGCCGAGTAGCGAGACTTTTGAGCAGGGTAGTGAGATTTTCGCTCTTTTCAAGCCACTGTTTTCGAATCGCTAAGCGTCCATTTTGGACAACCAAGGCAACAAACTTTAGGTAAGGGCATCATTTACAAGACTGGAAAGGTTAAAATTACAGAAAAAAATCTGAAAAAATTTGACAGCAGTTGATAGGCCGAGTGGTTTTGAATATGGTGACAGGAAAAGAATATCATTTTCCTAGACCTCGGAAGTCAAATAAAACGTATAATTTTCTTTAAAAACAGAATTAAACAAATATTTTGATGAATACTGAACAACTGGAAATGAAAACTGTCTCAGGGGGTAGCTCCTGGCACGACTTATAAACTCAAGTTTACATCATGGTTAGAGGCGGATTTTGCACTTTCGAAAAATTCCCCTACTTTGGACGCAAAATAAAATCATAACAAAGTGCAAAACACAAGTGCAGACTATGAAAAAACAGTGTAGGAGGTATCGAGGAAGAGAATTAACCGCTGTTTGGGCCAAAACCCTGAGATTTAAAAAAGTTATTAAAGGAAAACTGAAGAGCGGTTTTGGGAAAAGTTCGTTTTTGCCAACATTCAGGGGGCTGAAAATGTTCTTGAAACAGGTTTAACTTCTTGCAAACTGATAAAAACAGTGTCGCAAACTTTGCTCTATCGATTCAACTTTAAATGGTATTTTTACCATTTTTCTGCAAAAAGTTATTAAAGGAAAACCGTTGGGCTGTTTTCACAAATTCCACATTTTTGTCTAAGTTTCGGAGACTTTCATATTAACCGGAATTTTTATTTAATTATGAAAATATGAAAAAACAGTAAAACTATGGTATTTGTGATGTTTAAAAATTAAATCAGTCCTACAGATGTAGTTAGTCAAAAGTTATTAAAGGAAAACTGGAGGGTAGTTTGGGTACGAATCGTCAGAGCGAATCGTCAGAATCGTCAGGCCTATATAAATCAATCTCGTACGAGGCACTGGTGCGTCGTACTCCTGCTATACTTTATAAGTGGGTACAACAAAAGCCTTCTTTGGAAATTAGGGAGTACCTCAAAAGCCGACTAAGATTATAAATTGCTAACTAAGAATACAGTTGAGACTAAAGAATATGTGGTTTATGTAGTATTACTATTAATGTAACATTTATATAGCTGAAGGCAATATTATGTATAAACAAAAAACAAACTGAAAACTAATGGAATGATTTCTATCTATCACAATCTCCCGACAAATATTCGGCCACTGATGTAGACCTGCCAACTCTCCCGGTTTCCACCCCCCCCCCCTCCATTAGTATCTCAATAGGAAATTTCAGGAAAAATCCACTCGAAGGAGGAAACGCTTTAAGTATTTTAGAGACCTTCATGTCATAAAATTAATAAAGGGTCAAGCAAAGGTAGTTGCTCCGTTGGTTAAATATGATATTCCTTGATATGAATGAAGGTAAACAAACTAATGATTTGAATATTTGAAGATTTCTTGTTGGCACTTAATCGAAAAATCCAGGCCCTCTTTAGGTGAAATTGTGTCTTGTGTCCATTTCCCCTAAGGTTTCTCGGTAGAAGCGTTAACTGACAACTGCAATTCACTATGAGCTCCAGATTTGTTTAACATTCGAAAGGCATGCTAAGATGGAAAGAGGGATCTAAATTGACAACCAGTGCTGCATGTTACCTAGCTTCAGAAGTAACTGACAACATGGTATTTCTCAAGACCACGGCGAAATTGTACCAGTTGTTTTTATCTGCTGTTCAATTTGTTTGCAAAAAAATATTTTCAATAGGATTAGGAGGATTGCTTTAGTGAAATATGCTTGAAAGAGTGCATTTTCCAGGGAACTAGAAGCATCAAAATTCGAAAATTTCCTCCTCCTTCGGCGGCAACCATCGAGCCGCCTCGAGTAGTAACTATATCCTTTGCCCGTTCCGATATAGAGATTTGACAAAACTATTAGGAAAATTCCGTTATTATCAAATTAAAATGAAAGTTGCGAATTATATACAGAGTTAGATTGACAAAATGCATTGCAGAGGTTTGTGACAGCAACTAAAGAATTTCAGACAAAAATTTTTCAATCAGGTAAATTTGTAGTCCACTCGCGACGATCCTGTTCCTTACCATAAATGAGTACCTGAAGAGGATATTGTCAAAGCTGTGAAAACTACAAATGCTACACATCTGAAGATATGCCTGATTAATTTTTTTTGTCGTGCTACAATAATTTATACATGAAATTATTTAGATGAAATTTGAGACAAAACACAACAGTTGCAAGAAGTTACATGTTATATAAGGACACTTTTACCATATTTGGTAGAACAATAGTTAGACATTACGTAATGCGAAATCGCCTGAAGTAGAACACGAACCTTGTAGACCTCAATTAATGGATACATATCGCCGAATCGAATTTACATTAATGTTGGAATAAGAGCGCAGTATTTTGATGAAACACAGTCCTCAAATCGGCCTCAGTATATTTCAAAATGTACTTTTTCAAAGCCTTTTTTGGAGTTATCATCACCAGAAAAATTGTTGTAAATAAGAAATTAGGAATCAAGCCACTTAACAGGTGATAATGATTACGTGAAAATATTTTAGAGATTACGTAATAAAGTTTCGAAAATACTTCCACGAGTACATAGGGTGTCCAAATAATTAGATTACAAGCATCACATGACCTGTTCCAACCAATCAGTAAAACTGTCAATCAAAGAGTCTCAAACCGTATAAATACCCCGCCACTCCCTGCATTTGGTGAAGAAGACAAGCTGGCATGAGCCTGAAGGCCGTTGTTCATCGAATGAAAAAATGTCTGGTAAGTCATCACAACTTTCAGTCAATTTATTTCTCAAAATGTACCTTCGGTCTACATATTTATCGCTAGATGAGAATTTATCGTCAAGGTATGTCGTTTTGGGACGCTGATCCTTATCGAAATTGCTTTTCTGTTCCACACTCCTATTAGTAAAAAAAGGTATTCATTTTCCTTTTGATACAGAAACACTATTCTTGTGCCCTCACTCTTTAAGAAACAGCCACGCTAGATTTACACTTAGTTAAGGCGTCATGTGATGCGGCGAAAACGCATGCTTTACTTTTAGGATACTTTTGCCAATGTCTCAAAGAAATTGTTAAAAAGCATCATGTATCTTTAAAAATTCTTAACATAAATATGTTTAATCTTTTCTTTGTGACCTCGCTTTTCAAGAAACAGTCAAGCTTGTTTTTCCGTCGCCATTTGCAATCAAAGACAGAAATATAAAGTGCTTCTAAGAAGGAATCCATAGGGTGTCCAAGAATTAAGAAGAAATGTATAGAAGACCATTCTGTGATTTCATTTTCAACGAACTCGGAATACCAGAATCCTAATTTGTTCTTTAGATATTTTAACATTAAGAAGAAAAGCTCACAGGTTTTAGTGCAATGTGTTTTTGTAAATATGATGCAGCAACATTTCACGTCTGCCTCCTGGTAATATAAATATAACTAATAACACAATTATAACAATCTTTTTGCGTTACAGAATTTATGAACAAATGGCTTTGAAAAAAAGCAAACATTTGAAACATGTTACTAAAGCTTTTCGTCTGACATTCTTCAGAGTTAAAAATGGCTTTGAAAAGCTTTAATACTAGAGTAGCAGAAACTTCTTTATGAGAATTCCAAATTTTGCCTCGTTACATCGATATCAAATTCGTTTCGTAGACGTAATATGTAATTGGATAACTGGAACCTTGTTGAGAATTTTCTCTTCATGTATCTGGTCCCAGGTCATTGGTTATTTTGTAGATCATTCATGATCACCCAGTAATATTTCAGAGAGACAACCAGGTGCAAATCGAACCATCCTGTAACTTGGGATTTTCAATAAGCACCTGGGTCCTTTTTCTTCAGACCCTGAAGGTGATCAAGTTTGGTTTTTGACAAACTGCCCCATATTTCGTTACAGTAGCGCTATTGACTTTCGAAAGGTACCCTGTTAAGCGCCCCATTAAGCGCCCTATTTAGCGCCCTGTGCGTCGTGTGCGACAGTCTAAATCCGCGCCTGCAGAAAAACCACTATTTATCTTGTTTCTTGTTTGTTTGTACTGTGCATTCCATGATAGGTTTTCATCCACAGTAACTCCCAGATATTTCGCTTCGTGGACCGTTTTTGATATAATTTTCTCCAATTTCCAAATGTACTGTGTTTTGTATTAGAGTGCAATTTGTGGCCTTTAATCTTTAATTCAGAATTTTTCCTATTAAAACAACTTTTGTTCTGACCCATCCATTTTGAAATATTGTTAGTTTTTTTTGCAAATCAGTGCAGAGTTCTCTTATATCCTCTGCAAAAAGGGGTAAAACTGGTATCATCGGCATACACATTAGGGGTACATCTTTCAAGGGCACTGCTCAAAGTCATTCATCTACAAAATGAAAAGAAGGGGATTAGGGCACCAACCCTGTGGAATACTACACTGAGCTGGTTTCGGCTAGAACTGTGGCCATTAAATGAGCAGTACTGTTGCCATTCTTTTGAGTAAGTTTTCAACAAGTGGTGGGGTTCTCCTATAATCTCCTACAGAAGGATTTTGCTTTCCAATTGGAACCCTTGAAGATGACGTATTTTGACAAAACCAGTATGTTTTATTGATTTTTCAACAGGGTTTATTTTAAGGCTTTTGTCTCACTGCACATAGTTAGGTAAAATTTGATTTCTATGGACGTTGTCTTTTTGAATATTTAATGGCCACGCCCCTTCTACTATCAGAGTATACATCAATTCAACATACAGCCTCATTTTGATAAAATTCTTCAATTTTTTTGTACGACATTTTCGACCCCAGATTCGGATTATGAGCAAAAAATTTAGTTTACTTGGAAGTTTTCATTATGTTTTTGCTTATGATATTGATTTCGTGACGATATAAAGACAAAAATTTCAAGCGGGATTTGACCGTAATTTGTGAGCCAAGGGGGTAAAAATCACCCGGAATGATATTTGCGTATGTGCTGTTATGTGCTTCGTTAGTGACGTGTTGTCTCTGCTGAAAATTTTCCAAAAAGAGCTTCAAGCAGACGACATCAACATAGTAGATGTAGTTCCAGAAACCACAATTTTAATAAAAAAGCTTGGAAATGAAGGCCCAATTTCGGGAGGTTGGGAAGAAACTTTCGAGAAAGGTTTTGATGAAGAGAAGGGTCCATTCTTCGAGAAAGTGCTCTGACGAAAAGAACGTCGCCAAGTCAGGTGCATCAGTTTGTTTCTAAAATAAGAAATTACAGTGATGCAATACGGTCGGAAGTTTTGCTTGAAATGGAAAATTTCATTAAACACATTTCAACAGACTAGCGCTGGATGAAAATGTCAAGGCCCGTTTTTCGAGCTTCGTGAAATTCATTGCAAAAAGGGATGTCATTTGAGAGGTCCATGATGCAGTTGCACCCGACCATGATGCTGGTTGAGTTCAGCGAAGCTTTTAATCTGTTTACTATTAGTGTTTTTTTATAATGATGACTATCAGCACGGCATTTACTACCAGAATAAGTTCTTGGAATATTTAAAAAATGGTTAAAAAGTTATCACTGCCTAAATTTGATTTGATCACTGCACAATTATGAATTATCACCGTACAAATTGGTTCATCACAGGTTAAAATAAACCCTTTGTCAATTAATTATTTGCATTAATGTTTGTACTTTATCCATTTAACATATGAAGAGCAAAGTGAGGAGCCAAGGCGAATCTTTATTCCCGGAGGTCGCGGAGGTCGCGGAGGTCGCGGAGGCCAGATCGGCAGAGAGGGACAAAGAAGAGGAGGACAAAGAGGAGGGGCGATAAACATTGACGTGGGTGCGGTGCACGATAACAACATCAATGCAGCAAGGAATGAACCTCCCGGTAAGGCGACAAAAATGATAACAGTCATTAAGCATTTACCGGGGTTGTGGTTGTAGGGGGTGCGACACCCCATGAATTGTTTGTGTTCTTCAGTAAATTTACTTTATTTATCTTCTTTACCTTGAAGGTTTAAGCTAAATTTTTTAAGAGGGTGCTTCCAAAATTTTCAAAGGTATGGCACAAAAAACCAATCATCGTAAATCAGCCCCCCCCCAATCCTTGCCGCTTGAATCCGCCCATGCTCTTAGGGGTTATAGGGTGCCCGCGTAGCGGTCTTTATTAGAGTTATCATAGGCTAAAGGAATACCTCTTGTTGAAAATTTATGGCAATAATTAGGCAACCGCTGCGAATACACTAGGCATTTTATTATGAGTCAACTAAATGCGGCAATTAAAGGCCTAGTGTATTCCAGCCTTTTGGTTCCAAGAACTGAAGTTTTTAAGTTACTTCGTGAGGTTTTTTGTTATATAAAAATTTGTGGGTACTCCAACAATGCACCAATATTGGTACATTTATTGTCACAGTTATATTCTACATTGATATCATACCTTCAAAGTGTAACGTTATAAAAACCCTATTTTTAGAACTTATGAATTTTAAGCAATATCATAAAAGATCACTATCTTATAATTTCAATTATGCGAGTAAGCCAAATATGTTTGAAATCGGTTGAGAAAAGGCCAATGAAAGATTTGTAGTTTGCTAACGAATCACTGTTATTTTGGCTCTGATCATACAGCTATGAACAGAGACCAAAATACAGAGGTTTGATGGGGAGAGCCAATACACATGTGGCCATATGCTCTTTCAGGTTATGGGATCCAAATTCAAAAATTCTAAAAATATATTTTTTATCACTGCCTAAATTTGATTTGATCACTGCACAATTATGAATTATCACCGTACAAATTGGTTCATCACAAGTTAAAATAAACCCTTTGTCAATTAATTATTTGCATTAATGTTTGTACTTTATCCATTTAACATATGAAGAGCAAAGTGAGGAGCCAAGGCGAATCTTTATTCCCGGAGGTCGCGGAGGTCGCGGAGGTCGCGGAGGTCGCGGAGGTCGCGGAGGTCGCGGAGGTCGCGGAGGTCGCGGAGGCCAGATCGGCAGAGGGGGACAAAGAAGAGGAGGACAAAGAGGAGGGGCGATAAACATTGACGTGGGTGCGGTGCACAATAACAACATCAATGCAGCAAGGAATAAACCTCCCGGTAAGGCGACAAAAATGATAACAGTCATTAAGCATTTACCGGGGTTGTGGTTGTAGGGGGTGCGACACCCCATGAATTGTTTGTGTTCTTCAGTAAATTTACTTTATTTATCTTCTTTACCTTGAAGGTTTAAGCTAAATTTTTTAAGAGGGTGCTTCCAAAATTTTCAAAGGTATGGCACAAAAAACCAATCATCGTAAATCAGCCCCCCCCCAATCCTTGCCGCTTGAATCCGCCCATGCTCTTAGGGGTTATAGGGTGCCCGCGTAGCGGTCTTTATTAGAGTTATCATAGGCTAAAGGAATACCTCTTGTTGAAAATTTATGGCAATAATTAGGCAACCGCTGCGAATACACTAGGCTTTTTATTATGAGTCAACTAAATGCGGCAATTAAAGGCCTAGTGTATTCCAGCCTTTTGGTTCCAAGAACTGAAGTTTTTAAGTTACTTCGTGAGGTTTTTTGTTATATAAAAATTTGTGGGTACTCCAACAATGCACCAATATTGGTACATTTATTGTCACAGTTATATTCTACATTGATATCATACCTTCAAAGTATAACGTTATAAAAACACTATTTTTAGAACTTATGAATTTTAAGCAATAACATAAAAGATCACTATCTTATAATTTCAATTATGCAAGTTGGCCAAATATGTTTGAAATCGGTTGAGAAAAGGCCAATGAAAGATTTGTAGTTTGCTAACGAATCACTGTTATTTTGGCTCTGATCATACAGCTATGAACAGAGACCAAAATACAGAGGTTTGATGGGGAGAGCCAATACACATGTGGCCATATGCTCTTTCAGGTTATGGGATCCAAATTCAAAAATTCTAAAAATATATTTTTTTGTATGACGTTATCACGTTGCTGTTTCCGTCCAAAGAGTCTGCTGCTGTTGAGTGTGCACGTGTAAAGGCACAAAATGATTTAATTTGGACCGCTTCATAGTTGTGGGTAAACATGTCTCAATTCTTCGTAGTCCTGCAAAGTTCCTTTTGAAAACAGCATTTGTCACAGAAATCGCTAGTAGCAGCTTCATCGCTATCATGACATATGCTAATAGCAATATTTGACCTTTCTTACCTTTCCTACGATGCTGTTAAACTTTTTTGAACATTTAGTTTTTTCACTAGGCTTGTTTGCTCGTAAGACCATCAAACCTGAGGTTATCAGTTCATTATCGGAGTCGTCTATGTAGAAATCATAGATAAATCCCTGTTCGAAGTTCTCCAATTCAATTAATTTGTTGTAGACATCCTGGTCAAATCTTTTTTTATTAAGAAGTAAATTTTACGGAATCAAAGTCATTGCCAAATAATCCTTCGAGATTCACATTTCTTAAAAAATTGTGCCCTGTCTTAGGGTTTAAAGGGATTCTTCCCATACTTGGAATAAAACTTCGAAATGATCAATCTGACCAAACTTGCAAGTTTTCAGATACTGCAAGGCTAGTTTTTTTAATAGAATCCTGCATCACAAACGTCTTTAATCAGAGAAAGCTTGCCAGTGGCGAATCTAGCCTTAAAAAATCTGGGGGGGGGCAGTGACTTGGTGGCCGGTGGGACCAGGGGGCACGCGCCCTACCAGCGACCAGACATCAGGGGGTGCCGAAGGAGATTCAACTCTTCAAAGGGGGCCAAATTCCTTTTGAAAACACATGTGAACGAAGAAGGCAACTCGACAAAGCCGCGTTCCGAAGAGGAACATATTCCAACGTGGAGCCGTCTTGTCTCGTCTCTTTCTTTTCTCCTCCGCATGTCCGTCGTGATACTCCACCCTCTCGACAACCCTTCATATGGAACTCAGGGTAGAGCCAAGGATGCGATAGCATCCAAGCATCATTTGGCAGTCCGCCATGAGTTATCAAACATCTGTAAGTAACCCGCTAATTTGTTGGACCTCACGGAGGTTGGTTTACAAAATTACATCTTAACTTTACAAAGATACTTCCTGCCTGCCATATTCAAAACTATAGTTCTTCTGTTGATAATCTTCTGGCATAATGATAAAAATAAGCTTATGAATATTTTCTAAAATCCCCATTGGGCCTAAATCTACGTGTGTTGTAGATAACATATACCATATCAGTCGTTGCATAAACATTTTTAATATTGTATCATATATTTATTCAATACTAATTCTTTATAGATAGTTGGCCTTAATTAGCTTCTTTATAGCTATCAGACGTTCATTTAGTACGCCAACTTTAAACAAATTATTTATTATTATTATAAATATTATATATTTCGGAAACAGTTTCCGGTCATCCCTAGAAAGAAATACTTTCCAAAAATTTTCTTGCCGCCGGACATGGTGGCGGCCTCTTAGAAATCCCTATAAAATCTTAACATCGTCGGCCCCACTTTCTGTCCCGTTTCGCTGGCCCTGATGGAGTTGCACCGTGGGCATGAAGCACTCTAGAGGGCGCCAAAAAAGGTTGGTGTCCCCTACCCGAGCCACCACGCCACATTGTTAGCAACGAGTCTTTAAGATCATCAAGGGCTTTGTAAAGGTCATCGCCATGGCTGATGGAAGGAACAATTTTGCAACTGTAACATTATGGGGATAACAAGAAACTGCATTTGAATATCTACAACATTCGTAGGTATTTGCCCAATAAAGATGCTAGTAAATATTCGCTTATTTTTATCATTATGCCCAACATAATTTTTATCATTATGTCGTTCCATTTAGCAGTTTTGAAATCTATCTACATTAGCACGAAAAAACTGCTACTGTGTAGTCTCTCAAGCTGTCGTTAGTTTCTCAAGCATCCGTAGAGCTTCACTGCTTTCCAAAGAGTTTGTTTCCTTGCAGAATCGAAGGCTTTCAAAAGTTCAATGTATATAACAGAGGCAGGTATTGCTTGATTGCCTTTCCTGTAACCCACATTGACAGCACGTTCTTAGAGATGGGTTTGGTGCAGTGCTTCCCAGCTCATCTTTAAAAATGGACCCATGGAGCTTTTTTCTTTTGGGAGATTTTTTTTTCCAAGCGCTTCGGTCTCTTGATCGCTCTTGGTTGTGTGCAGTGTGGAAATATCGGCTCTTGTTACTGGTGTTACCGCGCTAGGCCATTGTCCACGGCTGAAAGGCATCGTAAAGCCTGATTCCCATATAATCCTAAGACTGGCGCAGACTGTCTGCGACGATCTGCGATGAACTGCGGCACTCTAAAAGTTTTGATGGGAATATAAATCTGTGTCTGCGACGATCTGCGATGGTCTGCGACGATCTGCAAAAAGTTGAACATGTTAAACTTTTTACCTCTTTCGGTACCTTTCCGGCGCTTCCAGATCATATGGGAACATGGGTCGCAAACGATCTGCGACCATCTGTGACACGCCCTTGTTGACAAATACCCACTTGCATTCTGTAGTCCAATCAAAACCCCTTCTTCTATATAATCCCGCGCTTTTTCCTTTGTGTTGTAATATGTGTCATTTCTTCCTTGCAATCAAAACAAAATGGCAGTACAAATTGAGAATGAAATTGACAACGAAACATTGATGAATTGCGTTCAAAACTACCCTGTGATTTACGACAAGATGAGCAGAGACTATAAAATTCCACTTAGAAAAAGAAAAGCGTGGAAAGAAGTAAGCAGGGAACTTGGAATTGATGTGGAAGTGGCACAAAAACGCTACAACAACATCAGAACAACGTTTTCAAAGTATGTCAGACGAATGCAGTGCGTTAAGTCAGGATCGTCGCAGATCGTCTGTGGCAGTCTTAAGATTATATGGGAACCAGGCTTAATAATGAGTCTTTTACGCCGCCACTAAGCTCTGTTCTTCTTCTGGGGTGCTCTTCACCTTTGTCTTCCTCGAGAGTATTTTCCCGGGGTGGGTACTTGGATACCAAAACGACGGGGGTGTGCACTTCTAAGATTGTTTTGGTGAACCGGCTTTTGAAAAAAAAGCTAAAAATGACACCTGGCTTTACAATTGTTGGAAAAAAGAACAAAGGAAAACAAGAGCTTTGATACCAGTACCCTGGGTGCCAGAGCCTCAGAGAGTCAAAGGATGAAGAACGGGGGAAGAAATTGCGAAGGAGAATGGAATAGTAAAAGGGAGATACGAAGCTCTGGATCCATCGCTCAACAACCTCCTTCTTGCTTACAACGGAAGCGATTTGGAATCACTTGTTCGAGGGCAATGAGCGATTAGGAATCACTTTTAGGTTGCAAACAAAGATATATCAAGAAACATACCAATCTTTCCACACTTCCCAGTAATTCTATGATTTAACTTCTATCGCGAACTTAGAATGTTGTAAGGCGATAAACTCACAAATAACTCGAAATAGAAGTTATATATTTCTTTCAAGGTAACAAAACAATAACGAACTGGTTATATACTCTCGTCGCACACTCGCCTTTTTGAATAGTAAAAGTCATGTCTCTGAAGCTCCTCACCCCCACGCGCTCGCTCCTTCCCCGCGGTTAATTATAAGCAGTTTTTATTTTACACAACTTCCTTGCTGATAATTTTTTTCATTGTTCATGACAATGCCTTAACACTTTTTCATACTCCATGATTAAGCGCTGTCAATTTCAACAATAGCAATAACAACAAAACTGAAAGATGGATGGCGAATCCAGAAACAACCTTGAACGTTTACGAGAAAGGAGAATATTGCTATTTGTGCGGATTTAGCTTCGGAAACTCCTCTAATAAGCCGACTTACAAAATCGTGTGAAGTGAAATAAAACCACTGACATCTCAAACAGAATCGTGCCTGCAATCCTGCATGTGATTATTTTCTAAAAATAAAGCGCCTTTTCGAATCGACGAAACTTCATTTTGAACACGTTTTGTAAATAGAGTTTGTTGACAATAAAAGGGATAGGTGCACTTAATTTGCTTATGAACAGAGCCATTTTTTCCATAAAAACTTAGGAACAAAGTTGATAGCCCATAACTATAATTACGCAAGGCTAGGCCTAGTTCCAATTTGACTCTGACTAGGAATAAATATTTGGAAAAAAATTGTTTTGAAAGCAGACCATACCATTTCGGGATACAATGAGCTTTATCTGCTGCAAAAGTAGAAACTTCGACCTTTTTGCTTCGTTCGTTGCCGTACTAAAATCGTCTTCCATGATAAAAGTCGGAGATCATATGATTTGATCGATGATTCTTGATAATGATTGTAAACAAAGATACTTAGCCAACCAGCGTCGAGTATACCGCGAACGGTATACTGGATGCTGATTGGTTTAGAAGTGGAATTTGAAAGGAGGTTGTTGAACGATGGATCCAGAGCCTCGTCTCTCCCCTTCCCTCTTCCATTCTCCTTCGCATTTCCTTTCCCCCGTTTTTCATCCTTTGACTCTCTGAGGCTCTGGCACCCAGAGTATGATACCAGTTGCCATGGTTGCCAGCACACCACAAAAACAATGGGCGGGCAGCCTCTTTGCTGTTATTTTTGAATAGAAAAAAAACGAAAATCAGGCAACCGGCTTTAGATTCCAGTGGCCATTTTTAACATTGTCGAAAACAGCTTTAGTCACTAAATTCTATAAATTTGTCAGTTGATCCTTTAGCTCTTTGCATTATTCTGGTTGACAGTAACTTAGGCATTTTCGCGAATGCATTTGTTGGTGTTCTTTTCCATGGAAGTCCCTAATGTGGAAGAAGTTTACATCGTGAGGAAAGTATCAACTGCAGTTGCTAGTACCTGGTAGAAGGCCACCTTTCAAGTTCTTATTCCCGCTTCCGTGATCTTTGTTAAAGTTTTCCAAGTTTTCTATGGCGTCGGAAACATTTTCAAGAATTTCCCGTCAAAATTTGCTATAAAATACGCTTATTTTACCCAAATCATGCATTCAAATGTTTGGTATGGTTGAAAAGTTGACAAAATGTGCCGCCATTTTGAACAAGGTGGTGAAATACTTTTGTGAAATGAGTGTAAGAGATTTTAATATCAACTTAGGTTAAATAAGCTAAGAACATTTTATATTTAACATAGGTTAAGGATGCCAAGGAAATAAAAAAAATCTAAAAAGATTCTAGTATCAACTCAGGTTAAATGGGCGGAAGAAAATTTTTAAAAAAGTTGAAGAGCTTTGATATTAACTTAGATAAAGGAACCTAAGGAGTTTCAATATAGCGAAGGAGATTTAAATATAAACTGGGGTTCAATGAGCTTAAGGGATTTAAAAAAAGCTAAATATGTTTATTTGTAACTTACGCTAAGGAGACTTTAATATTTACTTGCTATACTGTGAAAGTCACAAACCTGAAAATGATTCATAAAAACGATAATTTTAAACAATCTTAATTTCCTGTTCTTCATATATTCTTAATAACTGACGCTTCATTTAAAACGTTATTGCAGACAGTGTCCCAATTTTCAACGGTTATATTAATCGGGGAGGGGCAAGGGTAGTGAGAGAGCTTTTTTCGATTAGTTTACCTTCGTAGAAGAGAGCACCCCCTTAACTGTCGATACTATATACTTTTTTATGAATCAGTTCTGTTTGTTTTGCGATATCTATTGTTTTCTTTAAGATACTACAAATTTAACATTATAATTGACCTTCTGCATTGTAATTTTCTGCTAAATTAGATGTTAAATTGTTTGACCATACGAGCCTCAGAAACCCTTGCAAGAGAGGCTTTGGGGTTACTGGAACTTGACTAAACTAACACCGATTAAATTCCTGCTACGGGCAACATTGTTGGGGGTACCGTACCGTCATCCTGGGTACCAGGGCCTGAGTGAAGAGTGGATCGAAAACAGTGGATCGAAAACAGTGGATCGAAAACAGTGGAAAGCCTTCAGTACTGTACGATAACGGGACATCCTCACCAAAAAATCCGGAAAAAGAAGATTTACCCTGAAAATGCATTGAAAGAATATTGAACTTATTATTAACCAGTGGCGGCTCTTGCTGAAGGGCATCTGGGGCAATGCCCCCTCAAAAAGATTCAAAGGAAATCTGTGATATTCATATTTAATTTTGAAGATAGTCTTACTGTGGTTAATTATATAAGTTTGTATCTCTTCTAGAAAAAGCTCCTTGCTATCCCGTCTCGTCCTTAGCCTCGCTTCTGGCCCGCTAGTGCCTTGAGCGATGATGTCATTTTACGGGCAAAGTTTTTTGTACCCCTAGCCGACATGCGCACAAGCTAATTTTCGACCTCGAGCATTGCGAAACGCGGCCTGTGATTGGCTTATTTGGAGGAATTCGGGGCAAGAAAAATTTTGCCCATAAAATGACATCATCGCTAAACAACAACCACATCTATATATGCTTTTTCTTCTGCGCTCCATGACGATCAACATCGAACCATGAATACAGTGAAAAATTTGCAAACTCGACCTTTCTATCGATTATCGCAATATTGATGTTCTGCCCTCCCAACTGTGAAAGTTACGAGCCGCCACTGTTATTAACACAAAAAATCTTGATACCGAAATTCATAATTATTCAATCGGAAATGGCACACTCAGAAAACTTTGCAGTGCAATTGAATTATTGCTTAAACACGATTACCTTAAACTTTAAATGCTAAAATACGTCAGATGTTGTTTCGGGATGTTGTGGCTAACTCTCACTGTGGTTATGCTCCTACCAAAAGAGTTACAAATCGCGCAACCAGCACGGTAACCAATAGCAAATATGGTTTTCTATGTAGCAGTTTTGTAGAAAACCGATGATGGAAAACAATTAAAGAGGTATTTCTTGAGAATATATGGCACGGGAACAACGCATGATTAGGTTTCACAAAATTCGAGTGACATATTCAACGAAAACTCCGAAACCTCGACAGGCTTTCCTTGTGCCAACAGACGTCGCCATGAACATAGCAAGTTTACCTTCATCTTATTCCTGTTGGCCCATCCATGTTTAAATTGCCCCAGTCTTTATAACATCAGTCAGCATTATCAAGGGGCATATATATATTTCCATGTAAAATCTTTCATAATTTCAAAAGTATTGCAGAACAGAAATGGAAGCTGCTCTTGCGTCTCTGCACATTATATGTGAATTGTAAATGACTAGTTTTGATGGCTGGCTTTTTGCTTTTAGGTCAACCAAGAAGAATATACTCCCTTTCGTACACGAAGTTGCAAGAATTCAGCAACATGAAACCGGATGATGCAATTCTGGCGGTGGTCACTTACAAAGAAGCCCTAGTGACATTGCTAAGAAAACGGAATCTACAGCTTGATTGGGTCAAGGCGGTAACAAAAATATTTTCAAATATTTTGCAGTCAAGCATGACGAGAAATGTGTTTGACATCGTGAGTTTATTACCAGGCTCTCTCTTTGTCAAAGAAACACTGCTTAGGGCAATCCAAGAATTGCCTGTTGTTGCTATAACAGGGTTAAATAATGATCATGAGGAGTTCCTTCAGAATGTTATCGATATATTTCAAAGAGTCTGTCAATCGTTCCCCAGCTCTGTCCAGGATCTGCCAGTTGACAATTTGCTTTCAGTTGCAAGCAGGGTTCCACTTGAAAACAAAGATGAAATTTTGACAAAAATTGGAGACTTAATAAACCGCCGTGACCAAATGATAGCCGAAAGGCTTGATAGTCTGAGTTGAACCAAAGAGGAGCGGCCTTTAACAGCCAAGGACCACCGCCTGAGGATTTCAGAGAGCTTTCTGCTGGGCCAACTCTAGAAGACATTCGTCCGGAAAAGAAACCTTATCTTCGACCGATTAAATCAAGGGGTAAATATTCAGATGGCGAAGAATACTTGGACGTTCAGTTTCGCCTCCTCAGAGAGGATTTTATTGCACCTCTTCGTGAAGGTATTGGGGAAATTCGCAGTTCGTTGGCACGAGCTGACAGAAGTCAGAACATGAAAGTATACAGAAATGTAAAGATTTTGTTTCCAAATTTCACAGGAGGAGGAATAACGTACAAAATTTCCTTCGATGTCACTAAATTGAGGCATGTCGTATGGCAGCATTCACGTCGTCTGATCTTTGGTTCCCTTGTCTGTTTCTCGGCAGACAATTTTAAAACATGCTTCTTTGGAACTGTAGCAGAAAGAGAGGTAAAAGATCTTTCGAGAGGAGAAATAAATGTGAAGTTTATGAATGGTTTGGATGATGTAATTGATGCAAAAATAGACGAAGAATTCGCAATGGCTGAATCACCATCGTATTTTGAGGCCTATTATCATGTTCTTCGAGCTCTTCAGGACCTCAAGGGTGATAAAATCCCGTTTACCGATTACATTGTTTCTACCGTACAAATATCGAAGAACCCAAAGTATATCAGGTATGATCTGGCTGTAAAAGAATACAATTTCACAGGATGCCTGACGGAAAGAAACATCAAATGCCGTACCACACTTCTCAACACTGAGTCACATCTGGAAGAAAGTCTTCTAAATCCATCACAACTCAAAGCTTTTCAAAAGGCACTTTCTCGTGAATTTACAATTATTCAAGGTCCACCAGGGACGGGAAAGACTTTTGTCGGCCTGAAAATCGTTCAAGCTCTCTTGATGAATCAACCCATCTGGGAAGGTAATGGACGGGCAAATATACTGATTGTTTGTTACACAAACCATGCCTTAGATCAGTACATCGAAGGAATAATCAAAATGGGTTATCACGATATCATAAGAGTTGGGGGCAGAAGCCAGAGCGAATCTGTGCAACAGTTTAGCCTGAGAAACAAAAAAAAGTGCATAGACAATAGCAGTATCAAAACCATTAGTTCTGCAATAGGGAGGGCAATAAGTAGAAAGTATGAGCTGATGGATGGTATGGAAGCTATATTAAGAGGCTTGGAAAATCTTGCGCATTCCCAGATTCATGGGCGGATAGCTGACTTGAATGCAATTTTAGAGTTCTTGCCCCCTATTCTACAACACTGGTTCCTCGATATGGAAAAAAGTTATCGTCAATTAGATGTACCTTTTTTGGAAATGTTTCTGGGATTGTTCCCGTTTCACGAAGGGCGTGCACGCAGTACATATAGAAATGTAAGACGCACTGAGGCTTTGCAGAGAAGGTTTGCAAATGCAATGCACGGAGGCATGGGCGAAGAAGGGAATTACGATCAAGAGAACGATGATGCTATAGACATAGCTGGAGACACAGAAGCTTTGGTTGATAGATGGGCAATGGAAATGGATCAATTTACCCCGTTTGTTAATGATCGAAAAACATGGACTGAGGAGGAGCCTGACGAGGATTATCAAGAAGAGTTCATTGACGAAGATGGCTTTAAACTTGTTGTCCCAAGCAAACGAGAGAGAAGGGCACTTGCAAAACGACAAATGAATAATGCAGAGCCGATGACAGCGGATCAGGTAAACTCGATCGAAAATCCTATGGATTTGAATGTAAACGAACGCTGGAGGCTGTACAAGTACCTCCTAGAGAAGTACAATCGCAAGTGCAAAGATATATTGTTACCAGTGTCAAGAGAATATGATGATTGCTGTGAAAATGTCAAGGAACTAGAGGGTAGAAAAGATGAGCATTGTATGAAGGCAAGCAGGGTTATTGCTATGACAACAACATGTGCTGCAAGGTATCGTCAAGTGCTTGGACGAATACAGCCAAAGATTATAATAATCGAAGAAGCCGCAGAGGTGTTGGAGGCACATGTTCTTACTTCATTGCATGAACACACTGAACACCTGATTTTAATCGGGGATCACAAACAGCTTAAACCAAAACCATCTGTCTACAAACTAGCTAAAGAATATCAACTGGAGGTCTCTCTTTTCGAAAGAATGGTTAAAAATGGCATGGATTGTCACTGCCTTGATGTCCAACACAGAATGCGACCAGACATTGCCCATCTTCTGCAAGACATATATCCAGGATTGCGAAACCATCCATCAGTCAAAGAGTATCCTGACGTGAAAGGAGTTAGCAGCAACTTGTATTTCATTGACCATCGTCACAAAGAAAGTGAGAACATTGAACTGAAGAGCAAATCCAATCAACACGAGGCCGAATACATTGTCGCTCTGTGCTGGTATTTGCTATTACAAGGATATTCGCCGAAGCAAATAACCATTCTCACTTTGTACACGGGGCAGCTTATGTTGCTCAGAAAATTGATGCCCAGAAAGAAATTCGAGGGAGTTACCGTCACAGCTGTCGACAACTTCCAGGGTGAGGAAAATGACATCATCTTGCTTTCACTTGTAAGAAGTAACAACGAAGAAAAAATCGGATTTGCTGGAATTGAAAACCGAATCTGTGTCTCTTTATCGAGAGCAAAGCAAGGGATGTTTGTAATTGGCAACCTAAAGCTACTCGGAAGCCAAAGCGTGACATGGGAACGCATACTTGCACGAGCATCTGCTGGCAAATTCGTAGGAGAGTTTCTTCGAATATTCTGCAGGAATCACCCAGACAGGTTTATTGATGCTGCAAAAGCTGAAGATTTCAATGCAGCGCCCGAAGGAGGATGCAAAGAGCAGTGCACATTCAGATTGAACTGTGGTCACGTATGCCAAAAAGCTTGCCACCCAGTTGACATGGAGCATCTTCAAATCACATGTCAAAAGAAATGCAAAAAGATTCTTTGCGAAACTCAACACCGTTGTGAGAAAACCTGCCATGATGGATATGAATGTGGCCCTTGCAAGGTAAAGGTTTCAAAAATTGTTCCTCAGTGTGGTCATGAGCAAAAAGTTCCATGCTCTCAGGATCCCGTGTCGTTTAACTGCTTGTATCCCGTGATCAAGGAGCTGAGATGTGGTCACAGCCTTAGTGTTCACTGCCATATCAAAGATCCAAATCTCAAGGCAATCTGCTTAGAGAAATGTACTGAATTGCTGGAATGTGGTCATCCATGTAATGGCACATGCAATGAATGTCATCAAGGAAGATTGCATAAAAAATGCACCAAGAAATGCAATCGCATGCTGATTTGTGCCCACCTGTGCAGCGAGCCATGCTCAAAAGAATGCCCCCCATGCAATCAGCCCTGTGCAATGGGATGTATTCACAGCAAGTGCAGCAACGTCTGCGGTGAACCATGTCCACGATGTCAAGAGGAATGCCAGTGGAGATGCGAGCACAAAATATGCACAAAGCTCTGTTCCGAGATGTGTGACAGAGATCCCTGCAATGAGCCATGTAAATTACCACTAGCCTGTAACCATCCATGCATCGGACTGTGTGGTGAGAAATGTCCCTCACTCTGTCGTTTCTGTAACAGGGAGGAAGTAGAGGATATATTCTTTGGCAATGAAGACGAAGAAGATGCAAGATTTTTGGAACTTGTAGACTGCCATCATATCTTTGAGGTCGAAGGCTTGGACACATTCATGGCCTTGCAACAAGATGAAGAAACATCAATCCAAATAAAATCATGCCCTAAATGCAAAACACCAATAAAGCGCAGCATGCGGTATGGCAATATTCTCAAGCGCTTAACGGAAGATTTGGATGCAGTAAAAAAACAGATGATTGCTCAAAGGCGCAAAGCAGCAAAAGGTATCTTGCAGGATCTGGAAGCTGTGCTACGTCCCTTGCAAATAAACCCCAACATAAGCAATGAAATTAGTACTCTGATTGAAGATAAACTTAACAGAGTTGAACAAGCAAGTGAAAAGCAGAATGAAAGGGCAGCAGAACTAGAAACAATAAGCGAAACACAGGTAGAATGCTTAAAGAGAATCAACAAGCTTCGTTTACTCCGAGTGGGTTGTGAAACAATTAACAAGGATGTTTTGCAGCTGTTGCAACATTTGCTTGTGAACAACGCGTCAGTACAACAACTGCTTGATGCGATTCTAGAACTGAAGCGACTCTTTTTGTACCAAAGCGTCATAGAAACCAGAAAACAAATTGGAGCTAGACTGCAAATGGAGGAGCTCGAACACTGTTTGAGCCGACTGCAAAGTGGAAACAAAATCAACAAAGATGAAATGAATGAAATGAGAAGCAACATTGATGCTGTCCGTAAAAAATTCAGTTTGGGCATAATTAGCAGGGAAGAGAAGACCATGATTATAAAAGCAATGGGATTCTCGAAAGGTCATTGGTTTAAGTGCCCTAAAGGACACGTCTATGCGATTGGTGACTGCGGAGGAGCTATGGAGGAATCTAAATGCCCAGAATGCAAATCGGTTATTGGAGGACAACGACATTCACTTGCGTCTGGTAATACTCACGCGGGCGATTTTGATGAATCAAACTACCCAGCATGGTCAGAGGCCGCCAATTTGGGAAATTTTCATCCAGATGATTTACAATTCTAAAAACAGGTAATGTTAAAAAGTTAAGACTTGGTTAGTTAAAAAAACAATGATACATTCTATCCTTCGTTGAAATAATTAAAAAATATCATATATAGTCCAAAATGTTATTGAAAATCGACCTCTATCCAGAAAGTTGAATTTCACTAAATTAGTCGTAGAGAGTGCTACACTGTTTTTGCGTAGTACAAAAATGATTCACTATAACGTTGAATTCAGATAATATTTTGAAATAAAATTGAATTTCTAGCCTCAGCTTGATTTAGAACAATTATCCCTGTTTGTTTGTACTGAATACAATTGAGTTGAATCTAGAGTAGTAGTCGTAAATTCTATTAGCTTTGGGTTTCTAATACTTTGCATTAGACAAAAAACAATCATCAATGTTTTTGCCAACTAAGTAAAAGTGAGTTGTATCAGGCGCAGTGATTGTAAAATTTCATTAAAAGCCATCGTCAAGGTTTTTCCAACTAGGTAATACTGAGCTGTTTCAGGTGCAGTAATCGTAAGATTTTATCAGCCTTTGATTTCTAATACTTTATATCAGACAAAACTCCATCGTCGAGGTTTTTGCCAGCTAGGTAATATAGAGTTGTATTACGCGTAATGAAGGCAAATTTTACTAAATCTAGGTTTTTAATATTTTGCATCAGAGAAAAGCAACTGTATAGTTTGTTAAAACATTAATTTAATCAGGGTAGCCTGGCCATGCTGCAATTTATAAAAAAGGAGGTATTTTGCTTGTAATCAGAACCACTATTTACTTAATACTGTTAGAATCATCTATTATAGCATATCTTTCTCACAGACCAATATCTCATTATACGAATCATTTGGCGCCAAACTGTATCATCAGTTCTCATTGTCTTAGGATATCATATGTGAGAAGAGACACTGACATTGGCACAACAGCAAACAGCTCTTGAAAAGCTTATAAAAAAAGCATGTTTCGCTCAAGATACATCGGCATCACCATACTGTTCTCTTGAGTTCTCTCCTTTCGTATTTTTTCTTTTTAATTTTGAAAAAATTTTGTTTAATCGCTTTACAAAAACGTCAATCTCGCTTCGCTGGAGTCCAACGGCCGCAGCAGCAGTCATGTATGAGAAAGGGTAATTATTTGAATGGGATCCCCAATTCTCAAATGTGTAAGAGCCAATTGTCTTGGAATCACCAGCTGCAATCACCCTGCAATCAATGAAACGAGAGGGTTGGTATTGAACAGATAGACAGACAGCTTAAGCCTTTCAAAGATCAACTGTAAGAATCGATACAAAATAACAACAAGCTCGGGCAAAACTTTTCTAGATGCAATAAAATACCTGTTATAGCATACAGTCTAACACAGTTTGCATTATGTAAGGTAATTTGCATACACATTGAATGCCTAGAAGTCCTATGCCATTGTTCTCGTATTTTCAGTTTCGTAGAGAATTGTTTCCAACTGGTATTTAGCTATTAAACCCTACGTTGATGTCAGCCATTTTAAGATTTTAACTGGCCGAGAGCAAGTGGATGCTCATCAGAAAAGGTCGATGATTTTGTGAGCAAGCTTTGGAAGAATTTGTCAATAAAAACAACCTTAGGAGACTCCCTCTCCTTTCAACCAGTTTTTTTGGCACTAAGCATATATCCTTGGCCAAAGGGGTTAACCGGGTAAAAACTCACTCTTAGGGGAGAGACCATTGAGAAAACATGGAAAAAGACAAAATCAGGTGAGCTATGACTCGGCTTTACTGGCTGCAAATAAATACGAAACTATTCAAGCACAGGTCTTAAAGATAAAAAACACTAGCAGATTGCATGGAATGAAGTTTTAGAGAAAGGACAATATTCATACAGTCAGCGAGTTTCAACTTTACACACCACACAAAATGACGATAATAAAAACATTACACACCAAACCAAAGGACGATAATGGAAAATATTTCAACAGAAGGTTAAACAAATATCACAATCGTAACAAGTAATGACAGATAACAGCATGATTACCTTGTTCCACTGACGCATCTTTTAAACAGCATCGAACCGAATTCGGTTAAACTGTTCCGCTCAAAGGAAGCCCCAGGTACCAAGTTATCCAGAGTTATAGCTAAAAGATACATGTCTTTCATTAAATAAGTAATTTCATCAATTTGGATGGAAGAAAATCACTTTCTATAAAATGATCATGTTCCATTTTATCTGGCAAGATTGAGACGATTGAAACGAAAATTCCAACATGTCGCATCTTGAAGTGACACCTTGACTGGCACGTTACTGTACGACACAAAATTTTCTGAAGGATGCTTCACTGGTAGATCGCCGATGCTCAAATTTCATATCAAAATTCAATCAAATTGAAAATAGTCTTAGCATTTGGTGTTGAGATACGATTCACGTCCCAACAAAAACAGCAAAATTGCAAGGAATAGTAACATTATTTGAGAGAGGCGCTCACCAAGAGATATGGGGTTATGCTTCGTGTCTAGCAACCTTTCATCGTATGTCCGACAAACAGTGTCCAGTTCAGACATCAATAATATGTAGCTTTCCTACATACAAAATTACAAAAATGTCAAATACTATTCTTGATTAGCGCAGTTCCAAACAACCAAACCTTAAAAAACCATTTGATGGCAAACAGCTAAAGTTTCGAGCAGTTTCAGTATAAATTTTGGCTTGCCAGAAGTCCTCGTTTGAGAAAAACCCGACCACACTAGAGAGAAAGGAGCGCAACAGAGAGGCGCGCCTTGTTCTGAGGTGTGTCGGACCAGGATAACTAACAGAGCTACGATAGTCTAATTAAAATCCCTGCATTAGCCCCCTCCCCCTGCAGCCCATTTCTTCGTTGAACGGGTTCTGTTGTTCAAAACAAGACTACAATTGAGAAGAGCAAATGAGCTGTTGCTCGTGTTTCTCTACCGTTGCTCGTGCATGGCTTCTTGCCATTTTCTCTTGGCCAACATTTGTTGTAGTTTTATGCGCTCTTTACCAAGGCAAAGGCGCGATATGGTTCATTTTTGGCCTTGTGCTTAAACGTTAGAACAATGGCCACGACACGCTTTAGCTTTGTACGTATGAAAAGAACTTAAGTATATACGATATGTTTCCACTTTTCCGTGATATCTTACAAAAGTCTTAGCCAAATATTCATTGTCCATCTAAGAATTGCTCTTCACACAAATCAACGATACTTTAAACAGAAATAAAGAAGAACCAAATTAAAGAACTTACTAACTTTTCTCTCTGCCAACAGATTTTTGTATCCGTTTACACCTAAGCTTAGTAAAGTAATAAAAAGATCGATGGTTGGACTGGCAGATGCTCTCCCTACAAAAGATTCGAGAAACAATAAATAGACCAATAATAATGCTTATGTGTTTAATAACCCCATGTCCTCGATGGTACGGAAATACGGACCATCAAGCATGGGAACCAAGTCAACGCTGATAGATGATTCGTCAAGGTTGTATCACGTGTCAAGGGTGTATCACGTGTCAAGGGTGTATCACTAGTCAAGGGTGTATCACTAGTCAAGGGTGTATCACGTGTCAAGGGTGTATCACTAGTCAAGGGTGTATCACGTGTAAAGGGTGTATCACGTGTCAAGGGTGTATCACGCGCAAGGTTAGAAGATGTGACCAAAAGCGCTTTTCTCTGCTGTTTACAAATCCTCAAGAGCTTCAGAACAGCAAAACAGTGAACAATAATTCATGGAAGTAATTTAGTGATGAACATTATCGACGGTAGTTTCTTTACACGAGTATCAGAACACTAATAAAAGTCATTTTGGTCCCTTCATTCAGTTTAATGGTGAAAAGAACTGTTAACGGAACAAAAGCGAGACGTTACTACTGCAAAAGTGGCTTTAAATGTATGTTCTCTGAAGCCATTTCGTGGAAAAATAGTGACGAAAGTCTACCAGTCTATAAAAATTGCACAAGGGAAGGGCACAATTTTGGATGACCTCAAAGCAGCGGCATCACGGAAGATACAGAAATAATCAGGTGTACATCCCAAGCGGAGAGCTTGAATCCATAAATCAAGAACAATAACAAAGTTCTTGCTTGCGAACAATAACAAAGGAAAAGAAATCTCCGATCACATAATATTAACGAAACATGTCTCCTTTACCAGGATATGTTTTGCTGATGCCGTCGATGAAGCTTTCATCATGTCCAGCTATAATTGATCCTCCGACAGGAACCATAAAATTCTTGTCAGTACTTTGAACAAACGCATCTACTCTGCCTTTGCGAGAAGCCTGCACAAACAAATCTAGGACATGATTTCACTTTCTCCTGATAACAGGGGGGGGGGGGTGATCCAGAAATGGATTAAAATAGGCAGAACATACATGCTTTGTAGCAATAGCAGAAAAATTAGTAAATTTAAAACTGAATGCAAAGGACCTTTGCCCACGTTTGTATCTGGGGAAAATGTAATAAAAAAAATCCTTTTCTCGATTCCCACTTGTGAAGTTTTTTGACTTCAAGTTGGCACCCTAAACGAACAACGATTTCAATGGCATCTACACATTGAATAGGACCAGTGATTCAAAAACGTCAAGCAAAAACAAGAAAAAGGGTACTGATGCGAGGACTTAATAGCTACAACACATCCATCACAACAAGGTCCATTACCTGGTCTATGATATGCATGCATTTCGAGGACTGCAATCCATATGCGTTGTTTATTATATGAGGGATGTCAAAGTCTTTGCATATTATGGCAATTTCTTCCACCCTAAAACAGATTTGTGCATAGTTATTGGCTGCTTCAAGAAACATTAGCACTTCTGGGTAAAATAGGGAGGTATTTTGACTCCAATATTATTAAAATAAACTGAAAATACCTGTCAATGTATCATAACAATTAGGGTATCTATTCTCTCGATTTTATTCATTATTTTAGATCGAAGTAGAAGCCCACGAATTAATAAAAGCAATGTGATTATCAAAAAATTAATTTGGTTGATCAAGCATAAATAAAAGTGATCTCTACCACACAAATTCATGCATCTTTTCATTAGAAATTGTCAGCTAGTGACGGAACTTTAAATTCGTATTACCAAATCACTAAATCAAGTTCAAACCTGTCAGGAACTCTTGGGGCAAAGCAGCTAGTGGTTGACATAACACATAGAACATTTTCAGCACCGATTTTTTTGACCTGATTGGAAATCTCGCCGAGGTCTGTTGTTAGTTCGTCGCCAACAAGGACATTCTGTATGATCACTGGTTGAAAACCTGCCGAGTAAAGTTGATTGGCATCGCTATCTCAAAACAAATATTGAAAAATCAGTTATAACTACTTTGACGACCACATTAACTTCAGGTGATTTTTGTGCGGCTTAGCATTTCGGTCATTTAGACTGGCGCAATGTCACCATGCTATCAAATAGGCGTAACGCTGAAACAAGTTAGAGGTTGACACAGTTGCAAGAACCTCTGGGGACTAAAAAGAGATAAGAAACACAAAACTCTCGCTAAATCATACGAATGGTGCCGCTAACCCACTTTGGGGTACTGGCTATGGCCAGTTTTTTCCTCTACATATACTTGCAGATGGGGTGACCGATTTATTCATAGATCACAATTGAGAGATGTTGTAGGTTTTCTGTGCATGACATCAGCACCATCCCTATCAGAAAATATTCCATATATGGTATCGTAGTCTCTAAATAGCGTTCTCAGAGCACTTATATTCCAGGTAGGCGGATCATAGCAAGTTTGGCGTGATTTTAGAGCGACTTTGACCTTTGTTAACTTTCCAATTGTGAATAGTTTCTGGCAAACCTTCTACATACAATATCTCCCTTACATGTGTATCAAACTTGAGTATATTGTCGATTTTACACATTGACAACAGCAGTTCGCGATGTTTGCTCCATGAAGTCAGCTAACCAGTTAGCTAGGGCATAGCTTAGGTGTGCGCCTTGTTTCCCAAAGAAATATTCAGAATGTTGAAGGGTTGGCATTCACGTCCTTGTCAGAAAACAAACATTGAATAATGACAGCTTTAATAGATTACCCATATAGGTAAATTGCTGTTTTGCCATCAAAGTTACATACCTCCAAATCTAGCTATATGTTAATTAATTCGCTAATCAATACACCAACTGAAATTCACTTCGCTGAGCTTATGTGAAGGCAGTTTGACCCGCTTGGTTCCTCTTGTTTGGTAACTTTAAACAATATCTATTCGATAGATCTTCAAGGACGATTCCTTCAATATCTGATTTTTCGAGACACCCCCTACATGAACCACATCAAAGTGATGGCCACGTGTCACTGGCTCTGCGGGGAAAAAAGTACCAAGAATTACCTGCTGTTAATATTGACTTGAAGCATGACTTCTGATCAATTCTTGGCCATACGACATACTTTGCATGAGGGCGCAATGCCTTCAAAGACAGCATTGTGAGAACCAATGCCATACCGGTTGCAACTGGAACAACTAAACAGTGCTGGACATGACGTGCACCTGAAGTACAAAGCGCAGTTGAAAAACAAACATGATGTAAGAAACCTGTTCATTAATTTACTACCGAAGATTTGAAATGCTAGTAGGGATAATGTATTGCCTGTCCAATGCACGCAAACACAAATTTCAACAGCATGCTAATTATCTATTGGTAAAAAAAGGCTAATGACTAATTCTTTAAAACGTTCATTCTGCTAGCTTTTCTAGCTATACTTCAAAGAATTTTGTGAAAAATAACCCTTCACAAGATTCTAATTTATGTAAAATATCAGCAATCAAAAAAATTTAAATGAAAATCTTACAGAAGTAGTCGAGCAATATTTCATTTAAGTGTCAACTTCCTTGAGCTGGTTTTAGGACACTTGAAACAGGAATATCATGTTGAAGTTTTCTCGAGAAAGTAGAAAGGACCAAAGAGATACATTCGTTCAAATTTAGATAGAGTGAAAAATAGGCGGGACCTGCACAAGTTGAATAAGAGTGAACCAATATATGATGGAGAAAAACAATTTTTAAAATCTGTGTTATTACATAATGCAAATGAGCTGATATACCTGTTGCATGCAAAATGTCCAGTACAAAAGAATTGGTCAATTTTGAAATCAACGAAGATCCAGCAGCTTTTGGCTGAACTTCTGAAATATCACCAGACCTTCCAATGCCATGACCAAGATAATAATGCCGTTTTGCTACAAGTCGGGATGCAAACCTGGCCTCCCTCTCTCCAATGCCAACATTGCCTAAATATCGAAAAGAAATCTGTCTAAGAAGAAAAGCTAGAATGCTCTATATTTGAGAATAATAAGAATTATGAAAGTGAATAGCGAAAAAAGTAAATTAAACAAGTGCCTAATGAAAAATAAGCTAACACCCTGTTTTGGAGTAAAATTCTGTTTATAAACAGCATATAAAAGGGAAGACCAAAAAGATTGTTAGTTGTTATCTTTTTACAGATTAAGCCAACTCCGGAAATTTGAGTAGGGTCAGTGTTAGGCTATCCCACAAAGAATCTCATTCTGAGGATTACAACTCTTGTGAATTCAAAATATGCCGACATTGTTTTACTTTATATGTTACAATGATAAGAGGTCCCACTGTCTCTTTATCCTTGACAAGAATATTTAATGCTTATCTAGAGCCCAATGATGATGTCACAAACTGAAAATGTTGCAGCCATCAAAGCTTCAAAGTGAAATTTGATTGGGCTGACTAAGAATCAAAGGAAGTGTACCTGAAAAATTATTGCTATCCATTAGAGCCATTTCATTCAGCAAATATTCGATTGTAAAATCATCCCAACCTTCAGCAGGAAGCTTTCTCTACCAACAGAAAGAAGCAAATTAGAATTTTAATAAAAAAATCTGAATATCTTCTAGAATATTCAAACAATAGCTTTATATGTAGATAAGATATAATTTCATCATTTGTGGGTTAATAAAAAATTTGCAAAAGCAAAGAAGAAGCTGAAAGAATTAAGAATAAAAGATTAAAATTTAGCTGCTTAGGAATATCTTTTTGGTTTATTATTTGGTTTATGCATACTCAGTCTAACCATAATGTGCTCTTCCTATAAAGCTTGAGGAATTAAATATCTAAAATGCAGAAAATCAAGGAAATTAAGATAATGGACCTTACAAATATACCTGAATATCAGTTGGAGACAGGGGCGGATTCAGAGGAAATTTAAAGGAGGGGCAGTCGGTAGTGGGGGCGCTGAAAATTCCCAAAAATTGTTGACGAGAGTATGACGCTGTATACACGATTTCAGATCCATTTTCAGAATAAACAACTTAACTTTGAGGTAATCATTGAAGCAAATTAACCTATCGGTCTCAGAAACTTTTCACCTGATTCTTATTCTTCAAGAGGCGCACAATTTCCAAAAAGGGGCGCCAGACTTGCTTCAACTTGTCGAGGGAGGGGCAACTGCCCCTAGTTGCCCCCCTTAAATCCGCCACTGGTTGGTGAATCACAAAATCAAATGAAAGGAATAAGCTTTTAATGCGCCCAGCAGTGCTTGAAAAAAAGATTTTCTTCTGGCAGCAAAATAAAAAATTCAAGATTTCCTGCGAGGCTTTGAGAAAGTTTCCAGCCACTGAAAGTGATATTTAAACCTGATTGATTCGTTTAAAGATTTGTCCTAAAAATAAACTGCCATACTAAAAAGAGCTAATTGTCGATCCTTCATTTTTTATCGTAGCTATTTGAACAGCAGTCATTTTGTTTAAACTGTATTAGATGATCAAGGAGAATGTGATCGAGCACAATACTCATAGGTTGTTTTCAAAGTTTGTAAATCTGGAAATCTATAATAACTTTGATTAAATTTTCATATCAGTACTAGCAAACTAGATACTACTAAAGTATTGGTGTATTCTGCATCTTGCTCCAGGTCTCATGTTTCCTGATCATTTTTACCATCAAAGCTAGTAGCCAATACTATTTTATTTTTCAATGGTTGAAATTAATGTTTTAAATAAGGGGTGGTGCTAGAGGCAAAGATGTAAGCCCAAAATGTTTACATTCTATTCAGCAAGGGATAAAAAGTGTATGCCAATGCCAGTAGACAAGCATGAATAATAATGGACATATCCACATAGATGTTTCGTCAGAAACTGAAAACTTTCTGGTTTGAGCATAACTATTGAATCAGATCATTGATGGTCAATGTTTACACATAGTTTCTTAAAATTTATCTTAAGAGAGGGGGTGCTCTCTCCTCGATTAGCTTAGCTATTGAGAGAGTTCCTCCTTAAGAATTCCCCTTCATACAAATCCTCTGGTGTCATGTATCTTTATCCCTTTATGTGTGTTATTGTCTTATAAATTTACATGTAGTTATTTATTATTGTAAGTTTTTAATTTAGAGAGTGTTTGTATGTATTGGAATTTAAGTGGAATGAACTGAACTGAATTGAACTGAACTGAACTGAACTGATTTTACTTATTTAGGATGACTAATGTAAAAAGAGAAAGGAACTTTGTTTAAGCTTGCTTGAATTAAATTAGTAGCTGAAAATCATGCCCAAATTGCCGTAAATTTGGTATAACAGATACTGATAATACCAGATGACTGTATTTCGAAAGTATGTATATCACAAAAACAGCGATCTGTAGCAAGAGAGTAACATAAATTTAATGTTTATATTAAAATCAATAAATGAAGATTTCACGCTAGAAATTTCCTGGCAAACAGCAACATTTTCTTGCAATGAATTTGTGCCAAAAATTTCCTGGCAGTGCCACTGCTGGACATTTTCCAGCCCGGGTGCCCAGATGAAATCCAAATATGGATCTTTATAGCGTGAAATCTCTCACAATTTTATGGATGCTGTAAGTAATAATCTAACATATGGAGCAACATTGACAAGTAAAATAATTTGTTAATTTTCGTTATTTTACAAACAGAAAGATGCTTGTAAACAAAATGAAGATAAACAAAAAAACCTAAATGTAAATTCTTAAATGGAGGCATGGCAGGCAAATCACAAGTAGATAACCTAACAAATGAAAGTAGATAGCTTTCACTAATGAATAAGTTGAAATAAACACAAGCCCACTTTTGTGGATGCCACACATTTGCCTTCATACCTGTTCCAGAAGCAACTTTATCTTGTTCTCAAGTCCTGCCTTAGCATCAGCTGCTTGTTGAGCATATGACTGTGAAACTATCTTTCCTGCCAGCTGGAGATTTGCAGAATTCATTTTCCTTGATTTCTACTGAAAATAAAGGACATGTTAAGTTTTTATAGGGGTGACAAACAAGATCTCAGCAAAAACAGTTTTTAGAGATGACAGACAAGTTCTCAGCTAAAACACTTTTTAGGGATGACAGACAAGATCTCAGCTAAATGGACCTGTTAAGTATTCAAGAAACTACTTGTGCCTTTACTTGTCATAGCATGGTCTTATTAACTCTTGCATTTGCAACTAACTGTGCAGTACTATAAAGCTCAACCTTAATTGTAGTCTGCATGCAGCTTTTAAAAATAGGAAAAATAGTAAAGTTTATGCAACATCCCTTTTTTTCTTGTATCCAGATCTTACAACTTCTTAAGGGACCTCACAACCTCTTTTGGCACAATGGCTTAAAATTGAATCTTCATTATTTGTACACAAAAGTGCCTGCAAAGATACCAACAGAATAATGGTAACATGTTTCTCATGATCAAACTGGTTCAATGACTAGTATGCAAAGACATCATCAAAAAAAGATGAAAAAGGAATCTTTATGATTCGTTCCTTGGTGGAGAGACATCTTATTTGATATTTAGACAGAGAGTTTCAAAAATGTATGGGTCTGCAAAATAAGTGAATACAAGATTTGTCAAGATGCTACATCTCTGATAATGCCCTAGAGAATACTTTCATTCTTCTCAATACAGATGTTACTTTTTGAAACTTGAAATTCACATTAAAGCTCTATTTTGGGTCTGTGGATTATATCAAATCAATAAAAATTCAACATTCTGTGTCTGCGAGCCTGAAAAAATGTTTTGCAAAAAAACCAATTCTAATTATTTTCTAATTATAGATTTGTTGTTTTGGGTCTCCAAAAGAACCTGTAAAAATTGGTACGAAAAAAACCCTCTTTTGAAAGTTAAGGAACACCCCCCTTGGGGTTGATTCATGTTTAATAAGCCCAAGGATCAAAGGAAACATTTCTGCTTCTATGCATTTCTTTCATTTCATTGTTTATTTGATTCTCAAATATAGGCATATGGACAAAATTGTAACAAATGATGAATGCAAGTCTAACTATGAATAAAAAAGCAAAGAATGATAAGCCTAATACAAAAGTAGGAAATGGAAACAAGGATGTATACGAGAAAGCTCTGTCCAGCTTGCATATGCTAAAATAATTCAAAGGAGGAACTCCCCTACTAATATGCATAAACGGTATTTACCGTATCTCTACAGACACATTTGAATGTACAGTTTTTCACTTATGTCTGCAAGTGATCATAAGTTTGAAAATCCATAGTTTGTTTTACAAAAACTTACCAAGTTTAACAATAGCAACTACCAAACAAAGCTCTCAAATGGAAATAAGCTCACTGTTATCAAACTTCAAAGATACCACCTCTTTCAAACCATACATTTCTATTATAAACTTGTGGATGCTGGTTGTGAAAAGCTACATAAAAATAAGTTCTTCAGAACTGGGAGCCTTACAATTTATTTTGCTTAGAATTCATACCTTAGAAGATCTAAATTTCAAGAAATCTAAGTAACTGTATTAACTACAGGAATGCAAATGGCAAATATTTTGAGGCAATTGAGGTTGGAGCTCAGGAATGAGAATTGGTTTGGTTGACACCTAAATATGACCCTTTCTGCATTGATTCACATTCCCACTAGGTGAATCTATTCATGTGTAGCATGTGCTTCCCGGAACTGATTGTTATTGTATGTAATTTAATAATGTCATCATCTCTATATGAATCTTTGTACTCTGTTGTTTGTACAGTATGTCTGTTGTTCTGTCTTGATGTGTTGATTAACAAACTGTGATGTTGTATAGAATGATTAAATCTAAATTGTAAAGTTCAGTTGTTGGATTGAATATGAACATATGAACATATGAACTTGTATTTGTCTTCCTCGCTACACATGCAACTGAAAGGAATGAGAGCTTGTGCATGCGTTCATGAGCAAAATCCATCCCTGCCACTCTTCAAGGCAGTGATAGATATCGCTCCTGAACGCTTTAATAGATATGTGTACACTCTCATTGCTTTGCATGGTGTGAACAGATTCACCAAGTTCATTCTGTCACGGCTAAAGTGACTTGGTTGAAAACAGACTGCATATTTGTTCCCTCTTATTTTAAACAGATTACATGACTGTTTCTTTATCAGTGCTTCCACTTTACAAAAATAAATTTTCTTTTTTCCTTCTTTATGTTAAAGTTTCCGTCCCTAAAATCAGAAATTTCCTTCTGATTTCCTTCCATGTATATTTGCGAAAAGGCTTCAAACATGGCAAAATTGGTTGCAAAATGCTTGCCTAGCTACAGCATGCCACAGTGACAAAGTGCCCAACTAACCTGCTTGACCAAATTGTTACAATTAAATGGCACCCAGAACTCATTCACACAGCAAAATAGTTATCGCATTGGAGCATAAACATAGGAAGTAATTGTGGGTAGAGGCATATCAAGGCAAAAAAGGGCACATCATTGGCTTTAAATAGGAAAACATAACTGCTGATTTTGACAAATTGAGGACATGTGCCCCCTGCAGATTTTAAGAGGATATGTAAAGCGCTGTGAACATGATTTTCATTTAAGATCACTAACTTATTAAAGATATTTGAATTCAGCCCTCAATGATTTGTTGTTGCCAAGGATTCGCTGCTGAAGATGATCTAAACTGCTTTCGTCATGGCAAACATTGTTCTGTACTTCAAGTGTTGTTTTTGTTGATAATTAAACAAGCTTAGTTTATACTTGTGTAGAAATTTGCTTGTTAAAGTGCTTAAGAAATTGCACAGTTTCTTGCTAAAATGTAAGTTGTTAGTTATGTTAAGAATTCAGCAAATGAAATTTCATCAAAATTATTGCTGTTTTCATTGTGGTGTTGACAATCTATCGCTGATTCCAAAATGAGGAACAAGCAGAACAACCAAGTAACAACCCAGTAACAAGCGGAACAACCAAGTAACAACCCAGTAACAAGCGGAACAACCCAGTAGCAACCCAGGAGCAAGCAGAACAACCCCGTAACAAGTCGAAATGTGAATTAATTGTTTAGTAAATAACACGTGGGGGTGTTTACAATCCAACTCTCTAAAGTTCGTGTGGGCAAGCACTTGCACTATCAAGAGGCCATCAAACACGTTTGTTATGTAATGTTTTTGGTAGTTTGTAACCATTTGCCCTCCTTTTCACACAACCCTAGTAGCTGGTAGGCTACCAAGGCAAGGGCTGGTAGGCTGGTACACAAAAAGCCCAAATTGAGGCATCAACAATTCTTTACAATGGGGTGGGGGATAATATTTAGAGTACTATTCGTAATATTTATATCAATGGCGCCCTAGGGGCAAAAGGAGACAGTGCAAAATGCAAATTCTGCAGTACTTTAAGTGAATTTATCCTTGGTTATTGCTAGTGATCAAAGAATTCAATTTAAATGGAAGTATTTTGAAAAAATATTTGGGCACATAAAGATTTATGATGTCCTTTAACAATGAAAATTTTAGGAAAGAATGGTATTCATCTCCAGTTTTGTTAGAAGAGCACAAATCACATTTTCTTACACGTTAAGAGGTTTATTTCCCACGTCCAACTTCGACATGCATGAGCATTACAAATGATGATTCACATTTTTTTATATACTGTATCTATTGTTGCTACAGTTGTTTAATTTGCTGCAAATTGTTATATTAGCATAAGTGTGAATAAATTAGCACAAGTGTGGTATTTTGCACCCCTAGACTGAGGTAGGAGTGTGATGGCATGCTTTTGGTGTTTTGTCTTTTGAATTTCTTAAAAAGTTTAGTTACATAGTATAAAGAGCCTTAAAAAACCTAATTTCTCAAGCAATTTCTTCAGTTCGCCCACAACTTTAACAAAAAAATATGTAGTTTTAACTAAAGCAAAGTGAGCTTTAAAACAGACAAGCTTTAAAATGTTGAGTGAAATATTGAGAGTAGTAAGTGCCAGGCTTGTAGCTCTCATTTTCTTATCAGAAAGAAGTGTCTGGTATTTGATTGTGCCACATCAGTAATCATGTCTTTAGAAAAATGTTCGAATAAAATTGGAGTTTTTTATTTTGACTTATCCAGGTGTATTTTAAGTTGAAGGAGGGTCTCTTTGACCGCAATATCCCATGTTAAGCCTTTAGGAAGCAAACGCTTGGCTTTTTGAACCATTTGACAAGCCCAAAGATCGGAGTTTATGGTAGGTACACTTAGTGCTGGGCAGTTCTAAGGCATTGAAAAAGCTTTTTCAATTTTTTGTTTTCAATATATTTTGCATGTGGTGTTGATATGTTTGGTCCCAAGAACTTGTCCTTAACAAAGTGTAGTAGCGAAGCTCGGGTTCTGGCTGCAAATCTTTCAAAAACTCGAATTCTGCACTGTAGTAGGTAGGGACAAAAGCCGAATTCAATGAAAAGCTACTTATGTTAGTTGGAAAGGAGGATTAGGTACAGGGGGTACACTTGCATCCAATTCTACATTTGAGTTTTGCAATTCAGAGGACTGTAGTGGCTAAATTGAATGGTCAATTCGCTTCTCATTTCCATCAATTGAATGTCGTCAGATTGGGTCTGTGAGACAAACTTCCACTTAGTTCCTACAGTCTTTGGTTTTACTTCGCTTAATATATTAAGGTTTTTTTCAAGTGCTGTACCTTGTTCTGCCGAATCCATTTTGTTGCGGGCTTGCTTCCCAATAAACAAGTTAAAAAGGCGTCATAAGCTTCAAGTTATAAGCTTCACAGTTTATGCAAACTTTGGTCAGTAAACTGACTTGGCAAATTCAATGTTATAATGGTACAAAAAGCTGCTTTTACAAATTTTAATTTGGGTTAAATAACCTGAAAGATATTTAAATGTGTGAAGTCAGTCAAATGTCTTGAAACCTGGCTGAGATATGGCAAGTTGAGCAAAGGCTCTATCCCCTCAAATCACTGTAATCCTGTTTCTTTGTTTCTAAATTTGATGAACCATGCCAAAATAGCAGAAATCTGTAGCGAACTTAATATAATTTATTGGCCATAGCTTAGCTTGCACTTTGTAAAATATCTAACTCAAAACTGATATTGCATATTTAGAGATATTTTGCGATGTTATATTCAGTAAATATGGTACAAAATTAAAGTTCTAAAAATATGTTTCTATGGCATCACACTTAAAAACTCTATTGTTGCTACTCAACCAATCCTAAATGCTGCAGACGTTTCAAAAAATTTCAAAACTAAACATGGGGAAAGGTTCAAAACTAGAAGAAAGAAAATAGCTTAGTTAAGGCAATGCCAGTGACAATTTCTTCAGTAAGTTGAAAGCAATAATAACGGATGAAGATCATTAATCCATATAAATCTAGTTATAGGGAAATCAGAAGGATTTTTCATTCATTTCGGAAGAAACTTAAGCAAATAGAAGGACAATTTCGGGAAATTGATCAAGCAAAAAGTATAAGCATTGCAGTTTAAATATACTTGATTCAAAACCATTCTGTCATCTTATTAATTTCCTGCATATTTGTGTCTCATTTTTCAGCTCTTGCATGTTTTGGGATGTTCACAACATGGAATTTCAGAACTGACATATCTCATTTTTGAAGAAGTGGTTTTTTATTCAAGAGTTCCCCTAAAACCATATCAGATTTTATAAAGATAACAACGGAGAGTCTTTAACAAAAATACAAGTATATTGGATGGGTAGGGTTTGGTCATGGGTGTGGCCTCTTGAATTTGGCTACAGCACAGCCCCTTCCTGACTTTTTAGGACAGCACCCCTGACTCTAAAAGTCAAGTTTAACCATTTGTCTCATAGCACACTGATTCTTTTACTAGATCAGTGCTTTAAAAACTAAAATATTTTTACCGTTTAACAATAAAATTGACTAAATATGGCTCTAAAAAACTCGAGAAACTACTACTTGCCTGCAACCTGCACTTTCCTCTCCTTCTCCCTTGGTTAGGCCATATGATCTCCTTTAAGGTCCGGAGTGGTTTAAACAATTGCGCATTAGTAGTGCGCATGTGTTCGTTGGGCCTACAGGTGAAGTGAACAAGGCTTTGTTGAAGTCTTTTAACCGGAATACAAAATGTTCTCTGCGATGTGTGTTCAAAATTGACAAGATGACGCGAGAATTGAAGCCTGGCGACAAGATTAGTTGTGTTATCGAGCAACAGTTATCCAACTGTATGCTCGTGCGATTTTCAAACGGAAAAGGAGGAAACAAGAGCAAAGTCTTTCGTGGGGTTTTGATCGATGAAAGTTGCTCAGCAACGAAAAGGTTAGGAGGGAAAGCATTTTGTGTTTAAAGTATTATTAAATTCTTTCTGATTCCTACCAGTTCAGTGTTAGATAGATTTCACATCTTATATCGGTTCTTGGTTTTTAGTCAATGCGACGACTGCTCTAACAATGGCTACGTCATTTGTCGGTCAAGGGATTGGTTCTAAGTTTTTTTATTCATCAAAGGTACAAAATATTGCAATAAATGCTTTATAGATCTATATAAAATAAAGTGTTTGATCATTGTCACACTTTTATGGAGCCACCTTCATCAGACTTTCAAATGGTCTCCAGAAGCAGACAAAACACTTTGAAAAGAGTCTACAAAATTATTATATATGCTTTAGTTTTTCCAACAGTCCGTCCTGCTTAGAAATATCCTGTATGCACCAAAGCATGAACAGCTCTGCTCCGTCTATATGGCATCAAACTCTGTATGGCAGACCATCACACTTATTTTTCAATAAAAAAACTAGCTATAAGAAACAATTTCTGGGACAGACGGGAACCTTTGCTTCTTGCGCAGACAAATATACTTTTAAAACTCGAGACTGTGTCCCTGAAATTATACACTCTCAATTATTTTTAGAGTTAATAATGTTAAATGTTATTGTCTAAGGATTTTGTGTGGCCAATATGCAAAAGCTTGCAGATTTGGCGTAGAAAATATTTTGTGGACGTGCAACAAAGTTTCAAGTCTGGGTACTGGGCAATTGGAAAGAATTCAGTACTCAGAGCAAAAAGTTAAGAATAATTGAATTTTGAAAAAGGCAAGAACTCATCAATTTTGGTTGGCTGGCTAGCATGAAAACTCACTGAGAATGAAAATACATTACAGTTTCAAATGTATTCCATCTTTCAAATCAAAAGTAATAGTGGCACCTTTTTTGATAGCAAACTTTGGCAGGAAACATTTGAAATTCTCGCTGCTGCCATAGAAAACATGTTTCAAAATGTATTAATTGCAAGTTTTTTAATAGAAATAGAAACTGTGCCTAAAGGAAAAATTTTCAAGTGAGGAGCAAATTTCTAAGGAATTTTTCGGGAAAGTAGACTTTTATTTTCAAAAAATTGCTGAACAATTAAGGTGTGGCAATACAATTGTTACCTGAGTAAAAAGAAACCATTTTTACAAATATTTGTTATCAAACAAGAAGAATAAAAGTCTAGCATGGCAAACTTCAATTCCAGATTTGAAAATTATTAAAAATGTTTGGCTTTGTGTTAAAAAAACCATAAACCTTGATTAAAAACCTTCACCAAGAACCAGATAATCATTGATTCACAGAGCTCTTCAGGCCTGACATGATATTCTGCAAGAATACATTACCAATTATATGCATCCATTTTGAAGGATGCTGTTTGTGGTTTCAAAAGCTCCTGGTTGCCCATCAAAAAATTGAATTTTTGAATTGTTAAAAAATGCTTGTTACTGCAATTTTTTCAACAGATGCACTCAATAGTTTGATGTTTTGATTAGTTGATCTATTGTTTCTAACCCACTCATATTTTTCACTAAAAACCCAAATGATTTGCATAACAATAGCTTTGAATCATTACCATGACATTCCCCCTCCTTCAAGGTGGGACTTTACTTTTTGAATTCTTGTGTAAAATGTCACACATATTTAAAAACAAAAAACTTTAAATCTGTTGGAAACTTTCCTTGCATGAAAATTAAATATAGGATATCCTGAATGTTGAAATCAGTTACATCATGAATAAGAAACTCTTAAGAAAAAACAAGTATAAGAATTTCCAAAATCAGAAAGAATATAGAACTCATGGAGGTATTTGTTTTTTAAATATATGGATGTTGTAAATTAATCATATATAAACAAGCCTTTTTATTAGATGGAAAGTCAAATGATAGCAAATATGTTTAATTCTGTAATTGATTCAGATATATACCATAATCAGTAAAATTTTGAAAAATAAATGTAACTATATATTATCATAATCTTTTTTATGAATAACTTATGTTTTGTAAAAGTACAAAACATACAAACGGGGACATTGTAAAAGTAGATGTGATCAAAGGTCTGATTTTTTTAATTTTAGGGTTGTTAAAGGTAAAGATGCTAGTTCTAAACCTGCGTTGACCAAAGAGTATGCAAAAAGATTCATTCAAAACTACAATTCGCCGCATGTTTCTGGTAAATTTCTGCGTAATAAAAGAAGGCAAAACTGTTTGGTGTTGGATGACTTTTATATAGACTACCACCACACTGGTACAAATCATGAAGATAGTGATGGAAAAGAAAGACAATTTGAAAGTACTAAAAGCAATGCCCCAGACTTGGCAATATTTGAAGAGCCTGGACTTTTCAAAGAGGATCTTTTTCACAAAGAAATTGATAAAGAGTTAGCACACCTAATTCCAAAGGATACAGTTGTGGTGATTTCAAATAAAGGCACAACATCAATTCCTAATTCTAAAGACCTTAAGTTTGATAATCATAGCTCACGGCGCAAAGGAAAACCAAAGCGATGTTCAAAGTATAAGGCAAGTGAACAAGATGAAGCAAGTCAAGACAGTACACAAACACAAGGGGTAATTGACACAGACATTGTGATGAACAAGAGATGTTCAAAGAGAGACAAGGCATCAAGACCAAAAAGGTTTTTTGGGTCTGAATTCCTCATGAATCTGAGCGCAGAGAAGAAACCTATCCGAAAGAAAAAGCCAGCTAGTGATGATAATTTGATGGAGTATGAGAATGCAAAAATGGAGGAAGCATCTGGCATTGAAAAGCAAAATGAAATCAACAATAAGAAACGTTTAGCACAAAGTAAACAAACTGCTAAAGCACCTAACGAGCAATCATTAATCAATGAAAATTGTGAGGATGGTGCTGTAGGTGTCAGGAAATCGCCAAGAAAGGCAAAGAAAAGATCTTTTAAACCAGAGGGTGAAAGTTCCAAAAAATTAATTGTCATTGATACAAAACGAAAGAAACTTGTAAAAATTGATGGAGGTTCATCTAAAGAAGATTATGGTGTCCAAAATGCTATGGATGATCAATTTCAAGTCACACTGCAAAACAAAGAAAAAACTTCCAATAACATTGTTGACAGTGAAAGAGAAAGTGAAAAACAAACAGATAGAAATTCGAGCAAAAGTATTAATGATTTGAATTCCGAATACAGTGAGCAAGATGGCAATAATGTAGTCGGATGCACTTCAGTATCTCCATTGAAAAGTAAAGGAAATTTTTCAGCAAATGGACAGAAAGTTGCACCTGAAGAGAAAAGTTCTAAAGAGGTAATTGCAAAGGAACAAGTTTCTCATGAAATGCTAATTTGCCACGAGGCTCCTTTTGATGAGATGGTCAATAGAGAGGAGGAACTTCTAAAAAAACAAAGAACACGCAAACAAGCAGAGCGAGTACTAAAAGGAAAGATAAAAGTGTTGGAGTCAAAAGACATGGCTCATTTAGCGCGATTAAGAGAAATAGAGATGCTTAAAAGCCTGGCGGCACAGGGGAAGAAGTATGTAATGCTTGATCTTAAGGAGACAGGTGTCAAAGAAAGTGGCGCTGTTAACTCGGGACGAAAAGCTATGACAATAGAAGTAAGCGCCTTGGATTTAACAAAACACAATTTTTATGGGAAGGAAGTGGAAGGACAAGGATTATTCCGGATGACCTTACCGTCTGGAGTAAAGGCTGTTATGAATAAACCCAAAGTAAACTCAAATCGAGGTAAACCGTCAAATGAAGGTACTCCAGCTTCAAAAATTGCACATGAAAAGTCAAAAATTGCACATGAAAAGTCAAAAACTGCACATGAAAAGTCAAAAACTGCAGATGCCTCAAACAAGGCGAATGCCATATCACAATTAGCTTTGACTCGTAAGGTTTCAGTGGTCCCAAATGATCGATCCAAGCAAAAAGGAAAGAAAAAGCTTAAGGAGGTTGCAGATTTCAATATACCGAAAATTATTATTGATAAAACCAAAGGAATTGTAAGAATTTCAGGGCCGGCGCAGGAGTCGAATGATCGTGGTAGCAGTCTGTTAGAAGCAGAAAGATCCGAGGCTTTGGAGCCTCAAAAGGAAACAGGTCCCTCTAATGATAAAACCCATTTAAATCGATCACATGGCATCCCCAACCATTCTACTGGAGCCTCGCATGCTGGTAAGATGCAAATGAATGAAGCAGAAGTACCTGAGATTTTAGAGAAACAAGACGTAATGGGTGAGCAAATGAAAGAGGAAGGAAACCCTACAAATGCTGAGATGGCTGTTAGTACTGCAGCAGTAAAACAGGACGGTCTTGAATATAGCAGCGACAATGGAGGTTCAATGCAGGAGAAGAAGGATGAGGTTTTGCAGAAGAATGACTGTCTTCAAGAAACATGTTCTGAGAACGGAGAACTTTCGGATAATGAGGAAGACATTTTAATGCCTCAAAATGAGCTTGACTGTATTCAGAAACTCAGAAGTAAATATGACGATGAAAATGTTGGTACTGAAGAGGAAGGCAAAACCCAAAGAGGAGATTGTAATAGCATTACAACTGCAGCCTATGCACAGCTTTCATTTCAGCGGTTGGTGGCCTCGGCACATGCGGAAAAACTCAAAGCAGAGATAGATATGGCAAGTGTAACAGCAACGGAAGCTGAACTCAATCCTGAAGAGGAAAAAGAGTCCCACGAATATTCGAAAGAGCAAGAGACTGAGAAAGATGAAGAAGAATGCAATTTGGTTCCAGAGATTGACAATGTCGAAAAGAAAAGTGAAGGTAGCAGCCAGAGTGGATTAGGGGGGTCAATATTTCCCGAAAACATATTAAGAAAAGACAAGGTTCTGGTAGTTGCACTGACAAATATAAGTCAACAACGTCTTCCATTTCGAAAGAACCCATTCCGTGATAAGATAGCACAAACACTAGACGAAGCTTCGTCTACTGATATGCTCATCAGTACAAAAGTAGGTGGGAGCGTAAAAGCCTCTAGCATAAATTTGGAAAACGATTCTTCTTCGACAAAAGATGCTGCAAAGACGTTTTTTGAAGTACAGACGGGGACATTAGAACAATCTCCCAAACAACCGATATCTGGGATTGAAAATATAGAGAGAAGAATGAAGGACTTAGGAAAAAGCACCATTTTACCAAAGACCATGTGTAGGAAATCAAACAACAATGAATCAAGTAACACGAAAAAGATGGAAAAAACCAGCAATAACTTTGGTCTGAAGGATCCTCTTGCTTCAGGTTTAACCAAAGAAGCAGTTGAGCAAGATTCTTCAGAATGGACAGGTTGTGACAAAAAACAGGACGATGAACCAGAAAGAGAAAGCAGCGAAGTGATGAGTTTTGGTAAGGCCTTTCCATCGCCTTTTTATGCAAAAGTAGCGAACGAAAATGTCACGGTTAAAGTTCTGAAATTCGCGGGAAGTAAAGGAAAGAACGGTGAAGATACGCCATTGGACAATTGCGAGCAAATACAGGATCTACAAAACATCGAAAAGGAAAAAGATACTTCTTGTGAAAGGGATAGTCTCGGGCACGGGAAATGTTTTTGCAACAGAGATGAAGGGAAAAATTGGGCAAGGACTGGTGATTTGAAAGCAAGGCCAAAAAGCATTTGGAAATGCCAGAGGACTGGTTTACGGAAATATCCGACAGTCAACAGGAGTTTACGCAGTCGTCCAACACCAGCCTCAATAAAGGATCTTGCAAAATACACTAATGATATGGGACCAAGTATCACTGATTTGGAAGAATGCAAAAAAGAGACTATGTCGAAAAAGGCAAGTGCTGCTCGAGAGCAGGGCGAAGAGTTGCTCAAGCAAATGCTGAAGCTCAATAAGGGCTTGTTTTTGAAAGCAGAAACGAACCAACTTTGTAGAAAAGGTGATAGAACTGCCAGGTAAACAAATTATGATGATTATTATTAATAATTCGTTTCTGGTACAAACACTTGGACCATTCATGGATTAGATTGTATTTTTATCAGTCTTTGTACGAACATTGCAAATCACTTACAAAATTTATCAAAAAATTGCTTTTGTAGCATTAGCGCAATTGTAGTTAAAATGATTTTATTTAGTGTTTAAAATCAATTACAACTCATTAACTATTAAATGTCCGTATAAGAGAAAAAGATATCAAAAAACGCAGTTGTCAAAAAGCTCTTTTTACTGAAAATTATTGTTATTTCTGCTGCAGTATAAAACGATTAAGTAAAATCTCTTTTCGTTTAAGAAAGCGACTCAGCATAGTCAAAACTTGGCATTGAATTATATTGTTCTTTGATGATGGCAAGTGGGGGAAACTCGTAAAACCTTATGGTGGGTAAAGGCTATAATACAATTAGTTTTGACACAAAAACTCTTGATGATGCTAAAAGCTTATAATTTATATCAAAAACACAAAATGAATTCGGGGTTTAACACATTTGCAAAATAGGCAGCATTACGTTTTAAAGTATTTTGCCCTTAATAGACAAAAAGTGTATGTAGAGCCATGGTTATGTAGCATCAGAAGTTATAGTTTGGATAAAACGGGACGCTTTTACAGGCCTGGTCATAGGACTTTAAGCAGGGAAGCAGTAAACAGCTTTCATTGTAATTTCCAGGCGAGCTATTTGTAGATTAATAAGAGTAGTAACAAAGGAATATTTAATGTCAATGGGAGCTATTTTCTTTCTAGAGCCATTTAAGAGCGCATTCTGTAACTTCCTTCCAGCATTTAAGGAGAGCCTGGAGAGGAGCAAGAGCTATGGCTCTCCTGAAATGGTCAGGCCTGCTTCTAGATGCCATGCAGACTATGTCCTAAGCTAGGCTAGGTTATCTGAATTAGTAAGGATGCATGGCTTTCTATGAAGTTCTTTCTTTTAAATCATTGCAAACATTTAGCTGCAAATTCAGAGCTTTCAAGATTGAAGTTCATATCTTAGAACAAATATCGATAACACAAGTAGAAATTTCCGAAAAGTGTGCATATTGTATTACCTTAAGGATCAAGGACAGAGATATTGGGGGCAGGGGGCCTTGGCCTTCCATAAAACTCAAGTAGCATAAGCAAAATACGTTTATTTTTCAACGTATGTGGCTGTTAGTACATTTTTTATCAGGGCTGCCACCCCCCAAACAAAAAATTGTATTTCAGTCTTTGTAAAAGACTACCTTTTCATTTCATGCCTCTCATTCACAATATATTACAGAAGAGTAAAGGCTCTACCAAGAAGAGGCAGTGAAATATGATTAGAATGCTTTCATATATAGCAATGCAAAGCATGATAACATGAAAAGATAATGGCACATTTATTGTGGCCTTGCTTCTGTCTCTATTTTCATCTTAGTCAGAGAAGTCAGATATATAACAGGGTCTAATTTTCCTTATCATGGTTGCTTAACTCTGTCTGACATGTTCAAATGCATGTAGCCGTCTCAGTAAGCTCAGTTTGTTATTTGTTATGTCACTGAAGACTAGCCTTTAATAACAAATGCTGCCTTTACAAAACTTACAAGAAAAATGTCAATTTTATCTGTCAAGCAAACATTTTTGGGCCTTTCTAAGATTATCATTTTGATGAGCCTCCTCATAATAGATCTGCCAACTCTCTAAAATACTAGATCCACAACACCTGAAGGTAGGTCAGGCTTGATGCAGAAACTCAATGTCAAATATTTACTATTGTGATATAGAAATATCTCATATTAGCTCAAACAAATCAAATATCAACAGCTAAATCCTTTTGTAATGACAATTTTATCAAAAGGACATTTGACAAAATATCAGAAGGAACACTTTCATATAGCATTAGTTTTTGTGGTTCTATTCAAAACAAACTTAGATTGAAAACAAAAATTCTTATAATTATACATCTGTTGGGCTTTGTGTCACACTTCTAAGATGAGAAGTTCTAATTAGATTCATTTTGACATTTGAATTATCACAATTTGCAACCTTATGAAAGAATCTGTAAGACTTTCAGACAGGACGGCCTAAATGAAAAAAATTTCTCCATACCTATGTTTAAAAGTAAAATTTTCTAACATTGTTAGTAAGTCAAAATTAAACAATTATATTTGTGCAAAATGTATTTTAAACATCTTTAAATATACTACAATTTTTCACGCTACTTCTGGAAATTAATTGAATACCCACCAGAAGATGGGTCTTGTTGTACTTTGAAATTGTCAGTTGAGAGACCAAATGGTCCTAAAACCATATTGCCCAACTCTTTTAATTTTCCTGCAAAATGATTTTAATACCACAATAATTATGCTCTACTCATTCCTGTTATTAGACTGGTCTGTTGTGGAGCACTTTCATATATATAACTAAACTTTTGTTTCACAAAAAGCAGTAGTGTTATAAAGAAACATTTTTTAGAAAGACAATGAAAGAAGACAATCTATTATATTTCCGGAATGCGTTTCATCCTTTCAACGAGGAATCATCAGCCTATTTGAAATGTACATATATTATTATTAGGGCCCTTGAAAAGAGAATGATAAGAAATTCTAACTATTCTATTGTTGTTGAAACTTAACAAAATTTTATCTAGTGAACAGTTGAAATGAACAAAAATGAACAAATATGAAGCAAATGAACCAAGACTTACCAAACATTTCTTCTTTTAGTTTTTCATTTCTAGCATTTATTTGATCTGGCAACCGCTGCAAATATTAAACAGATCAGTAAATATTTTGAATTTACAACTGATGCTCTCATACATTTGCTAAGCCTCTTTTATTGAGTAACAAATAAACATTGTAAGTACTATTTCTTGTATATTCATATCATTTGCAAAAAAATGAAAAATATATTGTAGACATATTGCTTGCACATACCATAAATCCTCGAATTAGCCCCCTGGGACTTATCTATTTTTGATAATTTTGTCCCGTTTTAAAACTAAATGTAACAACAAACCTTCACAGCTTCACCAGCAACTGTACAACTTCTGTCTAATTCTAAAACTTTTTTGTAATCTGGAAAAAAGTTTCAGTATCATTAAAATCTTCATGTAGAATTTACTTCTCAATCACTTCATTCATGTAGAATTTACTTGATAATAAGTGATGTGAACTTGAATATTTTCTAAAGATAGCTGAATGCTACCGAAAATCAATCTGTCTTAAATCTTTTGAAATCCAAGAGATAGAAAAACACTTAAAAAATGATGATAATGTATCACATGTCCAAAGCTGAATGGAGAAATCTCAATATTTTGGAGAAAGAAGCAGCCAGATCTTTCATTCAAGAAGTGCTTGTTTTCGTATTTTAACATAGGGATTATTTGAAAACTAAGACTTGAAAAACTCTGCCAATCTGACCCTTGAAGTCTTAGATATCTGAGAAGTCCAAACTTAAAACCTGATCAGATTTCAAGTGATTTCATTTTGTGCGCAAGAATTTATCCCCCTTTTTTCTGTTAACTAAATTTTTTCAAATTTTTTTATCCATAGGCATCAATCGTTACATAATTTTTAAATTTATTCCTGTCAATTCAGAGTAACAACAAAACAGAATTAAAGCAAAAAACAATGTAATAGTGGTGGAAATTCCTTTTTCAGGCGAATTTGTGGACAAATGACATAATTTATCGACAAAACCTGGGGGCAATTGCCCCTCACACCCCTGCAATTTCCACCACTTCAGTGCTAAATCAAACCTTCAAAAGCATCTTCTAATTTTTCTTGAGCTTCATATGCTTGAGCTCTCCTTAGTCTTGCTTTAATATAACATTTATCAAGTTCCAAAGCTACAATGAAAAAAGAAGTCAAATAAATGATACTGCCTCTAATCATTTCAAGGCTTCTAAACACAACATCCTTCTAACAAATGGGCCCTCCGCATCCAGGGAAACTTTTTCTTAATTTTTTTTATAATTAAGGTAAAGACATTTATCATTATTATAAAATTTATCAGTTACATTTGTAAGTTATAAGCCTTTTTTAATTAATTAGCCAATACTCTCCAAACTTAAACAAATGATGCCGATTGTGTTATTTATACAATATGAAATCAATTTTGTTAAAAATATGACTTCAGCATGCAGGTTTCAACAATAGGTTAATAAGGCTGCTAACTTATGTTCATGGCCACATTGTTTATCATTGGTTTGGTTTGCATATTTTCTTCTTCTAAAATAAAATCCTTCAGCTCATTCAAACACACAGGTTGTCTATCCTAAAGCTAAAAGTTATAAAACACTGGTTTCGGAAAAAAAGAGATTGAAAACAAAGAGAACTTTAAGAAGCATTTGGAAACAAAAAGAACAAGGAATAACATGACATAATAACACAACCATTGGCCTAAATTACCTGAAGTGCAATCATGAATTGCAGATAAGCTTTCTCCCTGTGGACAAATGAAACTAAATTTTGGTTTACTGATTTTCTTCTACAGATGTATAAAAACTAAATGAAATAATCTTCACAGTTAGTATCAGTACATTCTATAAGGCGAAATGTGGCTGCATGATTGTGTGAAATCTGTGCACCTCAAGATTTGATGTTGAAAAAGGCAACAGAGGTAATCTCTATGGGATACTTTAAAATATACCATATTTGATTATGAGCTTAATTTCCCATTTGGACTCTATATCCATACTGGGCACCAACTGGTCAAAACAAGAAGTTCATCTTAAGTCATTTTATACACCTGAATATAAATTATGGTATTGGATTAACATTTTATATTATTGGCCTTTTGGCAAACAACATAATTTTTGTGCTTTTTGAGCAATCTTGAATGCTAATGTTGGATTGAATAACATCTTCAAAACATCAGCTAAAATGCCTGTCTTTGATGAAGGCTTTGTTTGACTAGGTGCAAATTGTAATGACACATCTCAAAAGGCCAGGATTGGAGGCACAAAATAGGGAACAACTTTGAGAGATGATTACCATTTTCACATAACATGCTGCTCTATTTGCAAACAAAACTGACAATTGCTTGGTACAATCTTTAGGGCAAATCTTCAGAGCATCTGTGTATATATCCATAGCAGTTTCATACTCTTAAACAGAAGAAAATCAAGTTTATTTAAAACAAGAAAAAATTCATTTAAGTAAGGGATCTCACTGCAATGGGATCAAATTCATTAATCCTACCTCCTCCAGGCATCATAATATATTAACAAAACAGGGGCATTTTGTAAAAGGAAGCCCCTGCACCAGTTTTCAAAGAGGTCATAGAGGAAACACATGCAAAATTGATAAAATTACTTCAAGGAAGAAACTTGAATTTTTTTATTGTCATTAAGTGTAGGGGATTCCCATCTAGGAACAAAGGGCATTCCCCTGAATTCCAAGGGATTTCATTCATGTACCATGTACAGTTACATGTTATTACCAACCTCGAAAAAATAAGCTTAAGACAAGGCTTTATAATTTTTGCATTGCTTTGCTCTATTTTGGTCTATAGAGGTAAATACAATATAAAAGAACACAAATCCAGTAGAAAGTAAAATTCTTAAAGATGACATGAGCTGCAATGACTTTGCTTTGTTCCTTCTGTTTTTATTTACATCAACATAATTATTTCATTATTACCTCCATTGATAAATTGTGAATTTCCTTTAGCCTTCAAATTATTTGCTTCTTCCAGCCTTTCCTGCACAACAAGAAAAGAATTGATAAGGTAAAAAGTATGAGAACAAAAGTTACAGTATCTTAGAAACACAAGATAGGCAATTAATTCAGAAACAAGAAGCTTTAATCAAAATGAAAATGTTTTAAATTATTCATATATTGGCTGACCATAAAGACATACAATAACAATTGATTTCATTAAAACCATACATGCAAACTGCAAGGCAAAATTTCAAAAGTTCTTATAAGCCCCAGTGCTCTCTTAAACTGCATTAGGGTATGGGCAACTTTTTTCACAAACTAAAAAGCCAAATCTTCACTGATGCTTGTTTTGTAGCATTCGCTGAATCATTCGTACAAAATTCTGCTCATTTCCATCTCCACTGACTTCGATCAAATTTTAGCGCGCGCAAGATTCTTAGGACAAAGATGTTGTCTCATGGCTGTCTTTTATGATTCTTGTATATGAGAAAAAAGAAACTCAATTATAGTTACATTGGAGGGGAAACTAAGACTTATACGAAAGAGTGGGTACACAAAATACATAAGATAAAGATGATAAAGGTGAATACTAGATGAAGATGAGTCCAAAGACGAATAAAGAATGATTGAAACGGCATTTGAAAAATCATGTTTGCTTGTGGAAAAGAATTATTGTTTTTCGAAAAGAACCAATTATTGAAAAGAATCATACCAAGTAGAGAACATAACTGCAAGTCAATTTCATTGCTACTACGTTCTGGTTGCTGTGAGAATGTCATCTTGCAAAGGCCTATTATGAAACTCGTGCAGTTCTATTGTCCCATGTTTACTTAAAATAATTTCGCTTGGCGATAAGTAGAAACTACTCCAACAAATTTTTCAATGCACGAACGCTTTTCTCATGAAATTGTTCTTTCTGCGCATGTGTTGTCGAGAATTTTTCAGGTGAAAGGTGCCAAAAAGCGTCAGTGGAGATTGGCCTTAAAAACCGTCTTTATCAATCAAGTTTGTCAATCATTTAGAAGTTCTATAATTAACCAGTAGATGACTGAACCTATTGGAACAATATCCCAGAACATTATGTAACATTTGAAGATATCTAATTGGAAAATAATTGCTCAACGATACAAAAATGCTTTTGGATAACTATTGAATGCTACTTTCGTAAAAACATTTAACCTCCATCCTGTACTTTCTTGCATGTATCATTACTTGCAGTCATTACTTTCTTCGTTTCTGCCCTTTTTTCTTGTTTTTGTTAAATCAAAATTAGCTATAATCATTACATGATTTAACCTATAAGCTGTGACAATATTTTAGCCACATATTACAGTATGTGTTATGCTAGGACATTCTATCCCATAAAATAGATTTCTCTTTTGCTGTGACTGAGTTTCTAAAAATTATTTTCAAGTAGTCTCATAAAAAAGTTTCAGTTATTGTTTGCTTTGCCATGCTGTTACTGGCAAGGGTTTTATTTATTACAAGATAATTAGATAAATATAATTCTTAATAAGGTCAGTTCACTAAAGAAGCATTATACTGATAAGATCTCTACCTGCAAAAACAACATGAAAGTATCCTAGAAAACTACCAATGAAATTCTCAATAAGAGATCAAAAACCAACAGCATTGATTGCCTTTTTAAAGATTCTGGTACAGTGATTGCTGACCATAAAGACATTTCAAGCAAAATTAACTTTTTCTTTTTTCAGTAGTGAGGAATCTTGCTTCTAACATTAACTCTGTTCATAACATACTTCTAAAAGGTGACTATGAAGTTAGCGAAGAGCCAAATCAGAGTTGACAGCATTTCTAGCTACTCTCTGGAGCTCAATCTGCATTTCATTAAAAGTTCTCCTGTACATGAAAAGGAATGTTCTATTCTCTTGTGAACAGTCCTATCTGGATTGGAAGCTAGTACTGTGGGTTGGATCTTGAGAGGTTTGTGACTTGTTTTCATTGACCTTTAAAGGCCTTTGACAGTGTAGACCATGAAATTCTATGCCAAAAGCTTTCACTTTATGGTAATCAACGTTGGGAACTTTCCTTGATTAAATCTATCTCATCAAAAGCAGTTTTACAGGGCCAATGGTACAGATTCTGAAACTGGGGTCTGAGAAACTGGTGGTCCACAGGCAGGTCTGGTCATAAGACTTTTAGCAAGGGAGCAGTAAACAGTTCTCCTAGTAATTTTCAGGTGAGCTGTCTGTAGATAAATAAAAAATTGAAACATAGGAAAAATTGATTTCAAGGAGAGCAATTTGCTTTTTAGAGCTATTTAGGAGAACAATCTGTAGCTCCAAAAATTTGCATGTAAAAATCCATGATAAGGCTATTGATATAGTTCAAAATACCTTGTTGTACAGATTGACAGCTCTTTCGACTAATTTAGGTTTCAATAAAAGTCTCCAGAGTTATCAGGTTTTTCATCTGAGTGCTTTTGCTCAAAGGAAACTTTGAAGAGCCTGTGCACAGGCATTGTGGAGCCCCATTTTCAATATTGCTACTTTTTGGGTTGCTAACTCCAAATAGAGCTGTTAGGGTTACAACAAACAATTTGAACAGAAAATCATTGATGAAATACTAATAGATAATTAAAATAAAACAATGGTTTATAAAACCTTGCATGAGTTGGTTCCAAAATATGTGTGTAACCTTTTTACTGAAATTTCATAGCGTTCCAATACAATGATGGACTTAGGGCTGCCAAGGAGAAACACAGCAAATGGGCAAAAATGTTTTTCCTACAGAGGAACAAAACTTTGGAATAGCCTCTCAGCTGGGTCTAAGCAGGCATCATCTTTGAATATATTTAAACATTCATTTTAGAGATGATTTTTCCTTTTAACTTTAACTGTTGTTATTATTTCATTTTATTTATAAAGTTGATATTGCAATAAAAGTTTTTTATAATGGACCCCTTGGAAATAAGCTCTGAGCTGAAGGGAAACCCATAAAATGAAATGAAAATCAAAGGTCCATTTTTTCAGGGCATAATTGAACCTGACATATCTGTGATTCATTTCTATTTTACCAGAATTGAAAATTGGTCTGCATAAGGAATATGTAGTAAAATATCTGTCAAAACTGGCAACACAAATTCAAAAGAAATACTTCACAGTCTGGCTGATCAGTAACCGTCTCGTCTGGCTAACCTGAAACAGTTTCATCAGAGATTAAAGGACATCAGCTGGACGAATAAAGAATCGTTTTGCTGTGCTGTTTTTCCTATGCTTTGTGAGACATATTTTGTGAGATTCATTTAGCCGTAATAAAATTTCCATAGGCCTATTATAGAAGGAAAGCAGTCACTAGTATTCACTAAAAAAAGTAAAGGCAACCTAGACCTACCTGCTTCACACCAGTTGAAAGAATTTCTTCAACTTCATCTTCCTCGGTAACATTTTCCTTTGATTCAGCTGATTCCTGTTTTTTATCTTCGTACTGCTTTTCTGGACTTTCATTTTGTGGGGTAATTGTATCTGTTTCGCTCATTTTGTAGGCCTAATAAGACAATGTCATGAAAGTTCCTCCGCCGAGATGTTTGATAATACCAAAGCTTCGACTGTAATCTTCAAGAGTCAGTTCTCATTGATACATGGTCAAGAAAACGCAATCATCGAAGGAAATATGCTTTATTCTTCGTTTTCCGAATTGTTCTCAGAACAAATTTACTGAAAACTTTGGAGTGAAGTGAAGGCTCTCCTGTTGTCCTACAGCCTCCATCTGAAAACATGTCATGAGTGAGGGTGACGTCAACATTAAAAACAACAACAGAAGACAGCTACAAACAAAATTTCATTTCAGCAAAACAAGAAAATATTTTGCTATAATTTCCAAGTTTAAGCCGGTGTCATATGCGTTTCGGTAACTTTATGGATTTTGGACCGGGTACAAAAACGCATGACAATTTTGGTTATGCAAAAACGTACCCATGCACTTAAACAATAGGGTACCAAAACGAATGGTGGAACTTAGCATGCAAAATGGTCCAGGTACACTAACGCATGACAATTTTGGTTATGCAAAAACGTACCAAAGCATTTAAACTGGGATTTAGCATGCGAACCAGTCGAATGTTCTGGTTTTTATTGTTCAGAAATGTAAAGAACAATTGAACTATTTTTATAAAAGGGATGCAAATAAGAAGCGGTGCTGTGATTTCCGTTGTTAAGTTTATGCAAAAAAGTACAACTTTAATGGCGACTCTAAACATTGCGTGATTGACAAGTGTAAATATTAAACTCTTAAAAACGTGTCAAAACATCGCACAATGATGAAATCATACTATCTGAAAAACATTGCGTTTCACAATGTTACACTTTTGCATAGGGTACCAAAACGCATATTACACCGGCAAATAACATAAAAACATTATTTATGGTTGAAATTATACAATAGCAAATAATACAAGCATTAACTACTACGACGCGCTTCACAATTTTACGCCAGTCTTTTTTATTTTGCGTTAGTTCCATTAATCTATTTAATATAATGTAAGAGAGATCTAGCATGATACCGATACTGTTGAGATCCTGGCGCATGGTTTGCATCCATGTCGCCTTTGGTCTTCCCTGTGGCCTTTTAACTTTCCTAAGATGCTCTTTAAAGGCTTTTCGTTGGTGTCTCGTTGGTGTCTTGTTGGTGTCTCGGGATGCAGCCGCATCAGATGATCTAGCCACGTTAGTCTCCGTGCACTTCTGTTCACTCGATGGTTGACATTTCTTTCTGACGTAGAGCTCGTTGTTGGTAATATTTCTTTACGTTGAAAAGTATTGGTGCTGTTTTCTGGCTTTTTCGTCAAGGTCAACAGTTAACTATTGTACAGAAACTCACTTGCACATAGGCAGTAAATGTTCTCAGTTTGATCATGATGGAGTTTTACTTGCTGCTGAAAATTCTGTTGAACGTTTTGTAGGAATTAATTGCTTAAATCTTTCTTCTGTTGATGTCTTTTTCTGTACCGAGTAGACTTCCAAAAACTTTGCATTCATTCCATGCGTCAATTCCCTTTTCCTTCATTCACCTTCTTCAATTTTTGATTTACTTAACTGCAGGTTTCTTTCTTCATGTTTACCAGGAATAGTTTCTTTAATATGATCTATTCGATGTTTTGCAGTAGATGGCCATGTGATGTCATCAGCATACTGGGGGTTTATTTCAAAGTATTTGTTCTTCCTGGATGGATGTGTTGCTGCGTTCTCGGTGTTCATGGATCTGGCAAGGTACAAGATGAAAGTACTGCACTGAGACAGTCACCCTGTGCAATCCCTATTCTGTTTTGATGTTTCCACTTTTCTCTTTTCCAACTTTGACTTGTAGGTTTACATCGACATGATGTGTAGCTCATCGGGTTCAACTAATTTTCGCTGCTTGTCGTGTCATTAACATTAGCATTAGCCTTAGTTATTAATTAGTTATTTGTATTTTAGCGTAATATAGGACATGATAGTAAACAACACAAGCATGGTTGAAACTGACAATGAAAATCTAGTGCTGTTAGGCGCATAGAAAACTCTAGGATGGGGCTGTTCAAGCCATAAATGACACGATTTCAAGCAAAACTGTGATATTAACGATAAGTGAGTTTGAAAGTACACACACCAAGTATTAAATGCAATAGACCTATGTCTATAGAATGGCTACGAAAATAGAAAAAATTTTGAAGCATACTGAGGCTTTCCGATTGAAATTCTTCAGAGCACGCCAGAACATGAGTCGAAAACTCAAAAGATACACTTATTCATCCAGAAATAAAAATATTTCAAACAAACCAGTAGAGACATAAAGACGCAACATGCTGGCTTTGTAAACAAACCAAAAAAATCGTGATTATGGGTTTTCGACACAACTTGCATCGATAAGCTCAATCAATGTGATGAATACTACCAAATGAGCCTATTTCTAAACATGAAATTGACAGTCACTATAATTTACATCTTTGTGCCGAGTTTCGAAATTAAATGTGTACCGGGATTTGCCTAGGCCCATTGCACGATGAACATGTAAATAAATAACTGCTTGTTTCCATGCGAGTTTCTTGGTTTTGACAATATTGTTTGGTGACGGTTTTTTCTCAAAAAGAATTATTTTGGTAATCCTTAGAAGACGAAGCTATTTGTGACTTTGATAGGAACCAAATTTGAGAAGAAATCTGAGCTGAGTCCAAGACTGACAAACGGCACGTAAAGTAAAAAAATAATCAGAAACAAACAGAATAATTATAGCAGAAATAATAATTCCATATAACTATTTATTTTAGCGTTTTGTGGGTGTTTTCTAGCTTGAAAAACACCCATCGGAAAAAACAAAAGATTATCTTTGAAAAAAGAAGCATTCGGGATGGTTATAATGAAACAAGAGGCAAACCCTAGCTTATTAAGATAAAATATGCAATGGATAGGGTATTCAAACTGTAAAAACAATTTTGAAAAAACAGCTCATTTTTCTCTCGAACAAATATAAAAAACTCACTACTTCCCAGCTTCATTACTTCATCGTTGAGATTGAAAATATTCTCGATGCAGCAACAACGATAATTAAACAATCTTTTTGCGGTACAAAATTAAAAAATGGCTTTGAAGAGAGCAAACATTTTGAAACATAACTCAGCTTTTCTCCTGACACTTTTCAAAGTATGAAACATCAGAACATAGATCAAAAATTCGTCGCTAGGAAACACAGATACCCAGTTGTGGCTCAGGCTCAAAAGAATCGACATAGGCGATCAATTAAGGTGGATCGAGTAGGGCAATCAATTAAGGTGGATCGAGTAGGGCAATCAATTAAGGTGGATCGAGTAGGGCAATCAATTAAGGTGGATCGAATTAGGTTATCGATACTAACGATCAAAAAAGTAAAATCATTATAAGAATTATCCCGGCAGAAAAAAAGAAATTCCGACAATATTATTTACTTACTCTTCTAATGCATCCAGATTTATAAACATCATCATACACTGCTTAGAGTGACTTTATTTCACATAATACTTTTGATCGAAAGGCAAAAATATTATTTGTTCTTCTTCTTCTTTGAGCATTTTGAATTCGACTTTTTCAACTTCTTTCCTTTAATTTCCGTATTGCCAGACGATTTCCTGGAAAAAACAATTTTCCTAGAATGATCTTTATAAAGCTGCAAAGTTTCAATTATTTTGCAGTGGAAACTTCTAAGCTTGTCCTGCAATACGAAAGACATTTAAGTCAGAAAAAAGAGCACAAGCTTCAATAGTAAAAACTTGCCTTCTGATTCTTATCTATTGAATGTATTTAAACAAAAATGAAAGCATACGGCATGAACTAATTAAAATAAACAAGAATTAATTGACAAGGCAACAAAAAGGCAACGAGTTGCCAAAAAGAGCTGGAGCACAGTCCGAATTATTCAGGATTGGGCTTTGGCTACATTTTCACGTCATGAACTATCAAATGTCTTTCTACCCATTAAACCCGCGGTAACCCATTTTGGAAACAACTCGCTATTTTTTAGTGAAGAAACAAATTTTTAAATGTGTGGGAAATAGATGAAGGTGTTTTAACGATCATGGTTGTACGTCTATATTAGACGCAGATAACTTAAACAAGGCTCACTGAGCGCTGTCAACGGCCACATAAAATTAAAACTCATTTGCATAAAAAATATATATAAAAAATACAAGGTGCTGCTGACCTTTTAAGATTTAGTCTTGATTTTTCGGGACAATCCTTTCTTTTGTGACCGGTATCTCCACAAATATGGCACGTAAAACTGTCCATCGTTTTCCTTAAAAAATGAGAAAAGATAAAGATTCAATCAAAAAGGTATAATACAGATTGCAAGTGTTCACGGATAAGTGGAAACGATTTTAAGAGGCACATGATTTCCCGGAGTTGCTCAAGATCTAGGGGGGATTGTCAACGCTGCAAAAGGTCCTTTTGAAAGAGAATAACGACAATGGCCACTTGATTTTGACACTTGTTAAGTAGAGAGTAAGGCTTTACTGCTGTTTGCTGCATAAGAAGGTGCCAAGGCTAGCTGCAACCACATGAAGTTTTTTTTAATCATTAGAAAAACGTGTTTGTCTGTGTTATAATTATCGAGGTAAAAGGTAATTCTGGCAAATCCCGATTCAAGATTGCTAAGGGAACCAAATGGAACTTCCTAGAAGAGCGTTAAATTTTCCTCTAACAAATCAAACATTTCCACGGTTTTTTCAAAAACCTCCACGATTGCTTCAAACGTTTCTACGGTCTTATTCAAGAATACAAAAATTAGGTTCTTAATATAAAGTAGGCACAGATTGATCGAATTGACACGTCATTCTGGCTATCAGAAACGCATTATTTGTCTCGCGAAGCCACATTTAAAATGCTTTTCTTTATAATACAGTAAAGGGCAAAAAGTAATTACTTTATTTTCAGCTTCAACAAGGAAAAATTCCTGCTTTTGGGGACTACTCTGGCCAAAATAGCAAATTCACATGCAACATATAAATGTTAGAAATATTGTCTCTAATTCTTGTGGCTTTCAGATTCTAAAAATTGTTGCTCTTGTTGCTCTTCAAGTTGCATTTATCATGTGACAATCACTGCCATTGGACAATCACTGCTATCATTTGACAATCACTGCTATCATTTGACAATCACTGCTATCATTTGACAATCACTGCCATTGGACAATCATTATCATGTGACAATCACTGTAATCTTGTGACAATCACTGCTATTTGACAATCATTATCATTTGACAATCACTGCTCGTTTTCGAGAGAAGAAATGAAAATATTAAAAAAGATTGCAAGCTGATCGTGTGGAAGTCATTGATCATGTGGAAGACAACGATGTGCATTTAAAACGTACGAGAGTTTAAACGTTTACCTTCTACATTCATGGTCTTTGGCTTCACAACTATTACACGTTTGGCAGTGAATTCTACCTAGACGTTACAGTAACAAGAAAATATCAAAAACACGACAACCTAAAAACATTGAGACAAATACTGTGAAACATGCCTCAAAAATGTTTTTTGGGAATCAATCACTTCAGGTCAACAGCGTCAGCTATTTTCGAAGCCAGTATTGTTTCTTTGAACTTCAACGTTCCTATTCCCACTTAGCTATCATTTTACCTCGGGTTCCCCACGTCACTTAATTTCAGTCATTGAGGTCCACATTCAACTGCACTTTTCAGTTTGCGTCCGGGATTGCTGTATAATCATTTATCATTGCGACGATAGACAGTTGGAGATAAATGTGTTTATCAGAGAATTTTGATAGATTGCACCATGTTTAAGAAAAAGTAAATAATTTTGTATATTATGATTTATAGCAAAGAATAGCAGTAGTAACGGATGATCATAATCGTATAATGTTCTTAACAAAATGGGAAGAGTGAAGCAGAGAATACGGACTTCTCAATACATACAGAAAATACGGATCTTGGGAGAATGAAAGGAACAGTACCTGGTTTAACGCATTTCTGGCACATCTCACAATGAACATACTGTCTGCCGTCCTACAAATCAACCGATTTTGCGTCATATCAATACTAATTTGAAGTAAGAGCCCCATGATTTCAAAGTTCCACAAGAGATGCTGGAACGGAAAAGGTGGTAGTGCAAGACGGGGGATCTTAAAGAGAATTCTGTGTGGAGCGGTTGTATGAAGCAAAGTTGAAGGGTGAAATAAGGGGGGGTGGGGGTGTGGTGATGCCTGGGTTTCTCAGCCACGATTTAGAAACAGTAGCACAAACGGAAAGTTGTCAGCAAAGAGTTTCTGCAAGATGCATTGAGACGATGAATAGCACCTTGTAAATTTGGATGGACGCGACAGATGATAAGAACGGACGAGAAAGAAATTACCGTCGCTTGAAAATGAGTTGGTGAAACTGGATTACTTGGAGGGGGTTACGTATAAGTATTCCACTGAGGGGGAGGGGCGAAGAAATGGGAGAATAACATGGCCCAATACAGTTTTTTTTATAATATGCATACCTTTAATAAAAATTAAAACAAAGATATATTACCATTACACTTTTACTATTTCTACTAAGTTTCAAAGCCAACAGAAAATTCAGACTGACCTTTGATGTACAAGCGTTACATTGCGCACAGTGTATGTTATTCGCGGCGACATATCTCTTACACACCTTACAGAACCTAAAATTGAATAAAAGGTACATCGGTTCAAAGACTTTCATTCAAAATTCAGCATTACCCATGTTTGCTGAAACTAGTATGATTAAAAATACGATCAAATATTTGATAACTGAAAAAGAGCTCAATGTAGCAATGACGTAACATTTCTGCTAAGCTTACATTATGTGGGAGGACAGGGCCAAAGCACGCAAGCGGTTTGCTCAAAGAAGAAGATATCAAAAATAGCCCAAGGGCAAAATTAATCATCGTCATAACGGGTAGGTTCCTTTTCGTTTCGCAGTCTCAGTGCTTGTTCAATTTCTCGCTTTTTAAGATTGGGTGTCATCAAAAATTAATATTTGAAAACAAAAAACTGCATAAAAAATGCAATCGTTGCTCTAGCTACGCGAATCAGTTGTTCTCGTAAATGAGCACTATTGAGAAAAGGTGACTACGTTTTAACTCAAGCATTGAAATTGAATGCAGAAACGAAAAACAAACCTATAGCCATCGCTTGCGGGAAGAACAAAATCTTTGTCTGGAATGTTGGTGAATATTCGAATAGGCGATCCACGTTCTGCAGTCCTCTGTTTGAAATTAGGATGATTTTCATAACAGACCTACAAAAAAATTTAACTTCAGCTACTTTTTACATAAAAACTAGAAGAAACTTTAGCCTTTGCAAGGTAGAATTTTTTTATATTCGGTTGATAGTTAAACGCGTAGGGATGAGCAAGAAACTGCTTCATATGTTAAGGGTTAAAAAGACTGGCTATTTGGTCTATACTTACTCAATAGAAATACTGAACACTATCAAACAAAGAAAGCTAGCCTATTTGGCAACTCACAAGACACGGCTCACTGCAACTAAATCTTATTGATGGGAAAATTGATGGTAAACGTGGAAGAGGAAGATCCAGACTGACATGGCTAGACAACATCAAGAATGGAAGTACCACCCAAAGATATAAAGACCTAAAGAAGATGGTTCTGGAAGGAGAAGGCAATAATGATTGACTGACTCTACTCAATTTCATTTTTACTCCTCCACTGCGCCATGAGAGCCTACAATCCCTGCGAAAAGTCTTGGAACACTGACGTCAGTTTCCAAGGGCAAAATCAATTCATCCCCCTCTCCCCCACGGAATAATGTTGGTTTACTATAAAACGGATTAGGATTTTAGGAAGCACTTTCTTTTGCGCTCCTTTTGTAATATTTTTCTAAATTATCAACATTGTTTTGGAGGGAAGGGGGTGCAGAATAGAAGTGTCCGGGAAAAGAATTGAAAAATATAAAAACACAACGCATATTGCTTGGTGTTCCAAGTACTTTTGGCAATGATTGTACACACAAACTAAAAGCCAATACAAAATCAATTCGGGTTCTTAAGTTCTTAACCACATCATTCAACATTTTCGAAAAGCAACTGAATTTCGACCCACATCTTGAAATCAATTTTAGCTTGGATCTACCTTCGAAGTTGATAATAAGAGACGTTTTGGACGGAAAGAACTTCAGTATCAGATGGTCCCTCTTATCCATGCTATTTTTAAACTAATTTTGAAAACCGTACTACAAAGTAATGCAATAGATCAAAATTAATTTATGAGTAGCAAAATTATAAATAATATATCCCACAGCAAAACAAAATTAATATTTACCCGGTAATCGGTCATGTTTAAAGTTGGAAAAGCTTCTGACACATGCGACTCCAAGAAATACGGAAAAATCATCACGATTGTCAGGTCTCCAGTGTTTGTGGTAGAGTCTGTAGCGAAAAATATGAAGAAATGCACCACTGCAATTTAGGAGATCGAAAGCACCGAAATGAAACAGAAGTGTTAAAACATTTTTGAAAAAATTAAAGCTTTGTTTGTTTCTCATGTTATTACACTTTGAAAAGATCAGTCATAACCAATCTTCTATCAACTTTGACAAAATAAAACTTGTATCAAAACAATTTAACATTGACAATTAGCAGAACCGGTAATTCGAAGGAATGAAAACAATTGTACCAGGCCTTGTTTGGCAACAGGTCATTCGAACTGGATGTAGCCAACTCACCAGTCTCGTAAAGAGCCCTCAACCTTCCAATCGATGATGCAAGCAGTGACATCAATCCCCCGAAAGGGGGATCCATCACCAAGGCTATCTTTTTCGAATCCACGTTAGAAAGAAACTCTTTGAATATGCTTTTGGCATCCTCACCACCAAAGAAAAAGTTATTAAACATGTTGTAGTGCAGGAACTCAGTAGCTGGTAAGAATTGAGCCTGCAATACAAAACAAATTAAGTGATCGAGCAGAAAAACTCAAGACAAATACCGAACTCTCTTATAAATATGCCCTCCAGAGAAGAGTTTATGCCATATTAAAAATTGTTTCAAGAAAAGTATTCTTTTTTAACATAACTTTATTGTCGTATTCAAATCATAGCTCATCTGTACAAACTAGCCGACGGTTCAAAAAAACTGTTCTGTCTGCGTTACTGAAAATAATACGACACGGTAATTTTTCCAAAACAAATCTGAACTATAATTTTCTAAGGTGTAAGAAGGAAGAAACGCAGGTAAGGCCTTCTGCCGGATTCTGTGAATCTTGCAATGAGTAATAATACGTGAAATAGTGAGAAACAAAGCAATACGACGACGAGAATCCAATTTAATGAGTTCGAATTTCAAAATGAATCAAAATTAATGAATACTAATATTTTGCTTTGCATGTCAATTTTACTTACATATCTTTTGTCGATATCAAGCAATATGCTCTCCTGCTTCCCAGATTTCCTTGAATAGTTATTTTGGATCTTCTCGTGAATTCTTTCAAAAAAGAACATAGTGAAGACTTTCAAACTTCTAAAACTATAAGCTCTCAAAATGGTTTGTTACAATAAAAACTGATGCATCAAGTACTACAAGTGTTTATTTAAATAAGAATTACTTAATTTTGAATGAGATAAAGCAAAATTTTTAGTCGAGCCATTCAGGCATTTATTGATGTAACTGAAATGAACAAAATAAAAACACCTTTTTTGAAAGAGAGTAAAATTAAACGCAAATTTGAAATTACCTTGGTACTCCTAAGCTGATAATTTTTTCAAAGCCAAGCCTTACTAGGGTGCTGACAATGAACGAACAGCATGAATCCGAAAAAAAGAATTGCTGAAAAAAACAGAAAAACATGCAACTCCTCTTTGGAATTCTTTCACCACAGCAATATGTTCAAAAACAATGTCTTCTGGAATTTAACCAAAATTTAATCATTAACCACAACAAACAAGAGAATCAAAAGAGACTGTACTTTTAAATTCAGTACAGCATTTTCAGTAGGATCCACAAAAGGAAATCATGGCATATGATAAACTTGTCTGCCTGAAGATCAATGAGGTCCTTGGTACAAGTCTCATTGTCAGGGCTGTGAAAATGACAACTGTGATGACGTTTAATCAGGAAGATGTTTAATCAACAGAAGTTATTTTCTAATTCATTTCATTCAACCGAAAATAACAACATTTATTTAGTAGCTAAATAAAATTACTTATAAGAGTCTTTCGAACAGTAGTACTAGTTAGTTTAGCATTTTGCGAATAAACATCAGCATGTCAAACATAAATCAATTTACAAAGAGTATGAAAAGAAAAAATATCATCAACTTAACAAAGGATTGCTAAAGCTAAGAACTCTAGCTATAAAATGAAAACTTATACATAAGTTTGGCATAAAGTAAATAAAAAATCACCACTACAGTACAGATGCTCTGATATTCTTAGAGGAGGGGTGGGAGGGAATACTTATCCGCAAAATAGCTTTTGGCGTGTGAACTTAAAATTTCAGTAGACTATTTATACTGACACAACTTCACATGTAAAACAACTTGAAATCACTATCAGGCTTGCAACACAACTCTATTGTAACCTTCTTAAAGATTCTATTCTCTTTCTTTCTCTTAGGACTAAATAAATTCAGAAATGACACGCCTAAGGTCTGGTTGCAAATGCCTAAAAAAATAAAAAGAGTCTAACAATGTTTAATGGAATATTACCCTATTATGTATTTTTCTTGTTCTTCTACAGATTCAAAAGAGGAATGGGTCCGACTTTTTAAAAAGATTACTTCAAGTTAGATCCATAAAAAATATCTGAATAAAACATCTTTGAATCTCTTTAAAAAGCATAAACTTTTTAAGGTTATACTATATCAACAAAACACAACAATTCATTTTTTGATCCATACCTTTTTTCTAAAAATTTGTTCAAATTCTTATTTTGCATTAATATGCTTTGAACAGGGTATCTTGTTTCTGACATATGATAAACCACAAGCCTGACACAATAAGCAGATGGTTTTTGGTGACCTGCAGTGCATTGGAATAGTGCATCATGTTAACAATCTTCCTTTCAATATGGACCTCAAAGCAAAAATATTTTGAAGTTTCTGAAATATTTAAGAAGTTACCAAGGATCAACAACAACTGGACTCCAGAACTTCCTCAGAAGAATGTATTATCTTCTTGATTAAAGCTGTTACCTTTTCTTCAGCCTAATTTTATTCTAAATTTCATTGCATAAATACAATGTACTTTATTAAATGCATCTTTAAAAGTGAACAAAAACTTTCGATAGCATCCAAATTTATACTCACTGCATTTGTTTTTTTATTCTCAGCTGGAGCTAGAAATTTGCTTGGTTTGTTTAAATCTGATTTTGACAACTCAGCTGTTTTATGTTCTTGATGGTTTTCCATAGCTGTAGAAGTAAAAACATGGCCACACTGATAGCAGAAAAATAAACTCATTTTTGATGATAAACTTTCTTCTCTGACTTGATGGAACTTTTCAACTGTTGCCTTTTCTTGATCAAGCTTGTTGGTAAACTCTGACTGGACTATATGCTTCCCTGCTGTAATTTTTTCATCTTCCCATTGGAAAAATGGACATCCCTTCCTATCTCGTGAGGCAGAGCATGCATAAAACCTTCGTGATGATTTATCTTTGAAATATCTTTCAAATAAGATAGTTGGCCCTGTAACAAAGGTTTTGTTATTGGCTAAGCTCATCACAGAGACACACATTACATACATTATTACATTTACATAGAGTACCGGAGAGGCACACCATCAAAAATCTGTTTTTAGAATTTCTTGATTTTGACTAGTCTGAGAGAATCGCATAAAATACCTCTCAATATGCAAAACCAGTTAGATGTCTTCAAAATTTGGCAATGAAAGATTTCAAGTTTACTAATGGATTACACTCGTTGTGGCCTGGTTCATAAAGTAATGATGCAAGACCAAATTACCGATAGACCAGGCTAAATTTGAGGTAGGTACCACCTGAAAGTGAACAATTTGCTATGGTAATTTTCAAGTACCCACATATGTAGGGGTTCAGAAAACTGATGGTGAACGGTGATCTGCTGGGTCCTAAGGGGTGAAAAAGTTAGCACTCGGACATAATGCCTCTGCAGAAGAAAAAAGGGAATACTTCCTTTTGGAAAAAAGAAGAAAGGAAAACAAAAGCTTTCGTGCCAGCTGCCATGGTTGCCAGAACACCACAAAAACAATGGGCGGGCAGCCTCTTTGCTGTTATTTTTGAATAGAAAAAAAACTAAAATCAGGCAACCGGCTTTAGATCATATCGTTTGAACTGATACCTGGCCTTAGAATAAATTGCTGAAAATGATACCCGAAAAGACGTGCACATCCTGTCAGCATAATATACTAATTAGCCCCCCCCCTCCCTGGGATAAAACACAAGTTTCATTAGAGAGTTTAAGCACATCTTGGGTTGCAATCTTACGAAGGTACTTAACTTCAGGATTTCGTGATAGAAGCAAGTCAGTCGTGTTTCTTCATAAAATCCCTTTGATTAGAAGTGGGGATTAGACTATGGACAGCCCCTCTGTGATAACTGCTTACCTTATTTCTTGTCAGAAAAATGCCCTATTTTTCTCCTCGTGCCCCTATTTTGCTTATCAAATAAATAGTTTCAGAATCAAAGATTTAAATAAAAAAATCAAGATTTGAATTAGCCAAGACTACATTTTCCTAATATTTAACACAGAATGATGTAATTATTTTTGCACAAAAGTGCAGCCATTTGTTGGCCTCGTTGTCTAACATGCTATTCTGCATGCTCACATGTCTGATCATTTGCCTGTGATGTGATCTCATGATTATAAAGTTAACCCTGTGCTTAAACTCTATATTACTTTCTTGATAACAGCAGGTAAGACAATTTTTGCGTACATCCAGTTAAAAATGATCTCTTTACACAATTAAAAGGATCACATGATCACAACCCTTGACCTTAAAAGGGAGTCTTGGCCTCTTGTTACAATAAATCACAATAATGTTACTATATGTATTATAACAACAGTGTTGCAGCACGTTAAAATTACAGAACTTCTTATGCTGTCTGAGATGTGTTGATGAATGACTCTGCTCACAGAACTGAGAAAGTCTGAATCAATACACTTCATCAGCTATGTTTCAAACAAAAGAGAGAAGGGTATGATGACAAACTTCACAAACACTCATGTAGATCTTTATTCCTGAAAGCGGGAGGTTAAGTTTGAAAGCAGGAGATTGGGAGAAGAGCCCTCAAGTCAGGAGACTCCCACCCAAATCGGAATAGTTGGAACCATTGCAAATTTAAAGCCGGGAAGTTCCAATATTGTGTTATGTGCATGTTTGCCAGGCTGTTTCCCTTCCCATAACAAACCTTTCCCTCAAAATCGTGCGCAGAATTTGAAGCAAAGGCTTTCGAGGAACCCACACCTTTCTTTCCCTACCCATTATAATCATCATCACCACTATTACTATCATCAACATTCCATTATTCTCAGTTCCATCACAATTATTATTATTTTTTTTATATATTCACAGTCATCATTATCATCCCATTGCATCAATCTCCATAGCACCACCCACATCCCCTTACATCACCCACCTCCCTTCCCTCCCCCACTTTCATCATCCCATTTTTTCTCCACTGCGCTGCATTCATACCATTCAGCATCCACCAATCCGGCATCACCATCTCACATTTCATATCCATTCACTTGTTTGTTTCATTTACTCTGATGAAGCCCTGTATGCCGGGGTGAAATATTAGTATATTCTTTCAATTTAATTTATTTTGAAAATTTTATCTCATGACATTGGATTCTAATTGTCGTATTGCTTTGTTACTGTATATCTTTCGAGGCAACCTCGTATTCTTTGTTTTTTTTGTTATCAGAAGTCACAAGTTTAAATGGTGGAATATTTGCGGGGAACATGACCAGATAAACAAAAATGTGCACGGAATCTACAACAAAATCTTGATAATGCGTGGGCGGAATGAATGATCAAAATTATTGCGCGGTGAACGCGCAGACCAAACTTTTCAGTCTGGCAGACCAAACTATAAAGAAAACAGAAGCAACCTATGTTCTTTCTATCGATTAAACTTTAAAATAGTATTTTTACACAAATTACACATTTATGTTTCTCTCTGAAGTTTCAGAGACTTTCATATTACCTTGAATGTTTATTTAACTACGAAAATAGGTGGTTTGACGGTTGATATCTATCATCGGTTGTTTGGGATAAGGCAGGGCATGGTGTTAATTTTTTTCTTCATAAACTCGCTTTGAATTTAACATCATTAGTCTATTTTTGTTCCTCTCTACTCGAATGCATGAGCGTCATTCAAAATGCGTGAGACTGACATGTTTACGACTTAATTTAATCATGGTCCGCAATTTACAATGCGACGTTCGATTAGATATTCGATTAGACATTCCCGTTCTCGTTTATCTATTTGGAATTTTTCTATTTGGAAAATTTTGGTTCAGTGTAGGAAAATTAGAACCGTAACAAGGTAAAACCTTGCATAAAATCAAAACCTCAATATCAAAGTTTGTTTCAGTAAACAAAGAATCCAAAGTGAGTCTCTCGGTTCTCTAAAAACAATTTCAATGTGTCTGTGAAAAAACTTAGGCCTAGAATCATTATGATAAACGAAGACAAGACGGCGGCAAATCTCGATTTTTATGAGCAAAAAGCCAGCAATCATATTTTCTAAAGCCCTGCGAAGGGTAGAGGATCATTAAGAAACTAACCGTGTTGACAATAAGGTGATATCATATCTCCATCTGGTATAAAAACATCCACCCCCAGCCTTTCAACAATCTTGAATGTTTTCACCATTTTGGATGTTCACGTGCAACGAGCAATGTTTGCAGTTAGCCTCGTTTTGAATGATGCCTCTGAGAAGCATTATGGCCCTAATAACATTGATCATCATTGGTCATGCAAATCGTGATCCCAGCATGAAACTTCCCGCCCCCGAATGCTATTTTTAGAATGGGGTACTCGCACCCAGTCCACTTAACTACTTAACTTTATAACGTATTCCATTACGTAGCCCAACCTACATCTCCGCTTCCATTCTCTTTATTCCCTCTCGCTCACTTATCAAAACCAATATATCTCTCGTTCCAGTCTCCATAACTCACATCCACTGACAGGGCCCACGCCACAGGTATTGAATAGGAAACCCCCCTTTGTGGCACCCCCACTTTAGAATCGGTGGCGCGGGCCCTGACTGACTGTTCACATCCTCACAAAAGCACGATAATCTCTACTATCAACCTTCTTATCTTTAGAAAGGTGTATTTTTTATTTGTTATCCGCAAGACATTTTTCCAAAATGTCCCTCATTTTTTTCCAAATCAAAAGAGCCTTTTTGAAAATCTTTTGTAATGAGTCTTTGACTTGTAATCTGGTTTTGTGAGCTGTTTTCTGCAAACTGGAATACCACATTTTTCTCAATTCTGCTTTCCTCGAATAAACCCTTGGAAAAATTCTATCTTTTACCATACCAAAGATCGTTCAATAAATGCATACTGGTTCTATTGAAAGATGTAAGCATATCCCTAAAATGCTGTTAATAGTTCATAATAATTCAACATAACATACGCCATGTAAATAAACAAAACCTTTGGAAACATTATTCATTCCGACTTTCAAAAGAGTATCAGAGCCAGAGCCACTAGATTTGAGCGTTACGTGGAGAGAGGGTAGGCTGCTTCGTTTCTCTGCTTCTGTGCGCCTCAGTATGCCATAGCCATTGTGACCATCGCCATACTTCTTTTTCTCTTGTAAGAGTAACTCATTCAAGTTTTCTCAATTCTTAATGACATCAAAGATACCCACAAAACAGTATGAACCCCTGTAGTTAGGGCTGTAAGCAAAGTCCATGCATTGTTGATGCTGAGGGGCCTAGCAGCGAGTACATACAGTAATTCTAAAAAAGAAGTACTGATTACGTCTCAGTTTGGTTTTGCTTCCACAAGTTTTATTCTTGTACTGTATTTAGCAACTAAGTTGTTTATACTTATTATTATGCTGCTAGGCATTGCTAAGCACAGCTGGTGTAAGTCAATGACGTAACAGAACATGGAAAAGGCGACGATACGCAAATTCAAGAGGAACGAAAGCAATGCTCGATTGTGTTTATCAAAAGAACCTATTGGATCTTGTTATGTGCTGTTGCGAACCCCATGCTTTGACATACTGTTGTTGTTGTTGCTGCTGCTAACGCACCCGCTTCATGGCAGAGGAGGATTTGCAGTTTGATTTGTGAACAAGTGCGTGCTCACCAGTCTACTGGTTGATCAACACATATATGGTACGCTTGGGTGAACACATGCAATTTCCAATGGACAATAGTCTGGCTCCTCGGAACTTTATATGAACCGTGGATATCGAAAATAAATTTCTCAAAACATTGGACGAATTCGATAGTTGATGCTTCACGTGAGAACATGGTACACTGCGTCACGTGTAAAAGGACTTTTAAAAGTCGAATTGGAAAAACTAAAGACACGCGATGTGAAAGGCGAGTTGCATTGTTTTGATATTTTTGTGCTTAAAATACCCAATAAATATCTATTCAAGTCCATCACGTTCCACACTGCGGACAATTTTTAGCAAACTTATTTTAAATGATGAAAATGGGAAAAATCTAACGGGCGGATAACTGTGACTTCTATGTTACAGCGCAGTGACAGAATCTTAAGTGTGTCTAACGCAGTCAGAAGACCTTTTGGATTTTGACAGCAAATTTGATTTAAAACTGTATTTCGGGCATACAGGCTATGATAGATGCCTTACACTGCTTATCAAGATTCTGATAAATCCACTGATATATCAACTTGAAATTAATCAGCTGTTTGAATCCAATGGACACCTGAAGAAGAGCAACCGTTCTTTTTCAAATTACATCCTTAGCAAACCATTTCGTTTAGCAAACCATACCGATTCATTTTTAACCAGATGATACTATTCCGTTTGAAATAGCAACGATAAGCAGATTACCCTTTGGTTCGATTAACTGTCTATGTTAGTTTCTACGCTGTCTCAAAAAGGACGTAGATAACAGCAAATATTACGTAGAAATTCAAGGTACCCATTCTATCCATTCCGCAGTACAAGTAATATCACATGAAAATTGAGACCGTTTCGTTCGACTTGGCTTTCCTTTACAGCTTTCTCATACAACTTCATTTTCGTGAGCAATAAGATACGTCTCAGCTTTTGATATTTGCCTCAGTGATTCTGATTGGTTAATCGATGAAAGTTTTAATAAAATGTTTTGTGTTTGTTTCTAGCTGCGCAAAACTATGGCGGGAATTGCAAATACGCGAGGACGATGAGGGCCGAAAAGAAAGGAACCGAGAACTAGATATAATGGAAAAGGAACTTGAGATCAAGAAAAAGCAACTTGAGATGGAGAGACAGAAAGTTACAATAAAGGAAATGTTTCCAGCCGGGGGGACGATAGAGTTGACGTGTTATTATGATGACAGCATGCAGGAGAAAGTTAGAAGTCTTATGAAAGGTGAACAGAAACACATTACTTTGACTTCATCTGTTTATTACGTAAGCCATTGAAAGAACACGATCATATATCGAATCATCACCTCAAACCAGAAACTAAAACACAATAATACGATCTAACTAATATTTTTAACAAATTATTATTTCTCCAATCTTCCAAAGACTGCACAAATGGAAATGAACTCTAGAATGTTGTGTATCTACTTGTTACTTTGCTCTTTCGCTTTTGAAACTTACCCTTACCAGGTTCAATTTGAGTCAGAACACTTAGAGAAATCAAGAATTTTAAACGGACGGCAAAAAGCCAATCTCAAAATCATATTTGGAAACACTCCCAGAAAATTGCCTAAAATGACTGCACTACCATCACAACTCGCTTATGGCTATACCATATTCAAGTTAAACCTTCTAAGTAAAACAGCTTTATTATTGACACAAAAATATTGCATTCCAGGTGCATATTTGGCATTGCCATCCTCAACAACAACAGCAACAACAACGCAAAACGACAGGGAGCAGCTCGTAGACAAAATGCCAAGAGAATATTCATCGCCTTTCGGACAACATGATATAAAAAGCGGTGCTGATGCCACGGGTTACAAACGAGTTCATTTTGAGCCAGAAATTAACAGGTCTTCGTCATCAAGGAACAGTTCAACATTTGAAATAAAAGAACACCCTGAGTACCGTAAACATAGGAAGCTGCCTTCCGTCGAAGCAATTCGAAATAGGATGACCAGCAGACAAAGACTGGAAGATGAAGGATCCTCGTTTGGAAGCGGAGGTTCTGCTGACTAACAAGTTCTGTGTGGCGTATATAAGAAATGATATTTTATTCTTAAAGCGTCTTACAAAATGAATGAAGGCAGAGATTGGTGTAACAATTTTCAAAGCTATTTCACTGATGAAACCCTTCAGACAGCTAAGACCAACAGCTAAAACAATTGCGCGGCTCGACGAGTGACAAGTCAGACATGGAATAATCGAGAGCAGTTCTCGGTCTGCTAAAGTCATAATCGTTTCGGTCTGAAATAAAATATTTCGCCATACATCTAATGAAGTAGAAAAACGAAAACGACTATTTATTTTATCAGCATGCTTTTAAATTCTACGAGGCTGTTAAGGTACTATCAGGTAAAAATACTCTTGAATAGGCCTGGAATGCTTCACTGAATTGAAGCCCAAAATGAAGGAATAGAGGTTTTCTAAAGGAAAAGAAAGAACTTTGTTTCGAAGTCTAGATAAACAAGTAAAGACATCAGAATTGTGAACTGACATTGTTAAATAAAGAATGAATAAATTAACAGTAAACGAAATTGGTATACCTATAAAATGTTAATTGGAGATTTATAACTAAATGACAGCCATAAACCAATCACATGACATAAACTCTCTGTGCATCTTCAGATTTGTACTTGTCTTTCGAGCGGGGGCACTGAATCGAGTTGTTATCTTCAGGGTGGACCATCATTTGCAGGGACTACAACGAAAAGCAATGTCTTAGAAAATTCTTACAGCCTCGCTTCATTCCATTCAAAGAAAGTAAAAAGACGGTATTCAAAGCAAGCAAAGGCATAAGTAGTTCATATATCTTTTAGATTGAATACTTTGTGTCAAATGCAATCCAGCAGAAGATTTTTACATGTTCTAAGAAAGAAATTTTTTTTGTAACAAAGCAGTACACCGAAATGCTTCAGAAACATATCTGACGTCATCCAGATCTGCATTAAAGACTCACTAGTCAATAACTGGAGTGGTTCAAACTCTCCTAAACAATTCACTTTTATGCATTTTTCATTCAAGCAGTAGGCTGTGTATTGCAAACATCATAGTATGAAACCATCTGAATCAATCAGAAGTACAATTGATTTTTTTTAAAATACAGAATATAATTGATTAAAGACAGATAAGAAGGAATAAATTTGGTAACATATTAAAAAAGTAAGAGACTTGAACATTGCTTAATAGCAAAAAATCATTCCGATCAATGGCTTCGTTATCAAACTTTTCTTTAATGTTATTGTACTAAACTAAAAGCCAATTTTATGATTTTTCAACTACTTGTGCTTATGGTAACTTTTATCTTGACTTAATATGGTACCCATTTTCCCATTCAATGTATCAAATGATTCTCTACAAAAACAAATGGCTACTTACATTCTCGCCATAAACATTTCCATTTGGCAGCATCATGGGGGGGTTGTACTCATTCATAGCCTCGCCTGTCATACTGCAAATCAGCCTCGACTGGGCGCAATGTGCAAATGGTAGCTGTTTAGCTAAATCGTTGAACAATCGGCTACATACGGGACAGTCAGGACTCTTTTCGTCGTCATGGTAGCAGTGACTTGAACATTGGTTAAGAATGAATAATAGCACATCTTAAAAACGTATTTGATTTTTTTAATAAGGAAGAAGAAAATAAGGAGAGAACAGACCGCTACCATAAGCCTGATTTACACGAGATGAAATGTGAAAAATATGCGCAAAAATAGAGACTGGAAATTCTCTGCGAATAATTCTCTTTGGAAAAAGTATAAACCAATCAGAACAACTTTATAAGGCAGCTGACTTCTGTTTTGGCTCCTGATGGCCTACCTCTTTTCGCATTATTTTCCTCAAACACTCTCACCTATACAACGTCAATAAAATAGGATCGATTCATTTTCCGTTCTACGTACACACTCCATTTCAGGTGATTCAGATCAGATTATCATTCAAACATTTTAATTTCAAATTGACGAAAACTTGCTTAAAAGTTCTATCGTTCTACCAATATGTCTAAAATAAACGATCGACAAGAATTTCTTCAAAACCCTGAAATGTTGGCTGTTTATTTGTCAGCTAAACAGCAACAGTTTAAGTCATAAAGATTCAAGATCTGTTCGATGCAGATACACTTACAGGATCTTGGATGTTTGCACGAGCTTAGATGGCACCATTTGAAAGTATTTGAAAAAGTTTTCTTGGTTATGCTAACGTAAATCTCTTACCGAAAGTTGAAACTCCTCCTTCTGAAGATGCTCTGAATAAATTATTCTAACCCAGTATCGCTTTTTTGCTGTTTTGCTCGCTTTTTCAATAAAATTAATTTCTGGCACTGTAAATTGAACTTCGAATTCGAGCGAAAAATTTGCTTCGAGCGGAAATTCGTCTCATGTAAATCAGACTTAAATGAAATAAAAAGAGAACGCGAAAGTGGTACCAAAAATAGAGTTTCATGAAAGTGACCTTGATATGAGTCTGTTTATCTACTTTGCCTTCACAAAAAATAAAAAGATACGGTGTTTTCAAGGACGCTAATCCACACTGCAATGTAACCTCCAAGATTGACTGTGAATTCAATTGATGGAGAGCAAAATTTTCTCTACGAAATTGCTCCACAAGATTCTCCCAGCGGTCTTTGCGAAAGAATCCCTACAAGAAAAATCAGATCACTTAGCATGATCAGAAAGCGTAGGTTTATTCATGCAATGACGGTATTCGAGGTGTTCCTGGGATTATAAACATGGATGCTCTTGGGCAAAAAGGGTGGTTCAAGAAAAAACTTATTTTAGAATAAGAATCCTACTTACCTCATATCTTGCACAGTGGCTTTCTGGTTTGAAAGCAAGCAAAGCCATTGGTTTATGAATGTCTGGATCTGCGTGCACATAGCCATTGGCTGGATTGAAGAACTTCCTCGCGTACCTTAAGATCAAACCAATGAAATGATTTAATACAGAATGCATACATGCAAATGCTGAATTTTTTAGAAATGATACTACTGCGATATTAGGGTTAAACAAAAATTACAATATTGCATGACATGATAAAATATGACTAAATAGAATTAATGAATAAAAAACTAAACTTTAGAGCGTACAGCAGACAGAATCAAACACAAAAGCGTGCACATCTCTTTTCGTACGCCATCGAAAGCTCTACAACAAACCGGTTCACAGCAATCTTCATAGATATAAAATAAAAAACAAATCAGAGAGATATTGAAAAATTTCATAAAACAAGTATTTAATACAATATTCCGCTGAATATCAGAGCTATTAATATTGCAAATAAGAATTCTGATAAAATGGTACATGAAAAAAAGGGATAAAAGAGGGACAAATCATACATCACCGCTTCCAGCCTTCTCTCCTGTTGGATAAGTTCAACAAATTCTTGCAACCTGATGTTTAATTCTAATCTACTCTGAAACGGTAAAACAATAAAAAGAAGTTGGTAAATTTGCTCTGTGAATTTAGTGCAGATTTCTTAGAATACTGTTGTCAATAAATGTAATAAATCGACTCTCACAGTGAAATTGCTGCATTAAAATTAGCTACCTGATTTTGCTACCTAAAAATAATGTAAACATAGGACAACGATAATTCTGTGCTTCATAAGTGACTGGAAACAGGCATACTAAAGCATGTAACAAAAAAGTAACAGAAGCTAAAGTATGTTTTGTAGAGAAGAGATTCGGGTGACGCTAAAACTATGAAAGTTCTAAAAAGCCACCAGGAGCTCCATGGCGCTTCACAATATTTCACTCTATTTTCACAATATTGGCTTTCTAATCCACAGCTTCAGAGGACTTTACTACTAATCGACCATCTGCTACAAGCTACGAGATCAGAATTATCTGCAAACATAACGTAAATATAATTTGTCAAAGATGTTTGATCTATATTATGTCAGCTTCTGAGATTATTATACTTTCTCGTGCAATGTTTAGAAATCTAAGCTTGTCTTTACAGCATAAGCAAGCCGTCACTGGCCTTCTACAAATCGCATCCTTCTGAAGAGTGATTTGTAAACAATGCAAAACTTCACAGGTCAACCCACACTATAACTCACAGCATATCACAGGCAAATTAATTCTTCTTATATAGGCTGGTTTAATGAGAAAGCACGCATGAAATGCTGAAATGCTCTTGTACTAGCGACCATTGAAGTTCAGGGCCTGATTAATTCAGCTAGTCATGTTATTCAACAACATATCCTTGTCAGCTTGCGGGTGAAGGATTGTTAAAATTTGAAATCAGTTAATTTTGAATATTTTCCTGTAAAAGATCTCTCCTTTTCTTGGAGATCAATTACTTTGCCTATGAGTTGATAATTCTTTTCTGATAATTCTTCAACGAGTTTTATTTTAAAGAAAAGCATGGAAATGCCGAAAAAGAGAAGTTTTCAATCATTGCAATCATAGATAAAACATAGATCATCGAAGAAGTTAGATGGGATTCTGTCATGCGTCAAGGCCACTATAAGCCACAAGAAGCTCACTATATGAAAAAGAACATCACTTTTAATTATAAAGAATATCTGCTCCAAATGGCATCTTGATGACAACCTCATGAAAAGTGCCACGCTAGTAAATTTAAACTACAAAAAATGTCCCTTCTTTTTCTTCTGGTACAGAGCAAATAAATGTTAAGTATTTCAAATAATTTAGCTATGAACCAAAAAATATAAATGCTGTGATTTTTGGATGTCGGAGGCTAGAAGGTCTGGTGAAGATGAAACTATCAAAGATCGTAAAGATATGCTCTGTAAGAAAAAAGATCTTCATCATTGAATCGCCAAGATCTTCAAAAAAAAGAAAAAACTCAGGCTTTGACTCTCTTGTATCATTATGGTTTTCTTTGAAAAGATCTGTTTGCTAATCCTGAAAAAGAGATGGCAATGCAGGCTTTTTTCAAAATCATTGGAAGGGAAACACTATGATCATAAAAGATGCATGCTTGAGTTTTGTAAGTTTAGAGTTTCTTATCGTGAAAACAACGAAAAGAGCTTTGCCAACTCAATTCATCATTGATAAAGAAGCGACAGCAACTCCTCCAAACGAAGTTGCGTAGGAAACAGGGGAGGTATCCCTGAGAGATTTCTGAAAGAACTGCTGTTTGGCGTTATTCTAGACTGAGAGATGAACTAATCGGATCAGAATCAAAGAAAAAACTCAGTGAAGGGGCGTTCCTGCCGGATTGTGAAAACAGATGTGTTGCAACATGCATTTGAGTATTCCATGTGAAACTTTAGCATCGAGCACGTGTAGCCAGATGTCTTCGAATATTCTACACGAAACGGTGGCCTCTTCAACAAAAAGGTGCTGAATTTGATCTGTAAAACACTAGTGATTAAAAAGTAATCAGTAACAGCGGCAAAAATGAGCTTTTAGAAAAATGCTTCACTCTGTTCCTTTTAATGATAACCGAGCATGCAAAAAAAAGACTAAAGCGTGTATTTAAAATTACTTTAAATATCAAACTGAAGAGCAAAAAACTACAAAAATAGTGAAGTTCAAGCTCATTTTTGCCGCAGTTACTGATTACTTTTCAATCTTCATCAAAACATCTCAGAGACTAGAAATACACCAAGGCAATTAAAAAAGAAAGCGGTTACATGAGAAAATTGGAGATTCACACGAGATGAACCGAACCAAAAACTCAAAATTAAATTCAACAAACTTGTGAATTTAAGGGATGTATGAGATTTGAAGCATAACAAACTTTTAATGATGCCATGCTGACACTATTTAGAAAAAGTGTTGAAGTAAGCCAATAAAAAACAACGCATTCCAGGGTTCAAAGATTTGGTTATTTGTCTTGTCTATACGTTAATACACATCAAATTAAAAACCAAACGCATATTCTAGAATAACTAGATTAAAGCCAGCATAACATAACCACGTGCTTTTTAGGGTCTTCCGTTATTTTGGTTTTCAAGTTGGAGGTGGGTATCTTTCTATACATCATTGATACAAGACGAAATTCATGCATTGGTAAAAAAATTTGTGTTTTTTTTCATCAAGACTCAGGTTAATATACTAATTCTTTGACTTTATCAGAAATTCAATAATTTGACAGAACAAAAGTAGCGTAAGATTTGACTCTTTGCACGTTTTCAATGGCTAACAATATTAGCATTGGTGAAAAACATTGTCTTTTCCTGACACTAAGTTCTAACTAAGCTTTCTGACAATACTGTGATGACAAACAGCAATGATAATAGCTTCACAAGCTATATATCTGACAAATTATATGAAATTTTAATGAGAACACACTAATCACAAATAACAAACATTTTCCTAAGACATACAAGGTTATTCACTAAACAGCAAATTAAGATTACACAACTCCAACACAGTACCCTGTATTTGAATTGTATTTGACTGCGAAAAACTTGATATTCCTAAACTAACATTGAAAATCAACTCAAAATATGAACTTTATTTGGTCATCATGAAAACCAAACACCACACGTTTAGGTTGGTTCCATAGCTTCTTTTGTAAAGCTGCTCCTTTTCATGATTTGAGTTTATGACAAAAATCAAAATTAGCGCTGTTCTAAATTAAACTCACCTGATTTTTCATAAAGAGATATCTAAAAATGTAGAAAAATGATCAATTGTAAAATGATGAATATTTACCTTCAACTTCCTGAGCTTGGATTTATTATCATGGCACCATGCAAGACATGGTTCAGATCTCTTCATTCGAAGGGCATCTTCCACTTTTCTTGCAGCAAGAAAAAGATCAACATCAACATAGTTCTGTAGAATGCAAAAAACAATAAGTATTACAACTTTAAGGAAACCTGTCTTGCAAAAAAAGTCACATAAAATAAATTAACTTTAATTTGGTTTATGAACTAAAAGCTAACATCAAATTTGTCATACTCCTTTATCATTGGACCAATTTTTTAGCTTTTAATAAATGCTGTTTTAAAAAGCACAGTGTTATATGCATTAAAAAGAGCCATTAAGTGCTTGAATGTAGAAATATCTTAAGAGCTGAAAGGAGAATAAGCATTCTTTTTAATAATACACATAATCTTTAGATTGCATGTGAAGACATCACCCAATTCTATCGTTGACGAAATGGACAAAGGTAGGCCGTAGTGAACATTTCAAGGAAGCTTAGGAAGGCTGTGTCATCAAAACATTGCAACATAATACAAAGCTGCCAGCTCACAAGACACAAAATGAAATAACCTATTTATCTTTAAAATGACTCTAATTATTTGCCCAATTGGTTTTTGTTATGACAGTCTGCCTTTGAGACTCAAGCCACAACAACCTGATTGCAAAAGAGATCTGATAATGAGATATCCTGGAGTGCCCCCTTTTGAGGTACCACTTTGTAATGACAAACTGTATGCTTTTAAAGGTAGTTTTGGATGAGATCTATTGATTGATTCTTTACAAAGACAGTTTTTTCTAGTATTTTGATACCTGTCTAAGAAGCTCAGCCATCTTTAATGTTCATCCAGGAGCTTGAAATCTACTAAACGGTTATATGGGAGCTTTATATAGTTCTTACAGTATGTATCATGATTTTGTCAGTCTTACTTATTTCACATTTTCAAATGATTTATCTGCATGAAGCCTTTATGGGATTTCATTTAAAGTTCTGTCTGAACGGGCCTAACTCACATATCTAAAAATGGGGAGACTTAAAAATAAGGCCTTTATATTTTTATTGATTAAAACAACCTAGGTTTCAGTCCTTTCCGAATTCTCTTTATCAAGAACTAAACAGTATAAGGCATGTGTCAGAAATGAGTTATTACGTTTGCCTAGGAAAATATTTGAAAAGTAAAGTGACTTCATAACAAAAAAATTAGTCTTCCTTAAACTTTATTTGAGGAAGCCTAAATATCAGAAGTAAGAAATGTAAAACATTGTGTGTTGTGCTGCTATCTTAATAAAAATACCATGCATAATCTCTGTCTACAATTTCAGATGCATTGTGTCCTCAAGGAAACATTTTTCTCATGAATACCTGCCAGTCTAATTTGACTTTTTAGCAAGATTTACAATCAATATGATATGAAAATTTTCAAGGTAGGTGGTAACATGAATGTGCTGGATATTTTTTGAAAAATATGAATATTTATACTTCAATATCTGCTTTCTTTGCCATCAAAATAGCAGTCTCATAATATCCTGATCTTAAAAAATGGTCAACCAGCATTCTTTCAAGGCGTTTTCTTTTCCAAACGAGCTGAGCATTTTTCCTGATGTCTGTATGGTCTTTCAATAACTCAATTCTTGCTTTGCAATTTCTGCCAGTTTCCTCCTCTCTTGTTAGAGCATCTGCTGCCTAAAGAAATGAATGCAAGATATTTCTAAAAAAGGTTCAATTTATGATTTGTGCAAAATGTACGAAATATCTTTAATCAGTTTTCTAAATTTTCTTGATGGCTTAGGATTCAAAAGATTAACTTTTCCTTAGCAGATCTATCCAATAAATATTCCCTTAAGAATATTCCCATAGTAACAACAAGAGAGCCTTGCCTTTCTTTTAAAGTCTTCCAATTTTTTAACGACATCTCCAAGAGAATTTGATGCTTCCTCTACAGTTGTACTTTCACTAGATGCAGATGAAGCAATCTCATTCATCTGAGTGGAAATATGAGTCACTTCTTTGTCAATCAGTTTTTGAGCATTTCTAAATCTTTTGTTCAGGATCTCATACGGAACCTTAAAGAAAAGAAATCCAAAGATTGTGAGTAATAATACATAAAAACTACACCATAATCAAGAATTGGTAGACACTACATTTTATTAATATTGTTATAAATAACGAAATACGTGCGTAATAACGATTTGATAAGGCCATATTGAAAAATAAGGCATAAGCTTCGGCTGAGGTCTATTGGAGTAAGAAATCGACTTATATGGTTGCTTGAGATCTGGATGGTACATTTTACAGGAATCTGATATTTAAATTCCAATCTAATAATTTAATAGGGGTAAAAACCGATGCCTGTATAATAGTAATAACTTCGATAAATGCAACAGCAAAATCATCCAACACACCAATTTAATTTATGAAATGCACCATTATCAAAAATCACAATTTCATCTACTTTTCATCTACAAGCTCAATTTAATTTGAAGAGATATTATCACGATTTAAAATTTATTTTACACAACAATTAATAAAATTGGAACCTTCAAAGTACTGTGCTCCAAGGCTTTGACGTCCGCCATTTCCTTGGGCAAAACACTGGGGACTATGGACTGATGTTGTCTCCTCCACAGAATCACTGCCTCTATGATATCTCCTCCGTTGACGTGAGAGCAACAACAAATTCGGCAACCTCGAATATTTTTCGGAAAAAGAAAAAATATCATTTTCCACTGAAGTAAAGCTTTGTACATCGAGATCTGACTCAAAATTTGCTTTTATGTAGAACCATTTCCCAAATAGCTTTTTTCCTAATTAGAAATAGATTTAACCAGGGATCGGGCACAAATTAAGTTGCCTAAACTCCTGGCCCCGAACAGAATGGACCGAATATCAAAAACAAATTTAGTAGATGAAAAGTCAATTTATTCAAGCAGATAAAAAAGTGAAAAATGTTTAAAGAGTGCATTTAAGGGAGAATCATTCACGTTGTTGTGGTAAAGTGGAGATTCTACTCATTCTGGAACTGTGGTAGTCAATAGTCACTTGGTACTTCAGACGACAGATTTTCCCCATATCAGATGTATGTATGTATAGATATCTTTAACGTAAATAACAGAACGAAGCAAAGCTTGTTTTCAGCCTGGTTTACAAATAAAATGTGGAAAATATCTTAAAGTAAAAAATCTTAAAGTATTTACAATAATATAGTAATAAATATAATTATACAATAAAACCATAGTTGTGAAAAGGTAGGTCCTTAAATTTGTCCATGAAGTAAGATTTACATTTACACTTAAAATTTGAGTAAAAAGATATATTCCTTAACTCTTTAGGATAAGAATTCCAAACTTTGGTTCCATAGAATTTAGATGTCTTGACATAAATAGTACCTTCACCTCTTGATCTGTAGAGGCATCCACTGGTCGAGGAACGTGTATGGTGTTCATGTACGTCTGATGCTCTTGTTGCAAAATCAGATGAATACCAAGTGCCATATCATTTATAACCTTAAATATGAGCAAATATGTGTTCAGCTCAATTCTTTGGTGGATTGGTAACCAGTTTAGTTGTATGAAGATAGGTTTGCTACTGGTTCTTCTGTTAACAGAAAATATGACACGAGTACATCGCCTTTGAAGTTTCAAAAGATTATCCAAATGCTTGGTGCTGAGATTATAGAAAAGAGGTGAACAGTTGTCTAGGTGGCTTAACACGAGTGAATTAGCAAGGTTAACCAAGCTTTCACGAGGGGGGTACACTTTTACTCTCCTGATGATGAGATTCCATAGTTCAACTTTTTGGATAAATCTCTCATGTGATCAGAATAATCCAGGTGTTCATCTAATGTAAATCCTATACATTTATATGACTTTACATAGTCTTTACATAGCCGAAAAGTTAGCAGGTAAATCGTTTACATCAATAAGGAACAGCAGCGGTCCTAGAATTGATCCTTGGGGGACACCAGTAGTTATAGTAGTTCTCTTGGATAAAACTCCATTGAAGGTAACAACTTGGTTTCTTTGAAACAAAAATGAATTTAGCCATCTATATATGTTATCATCTGGGTTGAGCCGTTTGACTTTGGTTAGTAAGGAGGTGTGGTCAACAGTGTCAAACGCTTTACGTAGATCCAAGAAGATAGCTCCAGTTAACAAAGATTCATCCATGTCATTGTATATTATATCAGTGAGGTTTATCTGTGCCGTAGTAATGGAATACTTGAGACGATAGCCAGATTGGAGTTGGTGCAGTAAGTTTTCATTTGTTAGAAATGCGTAAATGTGGTTAAAAGCAACTCTCTCAATTACTTTACCTAGACAGTTCAGGACGGAGATAGGTCGATAGTTGCTATTCCATCTTGGTTAAAATAATTCGAACTTAGCTATTCCAACCTAACCTCTCCCAGTCTAAAAAAAGTGGGGGAGGGCTAAAACAGAATAAAAAGAGGCTTTATTGGTAGTTTATTAGTTTATTACTAAATAATTGGCATTTTGGCGTTTATTACAAACAAGTTGGAGGTGCAAAGCCCCCAAGCCTCCCTACTCTACGGTGCCTGACTAAATGAAATTGAGAAATATGTACCAATTTCTGAAGCTCAAGTTCCTGTCTAAACTGATCTTTATTGAAGAATTAAACGAGGAACTAAATCACATGCTTCAAAATTAAAATATAGACCACAGCATACGAAAATAGAGGCAGAGCAGTGAAGAGAAGGGCGTGCTCTGATCCCATTTGCCTACAAGGTGGGACGAAGCATATTTTATGTTTTTAATTCAAGGAGCATCCTTAAGGCCCATTTCCACTTCATTTGCGATTCGCATTTCGCACGCGATTTTCGATTTGCAAATTGCGAACAGATGTGAATCCCATACTTCATTCGATCAAATGCGATGCGAACCCGGTTTGAGAACAATGATTTTGCTAATTTAACCAATGAGATCACATACTTCAAATTTGCAAATTGCTTGTGAAAATCGAAGGGGTTGGCGTTGACATTCAATGGTGATAAACTCTTCTATTTGCTCATTTGCTTTGCTTCGCAGCATCATAGATTGAGGTTCGTTTTGTTCTGATGTGGAGGCGGAAAAATCATCATCAGAATCAGAATCCCAATAACTAGGTTTTCTGATTCTCTGGAAATGTGAGACATCGCGCGTCACTCTACGCTGATCTTTGTTCTTGGCAATAATCTGAGATCCTTTTCTTTGAACCAAATGAGGGGGCTTGTATCAAAGCGAGTAGTAAGCTTATTTTTCTTTTGTTGCTTCACTAATACAATATCACCAACTGCTAAATCACTCTCTTTAGTGTGTCTTTTAATATCACCATGGCCCACCACTTTTTTTGCAAAGAAAGCAGCTTTAAAGCTGCAGTAAAAAGGGTACGAAGCCTTGGCTCCCTACGTTTTAGCCTTGGCCCCTCACTTTCCAATTCGTGGCGCGGGCCCTGATCACTCTAAGTTTTGTTGTAATTCCTTTTAATTCCGTCATTGTTAAACGCTTCTTGGTGTCTATTAATGAGCGATTTTAATTGCAAAGTTGGCAATTTGCCCCGTATGCTGCCATTGAACAAGAGTTCTGCTGGGGGTAATCTCGTTGTACAGTGCGGCGTGGATCGGTACTGTAGAAGGAAACGAGATAATTCATGCTGCACAGGCTATTCCAGGGTCGCATAGCAGACCAAAACTGGAAAGAATTATTTGAGGATGTGTCAGTCCTAGATTGTTTGAATGGCTTAACAAAAAAGTTGTATATTAACGACATTGAAAAATATAAATGGTTCAACAGGGTTTCCTTTTGAAACATCCATTTTGCGATACCCAAGGTATATGAATTACGTCACAAGGCGTATCAAACAGCCAATTTGGCGAGTAAAGAGTAAAGATTATTTCCCAAGGCACAGATAAGGGTGTATTCTTTTCTTAAGAATTACTAGGTAACATGAGGTAATTCAAAATGTCTTGTCTTCTATTGTTACAGAGTCTTACAAGGGGAGGGTGCTTGGGTAAAACTTGGCGATTGCCCTGTTAAGAAATTTATGGAAGACCTATACGCGGATATTTTGCTATTCTTTCATGACTTCTTGATTACCAAATCTCTCTAAGTTAGTTTCGAAAAATGCAAGATTTGTGTTTCCTGAGAAAAAAGATATCAATTAATTCGGGCTAGTTTAGAAGGAGTTGCAAAAGTTCAGCCAAACAGGTACGTTTGAAAGGCAAAGGTTTTGATTGGGGGGGTCAGTATCACATGACTGTAGTTGATGCAGAATACATATATGTTTTATGGACAGCTACGAAGGCGCTTTCTCCACAAGTATCATTGAATTAAGAAGGGTTTTTTTATCATTTTGGATACTCGGTCGAGCAGCCCCTTTGATAATTTTTTGCATTTGGTTGAGGTTCAAAATGTCTTATTGACACGCGATAGATGAGGCAACACCATCTTCTTGAAAATCTGATCTTAAGTCAAATCATAGAACGTAGATATTTGAAGTTCATGATAACGAAAAGAACAGAAATAGCTCTTACAAAAATATAGGATAATTAATAGATTGATTGAGGAAAGGAGCTGTCGGAACAAAATTCATGTTGGGGGGGGGGGCTGCCCATTGTATTCCTTCTCATTCAATGCATTGTATTCCTTGACCCTTAGTTTCTCCATGCAATTAGGTTTTCTCCAACCAAAAGTTTTCCTACAAAAAACTAAAGCATTTTTTCAAAATTGTCCACGTTTAAAATGTCACGATTAAAATGGCCTAGCTATTGCTTTCCTAATTAACTTTGAAACCGTACTGCACATATCAGTCGAAAATCAGTTTCATGTTGTAAATCATTTACATTTTAAGCCTTGAAAGAAGATTAAAAGGGAGTTTAACTATTAAAGTTTCATGTCGTACTTTGAAACAGATGTTTTCCAGTTGTATTTTGTCTAATAAAGATCGACCTTGTTTGCAAAAAAGCATCCCATGAGGAAAAAATAATTGTATTTATCTCAACTATGAAAAAAGGTTGTATTTTTATCTTACCAAACAGACTGTCCTTTCCAAAGAAACTCTTGGTTCATTATCAGGCCTGTCGCTACAGGGGGCGCCCCTCGAAAAGTAATTCCATTGCAGAAACGAGAAGTTTTTGCCATCTAGGATCGCTTAGTCGGCAAACTTCCAAACTTTTCGGCAAATAAAAGAAGGCTCACCCACTTTGTCGGCAAATGAGACTTGGAACCCCCCTTTGAGCACAATAGCTAGCGACTGGACTGCTTATCATTGATCGGGAACGATAAAGAGTCGTGCAACATTTGTAGGCTGAGAAGCCTTGTGACGTTTCGTCTTTTCAGAAAAATCGATGCCCAGATTTGAAGAATTAATTCGACGCATTTTCATAAGGAAACAAGTATACCTAAACCTAATCATCTTCTACTTGTTAGATACAGCAGCTTTTAGATAACTGATTATTTCTACATAAAAGCCCCAGTCAAATGTCAGAATATTTCACCGAGCAACGTACAGCAAAACAGGTTCTGCAAATTGTAGTGTAATTCTTTAAATGGATAAAAAGACTGGTTTTGTGTTTTTTAACAGTGATAAAAAAAACTGGTTTGATACATATTAACCTTGAAACCCAAAAATTTTCAAGTTTTTTCTTTACGTTTGCTTCAAGTGGTGATAACAATGTCAGACTTTTCAATAATTTCTATAAACTTTAGGATTACTTGCATCAGCATAAGAACTAATAAAATACTTTGCAAGAAAGAAATAAACATTGTAAACATCTCTATTTAATTCACCTTGCAAGTTCCATTGCAAAATCTTTAACTTGCTCGTCAATCTATTTTGAGGAAACCCAACTATTTTTAGAAACCCTGAGTCAATCCGTGTGAATATTTTACCGAACAGTGAATATTCAAAAACTCGCGTACTTTCTAATGATCGGGAAAAAGGTGGCCGAATAAAATCTCATGCTTGATAACACGAACCGGGATATTGACCTTTAGGGGCCCAAAACGTTTGCATTTTGCGCATTTGGTTAAGTTACAATTGAGGATGCTGCTGTTCAGCAAGACATTAGCTGAAACAATGCATCTAAAATTCACTTTGCAGGAAAGAAAATTTACAGTCATTTTTCATTAGAGAAGAGCTATTCTTTAGTGAAAAGATGGTCATACCTTAAGTATCATTTGTCACTTAACAGCACAACAACGACCATAGTAGACATGACAATTGGGGGGAGGGGGGGGATGGGAGTTTAGAGTGGATTTGAAGTTGCTAAAAGTAGCATTGTTCAGAGGTTTAGTTAGGGCCGTCGCCATGGTCGATTGTGAAAAATTTTGAAAATTTGACATTCTAAGGATGACTGGAAAATGGATTTATTGTATTAACAAAATTGACTTCAAACCTTGGTCGATTTAGAAGCAAGGAAAATCCCAGGCAATATTTATGAGCTTGTTATGGCAAATATCAATATTATTTGCTTTAATTTGACATGGCGTTAAAATGTTTGCAAAGTTTTAGAATAAACTTTTAAGATCAAGAAAATGAACACAGTTTAAAATATGAACATAAACAAGATTAAGAAACTTTTAATTTGCAAAATCAAATCGTAAAAGGTCTCCATAAGCAAGCCATTCTATTCAATCCTTCTTCTCTATAACCAAGCACAACCCTCGCACCCTAATCATCTCAACAACCTCATATATAATTGAGGGACCCCACGCCTTTTCCCAACTCCTCGGACCCATCCCTTTCATAGCACAACCAAACCCTGTCCATCCTGTTCCTTCAATCTTGACGCTTCCATGTCCTTCGCTACCTTTTTAAAACAACACCAATTTCGTATTTATCTTTTTCTGTTAGCAAGCGGTATTCTTGATGAAGGAATACATAGGGTATGTGCGTTGCGCGTGGTACTACATCAAAATATCGATAATATAGATAGCAAATATATTGAGTACCAGAATGAAAATAAATATGTTTGGTTGTTAAAACACGACGTCTCGAGCATGTACAACCAAGTTTCATTTGCCTTTAACAATCAACTGCACAGTTGACCTATTACCCATCGGAGAGGCCTGGGATCTAATACCCCAGTCAAAAAAACAGCATTTGGGGGCATTTTTTCGAAATACTAGCTTTTTCAGCGTGTCAAACTGTGTTTCTCTACCATAAGTTTCATGCTTCTATCACAATATGAATGATTTTTTCACAAACAGCCCCCACTAATGTAAACAGATGAAATAAATCAACAAGAACTGTAGTCAGACAGGGAGAAATGCAGCAATAGTCGCAATTGAAATTTTGGATAAAAAGTCAAGATTCACAGAGAAACATAGCGCTGAGAATTTGCAGAGACAAGAAGAACTTGCAAAGGAGCTTCAAAAGAAGAAGAGAGAACGAGAAGGACTTGCAAAGGAGCTTCAAAAGAAGAAGAGAGAACGAGAAGGACTTGCAAAGGTGCTTCAGTCATATAATGGAATGTTTATACAACTCGAGCACGATGAGGTCTTTGCTCATTATTTGTAACACTCGACCTATGTGTTCATCAAGTTCGCTATTAAAAATCACTCAAAAGGACTTGAACTGGTTGCACGCAGATCTTTTACTTTTCGTGATACTTTCTGTTCTAAATTTAGCTGACCTTTGCATAAAAATACAGGACAGTTTGACAAAATACGTCAATCATCAGGCACGAACTACAAAATACAACGAAAATGTTGTTTCAATGTAGCGCATTTGACCATCGCCAAATTAAAGTTTCAACCATTAATTACATTACTACGCTTGTCATGGCAATGCTTCAGTTGCCCTGGAAGTGTGTCAGTTTGTGTTATGGAGATAAAACCCACGTAGATTTCCGTGCTTTACGAGGTGTTACAAATGCAGCACAGACAGTTGGATACAAACTGTTCCGGAATCAACCATTATTGTATTTAAGCTTGAGCTTTCAAAGACAAATGCATAGCCGTTTTGTAACTATGCTTAATCAGTGAAAAGACTTGACAGTAACAGTTTATACGCCCGTCTAATTCGCCTGATCACGTGCAGCCATCTCATCCAATCGAATGATTTTGGCTCCGCCATCTGGCACACGTGACCTAGTTGTTTGTGTGAGTTGTCGACCTCGTTTTCTGATTTGCCATTTCTTCAATAACGATCTTGTGTTGAAGCTAATGACAAGCAAAGGATCTATCAACGCATTTCCCATTAACGTAAAAAGAGACACTGTAGAGAGCTCTGGAAACGGTGAAATATTGTAAATGATGGTAGGCAGCCACGTGACTATTGATGTAGTGATCAATGAAAAGAACAGCATTGATGAATTGATCTTTCTTTTGAGCTCCTTCACAGGATGATCTCTCCGTCCTTGGTTTTTGCGCAGGGGCATTTTCTTTTTTGATGAAGACCAGTATCTCAGTAGGCCCAAAACCACGAGCAGCTGCAAAACCACTATCGATATTAGAACGAGACACAGTAGCCCTAACAATATATACGAGTACACTTTGGTTACTTTGCTGTTGTACCCAATTACATATACCCAAGATAACGGCATGATACTGATTACAGCAGGAACTGTCCACGTGATCACCAGACCCCTGCAAATCGTACGCGTACCGATCAGTCTCCTCCACAGCGGTTTCATAATGCTTGCGTAGCGATCAAACGAGAGATACAAAGCATTGAATGCCGATAGAAACAGTAAGTATGCATATATGTACGGGAAGACAGCGTTTTTACGATTACAAAGCTCGATGACTCTCACTGGAAGAAGAACAGCTCCGAATAACGCGTCACTTGCGAGCAGGCTCACCATAACAACAGTGGTCGATTTGCGACGATCGTGACGACTCTTGATGCACACTGCAATAGCGGCTAAATCAACAATAACAACAACTACTGCAACGGCAACCAGAAACTCCCATTCTGATACCAATCCCATCACGCAGGGTGAAGGTCGTTTAGAATGCCACGATATTTGAAAAAGGGAACGTCTTCGATGACAATAACCAAGTATGGTGCTATTTTTCCTGCAAAAAATGAACCGTCTAATCAAGCAAACTGAAGTCAAGATGAAAGGAATGCAATGTTTAAATACTATCACCAAAAATTATGGCTTTCATGGGACATTCAAGAAACATGTCACCCTAAGGAGCTCAAAGCTTTTTCAGAATTAAGTACAGCTTTTAAAGTTATCATAAATATGTATAACACATTTCTAGCTAAGAACATTAAAATACTTGTCAAACTCAGTTTGCAACAACGACCATGCCAGCGTTCAGGAAATGGATTTTCAAGATCTTCCCACATGCATTAAAATGGGAAAAACATTGATGGTCCAGTACAAATGAGTGATTTTCTCTCAACAGCTAAGATTTTGATTGAAGTGAAAATGCTTTCTGTTTTTTCTCCAATGAATTAAGTATAGATTGGACGATTTTTAACATTTGCTGGCAAAAACGGAAAAACTCAAAAACAGATGTTATCAAGCTCAGGGTCTTGCCAAAACACCGATGCGAATACCTATGCAATTCCTTTAAATTGCAACTGGAACAGGTGTTTTATTTGAAATTTCATCATTTGGAATGTTGCCATCGCTTGAGAAATATTCAGAAAAAAATTCGTTTGTACGTGATTTATAGTTGATGAAAAATTGCAACCATGCTAAAAAACACCGATTGAAAAATTTATTTCTTTGCCAAAAATTTTGTTAGCTTAGCGTGATTAAGATTTTGCCGAAATGTGCTGAATACACAACAGCTAGATAATAGATTTATTTTTTGCAAAGTTTTGCAAATGTTTTAAGGAAATTGTTAACGAATTTAGATGCATTATTACTTGAAAGGTGGTGTTTGAGTAGTTGGTAAATTCTTTTTTTAATTCCAGAGTGCAAACTTAATTTGACAAGTGTACAGGTATTTTCGGGGCTCTGATAGCTTTCAGAGATAAAGTAAGATGCACGACTAGCACCGAAATGGCAAGAATCGGAAATCTGACCCCGCCTCTAATTTCAAAAGCTTGCAATCTATCTTTATAAGCAAATAATAAAGAAATGCGGAGAATACAACTGTAAAGCAAAGGCAAGAGATAAATCCTCTTCATCATTTTTGAGGTAAGCTACATCTTCCGTCGTCTATAAACAAACAAGACTCTCGCATATTCCTGGGGCTGACAGAAAATGTCCAAATTGTCAATCTTTAAACATAACGGCTGTGGAGGACGAAATTCATCTATTATTAGTTTTTCCCCCTTTACGTGTCTGCTAGGAATTCTATGTTATCTGTGATTTATTCAAAATTTTCCAGAATCTCATCCCTTGACCTTTGTGATAAGTTTATCTGGTTGTTGAGCCAAGAAGATACGGATTGTCTGATATCAATAGCTAATTTTATATCCCTGGCTTTCGAATCACGGGAATCTTTTGGGAAGCCCTCCATGTGCATTTCTATGTAACGTTTACCGTATAGCTTACAATCATGTTCGCATTTTCTTATCTTGCAATAACCGCTTGCTGTAATTTGAGATTTATTCTTAATTTGTTATGAATGTAGTTATGCTAACTTGTAATTGTGCTGGAGATGGGCCATTTCGGCCTACAAGCCTTAAAAAATTATCATCATAAACTAATGTTTGCTCTTTAGCGAAGCAGTGAACACAAACTATAAACTTAAAACAAAAATTCTTAAAACAAAACATTGCGTAGAAATTTTCACTGATGGTAAAAGATGACCCTGTACAGCGCAAAAGGGGTAATAAAGAAACAACCAATAGATCTTGAAAACAAATCCAGTCTAAAGCTGGTAAAGTAGCTATTGGCAGTAGTTCAAAGCAAATAAATTCTCATATGAAAACAAAACAGTCGTAGCGATTGATAGCAAAAACGGACGAAACTGTCATAAAAATGCCGTGTAACTTGCTGTAGGAACGTCAACATTTTAAAAACGGTAAACGAATAACTAAGAATTAGCACAGAAAAGAAAAAAGGTACTAAAGTACTTGTTGTCTCATACACAGAGTAAAGAGTCTGACGCAGAAGAAAATTTTTGAAATTCAGCCTTCTAGAATGGCTAAAAATGCATCTCCCATACCATTTTCAGAAAAACATTGATTATTGACATTTAGGGAAAATATAGGAGGGGAGGAATCATGCTAAAACTCTAGTGGCAGACGTTGGGTTAAGAAAGAAAGGGCAACTTTTGGTTCAAAGTGCACATCAAAGTGAATAACAAGCTGCTGTATTGATTGACAGAATTTTACTTCCTGAAAAGAAATGTGCATCTACTTGGTCTCGAGTATTTTTTGTAGGCCACGTTTACACATCAAAAATGCAAACATTGCAATGATACAAAAACGTATCTACTGAATTGATGCAAATAATAGACAAATAATAGAAATATACCTACCTAAATAAATTAGTAAAATTCAGTTTTTTTTTCAAACTCTTTTTTCAAAAAGCCGTTCAGAAATTTTTAATCTTTGAAAAAGAGGGAGGGCTTCAGCCTCCCCAGCCCCCAGCTCCCCCCCCGCAGTAGCACCGTGCCTGAACGAAATGGGTCATGTTTTCTCTTTACAGAAAACAAAAAACAGTAAAATGAGCAAAGCAAAACAATGAACATTTTTTCTCGCAAAATTAAAAGATGCGTTGATGTTGGGCTAAGGTGAAGCAGGTTTTGATTCTCTGCTGCCACTTGCAAAGTCTTCGAGAGGATAATGGTTCTGTAGCGTGGAAATTAGAATCTAGTCATGCAATGCATTAGCAAGAATTTCGTCGTTCTTGATCGGTAGAAATTATCGTTTTCTACCGATCAGCAGAGATCCATTCGGCAAACTTATACAAGAAAGATGTTTTTTTGCTGATGTTTAGATCCAATACCAGTCACAGACTCTTGGCTTTGAAGCAAGGGGTCTGGGACATAGACTAAGACACATCTGATGTTGGATGATTTTTCCATGAACGTTGGCCATTAATACTTTATGTTTGGAGTATTTGAAAAAAAATGTTTAGAGTACTGAAATAAAGGAATATCCTGTCTCTACTGAAGAACTGAAGGGCCTTCCATATTATTTCGTGAAGGTATTTTATAACCGTGCTTGTTAATCTTTAGTTTAACTTTAATTTAGCTTTCAAAGCTGCAGAGAAAAGTATCGTGTGCTACCTTTATCCTTCGATTCCATAAATATTAATGGGCATTTTTCCTTAACTCCATCTTCTATTGACAGTGCTTCTGCCATCTTTGCTGTCATTTCAGAGTAAAATTGTCTAGCAAGAAATAGTGTAGCAATGAATTGGCATCAGCAAGGAAAGCAACAGTTACAGAAAAATCTCAATTTTAGCCACACACCAAATCACACAAGAGGTTTTGACAACAAAATCCAGAACAAATTTTCATTCACTCCCTCTTTTGCAAATTTAATAAAATTTTTAGATAAAGGTTTGATTCAGTTACATCTCCTGTTAGGAATGGAGAACACTCTGCTTGGATAAATTTGACCATAAATCATCCACACAAAATGAGTTTTCCCGGAAACAAAGAAAAGGGAGCGGTTTCTGATCTAAAAGAGAATTATGTTTTCAAGATTCTAAATCTTACCCAAAATCTGAAACTAAAAGGATAAAAAGATTAAGCTTACAAAAGGGTTCTTCCAGCCCAATTTGCAATACTGTTTTTATCAATTATTCCAGTTAACCTTAACCTCCTCATCACAAATCTGTAATTTTTCAGTTACAAGCGCTTACATTTCTTTTATTGGATTGTAAAACGAGGAAAAGATTTCTCGATTTGGTCATACTACGACGCTAACGTGACCTCGCAGTGTAATTTTGCATGACACGACTTCATATTTCGGTGATCGCAGTTGTCGTTCAGTTGCATAGGAGCATTATATGTCAATTCAAGCCAAAATACACGAGGGAAAAGCAAAGTAGCCATCGCGACTGTTCGCTATCTCGAACGCTTTTATATTCTCCTTGCTTTGATGTATAGGTTTATATAGAAAAATCATTCACCATTTCGACTGCCTGTTATCTCGATCATCCGATGTGCCGAGCCTTTTCCTACTTCACTTGGAAGAACGAGTATCCGTTATTTCGAACAACATGCCAAAAATATATTTCTTATTATCAGAGCAAAAATATTTTTTCGAAACAAAGAAAAAAGAATGTAAGCAATTTTTGAAGACCATTTGGAAGACCTCATAAAATAGAAGCAATGAATTAAAGAAGAAAAGCAATTCTGCAAACAAAGAATACGTGAGGAAATCCGGGTTGAAAACGTGTTAGTGGAGAGCCAAAAAGAGGATATTGTATACGATGATGCTAAAATGACCAAAATATGACTGAAAATGCCACAGAGGAGGTGCAGCGCCCACTCAGAGATATGGCGAACCTCCATGATCTTCAGCAGTGATATAGAAATCCTACCTTTTAGATAATTGACGTTTTGATGAAACCGAGCATTGGTATGTTGTTTTGCATTTAGCGCTCCGGATAAGCTTTCGGATCATGGTCGGTCACCCGTTATTTCAAACATTCGCTATCGCTAATAGATCTTAGTTTTTTGAGATTTCAAGATAGCGGACTTCAACTTTAATTTGATTTTTGTTTCCAAATGGGGGAACGAATAATTTGAAATTCAGTGAGAGCGTCGAAATAACTTTGAAATATTTTAAGTACTTTTGATGTAGGATAAGGTAGTTCATCTCAAAAGAAGTTAATCTCGACCAGGTTTCGCTAGGCAGAATCGTTTCCCCGATTTGCGTGCTTTTGAACATCACGCCATTTCGTAGACTTAACAAATCTTTTCTGTGTTAAAAAAAATTGTTTACATAATATCTTGAGTAAATTGGTCACGAAATCTCTATGAAAAAGAGTGAAGTGGTCAAGAGAGAAGCATGAGTAACTTTTTAACAAGCATGCATTGCTGAGTTTTCCAAGGAAGTATTTGTCTCGAAAGAAACTTTATCAAGTATTGATTTAAAAAAAAATCATGTTTGTAGGAATATGTTAAGAACATGCTACATATACCTAGCTAATTAATCGGCTTAAAATTATAAGTCAACTCAAAAACAGATTGTAAGTAAATACAGGCTTGGCTTAGAGAAAAAACAAGCACAGAACATACATGAAATGAATACGAGTGAAGGCGTGTTAAAGCAAGTATCCCTCTTATTTTAAGAAAATAATAAATCCTAAAAAAAGAAGAAAGTGAGTTATTGATATTCGATAAAAGTGCGAAATGTATTACCTCCCAAATGAGTTGAACGATCCCTTACCAGCAGATGTTGAAGGAGATGTTGAGAAAGTCGGTCCGCTGTCCGCAGAACTGGCAGCTGGAATCAAGACTTTGAAATAACGCATTTATCATGCAAAGTCACATATGTTTTAAAGGGATTGAAATCGGGGGGTCTTATTACAACATGCAGCCTTCGACAGGTTTATTTTGCTTATTACCAAGACTTTACCAAGATAGCGAAGCAATATTCGCGGAAAATTTTACAGTTGTTTTGTCAGGTTACCGTGGGCAAAGACCTTTCTCAGGTGGACCAGTTGGTGCACACAACAGATATTCTTTTAGAATGTAAGAATCGCAAATGTGTGTAGCTCAACTAAAATGATGAGATTGATTGGGCAAAGCACCAATCTCTTATAAACTGTAGCAGTCTCAGGTCCTCTCACTGATTATAAAGAAGTTTAAACTTTCATTTTAGCTACACTCTTTTTTATAAGAACAATTTTATAAAAATATGACCCTCAAAATTGTTCAAAAGTTAACAAAAAATTAACAAGCTGAGGCAGAGCTAGTGTAAAATGCAATTTTGAACAATGTTTTATTTCATAAGCGAGGAATTCAAGCCATTTGTGAGTGCTTTTTCGGTGAATATCCAAACTTGGCGGCAAATAAATGTTGTCTTTCACTTTGTTGGCAAATGAGGCTCGAACACCTCCCTAGAACGAAAAAGCTAGCAATCGCAATGCTTACAATCTATTAATTTAAGAACAAATTAAGAACAATCCAGCCTTGAATTTTTTCGAAAAAATTAAGAACAGTCAGCCTGAACTTAAATTGACTAGCTCTTATTCAAAAAAAGACGATGATTTGAATGGAGAAGCAATGTATTGGGCAGTGCATTGGTGTCTGTTTGATTTTTAATAGTCGACAAGTAGATCTGAATGGTTTCTATACTAATGAGCTCACACAAACTGTACACGCTAGTTAATATTAGCCATCAATAATATAAAAACACACGTAAGGTTGGTTACTGGTGTCGTCACACTTTTAAAAGAATATTCCTGGAGGCCTCACTCCAATACCCCCCAGCTCCCCCCCCCCCCCCCCCCGTGGACTAAAGTTCCACGGAAAAAAGTGATTTCCTTATGGTTCTTTTTTACTTCAATCAAGCCTCAAATATATACTCTTTCCTCAAACTGTGGATGGGCCATAATCATGACCACAAAGCTAATCTTCATTTGATGACATACTCGGGAATCTAACTTCGTTGCTAGTCATGTTTTTTTTACCAGATTATTGACCGAAAAATGCCCTTGCACCATCAATCGGCACTCTAGCAGCATAAAAAAGAAACAGATTAATTCAGCGTGGAGTTATCCTCATTCTAGAAGATATCTTGCATAGAGGTATAGTTACTGTAATTTCAATATGCATACATCCTGACTAGCAATTTGTCTTTAAAACGTCCCGCAAATAAAGATTCCCAAGAAACAAAAAACAATATGTTGTCCATCATCAATAGGACATCATCAAAACCTGATTCATCACTGTTCTGTGTTTGATATATTAGTTAAGATGTGGAGTTATATTCCTTCCAAACGGCCGGACACAAAATCATCTAACGGGTGCTAGTAAAAATCTCCGCCATAGGCTTACCTTCATTTTCGTACCGAAACGGTGCCCGATTTACAAAACCTGCTTATATGTAGAAGGTCAAGACACATCAAATTCTGGTTTTCTTACTTCGTAGAGTGATAATCCGTCATTGAAATCTCCTTTCGTCGACTTTAAAATGTGACCTAAACTTCATTGCTATAAATTTCTAATTTCCAAATTGGCAACCAAACGCTCTTTGGTTACCTTAATGATTTATGCATGACTTTGGTGGAAGTTTTATCTCTGGAGAAGCTCAGTGCAAGACTTCTTCTTAAAAATTTCTCAAGCTTCCATTCAAAATGTTTCTTGAATAATTAAGGGCCAGCGACAGAATCATCAACATAAAAGTTAGCTGGCTAATCTGCAGCACTCTACTTTCCATTCTTGACTATTTGAGGGGGAATTTTATGAAACTTACTTAGAACTTCATCATAAAGTACAAACAAATCTTTAACATATAATAGCATTTAACGCTATGCATACAGTGCTATGTGTGAATATTCAAACAAGAAGCCTCTCGAAACGGTTTCGCTTCCTTTGGGACAAAGAAGCTTTGACGTTGATTGACCATGGTTTGACTTAGGACTAAAAACGTTCCTTTCAACCAGGTGACAATTATCCTGCGGTTTTCTTCTCAGGGTTATTCATTAAGGCCACTTTTACTGTTGTCGTTTTCACGCTTACCAACTGTTGCGGAGGGCTGTTATGGCTTTTAGTAGTCTCACGAATACATGCAATCCGAAATTCCTGTCCATATTGTAATTGTCCGATTTGAACTGGACGACAAAGCGAGTGTATCTTCTCTCAAAAAACCCATTGCATCGACAGGCACTGAGCTGAACAGAATCTTAATTGGCCTTTGGCAATAAATGGTTTCTTTCGAGCTCCCAAGCGCAGTGTAGTCAAACGAGTAAATGTTTACAGTGTGTCCTTCGTGGCAAACGGCGAGCAAAGCTGTTCAAAAAGAGAACAGAAATTGTGAAAAGACTGGTCGTGAAAACACTGTTGATCTTCAACTAAAGAAATAATTAATGGATAAAAATCCTGGAATTCTAAAAAACGGCTTCGAATTTCATTCAAAATGCATATGGATTTACTTTTATCCAAGGACACAACTGTAACTTATATCTGCAGGCAAGAGCAGTTGCCTTATGATTGGTTGCCATTTTCGAGTTAGTCAGTTACGTAGTAAGGTGATTCTCTTTAAAGCATCAAGACCAAGCCCCAGTTATCGCTTGCCAAAAGGGGCTTGGGGGTGAGCCAAAAGGGGGAAGGGGGTGAGCTATAAAAAAGAGGGCAAATAGATCTTAATACCCCATTCTTTTATTATACGTTATTTTTAAACAAGCGAATACGAGTTGAATAATTCATGAGTGTGCGATGAACGTTTAACGAAAGCATTTCGGTATTCGGTAGTATTTGTTGAACAATTATCGCTGTAAGTTGGGAATTGAAAAGTGATCAATTTGCTTTGCTAAGAAAAAGCAATAGGCTTGCTGGTATAAAATCAATGAAGTTACTCCTAGCAAAAAGGTGGCCATTGCCCCGTTGAAAATGCTGTTTCTAACAACTTTGATAGCCATGCTTTCTTTTAAATCTATATGATAACAAGCGATTGCTAAAATCTCAAAGTAGCAGTTTTGAATGTTCACATTCACACATTTATAAGCAATGTTCAATCTTATTTTCCTAAAGAGATTACTCAGATCAAGATCTACCTGAAAATTTTGTTCATGAGAGCAACGCCTATAAACTTTGATAATGCGATGAGTCGTTGGTGGTGATTTTATGCATGAATTCGATTTCAAGAAATCGAGATTTTCAAAAACCTTTAGATAAACATCACAATTAACCGAAAATCTTGACAACTACGGATTGTAAGATAAAACTGCGCAAAAGCTTTCTTGTTGCATATCTTTACGGTGATAATCCAGCTCAATGAAGGCATCCTCTGCCAAATTAAAGAAAGTTACTTAATAAGAATTTCCTAAAACTTGATTCATTATACTAAGACAAAGGACATTCGCAAAGATCAATTGTAATTTCGAAATGAAAAAGTCAGCTCTCAAAGGAAAAGGGTTTTTTCGGTAACAATAAAATTTTCCTCAAGGGCTTTGCAGGAAACGTCAGCTATTCTAAGCCTTTTGCCCGCGGGGCAACTCCGGCCCGCAGCAAGATTATATCCAGCCCACCGGATACTTTCACGTGGAAAATATTTTTGGTTAACACTTTCAGAATTTGGAATTCAATTTAGTGCGGTTTTTTGTCTGCTAACTTTTTCTCTGCAGTTAATGATAGTCAGGGGCGGATTTAGCGGGGATAGGGAGGTGTAGGGGGTGCGACACCTCTCTTAATAGTTCTGTGTCCTTCGGTAAATTTTGCTTCATTCGGAAAAAATCATTTGTTGGTAGCTAATAGTAACAAAGTAACGCCCAGATTTTATTTTATTTATCTTTATCAGTATTTATCAGTAGCATAGTGTGGGGGGGGGGGATATTCTCAAATGTATTTTAAGCTGATCTCTAGGGCATCATCGCAAAAATTTTGCTCAGTGCTCAGTAATTTCCCCTCGTTTTGGGGTTTGTATAGACAAGTCGTTCATGTTCTTGAGACATTCCTGATAAAATAAAAACTAAAATGCTAAAGCAGTCCAATCCTTAAAAAAACTGGATTCTGAAATTCTTATCGTGGACTTTGCTACAAGGAAAACGGACTTAAAACTTTTGAATACTGTTAATCTTTTTAGATATTTGATTACAACCTTTGAAAATCATTTTTACACGTAAAGATTATTTGCCTTATACAATTCAGGATATAAACGTTAGTGGAATTGTGAAGGATATAGACAGTTTGTAATGTAATGTGAGAGACCCTTCCTTTTCATGTCAACATTGAAATAGATAAAACAATAGAAACTAGTTATAAAGAATCCTTGCAAACATTACCTTAGATTTTATCCCAATAAAATATATTTTAGATATAGTCACTGGCTGTCCCTAGATTAACATAATAGAAAATGTTTCTTGCCGCCAAAGGGTGGCGGCCTTTTTTATCGCAAATAAAATCATTACTTTCTCTGCCTCTCTGTAAAATAGATTTCACCATCCCTTGATCTGTCTCCCAATAAATTAAGTCAACCTGACGGATATTGACGTCCTAACCAATATTTATATGCAATTCTGTAAAATCTACATACTGTATAAAACAAATACTGGATAGATAAGGCTCCTTCCAACATATTCATAAAAACCACAAAAAGACTGGCATATAAACATAAAATTAACTGATTTAAGGATTTCCAAAAATTAAAAAAGATCTTGAATTTGACTTATTTACAGTAAAAAGTATCGCCGAGAGTATGTTATTTTGCATAACACCTTTTTGTGGCATTATTTATGTGTAATGTTTAGTGCTATTAAAAAGATCTACTCAAACTTGAGCAGTACTGTTGAAAACTTTCAAAAAAGCTCGCACATTTTTCAGGCTAGACGTTGAAGACGCGCGGGTGCGACGCGCGGGTGCGTGCTTTATGATTACACAAAATTGATATCAGTTCAGAGAAAAGTGGGCAATTTTTACATTCTAAATTTTAGAAGATGAAGAAAACTTTTACTACAGAACTGAAATTCATAGGTGATAATAATGCATTACCTCAGTTTTACAACTCGATTATGGGAATTAGTCATGATATAAACGGATACAAGTTGCTACTTTTAGAGAGAGGTAATGCTTCGCTTCTCTATCTGCTAGGAATATTTTTGAGAACGCATTGCTTCAAATCCGATTGACTAGGGATTAGCACTTATACAAGCAGGACGCATTTGTTGCATCTAGGACTATGGAAAGTCTTCAAAAACATGAGATGAGATCCATGCCAGTAAGTGCTGAATTGGAACCTAGGAAATTAATATAATATCGTACAAAGGAAATCCTCGTTTTCATATCCTTTGTACTTCAGTTGTTTTCACTGGTATTTGTACAAGTTTACTGGCATTTGTATTATTATTAAAGGATGGTTTGATACTTGCATTACGGCAAAAAATGTGAAAGATCAGGGAAAAGAGATACAAGACTAAAATGCTCAACTTACCAGAACTGCTTTTAGGCAGAGTCGTGACAGCAAATACATCGCATCCACCGACCAATCCAGGTAATTTTATGCTCGAAAAGCAATTCGACTCACATGAGAACATCCACAGCTTACCATCGTCGTCCGTAAAAACTGCATTTGAAGTTGTAAGACGATGGATCTCTAAAAATGATACAGTTCTGAGATAAAATAAAAAAATTACTTCTACCAAAGCTAGAAATGTTTACTTCCAAAGGAATGAATTCATTTAAAGCACATTGTTGACAAAAATATACACGTTCATCCGTTTCACAAATGGAATTACTGGATGAATGGGCTAAATTTTTAGCGTACGGTAGATATACCCCCGAAAGTAAAGTAATGGAGGGGATAAAAAGAACGTGGAGATCAATAACCTATGTTAAGAAAATAAAAAAAATTACAAGATTGGAATTTCCGTCCAGTGGCTGGAAGAGAAGCATTACCAGCTTGAAGGAGACTTTGCGAGATCTTATATTTCTAGAGCAGTTTTTGATGCAGATTTCGAATCTGAGTGTTGATCAGGCCGTTTGGGGGGCTTTTCCAAGATATTGGGGGTTTGACTCTTTTTAGGGTGGTGTCTTTGGATAACGATATACTTTGTTTTTAGAGCTAAAAACAAGCATAAACGAGTCAAAGTGGTAATGCTCCCCCTCCAGCCATTGGACCATATGATATAGATAGAAGTCAAAATCAAAATCGGTAGGAACCCCACCCCAACAAATCAAATACAGCAAGTCCCCGCTTAAAAGAAACTCGGATTGTCATGTGAGGCTCTCTAATTCTTTTAATGAAAGGAAATATTTCTAAATGAGGTTGGTAGATCTCTTGAATGTCCATTTAGAAACTTTTTTTAAATAATGCATTCTTGTTAAAGTTGCTTCTTTGAATTCGAGGATCATGCTGCATAGTAAATAAGGATACCCCAAAAGGAAAATTAATGAATTTAATATCACAAACTTCTTAAATATGAACTTTGATTGAATTTTCTTAACTTGGCAACAGACATTAGAAATTGGAAAAACAGGCTGTATTGTTTCTTTTAAAGGAGAATATATTCTCTATGCTTGCAGGTTGCAGTTTCCTATATGCCATTTCTTTTAAGCGATGACTTACTGTTACTCAACAAAGCCCAAGAATAAGGTTAATCAAAGCGATTTAGTGCACAGCATCATCAGATTCAATAACAATGACGAAAATAATCAGAAATAAAGAGATAACAAAATTAACTGATAAAGAACTCACATATACACGGTAGCTAAAGAATTTAGAGACGCACAAAGTCTGTACGAATCTGCGTTGACACTGTGGCGGGTAAAACTTGTACGCCGGATCGTCCAGTTTTGTTTAAAAAGAAAGGATCAAAATATTCAAAAGAGTTTTAAAGCAGTCTGTGCCTATAAGAATTCCCCTTCTACTCGTCTTATAAGAATCTCTTTTCCCATTAAGTTTTACGCAGTTTCTGGGAAACATTCCCTTTCTTGTGACCCCCAAAAGAAAGTAACTCTCTAAAGAAAGTAACCCCTCAAATTGCAGCTCGTTTCCTTGCAGTGCTAATGTTTTGCTGATTTATTTACAAACATTGGCGCGGTTAGCGCATGTACATCATAAACGCAACAAAACCGCAAGCTGGGTGCCGATCAAAATTTGTCCGCCACAGCGTAAACGGGGTCTTAGAAGAGGTTGTAAAAATTCTCACTTCTCAAAGATTCTGAAGTTCCATTCGATTTTGCAGCAAAAGAGATTGTCTTGGCAATCAATACACCTGAATGAAAGAAAACTTCATAAGCTTTGGTACCGCAAATATTTGAAGATAAAGTACTTTTTGCGCAACACTCCTCAGAATATAAACATCGCATAATGATCGATGGTTAGCAGAATATACATATCCAGATGCGGATTGAAAGTAACGTAAGAGGTAAAAAGAAGCGTTTAGCTTGTTTCTTACTTTGATAATCTGGCGGCCGCTCACTTTGATTTGGCCAGCCACTTAGTTAAAAAGCCCAAGAGAGAAAACAAGCTCGTTTTATCTATACAAGTTGAGATCCTTGTTTTGATGTCCTTTTTTTCTCACGCTTAGTCAATCTCCTTTGTTCCTACTCTGAAGAGTGTTGAATAAAAAGTACTTGAGTGTGCTATCTTTCTGCTCTTCAATTCTATTTCCAAAAGTAAATCTGTTTGTCAAAATTTATTTAGTTACTAAAGGCCACGTTCTGCAAAAAAAATAAATATTGGTACCTTGCAATATTAAATTTAAGATAGACAATTAGAAGCATTTAACAACACGAAACGGTTAAAAACACACTGTATTCATGCTCGTTAAAGCCAATGAGCAATAAATACATACCTGCACGTTACCTGTTATTGATAGCTGCCCCCCCCACATGGTCAAAAAGGAAAATATTATGTTACAAGACAACATCGTCATGCTCAACTTACTCCTATCGGCGCTGCAAAAATGTTGCCAATAAATTTGCTTTTCTGCGAATCGTTGTTACTTCACATGATTAATCTTCTTTATAAATTCAACTGTGATGTAAAATTTCTGCCGATTTATCGTGCGATTTTGGAAGAAAACGTAGTGACATGACCGCAGCAGTCGAATTGCATACCCACAAAACATGGCACGACTTTTCCCTTAAAAATCCTTTTAACCTTTATTTGCAAAAGTGTTTCACGAACCAAATTGTAATGACATGCTCCTATTGTTTTCTCTGTTTTTTTCTGCTTCGAAAAGTTTTATACTATTCTGACTCAAACTGTTAGAAACAAAGAATTCAGTCTCAAAAAGCTGCGATTCATCAAGAAGTATAGTCTTTTGTGTAATTTCACTCTTTGATTTAATACCATTAATTTTCTTTTGACTATTTTGAGCGTTGACATGCCAGTATTAAGATATTTTCCTGCAAAAAGTGGCAGTCTATTACTAGCATCGGAAGATAATGAACCTTTTTTAAATCTTTATTTATGTTTTTCCTGTTTGTTTCCCAACACAAATCAGTTGCATCACGGCCAGTCAATTCATGGGCAGCGAAAACAGACTTATAAAATGTTTCGGCTGGAATATTCTTATACTAGCATTTATCAACATTCCACCTAAAATGTGAAAATCATTTAATTTTTAATGGATCCAATCTTTTTTCTTGGAAAGTTAACGACAATATGAGCACAACTGTGGTTAGCGGCTGGAAAAATCTGGCCGCAAGATAAACATAACAAAATTTAGACACGTGATTTGACCAAAAATGGTGAACATTATATACCTAGTGCCAAGGTATCGACAGCATTAGGCAAAACAGTATTGACATTACTGTCAGTATGCGAAATAACAGAAATGAGAATAACTCTCATGGTGGTATTGACAGTAATTGACATAACAGTCTTGGCACCTGTGATAGAAATCGATATAACAGTATTGGCACAAGTTATAGTAATGGACATAACAGTTTTGGCACTAGTGATACTGACAGACAAAGAAGTATTGGACATAACAATAATAGCACTAGCGATAGTGATGGACATGAAAGTATTGGCACAAGAGATAGTAATGGACATAACAATAATAGCAATAGAGATAGTAATGAACACGACAGTGCTAGCACTAGTGAAAGAAATGGACAATATAGCATTGACAGTAGTGATAGTAACAGAAATAACTGTATTGGCATTAGTGATACTAATGGACATAACAATAATAGCACTAGAGATAGTAATGGACATGACAGTGCAAGCACTAGTGAAAGAAATGGACAATATAGCATTGACACTAGTGATAGTAACAGAAATAACTGTATTGGCATTAGTGATACTAATGGACATAACAATAATAGCACTAGAGATAGTAATGGACATGACAGTGCTAGCACTAGTGAAAAAAATGGACAACATAGCATCGACACTAGTGATAGTAACAGAAATAACTGTATTGGCATTAGTGATACTAATGGATTTAACAATAATAGCACTAGAGATAGTAATGGACATGACAGTGCTAGCACTAGTGAAAGAAATGGACAATATAGCATCGACACTAGTGATAGTAACAGAAATAACTGTATTGGCATTAGTGATACTAATGGATTTAACAATAATAGCACTAGAGATAGTAATGGACATGACAGTGCTAGCACTAGTGAAAAAAATGGACAATATAGCATCGACACTAGTGATAGTAACAGAAATAACTGTATTGGCATTAGTGATACTAATGGACATAACAATAATAGCACTAGAGATAGTAATGGACATGACAGTGCTAGCACTAGTGAAAGAAATGGACAATATAGCATCGACACTAGTGATAGTAACAGAAATAACTGTATTGGCATTAGTGATACTAATGGACATAACAATAATAGCACTAGAGATAGTAATGGACATGACAGTGCTAGCACTAGTGAAAGAAATGGACAATAAAGCATCGACAGTAGTGAAAGTAACAGAAATAACTGTATTGGCATTAGTGATACTAATGGACATAACAATAATAGCACTAGATATAGTAATGGACATGACAGTGCTAGCACTAGTGAAAGAAATGGACAATATAGCATTGACAGTAGTGATAGTAACAGAAATAACTGTATTGGCATTAGTGATACTAATGGACATAACAATAATAGCACTAGTGATAGTAATGAACATGACAGTGCTAGCACTAGTGAAAGAAATGGACAATATAGCATCGACACTAGTGATAGTAACAGAAATAACTGTATTGGCATTAGTGATACTAATGGACATAACAATAATAGCACTAGAGATAGTAATGGACATGACAGTGCTAGCACTAGTGAAAGAAATGGACAATATAGCATTGACAGTAGGGATAGTAACAGAACTAACTGTATTGGCATTAGTGATACTAATGGACATAACAATAATAGCACTAGAGATAGTAATGGACATGACAGTGCTAGCACTAGTGAAAGAAATGGACAATATAGCATTGACAGTAGTGATAGTAACAGAAATAACTGTATTGGCATTAGTGATACTACTTTTAGCATTAGAAATGACGGTTTGTTAGTATTTGACTTTGACAGTATGTCAGTATTTGTCGCTGTTGTCATTTTTCGACTAGAGGGTAACAGCAATTTATAGAACATGATATAACAGGATTGTATTGAAAATATTTCAGAACTTGATACCTGATCCTAGTTTGGTATGACTGTAAGCGGTACCCTCGTAACCAATGGCGCTTTGTTTTCAGCAATGTCCGCAAGATGGCTGTACTTTAATGTTTTTGCATTTCAAGACAAAATGTTAGTGGTCAAATAAGTTTACCGTTTTTTGCAACTCAAACCAACAGCAACGAGAGCCTAGTAGTTCTAAAGCAGAACTTTGCTGAAATTAGCGATATATGCTTATTGTTGCTTTTGCACTGCTTCAATTCATTTTACAGACTTAACAAATAGCCACAAATTTCAGTATGTTAAACGTTGAATCTCAGATCAGCCATTTAAATAGCAAATAACGGGTGAAATGAGAACTTAAGACCTGCTTTCCACTCTAGAAACCCTTCAGCTATTGATTCAGCTGTCGTCATTAACATTCCCTGATAAAGGATGCTCTAAGTCGTAAGTACCCCAAAAGTCTATAACAAAAATGAAAAAGACTGTTTCTACAAACCTGAGTCATTTAAATTCCATATTGAAAAACTTCCAGTCTCCATAACTGATATGCTATAACTAGCTGAAATTAAAACGAATATTAATAAAAGAACTTCAGAATTATCTCAATAAAACAGCTAATAAAAAAGAGATCATATAAAATAGAAATAAAACATTTTCAAATGAAATTACCAAATTATTTTCTTTTTGGTATATGTTTTCATGATTTTTTCCTATCTGTTCAATTCTTTGCTGCCATTTCTACATAGATTGTTACGGGTCACTCTGAGTGTTACAATACTTTTCTTCTATATGGAGGCCCTCCAATACCATCAAACTGTCGAAAAACTCACTCGTTTGAATAATTTTTTAGGAGCATGAGAATAAAATATAATTCAAAAACTTTAATCAAGCTTTACTTGTTGACTTAGTCTTGTTCATTGTCTCGGGAAGCGGGCAGCTCCTAGGGTTGTTTGCCACCATACATTGTTTAGGAGGTCAATGTGGCCAAAATATCCTACGGACTGGTAAGAAGGATGATGTCTTGTTCTCACTGTTAAAACTGACCAAAGCTCAGGGTTTCCTTGGCCTGGCTTGTGTTTTACCCACATTTCCGGGAGCCATTTGATAATGCTAATAGAAAATCGCTGGTTAACAACGTGTGATCAAAACACCGTTTCGACACTTACTGTTTTCTTCAATATCAAAAGTTGCTTAAGTGACTCTAATTGTTTTTTCTATTGCTAAAGCATTGTGAGGGATCCGGAAAAGATTTTGATAAATTTTTCAAGAAGCAGTTGAAGCTACTAAAGTAATTCCATAACGTAAAACTCAAGGATTGTTCAGATTCAAATAAATTGGGGCTTACCATTAAACCGAAGAAGACACAAATCCAAACCCTGGTGATTTGGTTTGAGCTTCAATGAATGACTCAGCTGCAGGCTCAAGATATTCAATTCCTTCTGTAACAAAGATAAGAGATCCTGGGATTAATGCATAAAAAATTAAACAGCTTAAATTGACACTAAATCACAATTTAAAAATCAGTTCAAACAGTAATCAAGTGTACATAATTTAGAGATATAGAAAAAGCGGAGCATAACAGAAAACTCAATGAAGTGAGATTCTAGAAAAATTGGCTATAGCAGATGGTTCTGAATGAAATTATGACGTTCTTAAGAGACATTTCTAGCAATTGATAGACCAAAAACTTTTTCCATGAAAAAAGCGCATAATTACGTGTCACTTATCTATTTTTATGAACAAACATATAATTAAATGCTTAAAAGCAATGAAAATTTGTTAATGTTAAATGCTATCTTTAACATCCATGGTTTGAAGCTCAGAAATTCATTTCAAAGAATTTGTTGGAAAACATACTTTCAATATTTTCCAGATGAGAACGTCTGTCTCAATAAGTAAAGCAACACAAGTACCAAGCGAATCGATCATAAAACCTGGCTCGCCTGCTGGCTCTTCCAAGAATGGCAGTAAATATCTACAAAGCAAAAATTAACAAAATACAAACAACAGAACATAAATTGATATAAAAGTCCAAAAGTTAGCAAATTTCCGAAATTTTTCGACAAATCTTTGTGCTTTAGGAGACCATATCCTCCTGCACCCAGCCACAGCGTGCCTGAACTTATAACTGGGAAATATATTAGTAATATCGGACTTCTTTGTTTTTTTGCATTAAAGCCCAAGAAATAAGTCAAACGATGAAATCTAGCTAGGGTTTGATTTATTAATTAAAATATATTCGTTACATTAGGCAAAAGTTCAACAAGTCTATTTCAAATTTGTACATTTGGAAAGTAAAAACAAGGAAACTTGTCAAAACAAGTAAACTTTGTTTCATTATCCCTGCAAACTTCGACAAAAACTGAAGCAAGCGCAAATTCAAGAATGACAAGATGCAAAATGTCAATGACAGTGGGGTGGTTCTGATGAAGCAATAAAAAGGTATGTATAATTACAATATGCTTTATCCTATAAAAAATTATACATAATAAAGACCGCTGGAGGCTTGCAGAACACGCCTTTAAGCATGCTGGAAATGTTCTTTCAAACCGGTAAGTAATTATAAAAAAATAAAAGATCGCACACCAAAGTTTCAAACTCAGCTAAAGTTTCAAAGGGGGGGGGCCATGGCTCCCTGCCCCCACCCCTGTGATGCAGGCCCTGCTAACTGGTCTGTTACAGAGATCTTAATGCCATTTAGATAGAACCTCCTGAGAATGATACCAAAAAAATGCAAATACACATTGAGCATACCTAAATTTCCCATCTTGGGTGACAGTCCTCTCTCCACCATCTATATGTATCTCTATGGGGGTAAATCCCAACACACTGGCAGAATCCCAAGCTTTAAAAGCTAAGCAGCATTTTCCCCCTTGTTTTAAGTCCAATGTAGCTGACAACAAATAAGATCCGACTTGATCACAGGATATTATAGCAACCTTCGAGTTCTCATCCAAATAGAGGGGGGCACATGCATGCTAAAAGAAGGAATAATTCAATGTGATAAAAAAGGTAATCAGTGAATCAATATTTGTGAAAAAAAAGATAATTTATTATCAATGGAGGTGTTGTTAATGACATTGATGATTGTGATTTCAATAATTAGTATACTTGCGTGACAATGCAAAAGAAAAAAAACTGATTACATATTAATAGAAGATCATCTTATGCAAGTATCTAAATTAGTAATCAAACTTGTACCAAAGCCAAGTACCAAGGAAATCTAAAGGTAAAGAATAGTGCCGTTTTTTAAGTAAATATGTAAATTACTTTCCCAGGCAAATCAAATGATCTCTTCTCTTTTTGTTTGACACATGTATTTGTATTTGCATTGGTATTTGTTTCTACCTGGCATCTGAAGCAGGCCTCTCTGCAAGGCCTCTTCTATCAATTTTTCCAGTACAGCCAAATATTTTCTTTGTTATATAGACTTTTTGGGCAAGTTTCATGATTTTACCCCTAAAAGCACAAGATTTGTGTTTCTTTGCACCAGCTCCCCTCACTACATTGCTTGTGTCACAAAAGATTTGCTCTGTGACAAGTATATTCAATTATACTGGTCTTCAATCTTCAATCGTAAACTCCTAAAGGCTTTACAACCAATCTGGAGCATTTACTCAAGGAGCATTAAAAAAGGAAAATTAACTCAGGAGTAGGATTAATACCATATCCACCCAGGGCTCCAGTTTGTTATGCTTGTATAATGCTTTATTCTTATCATTTATGCAATATGGAATAATTGTTTGGGGGAGTACTTGTATAACATATGTTGATCCCATCTTTAAATTACAAAAAAAGGTTGTCAGAGCTATCTCATTTGAATCTTTTCGCTCACATTCTTCTCCCATTTTCAAAGATTTAAAGATACTTAAACTATCTGATGTTTTCCATCTGAAGCTTTTAACTTTTGTCTATGAATCAATTCATAAAATATCTCCCAGTTGCTTTCATGATTTCTTCTGTTGGAGCCTATAGGTTCATCAATATTCTACAAGGCAAGCTATAAGGGGCAATATCTACTTAACTCAAAAGAATACAGTCAGATATGGCTTAAGCTCTATAAGGTATCTTGGTGCCAAACTCTGGAATGAATTGCCTGATAATATTAGAACGGCTAACTTAAAACTTACTTTTAAATCAAAACTGAAGACGCATTTTCTAGAAAATTTATAACACTGGTCATCAATTAATCTCTTTTTGTTCACAAAATTTCCAATAATTGTGCATTTGATTTAACCCAGTATTAACTTTGAATGAGCTCCATATTTTAGAACTATAGATCCCATAGGGGGGCTCTCTTCTCGTTAGTCTACCTACTTAGAGAGTTCCTCCTTAAGAAATTTCACTCTTACAATTCAATATGTTTAATTTATTTTCTATCTAATTGCTCTCTTTTTTATTCTTTAATTATATTAATTGTATTGTAATTTATTGCATTGTATTGTATGTAAGTGTGGAATTTAAAATAATGAAACTGAACTGAACTGAATCCAGCACTGGTAGCATTTCTATTCTCTGGAGCACGACCGTATACTTCGGCACCCTCTGGAGAAAACTTTACTGACATTGCTCCACGTGTGCCTGTTTTGCACATCTTCTATATGTGCATTTATTTTCATGCATATGTTCTCTTCTTGCTTTATTTTATTCAAAGATAAGGCGTTGATTTAAAATTCAAACCTTCATCTGATGAGCCTCGACTTTTTTGTCAGAGTACTCCAGTGCAAAGGCATCTTCGTTTCCCGAGCCTGTAGGCAAAACAAATTTCTTTACACCATTCCGTGTTTTTAAAGTCTCTGAGAAAGACATTCTCCCTCATTTCATAAATCCACCATTACAAGAGTTTTCAAATTTACCTCTACTTCAAATGTTGTAAACGAGGCCAAAAGAAAAAGGCGTTTAACTACAAACAGACAACAAAAGTGAACTGTGATGGAAGATAAACTTTACAAATTAAGATGCAGACGGTTGTTTTGCTATGGATTGCATTTAGAAGTCTAGGGAAAACTTTGGAAAGCAGGAAAAAGCTATCTAGATGGTATCGTTTTTTATAAAAATACTTTTAGATGTATTTAACAAATCTGGAATTAACTTTCAGTCTACACCATGTGAATGAAATTTTAACGAATATTTTTTGCCATGTTTCAGCCAAAAAACTTGCTTTTCTTTACAAATGATATGCACAAGGGTGTAAGATTAAGCTGTGACAGTTCTTAAGAAATATTAACCGTTTTTTCAAGTTTCCTTAGGACAAAAGCATTGGTGCATTAAACGCATTAAATGAATTTAAAGTGAAACCTTTCGTGTCTATAAATTTTGTCAAGTGCCTTTAGCTATAGAAAAGTACAGGTTAAAATTTTGTTTTGATGTTTGAGATCAATTGTTCTATCTAATTAGGTCTGCTGTTTCTGTTTAACTTTTTACTGTTTTCATTCAAATTTTATATAAAGGTTTTCCATTTTAGACAGATCTACGTGCCTCTGTGCCTTGACGAACAACTTTATTAGTAAATGAGACAATTTAATTGGGCCAAGGCTCAATTTGGCAAATGGTTCAATTAAGTGCTTTGTTTTACACTTACACTTTCAATGTTTCAATCTGTTTCATTGTGTACAGGTGGATTTCTGGTAAAGCATCTGATGGATCAGTAAAGCACTACCTTCTCAAGCTACAGCCTGTGATGTAAACATTGCAGCTTAAAGATTAGAACAAAGATGACTGCACTTGTTGATGCTGTATTTATTTGCATCACAAAAAAATAAATACACACAGATTTAGCACTGTTTATAGTTTTACTGGCATTAATGTATGTTCTATTCAAACTATTTTCTTCAATACAAAAAATCTTGTTAAATGTCTGAGTTGCCACGCTGCAGTGAGAATAAGAACAATAACTTGAAACACGGCCCACCAAATAATTCGATTGTTGGTTGTTTGGCTTAGATCCCTGAATTTCTTTTCTCTCTTCTGCAAAATAAAAGATAAAGCAGAACTAAATCAGACTTCAAGAACAATTATTAGTACAGTAAGCAGGCCTGGCCGTTTGTATTTTTATAGGTGAGCTGTGAATCGCACCCCTCATTTGCTGAGGCAAGCTAAATCAGTAACACATAGAATGTACTTTAAAGACAATGAACAGATCACTTAAGCCCCTTTAGTATCTGTCGGTTGCCTTTAATAGCCTCAGTCAGGAGTATGCTGTTTTACTTCTTTCAATTTGTATTTGCTTTAACCGTGACTTAGACACCCCCTTTACTTGAAGTATTTAAAAGAACAGACTCTTTCAGTTCCATGTACTGGCACAACACAAAAACAACAATTCTCTTGCCAAACAATCTTTTTGTTGTACAGAATTTGAAAATGGCTTTGAAAAACAAAATTTTGAAACAAACTTAAGTTATACGTCTAGCACTCTTCAGAGTATAAAACGTCAGAACATAGATGGAAAATACCCAGTTCTGGATCGAAATAGGCCAATCAGAAAACGCGAGCACATTACTGTTGAGGTTGTCCAATCAGTGCTGCTTTCCTATTGAAACTATTACCAACGAAGTCCTAAGGTGAAAACGAACTCTGTCTGTCAAAACAAAAGCTATCTGTCATGTTTATATAGTAGATAGCTAGATGGAACGATGATCAGGCTTGCGAAACATGCGAATAATGCGAAACATGCGAATAATGCGAAACATGTTGCCGTTATAGTTTTCACTCAATCTGGGTTTTTCAGTAAATGCCATTGGATAGTGGAATTCCATGTTTTGGTTGTCTTGCTCGATCTGCAAGACAGATGACCCTGTTCTCTTTGAGGGATAGTTTTGTTTCTATTGCTGGAAGGGACCTGATGTTTTACTACATCTCCCAATCTATAATTCCTACAAATTTCTTCGACTTTCTTTTCAAAAATATGCCTGTTTTCTTAAGATTGAAAGGTTCTAATCGCTACAAACATACCTTGCGCTAAACTATCTTTTTCCAAATAGATTGAAGTTCATGCCTATCATAACAAAAATGGCCCAGCAAGCAAAAAGTTAATTCCAAAAAATGCAATGGCGGGAGAAGTCGCTGTTACAAAGATAACCCAATTAACCTTGTAAGTTTTCAGGGTTCTCTGAATAGGAAAAGGGCAAATGAATGGAAGTTTTAGGGTAGCGATTCTCCCTTCATGTTCTGTTTAGGAGAGCAATTCATAGCTCACCTCAGGTTGCAAGGGGTGAGCTATCGCTCACCTCAAATGGCCAGGCCTGAGTAAGTCCATTGTAAAAAAGATTAGAAAATTGAATCTTCATTATCAGCACTAAGCAAAATTCTACTTCTTTACAGAATAAAACTTTGAAAAGGAATTTACCTTAAATTTGTGATACATATAGAGAACATTTTCATACTGTTCACCAAGAGAAGAAACAAGGCGTTCCAAAGAAGTACTGTTTCCATTCATTCCACCTTCTAATTCTGATTGATCTTCATTTTTGATATCGTAATGAAGGTAAACACGCTGGGAAGATAACCAAAATTGATGGTCATTGATAATATTGACAGTGGTAAAAATCATCTTCAATGCTGAATGAAATCATTCTCATGTTTTGCTTTGCTGATAAACATTTTATATTCTGACGGTGCTTGAGACTCACATAAAAGAACATGGGGCTTTATGTAACATGCTGAAAGGCTCCTATACTTGTAGTGTGGCTTTTGTGCTACATAGTTGGCAAACAATTAGCCTGGAGGTTCTTGGTCTGTTCTTTTATGCCAGTTTATTTTTTATTGTTAATGGGGAAGAAACTGGATCTCTGGCCTGTCAATTAAAAGATACAAGATTTGTTCTGCCTTGATTCTTAAGCATCTCATCTTTTGCTTGAAGTATCATATGGGAATGAACAGAATTCGTAACTGAATTTTGATTCATCCCAAGGTTACCTGCTCAACATGAAGTAAAAAATGGGACTCATTTTCCTTAAAATATGCCAAAAAATAGCAAAAAAATATTGATCAGCTGCAACATGATTTAAACAAACTATTGAAAAATGCCTTGAATTTGTTCAGAATTGTTATGGTCATTAACAAAATCAGATATAAGCATCATATCATTAAAACTGTGTAGGTTCGCACACAGAAATGAAAATTACAATTAGCACACTATTTTTCTATCCCATAATTGGCTTTTAGAGTTCTGTTCGATGATAAATCACAAGCTGAAAGATTTGTGGATATATCCTGCTATTTCTGGTACTCTAACAGAATTATCATTGTGAACAAGTTCTAAAGCCTTTGGGCTGTGATTAAATGTCACATCAGTAGGTTTAGAAAACTTCACACACATACCGTTTTACCATGGGGTGTAGACGGATGCTTCATAAAGCATATTTCATAAATTCCATAGGTGCTGGTTGCAAATGCAAAAGTTCCTTCTCCTTTATATTCTTTTTGTAGCATATCATGCCTGTCAGGATCGATAACCCTCAACTGAACTGAGCCTGGTATAAAATTTTCATTTCCATCTTCATGATCCTGAATTCTGTATGTACCTGAAAACAAAAAATCACTATGGCATTGATTGTTTGTACCACTAATGACTTACAAATTAAGAGGCTTAGTGACCTTACCTGAAGCCTCCTGAAACAGACTTCAAAAATTGCAGTTGTTTGCTTTGCGGGTAAAGCAAATACCAGTGCACAAGTTGAGGTTTCAAGACCGCGATTTAGACACCAAAAATGGCACTCGTCTTTACCAAGGCAAGGGGTTCTTTACTTATGCTTAAGCCTACCTAGGCCTATTTTACATAAACTTTTTGGTCTCTTTTACTTTCGCATTTCTAACAAAAAATTTTTATTGAGAAAGGTCTGCTACTGGTAGGTTACCAAGGTCTGCTAGGAATTTTTTGTGTTGCTGTTCGAAAAGTCTAATGAAACAGCAGCATTCCATTTCACCTTTTAAATATACGAACTACAGGACTGAGCTGTACCAACCAGCAATTGTCATGCCTGAATCATATTCCTCGTGGAAGCATCTTTCGACATGGCTTCTATCTGACAGTTCGAAAAAGAAAGCAGTTGTAAACGCAATTAATTCGATCCCAAGCAAAAGAAACAACCACGAAGAGGCCATATTTACATGCTCATTTGCTGCTTTACGCAAGCGATAAAGTCTTCTTCATAGGTCTTCTTCCTGTCAAACCTGAGACCGAGGTTGCAAGGGTATCCGTGACGTGTCCACTATTTCATGGTTTCCTGGCAACCATTTGATATGGGGAGAGATCGATGTCAAGATGTCAAATCAATGCCCCACTGTTAGAAAATGGTTAAAGTTCTCTCGAAAGGAAGCCTGTCTCAGGTACTACGGAGACTGTGACTTTTTTGTGAACAGGCTAAGAAGGATTTCAAGTAAGGGTCGGAATTACCAGGCAGAGACCGAAGGGCAATTCACACTTGCATTATAGCGTGCGAGACTTTGCCGATAACAACCGGATTTCTGGGGATTTTCAGCTAAAATAATAGGAATTTTCACAAAAGATGTACGAGATTTTCGTAGAGTGATTTGCCCCTCATCAGAGACGGCGCCACGAAATTGAACCGAGGGGGGCTAAGAATAAAGTTTAGTGACATATAGGAGGACCCACCATGGTTGTATCCGACTCAAAAGAAAATTTTTGAAATCAGGCTTTCTACAATTGCTAAAAATGCATCTCCCAGACTAAGGTTTAAAAAATTACTATACCGCTCAGAATAGACAATTCGACGATTCTCAGAAAAAAATTGAAAGAGGAGGATTCATTCGTTGGGGAATGAAAGAAATTAAGTGTGACCTTTGTTCAGAGTGCACATCAATTTGGGGTTGGGGCGTACAATTGACATGAAATCTACCATGGATTGATAGAGAGAATTTTACTTCCTGAATAGAAATGTGCATCTTCTTTATCTCCAGTATTTTCAGTAAGCCATCTTTACACATCCAAAATGCAGACATTGCACAGATGCAGAAGGTTATCTACTGAATTGATAAAATAAATCGAAAAATAATAGAAATATACCTAAGTAAGTTAGTAAATAGATCGAATAAAATCAAGCAGTATATGAACAGTTTGTTCCCTTTCTATTTCATACTCTGTTTCAAAAAATAATAAAAAAGACGGTCAAAAAGTTTTTATCTCTGAGAAAGTGGGGGCTTCAATCCCCTCCCCCCAGTTGCGCCGTGGCTGTCAGGGGTGCGACACCCTCTCGATATTTTTGTGTTCTTCGGTAAATGTTGCTTCGATTCGAAAAAATATATTTTTGACAGTCAGTAGTAACAAAATGATGCAGAAATGTTGCTTTTCCATCAATAATCACGTTTCCACCAATAATCAATCTATCGGCAAAACCAGCTCCTTGGATTCTTTGACCTCTGACATTTGATCCAACAAAATATATCTGACTTAGTTACAACGTATAATCTGTTCAAATGGGGCGCTCTCTCCTCAATTAGTTTATCTACTGAGAGCCCCTCCTCAAGAATTTTTCATACATACCAACGTTTTGCAATTTTCTGTAATTTTTAAGGTGTTTTTCTGTCGTCATGATAATATGAAACGGACTTCTCTATTAAAGATATACAGGAACAAAGCAATACGACGACGAGAATCCAATGTCACGAAATGAAATTTTCAAAATAAATAAAATTTAAAGAATATCAGTATATTCTTTATAGAATATCTTTCATAACAACACTCATTGCAAGATTCACAGAATCCGGCGGACAGCCTATCCTGCGGTTCTTCCTTCTCACACATTACTTCTCTATCAAGTCTTGAGAGCCCGTACAAATGCCGTAAATCCTTGAATAAGCCCCCCCCCCCTCGAATAAGCCTCACCCTAAGAAATATTTGAGAAATAAGCACCCACCCTTGAAAAAAACCCCTTCTCGCATAAGCCCCTACCCTAAGAAATATTTGAGAAATCAGCCCTCACCATAAATAAGCCCTTATGGGCTGAGGTACTGACTCGACAGCATTAGATTTATGTTTATCCTAATTTATTTGCATTTTTAAATAAGCTGACCAGCTTGAAAAAGAGGAAGACAATTTACCTTGGTAACATTATTGGCTGCCGCTAAATAAGCCCGAAATTTCCGATAAGCCCCTACCCCAAAAAATGCGAGATCCGCCCCAGGGGGCTTATTGAGAACTAGTTATTTTTCTAAAATTATGTTTTATTCATTACACGAGAACTTTACACAAAAATTGCACCAGAAGGTACCTCAAAGTAGAATCAAGAAGGAGGTCGACATAGAGATCACTGTGCACCTACCTAAGGGGCGAGGAGGCGAAAAGATTTCACTATTTTGTGCAACTCCAGTGATGCATAATTCTTTAGATCTTTTAATATAAAGCTTAGTACATCCTTTTGCAAAGTAGAGGTCCATCAAAGAGAAACCTTGACAAACTGGATCCCAGATCTCTTTACAGCACAAGATTGTGTGACAACACTCAGCACAATTAGGCTGAGGTTGGTATTACTTGCGCCTTTTCAGTTTTCTAGCTTAGCCTATCGTGTGTGTATGTTCTCCAAGCAAAGGAACGCTGACTTTTTGCATATGTGATCTTTCAACGCACATACAGCCTGTGTTACTGCTTTGTCTTTTCTGCGGCCAAATAACCAGAAACAACATTTTTCCACCTAAAGGACTAAAAAGGTCTACAGTGGAGCCTCCATATAACGGACACCGTTCGGACAAGTTAAACCGTCAGTTGTAAAGAGGTGTCCGTTGCACAGAGATTCCTGCAAGATCGTTGTGACCAACAGGGTTGAAAACATTTGTCCACTGTTAAGGTATCCGGTACATTGTGGTTTCTGTTAATGGAAGTTCCATTGTATTTACAAGATATTATCAAGCAGTTTGTGGAAAAAAAAAAGTTGAAAATGCGACGAAAAGCTCAGCTTGTTGAAAATATTAATGATTTCACCTCACCCGATCAAAAACTGCAATTTTTTTGCAAACGAGCATGACAAGGAGACATACTTACATCGAAGTGGAAAGGAAGTTTTCCCCTTTAGAACGCGGATAAGAATCAAGACGTTTTCTATTCGCTTGAATACAAGCAAAATTAACATGGGATTTGCCCAAATATAGAGTTACCAATGCCCAATTGATGGGGCTTTTTTCTGGTCATTCCTAACATAAAATAGAACATCTGTGCCAAATTTCAGCGTTATATTATTTTTGTCCGGGTAAAACCGTAATTCTACTACACTATTTGCGCCACAAAGGCAAAACCTCGGCTAGCAAAGAACAATCTTCTGCTTGTTTCATTTAAGCACCATCCCCGTTTATGTGTTACAATAAAATGAAAAAATCAGAAAGCGATGGATTCTGTCATAGGCAAGCTGGACAAAATCGTGACGAGTATCGAGCAAGGTTTTCAACCAACAAAAACTAACATGTAAATAAGATTTTCAAGTACACATACAGGGGCGGATCTAGAAATTATTCTGAGGGGTTCTAAAACGTAAGGCTTGGTAACCCAGGGTGTTGCTATGCACAAACTCCGTACCCCTGCTAATAAGCCATAATGAAATGAAAGTCTTCCATAAACTAAAAAGCCTGGATGCCTTGATTTATATATTAATTTTTGGTTTCAGCTTTTATGCCAATTGAACGCAATTTGCACCGCCCCTTTTATATTCACTTAGGGTACAAAAGTATAGAAACTGTAGTCAAATATGATATGATGGCCCACAGTGGCAAAAGGCCCGAGCCCACAAATTTTCAAAGCAAAATTTAATTTTTGACTCTTTGCAGCCATTTATTAGAACTTGATCAGCCTGACCAAAAAAATAACGTGGCTGGTGGAATGAAGCCCTTGAAGTGCAGTGCAAAAGTTGAACACAGGGATTCAAACACAGCATGCATCAACATATGACGCCAAACCAAACAAAGGAGGCCCTGAACGTTTCGCTATGGGCCTGCCGTTTTGAGTATTTTTATGAATTTGAAATCTTTAGAGAAAAAAGTATTCGTAGGAATATAAGTAGAAATAAGAAGGAAACCCCTTTTGGTCAAGAATAGTAAGGGCAAGTTTTTGAGATGTTTTGTATGTAGTTCTTGAATAATTAAAAAAAATAATAACAAGGACTCGGGCAAGCTTTATCCTCTGAATATAAATCATACCTCATGGTCTATGAATAAGACGTGGAACACGGAGTTGAAACTTGAAACCGTTCTGTTATATAAACCAAAGCGTTTATAAGTTCTGCCGTTACAGCATCGAGCACCAGGTAAAGATCGTCAAAAGACCCAGGAAAACATATTGCAAATTTGCGCCTAAGCATTCGTCGCGTGCTGTATCATAATTCACACCCCCTGGTCAACCTCAACCCCCCCTGTTCAAGCTCAACTCCCCCTGGTCATAAAACCACTTATACATTTGACTGTAGATTGAAGCGAAGAAACTCCCCCTGGTTTGTCGGTACTCTCTGATGTTTTGGATTTTTGAAATCCATGGGTTCTCGCGCCAAAGTTTAGAACCCCTCGACCTGGCACCGTGATTGGCTAGATTCACTTCCACGGGTGCAGAAACTCGTATAATTTACAGGCCACGGGTTCCTTAAGTGGCTGGATATAACAGGAGACAATGCTTTCCGAGTCTGTAGAATGCTATACAGGACAACCAGGGGGAGTTTCATAACACTTCAATGCATGGACTGAAATAACAATATTGAACTGTTGTGAGACGGGGCATTGAAGCGGAAATAACAATTTCAGGAGATGTGCATACTTCCCAGTATTATTTAAATGGTTTAAATAATAATAAACAAAATTGCGGTAGAATAAGCTTTAGTCCCCAAAAAGTTTTTTCTCAAATCTGAGGGGTGCTCGAGCCCCCTTCGCACCCCACTGGATCCGCCCCTGACATAGTCATATCTCCCCAATTCAATCCAATATACGCGAGCAAAAATCTTTCTTCGCTTGCCAAGGAAAAGAGGGATGGAAAAAATAGCAAAGGAACATTGTTCCCGTGGATAACAATGAAATTCATATGCCCTAACAAAAAAAACGATCAATGAAATCATTCCTCGTAAAGATATTCGGAAATATTAGAGCGAAATACAGAAAAATCAATATATGTGAGAGATTAGCAATGTGATTCGGACAAAAACACACAATAATATTCTGAATTTTGAAGAATTGAGAACAGAAATTGAGAAGACGAAAGCCTTGAAGATTGAGGGCGTTGGAGTGGCTGCTCTTGCAAAATCTGCTCTTGCACTGCAAGGCATTGTTGCTCACCCTATAAACACTGGACAGATAAAGTCTAACATATGTTAACATAATTATCAAGGTGACGTGGGCCTGGAGCAACCCGGGCTACTTCCTTCACTATCAGTGAAGTAGAATAGCTGGAAGGGTAGGGGAACAAAAGAATCCTACGGGCATGGGTAGGTGGAAGGGCATTTAATTTTATAAATATTAAAAAGACGCATTAGGAACTTTGCAACTAAGAACAATATTTACAATTTTTACAACACTGACAATAAAATAAATATCATAAAAGCTTTAGATTTCTTTAAAACGTTGGGAACAAAATAAAGCAGCGATGAATTTTTTGAATTAATCTGCAAAAAGATGTTGCTGAGCAACACGATCGTTGTAAGACGTGATTTCTTTGTTGACCTTTTGGATATATTCATCTACGTGCTTTTCAAATGCTGTCAAAATGTTAAGGAAAAGACCGAATTTAATCAAAACATGACGAAAACCCCGGCAGAAAATTCTTCTTATCAATGACAGGGATCAATTGTCGTCTTGGAGTAAGAGAAGTCATGACAGTATTAGTTTTACGGGATTATAGCCACTAGAAAAACAAATCTAAGAATAAAATTCTTTTATCAGTCTGCAGCTTAAGGATGCAGCAGCAAATGCGCCGGAGAATGCAGCTGTAGAAAGGCTGCAGGACGCAGCAGCAAAAGAGCTGGAGGATGCAGCAGCAAAAGAGCTGGAGGATGCAGCAGCAAAAGAGCTGGAGGATGCTGCAGCAAAAGAGCTAGAGGATGCAGCAGCAAAAGAGCTGTAGGTTGCAGCAGCAAAAGAGCTGGAGGATGCAGCTGCAAAAAGGCTAGTGGATGCAGCAGCAAAAGAGCTGGATGATGTAGTGGCAAAAGAACTGGCGGATGCAGCTGCAAAATGACTGGAGGATGCAGCTGCAAAAGAGTTAGAGGATGCGGTTGCAAAAGAGCTGGGAGATGCAGCTGCAAAAAGGCTAGTGGATGCAGCAGCAAAAGAGCTGGGAGGTGCAGCTGCAAAAGAGCTGGGAGATGCAGCTGCAACAGGGCTGGAGGATGCAACAGCAAAAGACCTAGAGGATGCAGCAACAAAAGAGCTAGAGGATGCAGCAGCAAAACAGCTGGAAGAGGCAGCGGCAAAGAGCTGGAGGATGCAGCAGCAAAAGAGCTGGAGGATGCTGCAGCAAAAGAGCTAGAGGATGCAGCAGCAAAAGAGCTGTAGGTTGCAGCAGCAAAAGAGCTGGAGGATGCAGCTGCAAAAAGGCTAGTGGATGCAGCAGCAAAAGAGCTGGATGATGTAGTGGCAAAAGAACTGGCGGATGCAGCTGCAAAATGACTGGAGGATGCAGCTGCAAAAGAGTTAGAGGATGCGGTTGCAAAAGAGCTGGGAGATGCAGCTGCAAAAAGGCTAGTGGATGCAGCAGCAAAAGAGCTGGGAGGTGCAGCTGCAAAAGAGCTGGGAGATGCAGCTGCAACAGGGCTGGAGGATGCAACAGCAAAAGACCTAGAGGATGCAGCAACAAAAGAGCTAGAGGATGCAGCAGCAAAACAGCTGGAAGAGGCAGCGGCAAAGAGCTGGAGGATGCAGCAGCAAAAGAGCTTGGAGATGCAGCTGCAAAAGAGCTGTAGGTTGCAGCAGCAAAAGAGCTGGAGGATGCAGCTGCAAAAAGGCTAGTGGATGCAGCAGCAAAAGAGCTGGATGATGTAGTGGCAAAAGAACTGGCGGATGCAGCTGCAAAATGACTGGAGGATGCAGCTGCAAAAGAGCTGGAGGATGCAGCTGCAAAAGAGCTGGAGGATGCGGCTGCAAAAGAGCTGGGAGATGCAGCTGCAACAGGGCTGGAGGATGCAGCTGCAATAAGCTGGAGGATGCAGCTGCAAAAAAGCTGGAGGATGCGGCTGCAAAAGAGCTGGGAGATGCAGCTGCAACAGGGCTGGAGGATGCAGCTGCAAATAAGCTGGAAGATGCAGCTGCAAAAGAGCTAGAGGATGCAGCTGCAAAAGAGCTGGGAGATGCAGCTGCAAAAGAGCTGGGAGATGCAGCTGCTGGAGGAGCTGCAAAAGAGCTGGGAGATGCAGCTGCAACAGGGCTGCTGAGCTGGAAGATGCAGCTGCAAAAGAGCTAGAGGATGCAGCTGCAAAAGAGCTGGGAGATGCAGCTGCAACAGGGCTGGAGGATGCAGCTGCAAAAAAGCTGGAAGATGCAGCTGCAAAAGAGCTGGAGGATGCAGCTGCAAAAGAGCTGGGAGCTGAAGCAGCTGCAAAAGAGCTGGAGATGCAGCTGCAAAGCTGCAAAAGAGCTGGGAGATGCAGCTGCAACAGGGCTGGAGGATGCGGCTGCAAAGGGCTGGGAGATGCAGCTCGACAGGGCTGGAGGATGCAGCTGCAAATGAGCTGGAGGATGCAGCTGCAAATAAGCTGGAGGATGCAGCTGCAAATGAGCTGGAGGATGCGGCTAGAATAGAGCTGGGAGGTGCAGCTGCAAATAAGCTGGATGATGCAGCTGCAAATAAGCTGGATGATGCAGCTGCAAAAGAGCTGGGAGATGCAGCTGCAAAGGGCTGGGAGATGCAGCTCGACAGGGCTGGAGGATGCAGCTGCAAATGAGCTGGAGGATGCAGCTGCAAATAAGCTGGAGGATGCAGCTGCAAATGAGCTGGAGGATGCGGCTAGAATAGAGCTGGGAGGTGCAGCTGCAAAAGGGGTGGAGGATGCAGCTGCAAATAACGTTTTTATTTAGTTTCTACGCCTTCATTCAGATAGGGGTACGTAAAAAGAACGATGAATTGTTTTAGAAAAGGCATATACCCAATTGAGTTGCAGTTAGCATCAAACTGAGGTAATACAAAATTCCAAAAATGAAATGATACATGGATGATCAAACATCTTCTCGCCTTCGAAGTTTAGATACTGTGATCCGTTGAAGAACCAGCCAGCAGGAAGAGGCTCAAGTTTGTGTTTCACCTTGACATAATAAACAAATCTTTCATCATTTTAATTATATGAATAACAAATATTAATTATAATTATGTATTTGAATGTTTCTGCTTTTTGTACCGTTCAGATAGTTTAATGAGCCGGAATGATACAAATAATTCTTAAAATTTCAATCCTATTCTCTTCATCTTCTTCGGATTAGAAATAGTCTGCTGGAAAGTTTTGAATGGCTATTGCTCTTACTTTTGCATTGCTGTGGAATTTTATCATATTTTTAATAAGCTTTTCGGTTTAGATTTACAGCTTGTACTCTAAGTTTAAAATTAGTTAGCAAAATAAACTTAGAAAATAAATTCTACCCAGAAGTTTTGAAAACAGTTAAGAATTGACGAATTACCTTGATATCTTCAAGTATTTCTTTCGAGATGTCTTCGCGCTTGAGAAATGATTTTCTCTGCATTGTCTAAAAAATAGCAAAACGAACATATTAGAAAATGTGCTCGCGTTTCTGATTGGCCTATCCGATCCACAACTGGATATTTTGTCTATGTTCTGACACTTTAGACCCTGAAGCGTATCAGACGAAAAGCTTAAGTATCCTCCCCTGTTTTTAAGTATTCTTAGCCCACCAGGTTTGTAAAGGCAAGCCACAAACTGGGAGATAAATGACCCCTACAGGCGAACGATGATGCTCAGCAACAAACTGACCGTTCATTTTCCTGATTTTGATAAACGATTAAGATATCAACTCACCCAAGTCTGCATCAGTCCTTTCATATCATCCTGACACAGTCCTAGGCCAAAGAAAGTAACATGGTTCTCCCCCTTTTCCTGGTCATTACCGTTGAAAGATTTCCTGGAAGATGGTGGGCGCGGTGATAACTGCGTGCTAGCGACAGTAAAGGATGTCATGCCTAGAAGTTTACTCCATTTGAATTCATGAACATCCGGGAAACCTAAAAATTAATACGTTTACCACTGTTATGGGATGGTTATTAGTATATCCAATTAAAAAGCAATGGTAAGTTCATTGATGTTAAAATTATTTAAGCCCACGAGTGTTTTAAATTACTTGCAATTAAAGTTTACGTTTAATAGGTGTTAAAAAAACAAGTAGGCGACAAAATTCTATCGAACAGAGTTGCATGTACGAAGAAGTACAAAAGTGCATCTGGGTTGCACTATCGATGCCTTTTCTAATTAATAAGGTGTTCTATAAGATTTAAGACAATTTGTCACATAAATCATGTTTTGAACATCAAACTGAGGCAGAACAAAGTGCAAACATTTCTGAATTTTTGTCAGATGACAAATGCACAAATTAATGTACCTGCGAAGGTGACTTTCCCTTCCATGTATAGGACGGTTCCTATGAGAAATTGAACGTAGGGAAGACGAAATAGTAAGAAAGACAAATGAAAGTTTATTGTATCAAGTATAAAAACTATGTATAATACTGAAGATTTTTTGTTTAATGTAAAAAACGGAAATATTTTATAGCTATGAACGTAACCAAAAAGATGAAATGTATGAATGAAACAGAAAAAGCACCAATATTCATTCTGTATTTCAATCTAGAAAGGTATTCTACAGGGGCTGGTAAAAAAGACTGTCTTGATAAGGAAGGTAAGGTTGAATATCTCGACATACCTTGAATCTGGCAATCTATAGGTAACTTTCCCTTCATATCTGCATGATAGGATAAAAGGAACTTCGAGACAAAAGCTGACTTTTCGTAAAATTACTATTCTGAAAATTTATACTGTAATCGAATAATAATTAACTACTGATATGATGTGTTAGGATTTTCGTGTGCTGTAAAATTCACCAATTGATGATGGGAAACAAGTTCTTAAAGCAAGTTCCTTATGGAGAATAAGTTTCTATATATCATTTGAGAGTGAAGAACTGGTGTCCACAATAACAAATCTAGCTTCCTTTTTTCCTAAGTATTTAAAAAAATTTTTAACATGATTTTTCTGCATGGGAACAAGAATCTTGTTTTCAAGGGTTAGACCTATGGCGGCGTTTAGTCAGCTGATCGGAAATTCTATGTTTGCTACACGAGAATGGCGAGACTTATCATTCTAATTTTCATCATTTTAATTAATGCGGAATATGATAACAAATATTGTAGTATATTTCAAAATGGGCGGGTAGGTACTTCTATATAAGGTTAAATGCAGCTTTATTCATCCCACGATGAACTGAAAAACAAAGTCTTTGCAACAACGATAATACGGTTACAAATGCCGGCATTCTTACGCTTAATCTTGCTCATAAACTGTGTCTTGTCAAGGGCTTCCGTGAAGAATAAGGTTATCTATGAGGGAGAAAATCAGAGTTACTCGCTAATTTAAGATTAAAAAATTGATAATTAAATAGAGCTGTGAATTCATAAGCTTTTTTAATAAGTAAGAGATAACACAAACGAAAAATTTGATGAATAAATAGACAGAAAATATATACGCATTGCTCATCTGCTACCTGAATGCTGATAAAACGCATCGAATAAGCAAGATTAAAAACCTGGTTAACAGCATTTTCGCAGTGCCGGCTCCTAGAATTTAAAAATAACCTATTTGGATGAATGCTCCTTTTAAAGTGGCTATTCACTTTAATTCACAAAAGCTCGCATATAATAAACAAGCAGATCAAATTAAAATTAAAAATAAAAAAAAGTATCACAGTAGAAGCGGCCTGCAAAGCAATAGCTCTTCATTATATGTTAAATTGTTTCCCTCTGCCAAGAAACAGGACAGTTGAAGCAGAAGAGAGGGGCTCGAGGTAGCAAGCAATTTCAATCAACTATATCTGAAATAAAACAGATTGGTACCTTTTCCCATCGGAAAAAATTCTTGCTCTAAGAGCTTTAGATTCTTGAAATGAAGAGTCAGACAAAATCAGCTCAATATCAGGTGTCCTGGAACCAGAAAGAAGCATGCAGTGATATAAAATACAAAAATGGTAGAAATTTAATGGATCAAGATTTGATGCATTTTTGGGGGTGATCATATTTGAAAATGGCTTTGAAATAAGCAAACATTTAGTAAACTAAAGCTTTTCATCTGACACTCTTCAGAATTTAAAACGTCAGAACATAGATCGAAAACTCTACGCTGGGAAATATATATACCCAGTTGTGGATACCCAGATCCTTAACTGGGTATATATATTTCCTAGCGTAGAGTTTTCGATCTATGTTCTGACGTTTTAAACTCTGAAGAGTGTCAGACGAAAAGCTTTAGTTTACTAAATGTTTGCTTTTTTCAAAGCCATTTTCAAGTTTTGTACCACCAAAAGATTGTTTGTGATCATATTTCATCGAGATCACGATCCAGTAGCAATATTGGTACAAAAATGTTTTAATAAGGAAAAGCATATTTGCGATAGGCAGATGCAAAGAAAATGACATTAAAATGATGTTCTTTCACAGATCGAAATAAGGTTAAGCTAACTATAGGATTTTGTTGGATAACATGCTTTAAATTGAGTCAGTGTAAATAAATAATAGGGCACTGAGATATTCAGGATTTGGTATTTCTACACATCTTCTTAAACGATGAAGATAATGGAACTGATTCTTCATTTAGCAGGGTTTCATTGATGCCATCCATGCTTCAAATTGACGCTAACAAACATGAACACTACTATGAAGAAACCTAAGAGAAATGACGAAACAAATTCTACGAATTTAAATTTGCGGCGATGCATCCAGTATAAATAAGCATAAACATCAGGCAGTAAAGCTCAAAATTAGAAATAAGCACCTGGAAACTTCTCCGCCTTTGGCAATTAGGAAGGATACTTCTGGGTTACAGTAGCGAATAAGTCGTTGACAATTGGAGAAAGAATCCGCCTGGAAGAAATTGAAAGGGAATGGAAGAAACAGGAAAGGATATATCATACACAGCAAATGTGGAGAGAGGTTAAAGAAACTGCTATTGTCTAGACAGAAGTAAAAGAAACTGCTATTGTCTAGACAGAAGTAAAAGAAACTGCTATTGTCTAGACAGAAGTTAAAAAAACTGCTATTTTCTAGACAGAAGTTAATGAAACTGCTATTGTCTAGACAGAAGTTGATGAAACTGCTATTGTCTAGACAGATAAAGTTATTTTTTCCTTGGGCTCCATGTTGATAGGGCAACCTTTACAGTCGTGTGCTCATGTTTCTGATTAGCACATTTTGATAAAACTGGGTTCCCAAGCACCGGATTTTCGATTATTTTTCGGACGTTTTATACTATGAAGATAATTTAACAATCTAAAGAGGACAAATAATAAAAAATCATTTTGACAAGTAGTATACAGAGAAGATAAAGACGAAAAGATATACACAGATAGAGACGAGAACATACAAGGACAGTGACACCACTAGCAACTACTTGCTGTTGAAAAGTTAGAAATTTCGTTACCTTTTCTGGCTCTGTACAGCTTGTAAACACAGCATTACTGACAAACCCTAAAGAATGGAATTTCGATTTATCAGTTAACCCATGTTTACATCGATTCCTTTACATTAAGCTTAGAGACAATTTCTTTTGAAAAATAGGAAAAGGCGCGCTTGACTCAGGTAGCACACAGCTTTTCTAAAATAACTATTTTCACATGTCTTGCAGTCAAACAGAAGAGGGGCTACTCGGCAATTCAAAAAATTGCAAGTGAACGAGCTTCGCAGAAACGATAATCACTCTTGCACTGTGAATCAAAAGAGTAAAGAGGACACAGCAAGGTCAAAGCACTAAACAAAGTCAGGAGGGTATATAGAATGTGGTCAGCCTATATCGTGACTGCAGGATTAACATATACCACGAGCATCTGATTTATTGGTCTGACATACTGTCTTTCTGTGAATGTTCTGTTCTCAGTGGTAAATGGTTAGGGAATGGTTTCGATGCAAAAGGAGTCCACGGTGCTTTTAAAACCAATAACATCCTTAATTATAATTGTAAGGATGGATGTAGCGTACCTGAACGACACTGTTCCAACAAAAACGGCAAATGCATCCTTTGGAGAAAACAGTCAGATAAAAACATTCAGTCTTTGACTACTCAAAACAGATCAAGGCGGACGAGAAAAACGGAATTCCAGCAAGTAAATGCACTTACAGCTACAGCAGGTAGACGCTGGCAAAAACAAAATATACAAGAAGCTGGACAGTATCAAATGAAATGCACTTTGCATACAAGTATAACGTCATAAATAGCACTTTGGCCAGTCTGATTAAAAATGTAAAGGATTATATAGAAGAATTCGTTAAGCCTGGTAAGTTCATCGCATTTTCTCAATATATCAATCTTACAGACAAAGGATGACGATTTCGGCACCAAGGATGACGACTGGAATCAGCGCAATGCTACAAAAAAATCATCTTTACATATCACAAGAGAAAATAAATAAATTAAGCCAAAAAAGTGTTGGAAACAAAGGACTACCTTCCACGTAAGAAAATGTTGTTCGGATTCACACAGCACGTGACTGAGCCAATTTTGAGGTTGCTTCGAACATACTGATCTGGGTGTTCCTGAACAGCATCGATGATATCTCTGACGTCAACAAACCTAATATAGACAAAGGAATATGAAGTAAAAAATCAGTTTTCTCAAACTAATGGTAAAATAGCGATAAAGCAAGCTGTAGAGAGATATGCTTGAAATAGAAGCTACATGGCATCACTGATTTTCAAACGGTGAATTTGAAAAAGTCCTGTAACCTGTGATAGGAAAATACCAGACGGTACAAATGTGGCTCAAAAGTCTGGCTGGCTTGAGTTAAATGCGACCTTTAGTTCAGCATTTATACTATGTTAAAAAGTAACAGCCATGAAAAGTTCTTGTTCCGAGGACTCACTGTATACAAACAAAATGTATATTGTGCGATACTTAATTCCAAAGAATTCTTCTGTGAAACGTTCAATAATGAATTATCAGCCATTTTGCCTTGTAATTGTCAGGTGCACACAACAAACAAAAACCCACCCATTGGTTTGAATAATGAGTCTCCTTCTCTTTCTAATGTTAGCGACGTATCTTCCCTTTTGTTGCGTCAAAGTTCGGAATGTCAAGGCAAGCTGGTCTTGGAAAGCTATAAAAAATAGTCAGCATGTCAAAACTGATACAAATCGAAACAGGTTTAACAAAATTTTTATTATATCCAGAGTTAAGAAAATGCTTTGATCTTCCTTTGGATGAAATTTTGCGCTGTTGGCCTTTATCAAAATTTACATGAAAGGTATCTTAGAAACGGAATTTTAGTAAAATGTCAGGAAAAAAAACAAGTTTAAGCAATTTATATGTTCTTCTCACTTTATATAATCTTGTCAAGAAATACTATGATTCAGATGATACTTATTTATGTAAATAAAATATTTTATTTTTTTATATAAACTACTTAAACCTTCAACAGGGCCCTTGTTGATAACAGTTCTTTCTTGTACTGATAAAGTTACCCTGTATAAACATGTATATTATAATTATTATTATAGGGTATGCATTGGCCATTCTCAAAACTACTGCATCGCTTGATAACGTTCCTCCCTAGAACCGTAATATCCTCTTGATTTTGATCAGTTCACAAATTATAAACCGGTAAGATAACAGGGCAGTCAAAATATATTCATTTCCATTTTAAAACAGTATGATAAAATTATTGCTAATATTTTTCGTTACATTTACAAATTCAAATTGGGCAAAAGCATGATAGAAATTACAGCTAGATGTTTGCAAAAATACAGTAAGAAATCTAAGAAGCATACCTTTTGCATCAAATGACTGCTTTATATCCTGCGGCACTTTGATAGCAACCCATCTGAAACAGATTTAGGCATGCAGCATTATGTCATTATTACAAGTGATCATTAGAAAAAAGCCTATTAAAGACCGAACCTATTATCTATAGAAAATTTATGATTTCTCACCGGCTTGCCTCCCTTGCAAGGGAAATCAAAGTCTTGCATAAAGTCTCAGATCCACTGCCAGGAAGACCAGTGACGATTGTCAATAACAGCTACAATGAAAAAGCATCTAAAGTCGTACATTCAGGAAAAGTAGAAGATAAAATTAAAGAATAAATCAAGTGAATAACTCAATCATTTACACCCTATTATCTACTAATACTGTTCCAATTGATGGAAATTTTTAACGGCACCCCTCTCTCAGGGTTGAGGGGAGATAAACTCCAGCTTTCGGCGAAAAGTTTAACCTCAAAGTTTAAAATTTCTATAAAACATTAGGTTAACAATGCACATCTAAAACTAAAGTAAGTTAACTAGGTAAAGCAAACAACCAGATTTATTTGTGTTTATCCAGATAAAATGTACATATTGTACATATGCTCATATTGTTATAATGTTACGTTTGTTTGTTAATTGTTATTTTGCAAACACTTTGAGAATACAAATGATCATCGTTACGTAAGAAGAGACATTAAGGCTTAGCACAGATAAGAGGTTAAACCCAACCTCGGAATCATCAGCTGGCAACGAATTCTTCTCCTTCGTAGCATTAGCTGGCGTCAAGAGAACATTAAGGTCCTTCTCTTCTAGAGGTTGTGAGGTGTGTGAAGATATTTCGAAATGCTTGAAGAACCTAAAACATGGTGCGAAACTTGAAAGAAATGAAAAGGAAACAAACAGGGAAATAGGGAGATAGCTGGATAGAGAGGGAAAAGCTTTCATACTTTATCAAGGCCAGTAACATTATCACGTTATCTAAAGGACATGCACTGAAATGAATCACTGACACTTTTGCTAAGGAATACTTTATTGAAAAAGCAATTCAAAGAGTCGTCACCTTTTAAGGTTGGGAAATACTTTAAGTTGTCTTGCAAAAGGAAGCATTTTCTCATCCAGTGTCCTGAACCTTTCATAGAGGCAGTCGTACCTTAAAAGGAAATATCAAGAATTGTTGGCGAATTTCTGCTGTGGACATGCTTCTCATAAAAAGATATGGAAAACATGAAAATAGTTGATGCAGAAAATAAGATCATTTTACTCACATCATCTCCTGTTCTTTCGGCAAATCTATAAAAACAAAAACATTTACAAGGTAGCATTGGCGCATCAATTTGTTATAAAAAATCTCTATAAGGCGAGCATTGTTTGAAATTTTTAGATTCGACAAGCGTGAAGACTTAAAGAATATAGCAATGATATTCAGCAGTAAGAGGATAATTTGCATTTAAAATAAAACCCTTTTAATCCATTCATTAATAGCAAATTAATAACATTTATAACAAAATTCATAACAAATTGCTAGGCAGAAATTCTATACAGCCAGTTTTTAAAAATATAAAAATCAGCAATTTCTAGCAGTCACTAGCCTTCATTTAAGAATTATTGCCAAACAATTGATCCTCGAGAGCCAATGCAATCATAACTTTTGAACGCTTTAAATGTTATCAGTTAGAGTCGGAAAAAATCAAATTGGCCTAATGTTGTACCAGAAAAAAGGGCCTACTATTGAACCTATTCCGCTTGAAAAAAACTCCGGTCTGTTTAAATCTTGGCCTGTTTCAGGAATGGGTCTGGCACTGCAGCACCAAAAGCACCCACCTTAATCCAGCCCTGTCATCAAATGCTTAATGAATAGTGTAATCGGATACATGACAGCTGAAGACAGTTGACAAAGACCACTGTTCATCTATCTGTGTTAGAGATTTTGATACTGTGTCCATAGATAAGAACAGTCCTACGGCAGGCATTTAAAAACATGGCTGCAAAATTTTTCTTTCCGCGAACTTATTGAATTTTATGAAAATTTTCTACCAGATAGAGATGTTGCGTCAAAGACTTCCAAAAAAATTGAGAACTTATAGTTCCTACTTATAGTTCCAAGATCCAACTTAAAAAAATAACAATCTCGAGGGCAAACTATCCCTTGCTATAAAGCACAAAGACATAATTCCTTTTCAACTAAAATTGTTGCGTTTGACATATTTTTCTGCCAACTCTAAAAACTTCCTGGGAAAATATTTCCCAGGCTCTGATAATTTTTACAGCTCTGTTTACAACATCATTGATGTAAAGAGGCCCAATTAATACAGAACTGCAGAAATGCTAATATGCAAGATTGTTACCATTGCAGCTTTTCAAGGGACAATTCTTATTCTCCTTCCAAAAATGAAAAGCTTCATCGTAAAATCCAGCATGAGCTTTGGACCTCGGGAGGAAAGCAACGACCACCTCATTGTCTTTCTCCAGCCAAAACGGCAGCGAATGTAGCAGTTTCTCACTGGGCTTTATTGTAAGCAGCGTGATTGAGCTAATGGAATCCTTGAAAACAGAGTTTAACAAATTAAAAGACACTGAAAACCATTGGCCTGAATTCTGCTGGAAGAAACTTCTGCATCAGATTTCACTTCAAAGAAATTTTGAACCAAAGGATCTATATTTTGGTATTCATATTCTCATTTTGTAAGCAAACATAGAAATTCTCTAGCTACGTTCAAACAATTTAAGCTAAGAAATTTATGTATTTAATTTGACATGTTTCAGTATAAGTTTGTGTCAAAATTAAAAACCTTTGCAAATTGAATTTATCAAACTGTCAAATTTTGCAAAAAGTAAGAGCGTCATTTGATTATAATGGTAGGACATGCTATGAAAAATTTGGTGCCAAAAAGACAAAAATTGGACAAAAATCAGAGTGCAAAGCAAAGGTTAGCCACTACAAAAGAAAACTCACATTGTCAAATGTGCTCCAAGACACGAAGAGGTCCAGTGGGAATGATAGATATCCACTTTGTTTGTGATGAAGAATCAAGCAATTTTCGAAGCCGTAAAACGTAACTGAAATAAAGTAAAATTGAAATAATTATCCATCAATCGAAATGGGAAACTTGAGAAACGCGATGAGCTTCTACGCAAGACAAATTGAGGTTTGGAATAGAAAACAAAATGCATCTAAAAGCAGTTGCATTAAAAAAACATTGATTGCAAATTGGAAACCATTATCAGTTGATATATCTTACAAATTAATGACGTCACGTCACCACACGCCTTATCGCAAATCTTACTTAAATTACAGGCAGTTTTAAATTTACTACAGGGCTTTATTAATATGGGGGAGGGGGAATTGTCCCTATATCTCCAGTGACCTTCAATTGTTAAAAATCATCCTCTCTTTAGAAGCCAAGGATTAACCCCCCAGCAGAGTTCATATACTCTTATTGCAGGACGTAGGACTTTAATGTAAAAATACGCGTTTCCGAAATGCAAGAGGCAATGACTTAATGCAACTGAGATTGCAGTTTGGACATTACGTTCCTGTACATATGTTCTTCAAAACCAGCAAATGACCTACCCTCTTCCGTCTGAAATGTGGGCCACTGCCCCACAATCAGCATGGCGGTCGCTTTCTCCATCAAACAGCGCCCGTAGGCAGTGAACTTCTCTTTGATGTCAACATCTTTACCGACCCAGGCTCCTTTCTCGGTCTTAGCAAAAAAATTTAGTTTAAAAGATGTAGCACAAATATAATATCTATCACCACAGCAAAGCACCAAAAATTAAAATTAAAAAAAAGAGTAATAAGTCCATGATTTACGCAGCAAGAAAAAATTGAATGTTTTCTCGTGTGCATTTTTTTCTGAAAAGTCCAACTCAAGGGCTAAGAGGAGATATGGAGCCAACAAACTCACCGGCCAACTGATAAATCTTGGCACCCCACGTGTTAACAGCACACACTCAGTACTGACTCTTTCTATACAATGAAGAAATATAACAGTTGAAATGGCATATTAAAGAGGCAAATGTCTTGATGACTCTAATAGGTAATCTCTTGCACAAGCTGACAAAACACACAACTAAATACAATTTATCTGCAGATTTGAAAGTTCCAGTACTCTCCAACTGATCTATATCGTCACCTCAAGCTATATCATCGGAAATGTTCATAATAAAAATAATAACAATAAAGGCCATAAATTTCTAACGATCCACCGGCACTTGAAGACATTTTGTGTCAAAGAGGGAAGATTGAAAAATTCAGATGATTCTTTAAGACAGTCATCCCATAATAATCATGATCAACATCCTCGCACAGACATTACCTGACATCTTCTCCATCTATATAAAAGCTAGGTTCGATAAGGGATCGATAGAATTCGTTCTTTTGGTCAAATATATATATTAGGTGTTGTCTAAGGAAATTATCAATGCATTTGACAAGAATTTTTCTACAAGTAGCAAAGGCTCACCTTGGACACATTTGAGATTAACTGTTGATACGAGAAATGTGTCTGAAAAGCAGATAGATCCTAGGGATTTCCCTTGATATTTTTGGCTTGGAATATCGTTTATGGCGATGCGTAACTATGAAAAGAAATGGAAAAATTTCAATTCGTAAATACGAAATTGCCAAAACGATTAGAACATCTGAGCTTCATATCTGCGATCCTAGAAGTAGAAAAGCTGACCTCAACTTTTCTCATAATAACACTTTAAATTTTACTGTGCTCCGAAATTTTAAAAAAATTGTAAATACCAAGGTCGAGCTTCAAGATTCTTATAAAATCTATCCTTATAAAAAGGTGAGTGTGACTGTAGGGCAATTAAATTATGCAAAGCACAACAGCGGATGCGCAAACCAGAACGTAGTAACATCGGGTCAAAGCCCCACCCAAAGGAAACTGATCATTACTGAGAAGAACAAGGCCAGTCCCCCGTGACTCCGGGAATCGGAATTACGTCGTAGTGTAGTCACGTCGTTGAATAGCATAGATATCAACATTGAGCTTGAGGGAGCGGGGTGGAAAATCTCAAAATGGTCTGTCCAACATTGTAGATACGAACAATGGGGTTACCGAATAAGCCTAACAAAATAAAGATGGGCCATGGCAAAGGCCTTGGTATGAAACTTGACATGTCTATATACAATAGGTTCTCAATTCACTGTATCGGCACAGCTATAAAGCCTTGACTTTATTCTAATTCTTATTGATGAATGAGATGGCAGCCAGATGGCAAGTAAATTGAAGACAAGGGAATATGTGCAATTGAGGACAATGCTTAAATACGAGAGACTTACACTCTTGCATGTACCAGTTATTGAGGCGTTCTCGCTAGATGATGGAAAATTCGACATCAGACAAAACATCATATGAAAAAGCAGAAATAGCTAATCTGTATAGCAGATTTTTTGAAAGGAGGGAAATGCCATAAAAACAATCACCCAAATTACAGTTCCATTTTCAAATATGATTTTGGAAAAATCAAGACATTTTAAGCTAGGAAATATATATATACCCTATTGTAACAAAAATTTCTGGCTTCCCTTTTGTCACAAAGTGCTCGATGCCGTAAAGGCAGAGATGTACACTGCCTAATGGTTGCCTGATGAAACTCAGAGTTGCAACTTGTAAAGGTCCGGTTCAACACACGAGAACGTAATACCCGTTGCAGATCGAAATAGGCCAACCAAAGCCATTTTCAATTTCCGTTGTTATATTGCAAAGTTCATTTTATGTTCAAAAATGCAGATCGTTTGTCTGTTTAAGAATATCGATATTTTCCAAGGTTTCCTGAAAGATAGGCTAATTAGCAGTTGAGATCACCAGAAGGGACAATTTCTTATTTAATTCATTTTAACCATAAGACATTGGTGTTGTTTAGATCTGGATCAAGGGTGCTCTTAGGTCAGTATCTATAACCTAACTCTTGTCTTAACTTATTTTTCCATTCATTTGTTGTGTGGTTGACTTGGAAATTGCAACAAAACACTAAATTTCATCTCTGATAATGGTTCTACCCGGAGATTCCAAAAGCTCTTAATGTGTCGTCATAAACATGTTGGTATCGTCTTTCTATCTGATAGAGGTCGGAAATTTTTCTTGGTAATAAGCACGTTGCCTCACCTCGTTTCTTTCGCATCTCAAAGTCATGAAAGCATTCCACATATATAAAACACATACCTGCCGTTTTGATCCACCGACTTCCACGTGACATCAATGTCAGATTTCTTTGGTACAAAATCAGACTTCCTTTCTTTAGCAGATTTTATGATGTGTTGGACAGCAACATCTTGACACTAGCAATGCAGAAAAACAGTTTCTGTAAGTCTTTAGATCAGACTTGATCTGTCAGACTCGTCGAACAGAAGTGTGGGCAGTGCTTAAACTTCGGACCATAAACCGATCTAACATCTTTTGGATATGATGCCATTTTAGATATGAAATACTTTACAGCACTTGAGTGATTGCTTAAGAGAATTCATAAAACAGAAGTTTCTTGCCATGAATTTACGGAACCAATGCTGATTGCGATATCCCGTGTAGTTAAGAAGTCACGCCAGTATAGCCCGATTTGTTGGTAAAACCCTCAGGGTAGCTACGGCACAGTGCAGAATTTCTACATGTTTAGGAACGCTACCCTAATATTCCTTCATGTTAGAATCAGTTATAACAGTATTTGCTATTTCAAACCAATAATGGAACAGAAGAATCTTGATTAATGTGCCAAGTCTTAATAAATTGATAATTGAAATTGAAACTAAAAAGGAAATATTGACAGCCGAAGTGCCAGGGGATGCTCCTTCGGAAATCTCAGGAGATGTCATTCCTAAAACCCATGGGAGATTCATTGGAAAATTCTGCGATTCACCAATCGCACGAAAGGGTTTACTAATTTATTGTGATTAAAAAATCGAGGCATCGAAGTTAAAACTTCTGAAAAGCTTGTAAAAATAATTGACAGAAATCATAAGATACCGATTGCAACCCAAAGATAACTTTAACTATGTAGCAATGGGATAATTCTATCACGGGTCGATCTGATAGAGTTAATTGAGGTATTTAACATCCCATCTAACTATCCTGACAGACTGTTCTCTCTGTTTTATAAATTGAGTGATCATCAATCGATCGACTTTGGGAAAATTGCACAATATTGTATTTTAATCAAAAGGGGCCCACCGAAACAATACCAAGCTTCATCCATATTTGTACATGACAATTTTCCTTAATATAACAAAATTTGCTAGCTTGGTCAATACGACGTATGTTACTGATTGTTAGAGGAAAGCAAAAATTGAGTTCAAAGCAACATCAGAATTTTCCTTTCTTTTACAAGATATTCCTTGCAAATTAGGGAAGAAAATGCAAAAGATTATTTACCTTCGCAAAATCCAAAGTCTTCTTGTATTCATCAACAGCCAAATCAAAGGCTTCGCAAGCCAATTCATAACAGTCTCTTAAAACCCTGGAATAAAAACATCACACGTGACAAGATCATAGAAGAGATAAAAACATCACACGTGACAAGATCATAGAAGAGAATATTTGACAGGACTGACTGTCAAGTGGATTACTTTATTCTGCATCAAATATTTCAAACATATTTTGTAGATGGTACGAAATCTAACAGACGTCCATTTCGTCCTAGTATTATTCAAGATCACACTACATTGCAATTTATATTACAGTCCAGTAGAATCAGATTTAATTTTAGGCTCTTTTACTTAGCCTAAACATATTCTGAAATAATTAATCTACTAAATGAAAATATCATCTTAATTTGACAAAAACAATCTTTCAAACCTAATTTCCTTGGTGTCTGTTTCTTCGTCTTTTGTAGCCCCATCTGCAATCAGAAATTATTGAAATAAGACAACGAAAAATGCCCTGGCAAACCTTTGCACTGAAATTGTGCAGCCAACATTGCAAAGTTGCAACAGTTGATATACAAATGCTTTACCAAACAACTTTTGCCTAGTATACATTGAACCCTCGTATACACATTGCCTTTATATATACATTGTTCCCTAGATTAGATTATGTAAAGCTTCATCTTTTGCATACTCAGCTTTGAAGAGTTCACAACTTATGAAAAAATACTAATCTATATCGACATATGAGCCAAACATAATGATACTTCGAAAGCAAAGCTCTCTTAGACAGATTCAAAATAATGTAATATAAAAGCATTCTGAGACATTTCTACTTTGTTTTTAAGTAATAATGTATAGGTACCGTTTGATTGCTTGACTGTGGGCTCGATCAAGTAGGTCCTTGTGCACGAGACCATCCCTTTGGAATCTTTCCCTTCGCAGACCTAAAGGGCAGAGATCTAACTCAAGATACGTAACTTACAATTCAAAGTAACTTACCACTCTATAATTGTGACTACAAATATGTATTTAAATCTGTAAACTACATAATGACGTCTGTACTTATCAACTAAACTATCAGACGAGGCAAATCCAACAGAAGAGAAATGAAAGGGTTTATATGACCTCTCTCAATAATAGCCTTCTTTTTCCATCATTCCACACAAAATGGGAAGCTACATATGTTGATGCATAGGTATTAATGTTAATCTAATGTTAATCTATCAACTGCTGCATAATGTTTTCAAAACAGATGAGCAGTCCTTTATCGTCGATCAATTATTCAGCAACCAATCAATCAGCCTTGCATCTATCGCCCATTTTCTTTATAATCAAACATCTTAGGATTAATTTATCCTCTGCATACGGACAATAGATTGTGTGGTAATATAGACAAGTAAACATTTCACTGTAGCTATAATGACACGTTGATAATGCCAAACATATGACGTCACAACAGTTTAAAGACGAGAACGGTTACAAAACGATGAAAAAAACTTCGTTACAAAGACTGGCACTTACTACCCTTTTTGCCTACTATAAAAATTAACATAAACTTCCATAAATTTTGCCTGTGGATCGCATTAAGCGTGAAACTCGGAGTACCAACTTAGAACCGTCCTGTTTTTTTACACCAAAAGCGTGTCTAGCTCTGCTGATACGGCATCAAGCACTTTATGACAGACAGGTAAACAGCAATTTTCATTAAGTTTCCTTAACTGCTTTTATCATAACATGGTCAACATATCTATCACTAAAAGAAGCAGATAATTTATGGAATAGAGCTGAGAATACAAAATTCAATAAACAAAGCTCAAACCATGTGCAGGGCAAGTGTTCGATCAATCCCGCTTTCTTTTAACAAATTTCCTCCGTTCTTTGAAAGCTCTGCTTGTTTTTCACCGGTAAAAACTCCAAATCTGACGGACGGCTCACTAAAAAAGATCATTTTACAAATCATTGGGGTTAAAGAGCCGAGTTGTTATAGGCTATAAAATTTCATAGACCATAAACAATTAGCAATGAAGTTACCGTAAAAAGCATAGAAAGATTTTGTTCAGCAAATCAGATTTTCTGCCATTCAGCTATTCAGAGACCACTATTCATCATTTTATTCATTTGACGGTGGTGCCACAGAATAGCTCTATTCTGTGGTGGTGCTAGCAGCTCTAGGTGTGTGTGTGTGTGTGTGGGGGGGGGGGGAGAGATTTCAGAAGAAATATATAGTCTGTCTCTTCACTAGCGCAGAAAATCAGTTTTTTTAGAATTTGAAGCAATTTGGGACATATTAGTTTCGAAAAAGTTTAAAAATATCCCGGCTAACAACAAGCCATGCAAAGTCACTTTTCTGAAATATCGGCCTTCAAACTCAGATGTTAAAATGAAGGCCTTGGAACGACATTACTAATTATGGACATCTTTTTCTTCAACAAAACAACAAAGTCCTTTACTTTGGTAAAGATATCAATCGAAAAAACTTTTTTCATAGCAAGACTTCGTTATAGAAACATATATACTTGACTTAAATAATGGATATGACTTGAAATCATTATATAAAAGATACAGAAGCTACAGTACTGCTCAGAAACTTAATTACCTCAAGCCCTCCAGCTTTCTTTCATCAGCACCATGGTGAAAATATGTCTTCAATGGCTGGAGAAGAGAATGCAGAGGGTAAAGAGACTTACAATTACTAAGCTGCCTGACACTTACAAATAGCTGTCTTTACTTTTTAAGAAGAAAACTTTGCAAATAAAAAGATTTTCATGGTTTTATGAGTTAATGTAAAGTATATCAAACAGCATGTTTTCCAACATTAGAATTAAACAAAGAGAGATTATTAAGAAAATTAACAGTCTGAGGCCCAGAACATCTTATTGCTTGAATCTGACATCGAGGTGCTTTACTCTATATCTACAAATGGCCTAGCACTTACTTCTTCCACCTTCAATCGATCCAAATTTCCAATGTTTTGGTCACTAATTGAAATCGAAAAAAGAAAACAAAAATATTCCAAATAAACACAATCAACCATGTTATTCAAAGAAATGAATACAATTGTTATACCTTTCCCGAACAATTTTCAATAGATAAGGTTTTAAGACTTCAATGCAAAAATCGTGTCTTCTAGGTAAATGTAAAAACTTTTCTTACCAGCATGGACATTTTTAAACAGTTTATGCTTGTGCTTAGGACTTCACGTTAATACAAATGTCAAAAAAGCAGTGTCCTGCATTATTTTATTCGCTCAATTAGGATCAATGTAAGGACATTTTTACCAATAATAGAAAAACAGAGATTCAGCAATTTTAGTAACAAAATAATATAACATAAACGGGTAATGAAGTAGTTAAATTATTAAGTACTTTCGAAAAAGACAAATATTAACCCCTGTTTAGAATGCTAGAGCAACTTAATATAAACGTTAAAGATTTATAAATGATCAAAAACCCTTGATTGGAAAAAAAAGTGGTCGTATGAATTTGGGATGACAAGAACGAGTGAATAAAGATCTAAACAAGAGTAAGACAAGGGTTCTGTGTTTTGTCGGGGGAAGAAATTTCTATAGCCTCAGATAAACCAATGACATGTCATTCTAGAGCTCTATAGAGGCATGTCATTCTATTCAAATCAAAAGAATAAATACAAAGAATTATTTGGGTAGTAGTGACAGCGACAATACAGAAGGATCCTTTAACACAAGAAACAAGGTATTCCTTTAGGAAAACAGCCTTCCCTTTCTTTCAGATCAAAAACAATACCTAAAACATGTTAACATGTGCTTCCCTCATTGGCAACATTTACTAGAAAAACCAGTCCCCCTGTGGTCTTTTAAAATTGCAGTTCTAGAAACTTAAGCCGCGTATTCACTTCTGGATTCCAATGTTAATTTTTTCCATAGACTCGTATTTCTGTTGAGGTGTTTGTTTTTGTCAAAGCGATTGATGAGTAAGTTACAAATTTAAGTAATAAGGAACCTTGAATACTTGAATAGCAACCTGGCATTGAAAAGTACTCTAAATTTTCATAAATCTAAAAAAGAAATTAAAAATTATTTAAAAACGACCATGCTTTACGCTATCAATTAGTGATTTCCATCAAAGATAAAAGCAAAAAAATATTTTGACATTAATAAAGCATATTATAATATGATTCACATACCTGACCATGCTTACACTTTCAATTAGTGATCTCCACTGTTGCTCAAATTGTGGTAAAAGCTGATCATAGACAGAATGAAAATTAAATCAAAGTTGAGCTTGAATTTTAAATCCACTTAGCAAAGGAAAATGATGAAAGTGATAAACTGAAGAAGAATGCATACTCACTACTCAGTAATTTTTTCCGAAAATTTCTTTCTCCAAACAAATAGAGATATCAAAAAGTATTCGAATTTCAAAAAATTCTCAACTTTGATTTTTAATTTTAAAACAAGACTTAGTAAGTTATTCACGCAAACATAGAAACAAAGTAAAAATCAGACCTGCGTGACAAGATTCTCCAAATCAAACTGGTTAAGTGTGGCAAAAGCGTCATTAAGGAATTCTGTCCCTTCAACAACCTGAATAGTTTGAAATAAAACTGATTATGTATCAAACTTTGAAATGGGTCAAAATGCTTTAAACATGTTCCTTTGACCATGTCTATGACCAAGAAATAGAAATAAAAGATGACAGCTATTTTAAAGACAATTATGATCATAATAAAACATATCATACTGGTTTAAGACTGTGGTTAAGGTGTATAAATATTGATAAACAGTTTACGGTCAAAATATTTTCCATCAGTAGCAGCCCTTGGATTTAATTACGATTTAATCTTATGTTCATAAACAAAAAGTCTAGCAGATGAAAAAATTAACCCTTAAGAAATCTTTGTTGGCTAACGCATATTGAAGAACTTACCTGGTGCTTCATGGTGAAAAAGCCGCCACTAGAAGTAAAAAAAGAATCATCACATCTGAGAGTTTAATGATTAAATTGATATGAAAAATTTGCCAGAAGAAGCTATTGTGGTATCCGCTATATTGATAGCTTTTCTTACCCTCCAATTTCTTCCAAAGCATATGCTTGGATGAGAGGCCATTGTTCGATCAGCATTGGGTCAAATGGAATGGACTGATACTTTGATGAAACTGCAAATAATATGGTCAAATTAGTAATCAAACATGGAATTCGGCTAACGATGAGAAGATATAAAGAAATGTTAGAAAAGATGGTACTTTGTGTGTGCGTATACCTAACTATAAGGATGGCTCAATGATTTTGATCAAAGACATCAGATCCAAGGATCACAGTTTCAAGGTTCTAGCAATGACCAAAAATTCACTTAGGGCCTGTTTATTGGGAATGTTTTCCCAGCATTTTACCGGAGAAGTGGGAATCTCTTTATCTCAAGATCCTGCCCATATTGCATTGCATAATAGCATGAGTATTTCTTGATGAACCTGCCAAGGCGGGTTCTTGCAAGCTCCCCCCCTGAGGTTTGCCTTTCTTGGTAAACCCCCCAAGGTGGGTTCGCACAAGGCCCCCCTCTGCCGGGGCTGGCTAACCTTCCTTGATCAACCCACGGAGGCAGGTACATGCAAACCAACCACCCCTTGCCATCCTGAGGTGCAAATTAGCAAAAAACGAACACAAAACCCCCTCACAGAAACCTCCCTTGCACAAAACCCCAACACATAAAATCCCCTTCACACAAAACCCCAACACAGAAAACGTGCCCCGGCAGACACATGACTCTCACAGAAAAGAGGCTCCTGCCCTAAAGAGGCTGTGGATGCTTCCCGCAGGGGTTGCAAGAACCAAGAGAGATAAGTCTGAGGCTAAAGGGGCCTTGCAAGAACCCATCTTGGCAGGTTCTCTAAGAAGGCTAGTCTTCCTTCCATACCAAGGCAAACAAATATCAAAAACTATAAATAAGAACTTCGCTCAAAGTTTTAATTTATTGATATATTTGCTCAAGGATGAAATGCTCTACCATTTCTGGTAAATTGTATGTTACTTGGAAGTTATCTTTTCCAAATGTGCGCAAACAGTCTGTTGCAATTAAGTGATCTCTAATTGAGATGATGTTAATGGGTCATTATGATTGACATGTCTCTAGTGAGCCAAGTGCCCAGACACTGGAGCTGATTTCATTCACTCCAAAGCCCTGAGTAGCATAGCACAAGCATTCCTCACAGGAAAAAAACATTTTCCCAGCCAGCTACTGAGATTCCCCCTAGACAAGGTAAAATTATCGCATATGAACAGGTTTTCCGGGCAGAGCAGGGAAAAAGATGTAATTTGCACAAAATCCTTGACACCATCCACGAATGGCTCTAAAGCCCTCTAAAGTTTTCCCAGCAGGAAAATGTCTGCATATGAAAGGTTAATAATTATTTACCAAGCTAGCTGAGATTTCTGCTTCACTGGGTAAGGCCCAGGGAAACTCCCTCAATATGAACAGGCTCTGGGGGTGGGGAACATCGATAGCTCTCTATCATTCTAGGCATAGGATCACAGGGTGTAGTAACATCTTTGAAATACAATCAAGGCTCTAAATACCACCCTCAAATGATAATTAAAAACAAAAATATAGCTAAAATACTAAATAAGAAATTGAGAGACATACTGCCATAGTTGTATGGGACCGCAACAGTTGCACATCCCTCTACCATCACAAGCAAGCTTGAAATTTTTAGCTCTTCACTCAAATCTTCGTGGTTGTCATACTGAATAGAACATAACAAAAACCAGAGATAAAATGCGAAATTTTGATCAGAATTTGAACAAATTTAATCTACTCTTGAGTCTACTCAATTTTAATCTACAAAAGTACTCTTGAGTCCAAAGAAGATGAAGGGTGTGGAATAAACTGGGTGGGTGGAGAATATCCTTAAAATACAATAAGCAAGGTGGACGGTAACATATAACAAACATATAACAATGACTTTTGATGAAAATTTTTTAAAATCAGCCCACAATTAGCCTTCAAAAGTCACTTCCCCTGTAACAAAAAAAATTGACAGACAGAAGGTTTAGTAAAAGGTTTCCCTAATAAATTTGCTTTCAAAACCTAATTAGCAAGGAGGTGTTCTTATTCCATAAGTACTTGAACCTAATATCATATAATTTTTATTTTAATGACTTTGCTAACATATGACAAAAGTAGGAATGAAAAATATAAAAAACCCAATATAATATTTTTCCTTCTCTGTTTTACATCAATTTTTACAAGATTTTGCCTCTAAATTTGCATAAAACAGATCAATTAGGCATACCTCAGACTTGTCCAAGCAATAAACTTCAAGGTTATCCCAGCTAGCAGCATAAGATATGAACAAGTCATAATTTTCTGGGTTGCAGTAAGCATGGATGCTTCCTTTTCTGATACATATTACCAAATCTAAGATATGAAACAGAGATTGAAGGCTGAAGCACAAGCTAGTAAGTACAACTAACTTTTTGACAAATGAGACAAGTAGAACCAATTATTTCATGTTTGAGAGTTTTTAAAAGGCAGAGCATTTTTGCACTCTTGTTCATAATAAATAAAAATACTGTTTGCAAAAGTAGGGATACGCTCAACTTCTTACCATCCAAAGCATCCTCACCAATGCTGTCACTAGAAGAGAAAAACTTTTATTTTATAACATTGGTAACAAAATAAATTTACCCAGAACATAAGGAATCAGAGGTTACTAAAATTTTGCCTTGGCAAACTGGGCTGCATCAGAGCAAAAGAAAAAGCACAGAACAGAACACAATATCATAATCTAAGCATGAACTGAGACCAACCTTGAAATTGTCAATTTTGATACACTTGCATTGAATCCAGGTAGAATATATTCCAATACATTTCTACTGCCACTATTAAACCTGCTGTCTATACCTATGAGAAAAATATCTTACTGTGCAGTGGAATGACAATAATTAAATTTTAAGAACTGCATAGGATAAAACCTGTAAACAAAAATACATCTTAAACCCATATTCCTTTAGATTAACCTCATGGGATCCATCCTATAGTCTCTAGCAGATTTCCTTATCACAAAAAGTGCCAGGTCAAACCCCTTTTTCATTGCATCACTTAAAAGAGTTTTGACTTCAGTTCCATTCTATTTATATCTCACTACAGCAACAAATTCCATTGAAATTTATTGAAAAAGCTTAATTTTAAAAATGGGTTAATGCCCAGCCTGACAGCCCAAAACACTCTACATTTTCGGCACAGACTAATTTTAACATGAAGATTCCAATTCTATGATCCATGTTTGCCAAATGTGAAGATAAAATTGCCTGAATCAGAGAATTGCATGTTGAGAAATTGTAAAAAAATGAAACTGAACTTAACACACTTTACCTGCAATTATCAAAAGGCAATTGATGTTGAATCTGTTGCTTGCCAAATGACTTTGAATCTTCCCTACTCTATTACAGCTGTAAAACCATAAAGTTAATATGCAACAGAATAATAGTCAATATTTATATACATACATACTCAATTTTGTGTAGCATTTAAATTGCCCACATGCATCACTCATTTAAGCAAAAAATGACCCACATGTACGTACAATAACTAGGCCGTGTTTTACTGCCCAACCATGAATGGTACCTTCATGGTACCATGGATCGGGGCTGCAATGGTACCTTTTTTGGGCCCAAGGGGGTGGGGAGGGATTCAGTTATGGATAAGTGAGATTTAAAATTTCTTGCAATCGAAGTGTCTGAGTGTTTTATGGAAAGCATAGGTCGCACCTTGCACGACCGAGATTCTGACCAAAACATTAAATGAAAAACTTGTAAAATTGATGACATTTACTGTAGTCAGTTTAGGAATTTTTTCTCTTCTCAAATGGACCCGAGAACCACTTTATTGGATCGAAACAAGCATGTAAATATAACAAACCTAATTTCCTTTCTGTCACTATAGAACGCTTTCCGCGGCGAGGTTGCCATCATGTTTCTCACTAACTCTGAATTTCAAAATGGCCTCCCTGACAACATAACCCTTTGCAAATGACAACAGCTGAAAATGCGCGCCAAAAGGAGACTGGGTATAGCGCGGCCAGGCCAAATGTCGAGTGTGGTGTGACATGGGCGGGAAATGTTGGGGTCAACGGGGGTGAATAGAGTTCTATACATCTCATTAGTTGGGGTTTAGCCAGCAGGCACAGAGAAAGTAACATTGCTTTTTCAAGAAAATATATACAATGAAGGATTGAATCGTATATTGATCATTTCTTCATAAAAAAATCAGGGCTTCCTTCAAGCTAGATCTCAAAACTTAATAATTAGATTATGTATTTTAGAGGTTGTTTTAATTAGATGACTTTCAGTTTTGACTACTTTTGGGTCTATTGACCTATTTGCAATGATACCAATTGTTCTTGCAAAGTTTTTATGGCATTTATTTTTGATGTTATGCACAGACACCTTTGTGATTCCGAGCCTTTAACTCTACATCAATCTGGTTTGTGTCCGGCAGACTCAACTATCAACCAGATATCAGCTATAAACAGACTTTCATACTCGCAAGATTCTTCATTGTGAGTTTGAGTGCGTGCCTAGCCTGTAAATTCGCTCTATCTTTTTGGACAAATCTAAAACAGGGCCATGCCCTCTTTCACCTTTTTGCAGAGCTAAAGGAAAATTTTAGGCAAAAGTGGAAATAAATGTAGCATATGATTCTTCAAGTAGCTGTGCCTAATATTCTCTTAAATATGTCCTTAGCTTTACCTTGGTTGCTATGTCTTTACCATAGAAGACATAAATAAAATTTAATAAGGGAATTAGATCCAAGAAATCGGTCATTGCCTACGTTTTATAACGAGCGAGTAACAGCTTGGCTTAGCAAATAGATCGAGAAACTTAATCCAGAATAACTTGGTGCCAGCACAAATTGACGGAGTTTCGTTTTTTCCATTGCCTAAACTTGGCACAAAAGGTCTATTTGTTAACGAAAACTTTCTCAGGAACATTACAAAAAGAGAGAAATCAGCTGTTGGAGAAAAAGAAATAACCGGAAAAACTTTTTTGAGGCTATGAGAAATAAAGGATGGGCAGATTTGTTCTTAAAACGTATCATCAAGAAAACTTCAGAGTTTGATCGTTTGGATAATCCATTCCTACTTAGAAAGAGAAAATTTAGACGCAATTATAAATTCTATTAAAATTCATTTTGGCCAGCCTAGTTTGAAGGTCTTCTAATCTAGAGTCTTTTTTTGTCAAAAGCACATAATTTCCGAAAAAGTTAAGATCAGATGTTGCAAAATAATATCCTAACTACGCATTCAGAATTGGTTGGTTATTAACTACTAGTTGATAGTTCTTCTATTGGTATTTCAATGTTAATGTTTTTATCGAACCGTGTTTCATTTATTTTTTTACCCCATCTTATTTTGGATACTTTTGAAATCTATAAAAGGTTTCATTACGAGCTATATGATAGTGGTTATTCTAAAACTTTTCCTATTTCAAGTCAACATCACAATAGACGAGACTATGCGACACGTTCAGTCAAAATTCATTTTATATACAGTTTTTGGCCATCCCTGAGACACCATAATTCTAAAATTTTTCATGCCACCAACCATGATGGCGGCCTTTTCTAAGCCCCTTCAAGACTTTCAAATACGTTTCGCCGGCCCTGTAAAGCGCACGACAGAGTGTCATGGCGGTCTTCCCGTACAAGCTTGAGAGCAGTGGCATATCCGGCGACCCGTTATCCTTCATGCGAAGTTTCTTCCTTGGTTGAAAATAAAGAATCGTCTTGAAAGAATGTAATGGCAATCATCACATTGGGGCTTTCGCAAGGAGCTTTTCTTGGTCCCTTATTCTTTCTGTTTTACATGTGTGACCTTGTTGCAGACATTGGCGTAGGAGATATAGGGGTTGGTGGCAACCCTCCAATCAGGCAAATTTTATTAAATTTCAACCCATTCGGGCAATTTTATAGCAATGATGCGCAAATTTATAGGTAAGACCCATACAAACCCCCTCCCCCTAAACTTCTAACATTAGCTATGCCCATGGTTCGTAAATGAGAATTGTGACATCAATTTGTTTACAGATGATACATCATTGTCAACTGTAGTTAGATATAATACAAGACGTTTAGACTATGGGCGTGGCAATGAAAAATGCAGTTCAATGCTGAAAACACAGAAGAAGTGGGTTAAACCCCAAAACCCACTTTTGAATCTTGGTAAAGACGAAAGTGTGAGAAAACTGATCATTAACATCTTGCTATGATCCTAGACTCAAAGCTAGACTTTAAAAGTCAAATTCTTCAAGCAATTCAGGATAAAACTATTTAAGTCTGGCTAGCTAGCAAACTGCAGACAATTATCCTGTTAATAAACATTGAAAATTGTACTTTGAAAAATTATATTTTTCTTACAATAAATAGTTGGTCTTTAGCAATTTTAGCTATAAACTATTTGCCAACCTTAAATCAAAGAATTTATAGCTAAGAGAGACGTTATCTGTTAAGCATGAAAAAGAAGTCTTTGCGGACAGGAACCCAGAGGTTGTTTGAATATTTAGTCTTTCAAATTGGACACTATTTCTGCCCTGGCGAAAACACTAATTTGCAGTAATTGTTCTACGGGGTTCATAATTGCTACCACGACACTTCAACACTTAGATCGTGACCTAAAACCATTGCATGTGATATCCAAGGCCACAAGCAGTCCACGATCCACGAAGACAGTCTCAGTTTGAGTTTCATTCACAGATACTTGGTCTGTTATTGTCACCAGGCAAAATTGCCTGCAGAGTCACTAAAACATAAAGTTAAAAATCAATAGTGACATTTTTCTAAGAAATGCGAGACACTAAATTTAATCATTCGAAGTTGAGAAATTTCAGAAAAAGAAATAACAACAAAAACTTGCTAACTTTTGGAGAACTTACTTGTTAATAAAATTATAAATACTAGAGCAGGGGTAGAGGGAAACGGGTTTTTGGGTGCATTTTGCCTAAGGTTGCCTGTTTTGCTTGGACATATCTTGTAGATTGCAATTAAGGCTCTGAAAGTTGACATTAATTAAATATAGGCTTAACATCATATGAGTTGCCAGAACTTCGCCTCCGGACGTCCCTGAAGGGCTTACCCAACCCTCTACTTTTCATGAACTGAACGCCATTGGTTCTCAAAGCTACGCCTTTCCCACTTCTTAACAACTTTCGTTTCATTTGAAATTCTTACCCTATCCCTTGTCCCTCGTACCCTTGTTCTATTATGCTCAAAGTCCCTGGTAACGATCGTGAGCTTCTCTATTAGCATAAGCTTTTTTACAAAATATATAATATCATAATACAGGGAACAAATGCAATTATAATAATATGATTTTCAAAATATTAAAGATTCAGACAGTTATTAAAGACAGTAATCAAAGAAAAGGTTTCGGCTATTGTTATCAGAGGAAATCAATTTGAAAATAAAGAAATTCAAATACCTGGAGCACTAAATATTGCATTGTCTGGGGTGGAAAAATATACGAATAAGTAAAGCGAATAATAGTAAATTCGTATAAAGAGTATTGGAAAAAAAGAAAAATCTTAAATGGCAGAGAATTGATTTTGTTTTGTGGCAAAAACGTTAAACTTTAATTTTCAAATTCGAATGAAAAACATACACTATATCTATATAAATGCATCTTGGAAGAGAATTCAAAATAAGTATCACACAATGAACAATATACTATGATTTTAGATGATTAAATGGGGATAATTTGTACTTCAGCGCTAAATAAAATACAAATCACCGTTAGCCACACATGCATCATGCCCTTAAAGCAAAGAGCGCTTTATGGGAAAGGTACCTCTCCTCAACAACGTGATGGATTAGTGGCTCTCAAATTAACGATGTCAGCGAATAATTAATACCATGCACCCTTAGCCAACACCTTTGAAACAAAAACCATAACCAATTCAGGAATAAATTTAGTCCAAGGGCATCTCGGTGGATTAAAAACTGACACGAGTAATCCTTTTAAAATTACCCATGAAGAGCAATTGTCTCTGTTAGCAACACGACTTTCACACAGCACAACAAAACACAAGAAGTATTGGTAACACAACAAAACAAGAAGAAAAAATACCTGGCATATTTATCTGGTTTATTCCACAATACAGATTTCCACCAGCGCCAACGCTGTTATTTATGGCTGAAATTGAAACAGAAACATTTCGATATTATCTAGACTGTCGATTGAACTAACTCCAATCGTCAATTTCTTCCCCCTGTTTTATTTTTTGCAGTCATTTTTTGATGCTAAACTCTGGTTTTGCAAAGAATTTGTATTGGGGGCAAAGATTAAAAGAGGAAATTTAAAAACTAACAGCTTTTCCCAGATAGCTGATTGTTTATCTTTTTCAGTAATTTTACTTTTTAAGCAACCTTAAATTTACCTTTCCCCCTTCCCATTTTAATGTAACACTCATCCAAAACCCACTTACTTCTGACCAAACCAACAGCAAGTTATTAGACACCCCAGGGTACTAAAAGATTATAGAATTTTGTTACATTTAGGAAAACTGTTTCTCTTTTAGTTAAAAAAACCAGCAGCAAAGATGTCGTTGAAAAATTTCTGCGAGAGAGCCTTGCGGTGTGAGATTTATGAGAAAATGGCTTCGTTTAGAATCAAACATATTCTGTATTCTGTAATGTAATAAAGTTATCGATAGCGCTAAATTGGTATCACCCATCATAGTGAGATAAAAAAAGTAATGAACGTGATTAAAGAAAATTTTTACGAAATAAAAAGCGACAGGTAATAAAAAAAAGGCAAAAACTCACTGTACATCATTGGCCGCAAAGACCAAAGCTCGTCTGGAGAGAAAGACAAAATTAATAACAAACATGGTAAAATAGAAGTTGCTCCAATAATCAGCAAGCAAGGATTGTTGTGAAACATAAGTATAACTTGAAACAGACAAAAAGATAAGAAAAATCAAATATCATAGGAAAACGTCTCAAATTAAAATCAATCGACAGGTTAAAGCCATCAGACATCAGCTATTAGCCAATCAAAAAGCGTCTGCATGGTATCAAGCTTATTGATTGGCCAATCGCTAAGTGACAAATGGCTTCAGTCACTCAAGTATATGTCGATTGCCATTAATGCCCACGTGAAAATAAAATAAAGTTACATAAAATCACACATACCGGAGGACTCTTGTTTAAGATATTCTTTGTGCATCTAAAATTTGAAAACTCATTAATGTCAAAATCTCTCTATCAGACTTATAATTAGAACATGCTACATATCAAATTATCTAAAAACCCCTTTCAAATTTTGAAAAACAGAGTATTTGCCAAAGCAGCTTGGAAATTTTTCATTTTGTTACCTTACACAGAGAATATCGTTATGTGGTGCAACACACAGCTCTCAAACGTGACGTAAAACGCCGATATGAGGAGACTTACTACAAATGTTTTTTATAGGCCCATACTTTTTTATAACTCTTCTTTTGGAAATTTGAAACAGCCATTCATACATTTTACAACGTATTGGATTATCACCGTCTCTGCGCTTTGGTACTGCCTATCACCTTTTATCTAACTCATTGCAAGGTTCACAGACTGTCTTGCATTTCTTCCTTCTCATATATTCATAAATTGTTCAACTCTTTCAAGCATAAACAGAGCTGTCTCTGCAGCGTCGAACAGAAAACAGTTTATGAAGCTTGATCTTTATAAAATTATCAGATAAAAGCAAAACTGGACAACGAGGCATAGGTTTTCTTTCAAAATTACACGAAAAACTATACCTTTACAAATATACGCTTCTTTGTGTATAGAACAGGACGGTTCTAAGTTGCTACTCCGAGTTTCACGCTTAATGCGACCATCAAGCAACTGCTCATATACAAACATAATTCGATTTTTATTGAGCATTTACAAATTCTTTTATTATTGTTCTTGGAATATAGGGCATACCCTTTGAAAAGAAAAATATGCCTCGATTTGCTTGAACCTGCATATGAACTATACGTTACCTCCTTCGTTCTATATTCTTCAAACGGGTACTGAAGAATCTCACAGATCTTTTCCATCGTCTTTTTATTGTCGTTAAATTCTACCTGTTGAGCTACCTGTAACGCAGTGAATCCTTCCTGTAGAAAAAAGGGAATACAAAAATCATTACTGATAGAAAAACTATACGTAGTAATTGCTTGAAATTCTTTTAAATCAAATTCACACGAAGAAGAACATGTTTGTAAGAGATTTATTGGCAATCAAGTGTAGACACCAGCCAAACTCGTTACAATTCTAAAAAGGATATAGCTGACTGTTTCAAAAAGTGGTGCAGTTTTATTCATGACGTTAAACATGAAGCATCTTGTAAGATTTCAAAATTCGTTGGTAAACAGGCATCCAGTTTAGTTCAGCGAATAGTGGTTTGATGTGGGTTTGTCTGTTAAAACCAAAGACCAACCGTGCACAATACTTTTGTAATTTAAGAAGATTGTCCAGCTGAGTAGCAGAGTTATTGTGAAGGAGAGGGGAACAGCAGTGAAGGTGGTACAATACATAGAAGTTTGCTAATATAATCATTCCCGCGAAGGGTCGTTTGCAAGCTTTAGTCCAAGGTGAATCAAATGTACTTTTGTAAATTTACGCATTCCACTACATTTGACCAAGATTTACTTTGGTTTACTTTGATTTACTTTAAAATTTACAAGACGAGAATGGCGTGCTGATAAAGGAAGACATACTGTTGACAAATATATTTGACGGACAAACAATCTTGACAATTTAAACTGATATGCCATAAAAGCCACAGCTCTTTGTGGGTGGTAGATGTGATGTCATATTTCTTGCCGCTCTGCTAAAGAACAGATCAAAATCGCTTGCATTATTCCCTTTGTTTGTCTATCTATCACCACAAAACTTGATACTTCAAGGTTGTTTGCCTTGTTTAAGGTAACAGTCTCTGCAGAATTTCGTACTGTTTAGGACATTTTTCAATGTTTTGTTTTGCATTCAAGAAGAATTTCTTTTTGGAGTCACAAATTGCTGTTGCTGCTTTACTAACAGCTCTTTTGTAAAAGTTCTGTTTCGCTACGAGATAACATCGGAAGGACGAATGAATTTTGGAGGATACTTTCATTAAAATGACTGCTGATCAAAGAATAAGATTCCTTTCTGACTTTCATGGTGCATGCCAGTGAAGAACGAGATTTATTCGCTGACAGAAAATATCACGCTTGTCATCAATATCATCAGTTGGTCCAAAGATTTAGAGCTTGTCCAAAAATATCAAATAACTGCCATGGAGCAGTTCTGATAAAAATTGCGCTCATCAAATGCTTTCAAGTCATGAAAATCAACCAAACATGATTCTGGTCCGTACTTCCATTGCAATGTTTCTTTCTTACCCCAATAAATATACCAAAACGGTCACATATTGAAAACTGAAATGTTTCCGATACGTCCAATGATTCTGGAACATGAACTAAATCTATGTTTGAGCAAACTTTACAGTTAAAATATGCTCGCGTTTCTGAATGGCTTTTTACGATCCACACCTGGGAATATAGACTTCGTAGCCTAGTTTTAATGTTTTTATCATATAATATCAAGAAATAAAGTTTCTAGTGTCTCTCAACAAGCGGTCTGGGCACTTTTGCAAAGGGGAGCACCTAATACAATTACACACCTAGCATCAATCCCAACATTTTCTGAAAAATATATAGATCGTCATCCCAAGAAAAACTGAAAAAATCATAGTTAGTATCAAAGTTTGTAATTGCATTGCCTACAAACACAACTTGGACTTAAACACAATAGCTTCCAAAGGTAGAGCTACGGAAACAGCTGGGAGGGTCACGCCCTACACCCCAATCAGAAAGGCCCATAGCAGCAGAAGCATGGCAATCTCGACAAGAGAACTACGCACATTATTTTCCCGGTCTTCATTAAGGACGTCTGCATAACAGTGTAAAATCGCAACGGCTTCTATACATCCATTTTGAACAGCTAAGTGCAAACATGTGTTGTTTACCTGTAGAAAATAAACAATTAGATGTTGAATTTAAAGCTTGTAAAATTCAATAATATGCCGACATCCAGATAGGCTATTACCGGGTTGGTCTGCACTCAGTCCTATCCCATATACATGTGACACCCATCAAGGAAATTCGAAAAAGAACACAAAATATCAAATATATATTTCGTAAGACATGAAATTTAGCTTTTGTTACAAATGAGTCTGATGTCAGCCAAAAAATAAATCAATTCTGCTGCTAAATTTCACGATTGTCCGAAAAACAGAAATATTTGATGCAAGCGTATCATACATCACCTGACACCTTTGTTAATAATAAAAAATTTATGGACGAAGCGTGACAATATCAGTTTAAAAATGATCGGCTACCTTGTTAGAGGTACAATAACATATATTTTCCTGGTACATTTATTTTCCTACTTCCTCTACAGATTCATTATAGCCAAGAAGTATTAATTTCGATACCATCTCTAAACAGCATAGGTTCCAAATCTTTGATTGGCTAAGAGTTCTGATTACATTCAAATTCGCCATACCATAATGACCAATCAGAATTCAAGAATTTGACAACAAAAGTGTCTCACAGCTAGATTTAGGTCAATATGATATGGAGAATTTGGTATGGTCAATATGGTATGGAGAATTTGAATGTAATCAGAACTCTAAGCCAATCAAAGATTTGGAACCTATGCTGTTTAGAGATGGTATCGAAATTAATACTTCTTTGCCATAATGAGTCTGTAGAGGAAGTAGAAAAATATTTGAGAAATCTTCTATTTTTCTGCTTGCATCACATTTTACATTAGTTCCGTCACAGATACTAATTTATATGCTCACGAACATTTCATCGCAATTATCAGTGTCATCTAACCAATTATCATGATAATCATGATGACCACAATGAACAAGATTGATGATTCGTAGTCATAATAACAATAATATAAATGATGAACAAATAATCTTACATTGTTAAGGTCGTTGATAGAAGCACCTTTACTCATCAAAAGATGAATAGTTTTGTACTTGTTCTTTCTAGCTGCCAAATGAAGTGGAGTTTCACAACACTAAAAAGGAAACACGCCTCGGTATGTCATTACATCGATACAAAAGTTTACACAGTTGAATCCAGTTAGTCGTACACCGGATGAATCTGACCTTCACAAAGTGGGACTGACTTTCAATTCCCCTTGGACTCTCTTACCCCTTGTTCAAATGAAAAGTAGCAGCCCTGATTAATCGGACATTCGCCAAGTCATACCGATTCCTTACCCTCCTTGCAGGTCCATTCAGTAAAATTATTTCGAACAATAGTTTTCCAAGGACAATAGTTTGCTCATCCATGAACATATAAACACAGTTTGCAAAAAGGGGGCCTGGTGTGTTTCATTCTCAATTTTTTAATAACAGATCAGTCAAAACAATAGCTCAAAGATTTAGAACTTTCTTTTCTTGCCATTGATTTGTAGTGATTCAATTTAGGTCATTTTATACAATCCATCATTGCTTCTTCTGCATACCTACGTAATTCTATATTCATCATTCTCTCTGTTAATTACACGTCATTTTAACCTAATCCATCACACCATTGTTAACCATCGAGCATACCCTTTCCTTTGTATAACTCTTAATTAAGTTTGCCAGTATTCTATATCAATACGCACTTTTGTAAATTATAATCAGTCAGTAGAAATCACGTTACACACTGCACAAACAGTTTGCATCTCGCTGGCTCCGTGTCCTCTGCACGTAAAATAAGATCGCACTGGTTGAAAATAGCACATTTGTCGTTTAATGGACATTTTAGTCAATCATCGATCGATGTTTCGATGAACACTAAAGATTCAGTCCCTTCTATGTAAATGTTTTAAAATTTTTTGGCAGGACAAGACCATGGGCCTCTTTTGTCAATTCCCAGGCCTTACCTTTTAATTGCAATGTTGGAGAAATCATGGCTATACCCCATTTTGTCTAGAGTAATGTAGCCTTACCACTAGCCTGGGCTAAAACAAATACGGGTTAATTGTCGTTCAATAATTTTAAAGACGAATATTGAAAGCCTTTTCTCGCATGTCTTCCATATAGTCTTGGGACCTTGTGCGTTTATCATAGCTGAAACAATTCCCCAAAATTTCAGGGCTTGGTTTATTCGTAATATTATAAATTGTTATCGATCCAACGAAAAATATTATTGACGTTCGGCCAATTGAAGGGCCAGTTATCTTTTAATCTTACACTTCGATTATCGCCTAGGCTCTAGTTTGCAATTAATACTTACAATGTTCTTGGCATAGACACTGGCACCATTGTTGACAAGAAACTCCAAAAGTTCCTTATGTTTCTCTGAGACACTGTCGTCATTTTCTTTGATAAATTCAATAATTCGGTGCAAAACGGTATTATTTCCCTGAAAAATGTCAGTTTGATATAAATAAAGGTCTACATCGTATGCTAAGAGCAAAGAGTACAAATGGGATGTTTAATAGATAAATGAAAAACATAAGAAGTGCTGCACAACGTCCGAGAAAGATACTATTTCACCTGTCATTTTGCACAAGGATGTGGCCCTTAAAATATAATGTCCCATACAATTCTATGGAGAAATTTAAGTTTGCCAAAAGTAAGCAAAGTTTGGAAAATTAGAAAATAAAGGAGCTTAAAAAAGATGCAAGAATAATTTTGAATCTCTCAATTAGCTATTACAAACATATCTGTTAGTATTCTGGCCTTAGAGAAAAAGTAAGAACATACCCCAGAATGTAAGATTCTGGCCTTAGAGGAAACCATACAAACTAAAACAAGATACTTATCTGTAGATAAATTTATCCAATCAAGTAACATAATACCTTAGGATCAGTATCATGTATAGACTCAGGGCTTGATGTAATGTGGGTCTTTATTGCTTCAACATCAAGATCTCCTGATTTAGGAGTTACAAGAAGAAGAAGAGTTGACAAGCTACAAAAACAATAACAGTCATTTATCCAGGGACGCATGAAGCATTTGGAAGGTTTTGGGGCACAGGGGTTTCAGGGCACTTTACTCTAAGGGCCTTTATTCTAAGAGCTACAGCCTAAGATGCACAGATTTTCAGGAATGAAAGGAAAGTAAAATTTAGAACTAAACAGATGTATAATATTAAGAGTGTAACCTAAATAACGATATTTTTTAAAATTTACAAAAAACTGTTCTCTTCTTACTTTTAATTAGATAGAATCTTTTTAGTAAATTAGAAAATTGATTGTTACATCTTTTTCCAGTAATTTGATTCCTGCGATATGAATTCATTTCACTTTGGACGTAAAGTGTTCTTTCTGCTGCAGATTCACACATAAGGGGTTAATAGAAAAATCTTGGCTATCTTTAAAACATCTGGAAGTAGCATCTGTACAACCCTGCTGAATATAAGTGCCCAGCAAAATTTGTTCTTTCTAGATTTCAAAGCTTAGGGTTAATCCCTTAAAGGTTCCATTGTTCTGCCTTGTTACCAGGGTCCGGCAAAATGATATGGTATTCCTGTGTGGGAAAAGTGAAAGAAGAAGGCTTTTGCGAGCAAAGCGAGCAGAAAATTTTTGTGATTCTGCCCTCAAAATACATTTAAGAATATTTCTTGCAGTCATTTTCTTGCAATAGCTTTATAATATTTTGCAATAGTTTCACACTTTTTTGGACATACTTTTTGTCACATTTGATTTATTCCATTTTTAAAATAGAATTTATCACTTAATGAAGCTCCCAGGTTGTGCATCCATGTATTTACAATCTGGGTGAAATAACAAAAAATTTACTACTTTCACACCACCTAAAGTATATATGAATATCAAATTATTCATGATATGTCTTCATTGCATTCGGGGGGTCTCCCTGTTTTTGGCCAAATCTCCGTTTTTTTAAGAAAAAATCTAAAATTTCCAGAGAAAGACAATGAAGATTCATTGGTCATATTTTGAGAGAAGAAGATAGAATTGAAAGACATTCATATTATCCAAACAGAAATGAAAGGAAAGAAAGTGAAAGGTATGCAAAGGATGAAGATGTTTGACTGGATGAAGGAAAGGCTGAAGGTGAAGAAAGATGTTGAGATTGGGAATATTGACAGAAAGAGATGGAAATAACCTGAATGACAACTAATGAACTCCTATGGCATGATATGCTATGGTACAAGAAGAAGAGAAAGGATGGGCATATTCCCCTTCTTATTTTTATGCAAAATGGGGTGTGATGTTATGAAAAAGAGTGTCTATTCAGGATCTTTTCTATTCAGGAGCCATACTTTGGGAACATTTGATTGTTATTATTCTGGAACAATATAGTGATAATCCATGAAAAGGAAAGAGAAAGTCCAATTTTTATTGCATATTTTTTCCTAAAGTGATGGGGTAAATAAGGGATGTAACCGAGAAAGAAAAGGACATCTCCAGGCACAAATGTATACACATTACACCCTCACCCCCTCCTCCTTGAGCATTTTTGATAGTCAACAATTCTTGCGGCTATCATAAATTTCAAAGTAGAAAATCTTTATTATTTCTAAATGAAGCATACTATTCAACACATTTTGGATAAATACTGCTTCAAAAAAGTTCCCATGTTAAAAATCAAAGTTATAAACTAATGATACAAGAGAATCATGAAAAATATCTATGAAGTAGCTAACTAAACCAAAACGTTTCAAAAATTTCCTCGACCTAGTATTTTATGAAATTTTACGTCCTGAAACTTTCAGTCAATGTTAGTGTTGTTCATGTTTCCAAGCTTAAAATGTTTCAAATACCTTCTCAACAAACATTACAAAATAAATTTAAAATACAGACATAAATTTGGTTTCCATCAAAGTAAAAAAAATTAAATTAGAGTTGAAAAATATTTGGAGAGCTGAATGAAATCAACAGTAATATTGAATTAAACTAGAAGTTCGTGATTAAAACAGGAAAGGTCTACCATTAGTTTGGTAAGCGAGAAGCCTACAAAATGAAACTCAAAACAACAAAATGCCCCCTCTTCATACCTGTCCCGTGAAACAAATTTTTGCAGAGATTGCTGGCGCCCAATGTCTTGCGATCGGATATCATCAGAATGTGTCGATGAGGCATCCGAATCAAGCAATGGCCTAGTACCTCCCCCAAGCTCCTCGTCTTCACCGCACTTACTTAAACCCCTGGTTCTTTGTAGCACATTTCCTATTGTACTTAAAATGTTTCGAAAGAGCTGTGTGATTAAATTCATGAAAATTGCCATAAATTCTTCGACCAAAAAAGTATTTTCGCTATTGAATCTTCATGATATCTTGAGTCAGTGGGGGATGCTTTTCGATTCACATTGTTGCTTCATTAAAAAAGCACCGAAATCATAACATACGGTGATACGGTCGTGGCTGCCAGAGCAGATGAATGCTGTGATGTATGTAACTCAGCCTGACATGTTTACTTCCTTCTTAGATATGAAGAAATGCCACATCCTCCACGCCACGCGATAACGAGGAAACCGCGTACCTTAGTCCCTTCAAATTTAGCCTACCTTCAATTTTTGCTCCCTTAAATTTCGCCCCCTTTTGTGCACAAGTTCGCTCCCTTTGATTTTCGCCCCCAAACCCTTTAAATTTCAAAGCTTTGACCTAATCAGTTTCCAAGCAATGAACGTTCATGCGGCATGGAACTACACTCGGGCCTCTGAAAAATCTTTTTGGCTTCGAAACTTTCTGCTGAACAGGAGTGGCGGCATGGGGGGGGGGCAGGGGGCTTTATCCCCTCCTAAAGATTTTGAGCCCCCCCCCCCCCGTCGGCAGCCAATCAATTTTTGCTTTCTCAATACCGTCGGCACTTGATGGATGTCACCCGGTTTACATGATGTTTGAATGACATAAATAATCGAGGAGAAAACTGCACTGGCTGGTTTATGGTTTTCTCAATGGCTTTTCTTCGGCAACTTTACTATCATAGTGGCATTATATCCTGTCGCTTCCGTGAAAGCCGTGACTTAATTTCATGGTGCTCCTTCGCATGACCCACAATACCATCGTGCTCCTCTAGGTTGAAATCCCTGTTGCTGCTTAAAATTCATGCGAAACGTGCAGAGATGCTTGATTTGGATCATGTTTTGGACCGTTTCAAGGAAATTTACCCTAACAACAGCAAAATCACACTGTCATAAATAAAGTCTTTAATGAATTTTCTTCTTAAGGGATTCTCTTTTCGTTTCAAGAAATTATTATTGCCAATGAAAACATTTCGATCATGAGCACATTTTGCGTAATAAATTTTTCAAAAAGCACTTCTTGTCCTTTTTCATCAACTATTTTCCAATAGCATTTTTCACCGCATAGCTCGCGACAAACAAATGGTTTAGAGAAAACCGTCGATTAACTTCTTCCAACATAGATAGGAAGAAGTATTCAACAATAGGCAATATTTGCGCATTAAATTTCTTACAAGGCACAAATTGCCGATAAAATCTCGTGGACTCCGACACAGGTTGGAAAGTGGGGGCGGGGAGGGGGAATTTTGAAAGGGAGAATTTAGCACCCACAACAAACGATTTTGGAAAAATGCTCTATTGCTTGCTCTATATGCTTGCTTGCTTTTGGAAAAATGCTCTATATCGGTGCCCCTTCATTGGAGGTGCTGCTCAGGGGCGTCGCGACTGGGGGTTGTCACACCCACCCCAATAGTATCTCAATAGGAAATTTCAGGTAAAATCCGCTCGGTGGAAGAAACGCTTTAGGTATTTCAGAGACCTTCCTGTCATAAAATCAATAAAGGATCAAGCAATCTTAGGTAAAATTGTGCCTCGTGTCCATTTCTCCTAAAGTTTCTCAGTAGAAGCGTCAACTGCAAACACTATGAGCTCCAGATTTTTCTTAGCATTCATAAGGCATGCTAAGATGGAGAGAGGAATCTAAATTTAAAAGTAACTGACAACCTGGTATTTTTCAAGACCACGGCGAAATTGTTGTTTTTATCTGCTGTAAAAAAGTTTTGCAAAAAGACAATAATTTTCAATAGGATTAGGAGGATTGCTTTAGTGAAATCTGCTTAAAAGAGTGCATTTTCAAGGGAACTAGAAGCATCACGATTCGAAAATTTCCTGCCCCTTCGGCGGCAACCATGGTGCCGCCTCAGGTAGTAACTATATATTTTGCCCGTCCCGATATAGAGATTTGACAAGACTATTAGGAAAGTTGGTTATTATCATACAGAGTTAGATTGACAAAATGTATTGCAGAGGTTTGTGACACCAGCTAAAAAGTTTCAGGCAATAGTTTTTTAATCAGGTAAATTTGCATTCTACAACCCCCCCCCCCCAAACGAGGCTTGCCTCGCGACGGCCCTGCCTGCTATATGGGGCAAATCGAATTTTTTTTCTGTCGGCAATTTGACACACCCAGCGTCGGCAGTTACGGAGAATATAAACTTCGGCACCTTAAAGGTTTGTCTCTAGCGCCACCCCTGCTGCTGAAAAATCGCTTTTGCCATTTTTCTTGAATTATGGAGGCGCTTTAGAAGGTCGTGTACGAGACAACAAGTATAGAAGATCGCCAATTCCTAAAGGTGGACTCGGAATACCGATTTTCCTAATCGTTAATAAGGATAAGGCGCCAAGTTCTGTCTTCAATCGAATGAAAGAATATCTGCAAGACTACTATATTGAGCCAGAGAAGATGATAGTATCTTCTGACCAAACTGAAAACGAGGAGAGATTGTTGATTTGATGATTTGGACGAATATGGCCCTGAAGAGGAGAACACTTTGAAAATGGAAGAACAAAATCACCCTGCCCCTTAAAAAGACACAAGTTTATCATCTTTGTCAAAATTTTAAGGATTAAGAAATCTTTTTTATGGCCTTCAGTATGGATATTTTTCCAGAAAGTCACTAAATGAAAACTGTAACAATGAAAACAATCAACGCAGGATGAAAATTTGACGCGCGTAAAGATGGTAATTTAAAGATTTCTTGAAGGGCCTAAAAACTAAGGCTATTTTATAGAAAATAGATTTTTTAAGTTCCCTTTAATTTTCGCTCCCTCTGATTTTCACCCCATCAAATATTTCCATAATTCGCCCCCTTTAATTCTCGCCCCCCTTCGGGGCGAAAATTAAAGGCAAGCGAAATTTGAAGAGACTAAGGTAACACGCATGGAAAACGCATATCGTGTAGAAAACGCGGAACACGCGGAAAAAAGGATATTTTGGATTGAGCCCCTAGAATACAAATGAAATAGCCTAATAAGTTCTGTTTTAACCTGCAGTAATGAGACCAGTGACATGGTGTAATATGGCCAAAGATCAGGTACGTCTTAGCTATTGTGCGCAAGGGGGGTTTCCAAGTCCAAAGCAGGCTGCTCGACGGACTCCGGAGGAAATCTTGCGGCGAAAAATCGATAAAATAGTAGTGTATAAGGAACACCGCAACGCGACGAGAATAAACAACAACAAACACACAAATTAGTGATGGCTAATATTTCGCCCCGGTATACAGGGCTTCATCAGAGCAAAAGTAAACGAACTCTAAAAATTTACAAATTTCAAAGATGCGATGGTGATGTCGGATTGGTTGATGTGGAATGGTGTGAATGCCAACTACGACATAAAACAAAGACTGGACTGCAATTCTAATAAAGTTATTTTCGCATTACAATGCAAACGATGTTTAACTAACGGAAACGAGAAATGGCAATACTTCAGGCAAACAAGCAGACGATTGAAAGACAAATTTAACGAACACAGACGAGACATTATCAACAAAAAAGTAGACAAGTCTGGTGTTGCAGAACACTTTTGCAGCCCAGAACATATCATCAATGACCTTACAATAACACAATTACTGCAACTCGCCACCCTTCCCTCTTCCACATCTATTACCTATTCCTCTCCGCTGCGCTGCATTCACACAATTCCACATCAACCAATCCGACACCACAATCGCATCTTTGAAATTTGTAAATTTTTAGAGTTCGTTTACATTTGCTCTAATGAAGCCCCGTATGCCGGGGCAAAATATTAGCCATCACTAATTTGTGTGTTTGTTGTTCTTTATTCTGGATTTGTCGACAAAGCACCCCTAGATGCCAAAATTCATCGTTTTTGCAATTGAATTATTTTTCAAGGGGAGTGTCACGCCCCACGCATCCCCCTATAGCGACGGGCCTGCCAAAGATGTTGAAGTCAAAAGATAAACTCCCACACATTACATGTTCTATGGAAAAACTAACCAGGAAAATGAATAGGATATACGCTGGAAGAAAGAACATGCAAAGGAATTTTAACATTCCATTCATAATTTTGATGTAGTAGATTATATATACAAGGTTCTTAAAAAGGCTATAGGGTCTGGTCTAAAACAAATCTGATCTAAAAAGTTGTGGAGAGATTATGTTTGTACGTACAGACCCCAAGGAATAACAGATGTTGAAAATAAGCAACCTGAGTTTATCTTCGTGAAGGAATGATGGATTGATCCAAGCTGGCTGTAGTAGATATGGTGTTGAAAAAGCTAATTGAAAACCATATAAAGCATCTGAACCTGACGAAATCAAACCCCTTATTATGAAGCAACATTCAATGGGTAAAGGCATTGGAGAACAGACAGTTGTAAGCGAAGAACAAAATCCTTACGCTGTTAATATAATATCTGGAGTTCCTCAAGCCTCTATCTTGGACCCTTGCCTGTTCCTGCTGCATATAAATGTTTTACTGGAAGTCTTAAGCTGCAGGGTACGGTTATTTGTGGATGATACAATCAGCATATCTAGCAGTAGATCAGAGAGAGCACAGAAGAGCTCCAGAAAGATCTAGATCAAATTTGCAAATTGGAGGGAGACTGGCCAATATAATTTTCTCAGGATATGAGCAAGATGCTGATAGTAACAAGGAAGAAGAATTAAGTCTTACGATATTGATAAATTGCCTTTTTTGTTGTTTTAAATTACCTTAGGTCCCCGCATATTGGTTCAGCATATCAACCAACCTCTTCCCTTGCTGTTATCCTTGCATTGCAACTGTACAAAGCTTTATCAAACGGCTGTACATGCTGTACCTAATCATAATAAACGTATATATTTCCTCACCTGCAAAGACAGCAGTACCAACTTGCACTGCTCCTTCCTTAGAAGCGAACTTGGGTATTTAGTGTATGCTCGAAAAAAGCTTAAAGTCAACAGCTGGAAGAAAATCTTCAGTCTTTATAGAATCATACAGTTAGAAAGTTCAATATTCATCTTCAGAAGCAATATTTATTCAACTTGTAGCAATTTTGCAGGGGTGACGTTTCTATTCCACACGCTAAATTTTAGAGTTCCACAAGTGCCATGCTTTGGCCCAATTCTATTTTGATTCGTGGTAATTGTTCCTTGGGGATGCTTAGATAAGCTGGCCCTTCCATTGATAGCAGAACACGGTTAAAAAATTATGATCAAAAAACTTTTTTGTTGCGAGAACTGAACTTCTGCATGGTCAAAGATTGGAGTTTATATTGAGGAAAAAATTAAAGGAGTACCGCCATTTTAAAATTCTTGTCAACTGCGCAGAAAACGGATGTAAAATATGCAAAGACCAGAAAAACGACTTGACATTGTCATACAAACTAAAGGCTTCATCACAGTCTAGCATAAGCACATAATTTTGTGCTTTCCTTGCACATTCTAGGAAGACCGGCCGTTTTATACCCCCAAAACTTTTGCTGCGGTGTGTAGTCACTTAACTTTGAATTGCTCATAGAGTACACAGGTATATACTATGTACATCTATATAAATACATAAACAGCAACAGAATAAAACTAGAGTTAGGAGACGAAATTGAATTAAGAATAGGCAAATAGTGTAACGAGTCAGTAGCGGCGGCAAGGGGATGTATGGCGAGGGGGGGGGGGGGTAATCACTCTCCCACTCTGCCGTAGCTAGCGCCGTCACAGCAACAATGTTACAAGGACGGTCATTCTGCACTGCCTGCCTTCAAACAACTTATTCATCGATGCGTTCATCAGACTTGAATCTTATTTTAAGGCTCAAATTAATGTCTTTTTGACGAAGAATTTCTTATCCCATCATTTTTACAAAGAGATTTTTCAACTCATTGTGATCAGGCCGGAATTTCACACATTAATTTAGTAAATAGTGGTTTGAATTCAACGCATTAGAGTTTCATTTTAAGGCAAAAGATTGAATTGATTTTGAATAAATACGAAAATGGCGATGAAGCGAAAGCTGTTTGTGTGTTTGATTGATGGATCAAAACAGCAAAGAGAAAGGTGATTTTCAGGGGAAAATCATTGATAGGTAAATCTTGTTTTTAACAGGTGACTAAACAAGGCTACAAGGTTGTGCTAAAACATTGTTTAAATTTGCAAACAACAATCGCGATTACTTTTACAGGCGCACGTATTGACCGTATGCCTATGTTTGGATGTTTTCGAGGCATTTTGTGTCAGTTATGAGGGGTTCAGAAGACAAGTGAGTCTTGGTAGAGAGACGTCAGTGGAAAGAAGCTCTGTTATTTTCAACATTACAAAATTGCTGAGATGAAGATTATGATTGCGACTATAATCGTGATGGTCATGAAACAAACAATTTATTGTGTTTTCTTTCGAGAAGTTCAAACAGATGGCCTCCCTGGAATTAAATCCGGAACAGTAATTATTAGCAAGACATTTCACGAATGTGGCATGGAGACAACATGCAGATATGTTACTAAGAATCTTGAAACAAACGTTTACAGAAAGTACAAATCCATAGAAAACATACCACAGTCCGGCAAGAATCTGAGCATATGGGAAAAGGTAAATAAAAAAGGTAAGATTTAAAGAATGATCACTTCGAAAGTTTTCGTATTGCACCCTTTAATTATGTTTATCACTATTCATATCCTGGCATGGATTTGCCAAACGATTTATGGTTAATATAAAAACATGTTATCTTCTTCAAAAGGGGACTTTAACAATTGCAAAGAAGCTTTGGATAATGGAATTACAGTAAATGCAACAATAGAAATACCTTGGGGAAATGGGTCGCATTTTCAAGCACCTTGCGATATGACCACGGACGGTGGCGGTTGGACGATAATACAAAGACGTCTGTATGGAAATGTGAGCTTTATGAGGAATTGGAACGAGTATGCAAAGGGGTTTGGTGAGATAAATGGCGACTTCTGGTTGGGGCTCCGTGCAATGCACCAACTCACGACAGGTAGCTACAAAACATTACGATTTGATTTACTGAATATACAGCTACACCAAGGATATGCAAAGTACAGCCGATTTGTGATCAACAGCGAGGCAAAAGGTTTCTCCATAAGCCTGGGTGACTATGTGGGAAACATTGGAGATGCAATGAGTGAAGTTAATGGCTCAAAATTTTCAACAGCAGATCGAGATAATGATAGCTTTGACAAAAACTGTGCTGAAGTTTTCAAAGGCCCGTGGTGGTACAATTCGTGCTCGTTTGTCCGATTAAACAGCCAGTTCTCCACAACCTCCAAAATCAATGCTGAAGATCCTACTGACGTCATGAAATGGAAAAGTTGGGAAAACAGCAACACGACGATCATTCGATCAGAAATCAAGCTTCGTTGAGACGAAGGATTTGAAGCTGGTCGTTAGAAGAACTATACATTTTTTTGTTAAGTATAGGATAGCAGTTTAATTCTGTTCTTAGAGTAAGGCGTATAACGTTGTAATTTTAAAGCACATCCAGTATGAATTATATTGCCATTAACATTTAACAAACGAAATTCGAAGCATTGAAATTTAGAAGCACGGTAGAAAGTTTTAGTAATCACAGAGAGGATTATACCAAACAATTCTTTAGTTTCTGAAAATCTCTTAAAAAATAGCCTGATTTACGAAACAATAAGGACTATCTGAAGGGAAAGCCTTATGATAATTGTGTAGTTGTTTCTCTCGGTGTGTATTTTGCGGAAAATGGTACGTCTTTGGAGAGCCATATTTGAGAAATTATCGCTGTTCTATATCATAACCAGGACAACATTATTCGCGGACTAATTTTACCTGTCGTTTGTATATCATTACTAAAAAATTGATTTTTCTGAATCTCGAGTAGTTTCTGCGATTATTGGCTCGTAAACAAAGGGTTCCTGATGAAAAGTGTGTTTTCTGAGGACTGTACTCTCTATTCTTTCATTCTGCCTTACCTGAATATCTTGAAAAATTTCTCTCGTTCAAATTATGCGAAATGCATACCCACTACTGTACCCAGTTAAGAAAGAGACAGTGATACGATTGACGATGTCACATACGACGACGATAATGACGGCGACAAGGGTGACGACTGGGTTGTGATGAGGCACTCACATTGCAATGAAATAACGCGATGAGACAGTACGTTGGGTTGACATTGCACTGGAAAGAGACTCTGCTTGGGGCGGTGTTATTGCGTTGCAATGAGATTGCGTTGGGTAGAGGCATTACGATGAGACAAAACGTCGGGTTGAGGCATTGCGTTGGATTGAGATATTGCATTGGATTGAGATATTGCGTTGTGATGAGAATGCGTTTAGAAGAGACACTGCCTTGGGGCGAGCTATTGCGTTGCAATGAGGTTACGTTGATATGAGACATTGCGTTATGATGAGATATAGCGTTTTGACGAGAATTGTGTGGGATGCAACATGACGATGAAACATTACATTGGGATAAGATACGGCACTTTGATGAGATTGCTTTCTGTTGATATATTGTGCTGTGATGAGATTGCGTTGGGATGGGATATCAAGATGAGACACCTCTTTGAGATGAGACATTGGGCAGTGATGAGGCTCTAGTTTGGGACATTGAGCTGGGATGAGACACTGCGTTGAGATGAGACATTGCGTTGAGATATTTGCAACAAAAACAAATTGGTTCATTTAGCTTTTGACTAATACGAAAGGTCAACTGCACAGTCATTTGTAAGTGAAATGGCACTAAAAGGAGGGCACCAAGAAACTAAACCCGATTATTTCACCTCTAATAAAAAATAAATTACTCAAAATTCTATATTAAACCCCAAAAAGAACTCATCTATATTTACATGACAATATATCTACTTCCCATCCGCACAATGTATCTACTTCCCAGCCGCACACATCAATAGCTATAACAGCTGCTACCAGAAAGTTCGTTTACGGATTTTCGGTTCGATGAAGAATAGCATCCTTGCTCGGCCTCATTTTATCTGTGCTCCTCGGGATCGCCTCCACCAACTGCGTTGCAAGTTTCTCTTGCTGAGCGAAGAAAGCATCGTACAAGGCCTCAAATTTGCTGTCAATATGACGTGTAACCTCCTGAATTCTAAGGTCCATTCTTCCAACCAGCCGCTCCTCCATTGCATAGATGTTTGTAGTTATCGAATTATAAACCGAAAGGCACCCTGGGCAACCACATTCTTGACACCTGAAGTGTTAGGAAAATCCTTCAGTGCCACACATAGGACTTCGAAGAATAGGAAAAACCACATATCTTTTACGTAATATTTTACTGCTTTTAGGTTTTAATCCGCTTGATAGGTGGACATGATTCTACATTTTGTCTGAATATTTACTTGTGGGATTCGATACAAATTTCTAACAGTAGATCAACGTATTTCATTAAACGCTAACATTTTAGAAATATGACTAATCCAAGTCGAATAGGCTTTCAAAGTAAAGGATAAGGCTAGTGAACTTTTAAGGCAATCTGTCACGACGTTGATTGGTTATAAGAACAAAGGGATTTCTATTGTTTCCAGTCCCCCTTTAATTTATCGCATTGTAAAAAATATGGCGGAGCGCTGGAATCGTGTTTAGGCTATTGTTCCAGCTATTGTTCTCGTTAACCAATCCACAATGAGACCGATTGCCTTTAAGTTCAGAAGGTAGATTGCATTTCAGTGAAAATAGTTTAGTCATGTTAACTGTTGTTGATTGTTGATGAAGATATAGAGAGAGATGACACGATAACTGTAGAAAATTTACCTAAAATAAATAATGAATTGATGAAAGTTTACCTTATGAATTAATGTTTCACATTAAAGATGATACAAAGAAACTTGATCAAAGCCGCCGCTAAATACTTGAATTAAGCTGAAGCATTAAACAAGCGTATAAATATTTAATTTTGATTCACAATAGCTTTAACAGAAGAGAATTGGAACCGACGAAGACTGAGGATTTGTGTTCAATGTTTACATAAACTTGTTATCTAATCAGCCTTTGAATCGTTTTTATCAAATGCATCAAATTTGATCAACAAAGATCTAAAGATGGTGAGCAATGACGATTATGAACAGGTGGGAAAGTCTCACGACAATTACGCAATTAATATAATGCTCAACTGTTGAAAATAACAGTACAAATTTTTGTTAGTATTGTGTGATCGCGATGACAGCATCAAAATTGGTATGCTAGGGCAATTTAGAACTACTCCACGAGCCTCTGTTTAGCTACTGCCTTACTTGATGGACGCTACAATCATTTCTGTTGTAGCATCCTTAAAGTGAGGCAGCAGCGAAACAGAGGCTCATGAAGTAAGTCTAACGGCAATTTAGTACAGTTCCTAGCCGAAATATCTACGCAGATGCTGGATAACGGAGACACTGTTGAATGCGATATTAAGAATTCAAACCTTTTGCTGTTTGCAGGAGAAATAGTCGCAGAAAGATGTTTCTTATGGGCATTGTCAAGATCATTTAGGGCTTTGTGGAAATCGTGATCCGAGAGTTCACTGCAACACGAAACTGGACGAGACGCGTGGGAAATTGAAGTGATGGTTGGTTGATGATCTGTTCTAAAACTGGAACGGTTCGAGGAGCGCAGGAATGCATCAAATCTAGAAAAAATCAGAGGGCCGTTGAAAAATTCAGGACGTAACTTCAAAACAGTCAAAGTTCAGAAAACTCTACTGCCTAAAAATTCGACTTTTCATAATTTGAAAATTATTTCTTCTCTTTCATAATTAAAATGTTTAAGCCAAATTTTAATACCTTGTACTTTCGACAATTCAAAATAAAGTTTCGAATTTTTCAAAGTTTAACTTGGAAGTTCAACTTTAACATACCCTCAAAACAAACCTGAAGTGAGAGAACCCTTTCATATAGTCCCTAAAAGCCAAGCAGTTAACAAAAACATATGTTTTTGAAATATCTGAAGAAATACAAACACTTCTCTCTGGGCCTCGCTTTCGCTTGCTGAAGTACGATCTCCCCCTTTTGTTTCAATCATGAACCGTTCTAGCATTTGTCGATAATTCCCTTCATGGCTGTCCCCCTCGTGGAAAGAACGATGTCTTCTAGCCGCTCTTTCTGCACGCCCTAGGGATTCGCTTTTATGCAATGGTCCAAGTAACATCTGCTTCAAAACGCTTATTTGCGCATCATGTTCTGCATGTCGCTCTTGCTCTTCAATCACTGAAACGCAGTTACATTTAACTTATACCTAGAAGTTACTGGAGCTGTTGCTAAGCAGAACTAAACCTATATAATTGTTAAGAAATATTTATACCTAAAGTAGCAATGCTGGAGGGATTTATATAAAATGACCGTTGCACTTATTCCTTTTTACTGGTCTGTTGCAGAGCTATCAATACCAAAAAATACTGTTTGTAAGAAAGCTCACAAACTTTTTATTGGAGCAAGAATTCATACACTTTCAAAAACATCTTTCCCAGACATCCGTCCTTGTATTTTGAAATAGAAATCCAGATTACAAAGAAAACGGGAAACAGAACTATTCACTTTGTTCAAGATCCAACAATCAAATGTTGCCTTTGACAACAATGCGTATATGCCTTTCACTAATATTCAGGTGCGGATGCTAAAACTAAGGCGGAGAGAAACCTACCTAAAAAAAGACATCAAGATTTGTTTCTAACATTTTGGATACAATGAGAAAAGCACCTGTTTATGCTAAGAGGCTTCTCCGAGTTTGGCTAAACTTTTGCTACATTTTGCTAGCTTTTCTTATGTTTATTTGATAAATTTCCAAAATAAATTCATTATCTGAAATTGCATTTTCCTCCTTAAAAGGGCCTTATACCACAAGATCGATGAATTGCAGGGGGAGAAAGTGGCACCTATTAATGACCACGATAGCACTTCTGAACCAAACGATATCATATGAGGGAGCAAGTCTATCTTTTCATAGTATATCGACATCTCATTAGCAATTATATCAGTTTGAATAAATTCTTCATTTAAGTGAATGAATGGCCATTCCCCTAAAAAAATTCACAAGGATAAGAGTCCTTCAATTTACCAGGTACGTTTGTTCCAGCCAAGCTCAATTTCTTTCATTTAGGAAAAATCAAAGCCATTAATGACAATATTTTATGATTTAAAAAGCAAGCAACCGACTAAGGGTTGAAGCGTGATCATTCAGTGTCACATGTTGAGTTTCATCTTGGATATTTGAAAGCTAAAAAAAGGACTCCCTGAAAAAGGCTCGACGTTGAAAGTGATTTGAATAAAAGCTTACTCTTTTGCGCCTCCCTTTTGGATTTCTCAGTATTTAGTATACCATTTGCTAGAAATGACTCTTCATATGCTTGGCGAGATGCAAACGAGACTTCACTGCTAGGCCCATCTCTTGCAAACGATTGTCTTTGTGGTGCAGGGGACATTGCATTATCGGTGAAAGCAGAGGCTTGATGGCCTAAACCCAATGTTAAAAGCTGTTGCAACTGTGCTCCCTTTAAATGAAAATCATACCTCAAATAGTCAAATGAAGTAAAAGGAATCACGGTAGCAAAATCCCTTTACTTATAATTGACATTAAAAGCAGTATTGCATTCAAGATGAACTGAATAAAGACCATCATATTCAAGGAATATAAGAAAGAAAATAAAGAAAATAGAAACTCACATTGCAAAAATATTGAAACAATGGCCCAAAGTATGACGCTTACCCTGGCGGGAACACTTTCAGTGACGTCAGCAGTAAAATTAACAATTTCAATAACTTTTCCCCACTTTTTGAAGTGGCTGACAACAGATATCTGACCAGAAGTGAGAAAAATATCAAAAATTTCAATCCGCTCAGATACTAACAACATCATGAAAACTTTTGTTACTCAGAAAAAAATATCTACCTGTTTCTGTTGCTTTTCTACCTGGTTCAGCAAATTTTGTGCACTTGGGGAGACTGTTAAACCGAATGAAGAAATCATTTCTCGAACCTTATCAAATTCTATCGACGCACCAGTTGGGTTCTGTAAAATAAGCATGATTTGTGTTAAAATGGCATTAAACAATCGCGTACAAAAACGTACGATTTTGTCTTTCAGTCTCAATAGGTTCTTAAAAAAGAGTTGAATAGAAAATAAATGAAACTATTGTGTTTAGATTTTTTTCTTGAAATTCATAAACTTAATCTACACTCTTGGATTAACAGAGCAAAGAATTTTCGATAAGAAGTTTACCACTAAACTTTAAATTAAACGTTCCATGCAAACTTTTGAAAAGTCAAAATTTTCTATCTTGCGTGAGTAATCCTTTAAAAAAGAATGAAATTGAAAGGGTATCGCGCTGCTATTCCCATTTGGCATACCGGAAAACAAGGACCCAGGACCATAAGGCAGGACCAGGACCAGGACCAGGACCAGGACCGGAACCAGGACCCCGGACCAGGACTCGGGACCGTTTATGTTTTCGACAATGCTATCGCTGTTTCCTTAAAAAATACCAAGTTATAACATTGCATACCATGAACAATTGTCCATAAAATCCAAAAGCTTTAAACATCGAACAAAAGACTGCAAATCATAGTAAGGGGGAATACTTCCAATGAATACAGAAATTAATCTGATTTTTATTTTTGGCCCTGTGTGAAAAACAAAAACACGGGTAGCTCGGGAAAATGCAAATGTACGATCAAACCAAAGTAACACCTTGAAATGTGAAATACTGTTATTGGCCGAGCAAATCTGACGTGGTTGTTTTAGCAGAGTTGGCTAGTAGGATCGGGGATCCTTGATCCTGGGTCCTGCCTTATGGTCCTGGGTCCTTGTTTTCCGGTATGCCTTCCATTTCCAGGTGGAATTGGGCCTCATCGAAAAATTGTATTCTGTAGGTTCGAATTCAATAAATTCTTATATAGAGGTGTTTACTTTATCTAATTTATTGTTAAGTTATGCAATGATGATAAAGAACCAAGACATAAACAATGACACCGGCCAAATATCGAGTTACGAGAGTTCTAAAAGACTAGACGATATTGTCCTGTTGATGATATCCGGGATGAAAGGACAGCTTTCTGACATTAAAAAGCCAATGTTACGTTATTTCATTTAAAAATTTACCAATAATACTAAATGATTCTAACCTTTTTGGGAAACATTTGTGAAGGATTTGGCAGACACCTTGCAACTTTTACAACAACAGCTTGAAGTCTTAGTGCCTGCTTGTCAGGTAATGAAACAAACTGAAATCAAAAACAAGAAAATTCAGGATGGAACGGGAGAAATTTGAGACTCTTTAGATATTTTCATTTATGCTTATAATTAAATGAAACAAAACTGGAGCTACGTTGCCTTCATCTTGTGAATACCTTTAAGAATCAGAACTTCGTTTCACAAACAATGTTGAGCTTACGTGAGAAACACATTGTAGTCAAACATCAAAGTGCTACGAAACAAAAGATTTCTTATCTCGTACGTAAATGCTGATTCTTATTAAAAGCACTTGGAGAATCCAAAATACCCAAAACATTTAAAAACAAAAAACAAAATCATTATAAGCAAACAGCCATTTGCCTCGATCTCATTAGATAAACTAATAAACAGTGACAGTTTGGAGGTTTAATAAGATGCCATGTTTTGTGGTATAGTAATGAATGTATCGATTAATCTGTTTATTTATGTATTTGTGATAAAATAACATCTTAACTTGTGGTTGAAACCATTCAAGTTCCAAAAGACTATTTGCTTTTTGGCCTGTTATGATAACATCTTTTGGCCATGAATATGTCTTGGAAAAGCAGATGTGTCTTGGAAAAATGTGAGCACACTGAATAAAACATATTGGTCTTATTTTGTCAGGGTTTTAGACACATCTAATTCATTTATTATGAGCCATTTGAAATCATAGGCAAAGTTGATATAGGGATGTACAAGAGCACTAAAAAGTCATCTTTGACTGATTCCATGAAGGAAAACTTAATTTGCTCCTAATCTTCCTGGGGTATCGGTTCATCACAACTGGGTACATATTTTCTTTTTTATCTTTGAAGGGTGTCAGATACAAAGTTAAGTATGTTGAAAAATGATTTTGGCTGCCACTGACTCACAAGCAAGACCTTGAAAAGCTAATTAAGACCCTTTTTTATTTCTATGACAACCCTTTGTATATCCGGTTATCCGGTTTCTTTGTTTTAATTTTATTAACATTGTCAGTTGAATAAAGAGGTGGAATTTTCTCTATTTATCAATATCCTTGAGGAACTTCACATGATGGCTTATATTTTCTGTGGTTGACTATGAAAGTCATTTTTTACAATTAAAATTAGAATAATAGTATAACAGAAGTACTGCAACAGAAAAGAATCAATTTTTGTAAGAAAAATTAGTGAATGAGAGAATTGAAAGACAGTTAGATATTCAATAGAACACAGATTGAATTTATTACATTTGCTGATTTCTTGATATTGAAAGATTACTCGCCTAAACAATAAAATTCTAACCTTCAATGTTATTTTGTTAGAACCTTGAATGTGGGAGGATAAATCAAACCCATTCTCATAAAGAGCACTATTCCTAAAAAGACAAAATAATTTGACTAAATGCACTTTTCACAAAAACAAAATGCTTGTATTACAAGGCATTGTTTATACATAAAAAATGGTTGCAAAGTTTAAAGGGAATATGCTGCTAACACTGCCTTGAATGCCATTCAGGTAACACTGTTTGCTTGTTTATGCATATGGGCAATCATGTCTATTATCAATGCAAATTTAAAAAAGATTGGTATGTCATTTAAGAACAATGCACACACAAAAAGTTCTGAGAGCTAAAGCCAATCTTGAATAAATTGAGCTGCTTTGATCATGGATAAAGAAGTTGTAAGGGATTTTTTTATAAAGAAGATGAAAAGAGTAAAAAACTAACTTTCCTTTCTTCAAAGTTAGCATCATTCCTTTTGTAGTTTTCTCATACATATCATCAACATACAGCTCCACATTTCTTGCTTCACTTACTACCACAATATTTGTAACACAGAACTGTGAGGCATTCGGATGTGCCCGGAATGTCATTTCACAAGGAATTATGTCTGTCTCAGGATGAGGTTGAGTCAGACATACACCATTCCCTGCTGCTTGAACAGCACTGCATACCACTTGCTCATGTGCTCTGGAATTCAACAATATTCATCACTAACAAGAATCCTTAGGACTGGACTAAAAAAGGTTTTGGCATCATATGGAACCTTCAATTTAACTTTGCTTATTTTTTAGTTTTGATGTACATAATGCTTTTCCATCAGACACAATATATAGCAGTATCTATATTCTTTAATGAAAAAACAAATGCTTTTGAGAGATGAAAAGCAAGTTTACTTTTGACAGGTAAAAGAATAATCTAATACACATTATGCCATCATCAAGTTTTTGTCATCAATTTTCTTCAATTTCTTTTATATAATATCAGTTCAAATATCTTTAAAAATACTCCCTTTTAAAAGTCAAAATTGTAGAGATCAGGACCACTTTGATTAACAAAAATTTGATGAAAATGTAAATGAAAGGTAAATAGCAGTATATAAACTAAAATTGAATATATACACTCCCCTCACAAAAGTATTGCCCCACCTCAAAGGAGGGGGAATGGTGTAAGATTTATAGAAAGATATTGTTGTGCAAATTGACTATTTTTTAATTGGCGATTTTTTAAGAAAGTTTGCAAATCTGGACTTGATGGATGCGATGGAAAAACTTGAATTCTTCTTGTTTGGAAATAATTATTTGTAAAGATGGTTTCCTTTAACTCGGGTAACTTCTTACTCTGTATTTGTGTAAGACACTGATTCTAATTTGTCTGCAAGGATTTTGAGCTCTAAAACCTTGCTTGGTCTAAAGTTTTATGTCCCTTAGTGTTCCTAAACATAAATGGCATTAAGGGTGACAGACAAATTATTTCCCTTCTAATATCAATTTCTTTCAGTTCACATCACAGTTTTCTTTGCTACTAAAACATTCTTGAGAAAACATTTTCACAGCTGTTGTGTGGCTGCATCTAACTGGCTCAACAATTTTTCAAAAATATAAAGTCCTCTCTCCCGTAAATAATTTATGGCGAACTGCCTCTCATTTGAATTTTCTCCTTCAGGCATGTTCTTAATTCTACAAACAAAAACTTTTCTGTGCAATTGATACATTTCAACTTATGCATTATATGTTGTCCACGAGATTTTCAAGAATTTCCCACCAAAATTTGCTACAAAGTACTCCTATTACACCCAATTCATGCTTTCAAATATTTGGTATGGTTGAAAAATGGACAAAAAGTGCTGCCATTTTGAACAAGGTGGTGCAATACTTTTGTGAGGGGAAAGTATACTAGTTGACATATATTCAATCTTATTTGTTGGAACAATGCCATATCAGAAATTGCTTTTGAGCAACATTTAGTGACATATAAATTATAATTTATAAAGTGCAGATCTTCTGGATTCCTGTAACATTAATTGGAGTTTAAGATAGCATCAGTTGAAATGGTCAATATCTGACATCATTTTCATTTTCATTGCTAAGAAAATCTTTCATATAAACATAATGTGGCCAGAAATAATAGAGCATTTCTGATGCAAAAAATTATGTGATTTTAGTAATAATACGTTTCTGTAAACAATTAAGTGTTCGTAACAACATAACAAGCTACACAAAGGCCAGGTCATTTCTCTATAAATGAATCAGAATATTTCTAAACTTAGCCCCGTCTAGCACAAATAAAATTACTTAGTTCAATAATTTTAACAAAAGCTATTTCTTGAAGTTTCAAGAAATGAAGTTGAAACAGTGGTGTAGTGCAACAAGGGGGGTCTTGCACAAAATGTTGCAAAAACAATAGCAAAAGTGGAAATTTGCCAATTATTGGCATTAACAAGACGGGCTCAGCCCCTTGAGCCCCCTAGCTTTTCACCCCTGAGTTAAGAAAGAAAAGAATTATTAGATAACGATACAAACAATAATAAACTGCATTGAATCGTTAATGACAATGACACTGCAAGTATATGAAATTAACCTGGTATCTTGGTCCTCCCGTATGTGAAAAATGGAGCATACAACATCATCAAGACTCCAGTCATCCGGGTAGTCCCATGAAAACGCTACGGAAAACTGAGCCAAAAAGTCTCCTGGATTGACCGCCATTGCCGAATTCGACCAGCCTCGTTTTGAATTGTGCTTTTACTTGAAATGTTGAAATGTGAAGTAGACTTTCGACCATCTCAAAGTATTGCCTATTTTGGCAGGACTCAAAACTCAAACTCAAAATCTTTATCAGCAAAAACAAATGTTAATTACAATATACCAAGAATTAAAAATTAGAATACACTAAAAATTAGACTCGGGACTTTAGTCGGCAGTTTAATGCTACGAATCCACCTCGGGGATTCTAGTCGAAGTCAACTAATTAGAAAGCAGATTCAAAGTTTTCCTTACTTTTCAGAGGCTGTGAACGAAACTCAATTAAGTGTAGATTTTCAAAGCACCGTAATTTCCGAACGTTCTCGGAATTATGATCCTGATGGACCAATAAGCGATGTCTTTATACTTCAGAATCAAAGAAAGAAGTTGTCAGCCAATCAGGCATTACAGACGCATAAGAAGATTATAGGCTTTCTGCAAAGAAGACGTTTGTAATGGCCTCTGAGATGTGATGAGGATTAATACCATCTGGATTGTGTATTCTACCTAAATCAGAAATGGGTAGAACAGGAATATCTTTGAAGATTCTACAGACAATACTGCACATGTTGCTTGCATTAGACGTCTGTTGCTCCGTTGGTTGCCGTTTTGTATGAATTGTGGTGTAGTCATCAACGTTACAGACAACTTGCCATTTATTTATTCTAGCTTCGTCGATGCACTGTCTAACATTTTCTTAGATTAATGCCATTTTCTTTCTGCAAGAAATTGCATTTTTGGCTTTTACCAAAGCAAAGCTGGTGAATTAAATTTGCTGTCAAAATTTTTTGCCAATCTTTCTGTTTTGTGTCTTTTATCAGTCATTGCAATTAGAATATTTTGAAATAAGGAAGGTGATCCCTTTGAAAGACAATATTCTTTAAATTCTCCAGGGTCATAAATGGGAGGCTATCCTCTAAAACTTCTGACCATTAAAGTTTTCTACTTCTTCTCCGACCCTGTTGGAGAGAGTGATAAAAAAGTGTTATCAAATGGTTTCATTTTTAACAAGTTTTAAATGTTAAATTGGTAGATACGCAAGCCTCCCCGGTCTTAGTAGGAGTCTGTCTTAATTTTCAAACAAAACTCTACATGCAGCATCTGTAGGCCTCGTCGTTTAGGAGTTTTACTGAAATGTCACTTGATTAATCATTTGCGGAGTGGCTTCACAAGACAGGCGGAGAAAAGTTTCCATTTCTAAGTGATGCCATTAAAGCAGGATGTCTCGTTTAAAGCCTTATGTGTGGTATTTATGATTTAGTTTATATTTTTTATTTCATTCTTATGTATGCTTAACAGATCAAGTAAATCATACTAAACTTGTTTGGGCTATGCTTAAAGCCCATAGGGAATTTTGCCTTATCGTAGATGCTCAGGTTGATAACATCAGATTGGAAAGCGTATACTAACTTGCTTTGAGCTTTTCAATTAGGCCTTGGAGTACAATAACACTGTCAGCATTTATCAATATGTCTCCACGGGGGTTATCAAGCTGATGACCAAATGCTGTCCTTTCCTTCTTCCAGTTTGAAATATCCAACAGCATTCGTTTCGGTGCAAACATTTTTTCTTAATTTCTGTATCTGGTTATGCTCACTACTATTTATATCTGAATATATATTTAGTATTATTCTAATAAGTATAAAACATGTCACCCTTTTTTAGAATAATAGCTTTTTGTAAAAGTACCTTATTTTTACGGATAGCTCTTTTACTACCTATAGATATGTTTTCCCAATGTTTACCTCGCTTGTTAACCTTTGTCTTTTCCACCGATTTCCCAATGGTTACCTCGCTTGGTAATCTTTGTCTTTAACAGGCACAGTTGTTGCATAAATCACCGCTTATAGCTTCACGACCAAATATACTCTGAATATCTTCAATGTCAAAGTTGCGCGAAGAAACGAAAGGCCTATTTTGTTGGGTTTTTTCCCACACGTTTGACAGAGCCCTCTTTACTACGGTAGAGCATGCAAAGCAAATATGGTATCGTGGAAACGAAAATCCATGTCCATGAAACCACCATGTTATTGACTTTTTGCAAATTAAACAAAATTTTAACAATTTTCGAGTTTACCGATGAGCACTCTTTACCGCGCAGTATGGCGTAAGCAGATTCAATTTCGCGCCGAATTTTGGTTGCTAAGTTAAACATAATGGCGGATATCGCTAAGCAGTGTTGACATTTGTAACCTCTGTGATTCATCGCGCACATGGCAAGTAAATTTTCCCCTATGCTCCTTCTCAAGTACAAGAGAAGTCTTGATCAAGCACAGAAAAATTTAAGTTATGCAAACAAACCCCAATTCATTTCATGCCGATAACTGAAAATTGCGATGCTAGTTAGCCAAACCAGGGTTACACGTATGGAGAGTGTGAGTGTTACAAATAACCTCAAATGTCTTCACCGCCCCTATAAATAGATGTATTCAATCATTACAGAAACAAACAAATTTTTCTTCCATAGGTAATTTTTCATTTAAATTTTGAAACTGAAATTAGACATTCTTGGAACCGAAGAAATCAGGTGGATAATAGTGCATGCTCCAGCAGCATCTCATGAGAACGAAGATATTCTGAGTTTTCTGAGAACTTGAATGATTTTGTGGAGGGACAAAAAAATTGAGAAATGACAACCGTAATGGGAGATTGAGGCAGAAATGAGAGACTAAAGAAAATGCTTTAAACACTTGGCAAGGTGCAGCTAAAGAGATAGAGAGCTGGATTCGAGTGATTCGAGAGCTGGATAGAGATCAGTTGTGGAAACTGCAGGGGTATGGGGGAAGAGCTTTTGCTAAATTTTCGGCTCAACCCAGTTTTTTTGCGCTTTGTCGGTCAATTTTATCATTTCGTGACATTGGATTCTCGTCGTCGTATTGCTTTGTTCCTGTATATCTTTCATTCTAAAATCTCATTGCAAGATTCACAGAATCCGGCGGACAGCCTATCCTGCGGTTCTTCCTTCTCACACATTAAATTTTATCATTGTTGGCAAATTTTCTTGTTTTTGTCCGCCTCTAATGGCGATGCTTGAAATATAGCATAGCACAGGAAAAATGAAACACACAAAATATTAAAAACTCTTCAGAGAACGACAGAGTTAGAGACGGGGCAATTATAAATTGTATCAAAGGTAAAAATAGAAAGATGCTGTTTGATTAAGAGCAGATTAATAAGGGACTAGAGAAATATGACACTGAACTCTAAAATAACATACATTGAAATACAAAAATACTCTTGTTTATGAAGATCCAACAGGACCTAAGGTACCTCTATAAGGAGCAGACCATCTCATGAAATGCCTCAAGGATGGGAAGCACCTTGAAATGATCAGAAACTTGCTGAAATGTTTATACCAAGCCAATTTTTTCCGTGCGTTTAAAAAAGCTTCTCAAATAGGAATTATAAATTTAGTTTTCATTCAGTAGAAAGTTTTGTACCAGTCAGTAGAAAAAACGAAAATGATGCTCTAAACGCAGAATTTTTCTTGAGTACTTAATTCTCGTAGGTCTTTGAAAAGCGAGAACGCAAGCTGAAGGTTGACAATAATATAGGGACTAAATCTTGCAAAGATGAGACCCAAGTGTGAAGTTTTAGAAGACCAACTGGTGCCTTTACAGCAGTGACAACTACAAAAGGAAGATTGGCCAAATATACGCAACAAAGATAACGGCATGGCAAGAATAGATAGGCAAATTGATTAAAACATGGGGAAAGCACCGGGGAAAGCAAATTTGATAACAGCAAACTAAGACCCCGTTTACACTGTGCCGGATAAAATTTATCCGCAAAAAACTTGTTCGGATTGATTTGCGTTTACACTGTGGCGCACAAATTTTGTCCTCTTTGCCCTCCCGTTTACACTGTGCCGGATAACTGCAGTCACTCACATGACCTAAATCATGCACAGAACACCCAAAATGAAGTCTTCTCTGGGCAACAAAATAACAACAAAATTCCCGCCAACGTGAAAAGACTTCATTCTCTCTTCAGAATCATCTGCTTCTCTTTTAGACCAAATCCAAAGATATTGTCAATACAAATTAGGCCTAGTTTGTTTTAATAGTTTGTGTGGGGGATTCTACAGCGCGCATAGCAACCATTTAGTTATGTTATATTCTTAGATATATTGCTTTTTAAAGACAACAGACAATTTTCTCTATTAATTATATATTGCTTTATTCACTTGAGGACTCGAAGTAGCTTAATTTGTTTTGTTATGATATTATATTTACGTACTTGTCTCCTGTTAATGTGTACGTGAACAAGGTAAAGGAAACTGATATTCGTGATGTATTTAAAACCTACGCACGACCTTTGTATCGGTATAAGCAAATATAGGTTCACTGATTTGACATGTTGATTAGCTGAGTAATGTAAATTGAGTTATAAAAGTACAGTAGGGCAGTGTTAGCGTAAAATGTGTTGAGGAAAGACGTGTAGATAAATTGAGATATGATGAGACAAGGCGTACGTTTGAGTTTTATTTGAAGAGATTTCTTGGTTCGTGGAGAAGTATATATGTTTCGAGCCAGCGTAAATGAGATAGATTGCGATCTATAACACTTGGTCCACCGAAGAAGCCGCATATATCATGAGCCTTGAAAAAGAAGAAGCAGATATATTGAAAAAGAAGCGGAGCGTTTTTCGAAGAAACACGACGAAACTCGTGAACAAGGTTTTAGACCTGAGAAATGCTGATGGAGAAAACGATACCATACTGCTCAAATCTTTTAGTGAACAGTTAAAAACTCAACGGGATGAGCTGAAAGAGTTAGATAATAGTATCTTTGAATATGTTCTCGAAAACGAAGACGAAGACGCGTGTGATAAAGAAGTTGAAGAATCTGGAGAATATTCGGGAAAAATAACACATGCCTTGGTTTTTATCAACGAAGAACTGGGAGGAGACGATGACGCCTTTTCAGTGAAGTCAGGTAGTTCGCGTAGAATGCAGAGGAGTGCATCGAAAGAGAGTGTTGCTTCCGAATGCTCGCAGTATTCAAACCAAAGGGACACTGGGAAGAGAAAAGTTCGCGTGAAATTGCCGCAGTTAGAAATAAAGAAATTTTCGGGAAAGATACAAGAGTTTCAAGAGTTTTGGGACAGTTTTGTGAGCGCGATTCATGAGAACGATGAGTTAGCGAATGTAGATAAAATGAAATATTTGAAGGGATATTTGGAGGAGCCTGCGAGATCAGTCATTTCCGGAGTGCCTATTACTGATTCAAATTATCAGACCGCAATCGAATTGTTGAAGAAAAGATTTGCGAAACCGAGTATGCTGGAACATGCCCACATAAATCAAATGGTCAACATGCAACCAGTTTTCAATGAAGATGACGTCATCAGGCTGAGGAAATTCAGGGATCAAATCGAGACGAATTTTCGTGGATTGGAGGCTCTGTCTGTCGATCAAGGAACCTACTCCAAGATTGTGGTGCCTGTGTTGGTGGAGAAGTTGCCAAAGCAGTTGAAATTTAGCATGGTGCGATCACGAAGAAAAAGCGTCTTGGAATGGAGTTTGGATGAGCTGATTGCAGAACTTGATTTGGAGCTTGAAGTTCGGGAAAATCATGCAGAATTTGTAAAGATCAGTGGACGGCCTAATAAGCAAGATGAAGCACCAAGACAACTAACGAGATGGAAGGGACCGAACACTGCAAGTGCACTTTTTACACCTGAGGGAAAGCAGAAGTGTGTTTACTGCACAGGAGACCACAAGCCAAATGAATGCACAAATCATACGGACCCTGAGGACAGGAAAAGTATCCTTAAGAAATGTTTTAGGTGTTTTATTTGTCTTAAAGCCAACCACAGGTCTTTTGAATGTAGATCAAAGTTGCGATGTCCGCAGTGTAAGGCTAAGCATCACGTCTCTATTTGTAGCAGCATGCCATTTAAGCCAGAAAATAAGGATGCGCCTGCGAATAAGCTAAGCCCTAATGCCCCAGCTTGGGTTGGAAGCATGTGTTCTGGGGACAGTGTGGCCTTGCAAACAGCCTTGGCAAAGGTGAATGACAAAAAAGGATGCAATGTGAGAGTGCTATTTGACTCTGGGAGTCATAGATCCTTCATTTCTGCCATGGCTGTAGAAAATTTAGGACTCAGGCCAGTGAGAAGAGAAAATTTGAGCATAAAGGCCTTTGGGTGTAGAGAAACAGATGACAGTATGAGAGATGTAGTAGAATTTTATCTTTTGCCTTTGATGGGAGAAAAGAGAGTGAAAGTTTCTTGTTATGTTGTTGATAATATAACTAGTATTGCGAATATTCATGTTGAAAAAGTAAAAAAACTTTACCCCCACTTGCACATGATATATTTTTCAGATGTTTCTAGGTTTGAGGACAAGCTGAATATCCAGATTTTAATTGGCTCAGATTTTCAATGGGAGTTCATGGAGGGGGAAGAAATACGAGGGGGGCCACATGAACCTGTGGCAGTGAAGACAACTCTTGGGTGGGTTTTGTCTGGACCCTTGAAAGGTGAGAAATTTGACTCTTCTCCTCAATGCTCAGTAAATTTGTTGCCATGCGAATCTTCTGCGAAGGGGATTGAGGAACAGGTAAACAAACTTTGGGATCTTGATAGCTTAGGCATAAGGCCTAAGGACAATGTGCATGAAGCTCTACTTGATGACATTGTATTTACAGGAGAGAGATATTCAGTATCATTGCCTTGGAAGGAAGGTCATGGTCCTTTGCCATTAAATTACAACAATTGTGTTGCTAGATTGAAATCGCAAGTAAGAAAGCTCAAGCAGGATCCTAAGATCTTGCATGAATATGATAGAATTATTTCAGAGCAGTTGCAAACAGGTATCATTTCAAAGGTATCCGAAATGGAGGATGCAGAAAGAGTTTCATATCTGCCACATTCAGCAGTTGTACGTGAAAATGCAGAAACAACTAAGGTAAGAGTTGTTTACGATGCTTCTTGTAAAGATAGAAATACAGGAACCTCCTTAAATGACTGCTTGCATGTGGGTCCATCATTGACACCATTAATTTTTGATATTCTTTTGCGGTTCAGAGATGCAAGAGTAGCTCTTGTTGGCGACATTGAAAAAGCTTTTCTGAACATTGAGGTAAATGCTAAAGATCGTGATTGTTTGAGATTTCTCTGGTTAAATGACATCAGTGCAGAAAAACCCGAGATCATTGTGCTCAAGTTTAATTCTGTTGTCTTTGGTGTTAATAGCTCACCATTCATTTTGAATGCTGTTTTGCGTCATCATCTTTCTACCTTTCAGGAGTCTGACCCAGACTTTGTCACGCAAATGTCACAGTCTTTCTTTGTTGATGACCTTGTAACCGGTTGCCCTAATGTAGCAGAAGCATATTCCCTCTTTTGTAAGGCAAGAGAGAGAATGATGAAAGGGGGATTTTCACTACGAAAATGGAAAACAAACAATGCTGAGCTTAGGGAACAGATTCTGCAGAAAGAGAAAGGAAATGAAAGTGTAGATTCCCAAGAAGAGCAATCCTTTGCCAAAGAATCATTAGGACCTCTGCAGGAAACAGGGGGGAAGACCAAAGTCTTAGGTATAATCTGGGATAATGAGAAAGACACACTTGAATTTGACCTGACAAAAATGGCTAAAAATATTCAGGTAGAGAGGCCCACAAAGAGAGGCATTTTGAGCACTTTAGCCATGTCATTTGACCCTTTAGGTCTAACAAGCCCCATAGGGGTGCAAGCTAAAATTATTTTTCAGGATCTTTGCAAAGAGAAGCTTGAGTGGGATGACCCAATCCCTGAGAGCAAGGTTGCAAAGTGGGAGGAATGGATACATGGGCTAAATGAGGTGAAAACATTAACAATTTCAAGATGTGTGTATGATGAAAATGAAGGTGAGTTGTTGAGCTGTCAACTGCATGGATTTGGAGATGCTAGCAAAAGGGCATACTGTGCAGTTGTGTTTCTTGTTTGGGAAACAACAAAAGGCAGGTATACAAAGCTGCTGTGCTCTAAGACAAGGGTAGCTCCACTCAAAGATCTTACAATTCCACGTCTTGAGTTAATGTCTGCCAGAATTTTAGCTGTCCTCATGGATAATGTTTACAAAGCACTGTGTTCACAAGTCATCATTGACAAGGTAAAGTACTGGCTTGACAGCAAAACCGCTCTTTACTGGATATATAACCAGGGAGAGTGGAAGCAATGGGTGCAGTTTCGTGTGTCAGAAATCTTGAGATTAACAAAGAAGTCAGATTGGCGTCATGTAGGAGGCAAAGATAACCCTGCAGACCTAGGATCTAGGGGAGTGTCAGCATTAGTTTTGAAAGACAGCAAATTGTGGTGGGAAGGCCCAAAATGGTTGAGAGAGAGTGAAAATAATTGGCCTACTAGTTTAGTGCTTGAAGATTCAACTGAGATAAAAGAGGAAAGAAAAAGGATGCCTATTGTTTTGAGTGTAGTTACAGAAAAAGTTAGGACATTGAGCAATGTTGTGAATGTGGAAAGATTTAACTCCTTGACTAAATTGCTCAGAGTGACGGCATGGGTCAAAAGGTTTGTTAACAATCTGAAACACAAAAAAGAGAAAAAAGAATTGGAAAAGGGGAACTTGGCGGTAGAGGAGATAATAGGTGCAGAAAGAATTTGGATACAAGATGCACAGAAAATGTTGGAAGAGAGTGCAAATTTTGAGAAAACCAGAGTTCATCTTGGGATTATTGAGAAAAATGGACTACTCGTCTGCCAGGGAAGGCTGGAAAACTCAGACTTAGATATAGAATCAAAGTACCCTATTATTCTGCCCAAGGAGCACAAATTAGCTCAGTTGATTGTGTTAGACTGTCATGAGAAAGTTCACCATTTGAAGGTAAGAGCTACACTAGCTGAGTTAAGATCCAGATTTTGGATAACTAGTGGAAGACAGTTTGTCAAAAAGATTCTAAAACCATGTTTTCGTTGCAGGTATCTTGATGGAAAGTCGTTCAATGCACCAGCCACAGCAGCCTTACCAGACTTCCGAGTAAGTGAAGCACCGCCATTCAGCACTACTGGTGTGGACTTTGCGGGGCCACTGTTTGTGAAAGCTGAAGGTGGTGAGATGATTAAATCTTATATCTGTCTCTTTTCTTGTTTTATAACCAGAGCTGTTCACCTTGAAGTAGTATCAGATCTTGCTACCCCTACCTTTGTAAATTGTTTACGTCGATTCTGTGCAAGAAGGGGAACGCCAGTGCGTATTGTGTCAGACAATGCCAAGACCTTTAAGGCTACTTCAAAACTGCTCAATAAATTGTTATCTGAAACTGAGGTAAGAGATTTTTTTGTATCAAAGCGCATAATATGGAGATTCAACTTAGACCGTAGCCCCTGGTGGGGTGGGGCATTTGAACGCATGGTGGGTAGTGTAAAGAGGTGCCTTAGAAAAGTCCTAGGCAATGCAAGACTCACACAGGATGAATTGACTACAGTACTTGTAGAAGTGGAAGCAACATTGAATTCTAGGCCACTGACCTATCAACATGAGGAATTTGACTCACAGGTACTTACTCCTTCTCATTTGCTTGTTGGAAGAAGGATTTCACCTTTATCAAATTATGTTAGTGATGAATTAGATTTTGAAGAAGATAACAATATAAGCCTTTCCAAGAGATTCTTTTATTTGACAAAAAAGTTGAGCCATTTTTGGAAAAGATGGCACACTGAGTATCTTTCAGGTTTACGTGAAGCACACAAGCTGAAGCAAGCAAAATCCAATGCAATCTGTAAGGGAGACATAGTCATTGTGCAAGATGAAAGCAATGTAAAGAGAAACACTTGGAAGATAGCAATTGTAGAAGAACTTATAAAAGGAAAGGATGGTGAAACCAGAGGAGCTAAGGTTAGGAAAGCATCAAAGAAGGGTAAGCCTGAAACTCTAAATCGCCCACTTCAAAAACTTTATCCTTTAGAGATTCATTGTTCTAATGTTTGTAAGGAAGGTAAGGACGGAGGGAAAAGTATGGAAGAAATGTTGAAAGTGAATGACATGGATGAAGTGAAGAATGCGAATGAGAACACTGCGAATGTCAGACCTCGCAGAGCAGCAGCACAGGATGCGCGATGGAAATCCCAGCTTATGCTTGACCCGTAGCGGTCCAAGGAGGGGGGTGTGTGGGGGATTCTACAGCGCGCATAGCAACCATTTAGTTATGTTATATTCTTAGATATATTGCTTTTTAAAGACAACAGACAATTTTCTCTATTAATTATATATTGCTTTATTCACTTGAGGACTCGAAGTAGCTTAATTTGTTTTGTTATGATATTATATTTACGTACTTGTCTCCTGTTAATGTGTACGTGAACAAGGTAAAGGAAACTGATATTCGTGATGTATTTAAAACCTACGCACGACCTTTGTATCGGTATAAGCAAATATAGGTTCACTGATTTGACATGTTGATTAGCTGAGTAATGTAAATTGAGTTATAAAAGTACAGTAGGGCAGTGTTAGCGTAAAATGTGTTGAGGAAAGACGTGTAGATAAATTGAGATATGTTGAGACAAGGCGTACGTTTGAGTTTTATTTGAAGAGATTTCTTGGTTCGTGGAGAAGTATATATGTTTCGAGCCAGCGTAAATGAGATAGATTGCGATCTATAACAGTTTGTTCTTGAAACAAAATGACACTGAACTAGCAACGAAAGTAGGGAAAGCTGACAAGGATGCCAATTTTACGTGGACTGGCAAGATACTGCATTTTTAACACGAGTATTTATCGACAACAAGGCAGCCAAGATGGCGAAAGGTCTTGATTGGGAGACATGGAAAACTAAATTGGATGAAAAAATAGCCAATCGCTTTCGAGCAAGATACGATGTGGATACAATTTATCCGCATAAAAGCGTTTACACTGTACCACAAAGCTATCCAAACTAATTTAATCCACTTTCCTAGGTGAACTAATTTTGTTCGGATAGCCGCTCTCAAATTCGCGCGGATAGCGTTGGTCTAGTGTAAAAGTGACGCCTATCTGAACTAATTTTGATGCGGATAAAATTTATCCGGAACAGTGTAAACGGGGTCCATGAAAACGATATAGAAAGAAAAACAAATATTAACTGAACAAAAGAATAGTAATTAAAGTTCAATTTTTTGTGTCAAATCAACAAGAATGAAATCTTGAGGGAAATTTTCCTTTGTTTCTTCAATTTACAGAGAAAAAAACTGTAAACTCGTTATGTAGCAATTCGCATTACCTATAACACATTCTAGATTAATTATCACCTCCTTGAGTTGTCTTTGCTTTAACTGCAAAATGAGCAAAATAAGTTTGTTGCAACCGCGCGGCAAAACGTTTTCTAGCACAATCTAAGCTGCCATAATCAAATTTTGCTTGTCGATTTATTTATTCAAATTTTAATTAGGCCCAAAAGCAAACTGGGTACAATTGTTTTAAAAAATAGAGGAAGGTGAGAAAAGTTTTGGAAATCTTGTTTATTAACAAAGTCACCAGCGTTGGCATCAAAATAGCCTGCGTGCAGACTTGTCTTCTATGTGTAAAGTCTACGTGCAGGCAAACATCAAATTGGTACCTCGTTTTCTATGCTCATTACAGTAAAAATAATTGTGCCCACTTGTTATTGTCCATAAAAAATATGTTGCATGATTTATTGAAATATACCAACAAAAGAAGACACAAGCAACAGAATATCGAAGGAAAGTCGATTGTAACTTTAAACTAAAGGCTCATTTAGTTAACATTTGACAAGAAACCAATTTCTTAGTGAATTTGGAGATTTTGTAAGCTTTGAGCCAGTGAGAATGATATTAGAAATGTTTGTGCCAGTGGCGGGGTGGCTATGTTTTTCCTGGGGTGACCAAGTCGATTTTTGCGCCTCATCTATATGGTTAACTAAAAGCACGCGTTATTTGAAGAGGAATCAATTTTTGCAACTTGAATTCAAAATTTCATGAATAAATTTTGATTGAAAGTGGGAGTATGAATGGAATAATTCAAAGTAACATAACGTAGAGCAAATGTTTGTTTCAGGTTCCTTGGTTTTTCACTAAAGTTAGCCTTAGTTCATTTCGCCACTGCTTATGGGCGATCTTTTCAGCCTAGTGTCATCATATTTATGATGTATGATAAACAAACATGGTTCAAGTTTGTTATTCTTTAGTAGTTATTAAATAGAAGTTCTTTCAACAACTTGAAAAAATCAAGTATTGAATTGTACCATTGAACCGGACAGAGGCGGCGCGCACGAAATTGAATCTTGAGTTGGGCTAAGAATCAAGTTTAGTGACATAGGAGGACCCACCATGGTTTGGATCCGACGCGGGAAAAATTTTTTGAAATCAAGCCTTCCAGAATGGCTAAAATGCATCTCCCAAACAAAAATTTAACAGATTACTATACCGCTCAGAATAGACAGTTCGACGATGCTCAGAAAAACATTGATTTTTGATTCTTAGAAAAAATTTTGGAGGGGAGGATTCATGCGTTGGGAAAAGAAAGAAAGGGCGACCTTTGGTTCAGAGTGCACATCGATGTTAATAACAAGAACCTGCTGTATTGATTGCCAGGGTGGATTCCATATACTTAGGTCCGAAGATCTTCGGCGTACACTCAGGATTTTTTGGCTTTCTGAGTGCAAACTAATAGATAATATTTTTGGCATACTAGGCCGTAAGCTGTGTCAGATTTTTATTTGGTCTCGCTGCCCTCATTCCGGCACTACGTTTAATAAGCATTTTCCTATGTGTTTTTTCGTGCTGATTACGAATCTTTTTGTTGTCAACTGTAAAAACCTGCAATTCTCTTGGAATTCAACTTCAAACTTCACTATTCCCGCGCTTAAGGTGTATAACATGGAATGCCGAAAGCCGATGCTGCTTAATTATTCTCGGCCCTATCTCACAGTCCGGGTAATACCTAAGTACCAATTGCTTTAAAATAAACATGGCGGTCGGCTAAACAAATGGATCGTTTTTTGATACATTCTTGACATTCTTGCTTTCCAGTAGCGGCACCAAGGGGTAGTATGGACGGTTATCCCCCCCATCCCCTCTTGCAAAACATTGTCCAGATATTCTCCTAAAATTGATGAAAAATGCACTGGGTAGGGGCAGGTCATATTTTTCAAAATTTGTCTATGAAAATGCATCTGGCATAAAAAACAATTAAAATGAGACAGTAAAGGCGTAGACACCTGGGTCAGGCCCATTACCCTCCCACTCTGCTACAGCTGGTGCCACCACTGTTTTATTCTTAACGCGTTTATAAAGCTTAAATAGCTGAAATGTTTTTCATAAAATTATTGATTTCAACCTGATTTAAGAAAGTAAAGTACAAAAATCATAAAGGGACGACGTCATTAACTATTCAAAACCTGTATACGAGATTACAGGGCCGCAGAGATAATTTATGGGCCCCGGGTCAGGACAAAAATTAAATTATAAGGCATGCCTAAGGCAGACGCTTCTAGGAGGTATGGGGAATGCTCCCCAGAAATTTCTGAAAATTATGGTTGCTTAAACTGCTAGGGTGGCTATTATGGTTGCTAAAATTGTCATGGTGGCTAAACTGCGCCGGTGGCAATGGTGTAGATAGAGGCCAGACAGAGCAAAAACACTACTATACTACTATATTGTCGGAAAACCTCTGCTCTTTTCAAAAATCTAACATGATTCTATGTTTATCTAAATGCTATGTTTTGATGGAAAAAATTTGAATCTAAATAAACATAAGAATATTCAATATATCAAATGATCTTTTTTCAGTTCTGATATCGTTATGTTATGTTGAAATTTATGTGAAAGATATAGAAGCTTGTTAGATTTTTGTCGGAAAATCCATGGTTCTCACCCCTCCTGTGAATTAGAAAGAAATAGAAAATAACAGGTACAAGATGATACGTTTAAATAACTGAGAATAAAAAACAAGTGGGTTATCGGCACAAGATTTAGGGATATGCGAACGCCATAGTGTAAATCTGTATGACATACATATTGCCCTGTATGTTACCCTGCAATCACATTTCGTAACATTCAGAAGCTTTTGAACTAGCCAACAAAGATGAGAAATTCTTAACAAAAATTTCTTCACGACTTCATGGACCTTTGTCATTATTGTCTCTAATATTATGTTTTGTTAATGTTGATGAGGAGGATAGATTATAACTTAGAAATTTTGTTCAATTGAGTTATTATTTATGGGCCCCCGGGTCAGTGACCCCCCTGACCCCCCTCTCCTCAGCACTGTACGAGAATAACCCGTACAGTATGAACAAGCTTACTCGCATTTGCCAACTGTAAGCTCGTTCATGCTGCTAACTACGGTGTTAACTACAAAAACAGATGGTTTTGACCATAATACATAATGATGTTGTGATGACGTCATCAACCGTTAAAAGGCATCTTCTCAGACACGAAGCGTTTGACAACGCTCTAAGTTGCACGTTTGTATACTAACTTAAAGTGATCTAGCTGGTGAGGGAAGTTTCTGTGTCAAGAAATGTTTTTTAAATAATTTGACTGTATCGATGACGTCATAAACCTAGAAATTATTGACCCCCGTATCTCACGAGATGCATGTTTGTCAGAGTGACAACAACTGATTTTATATTAAGTAACACATTATAAACAAGAAAAAACAGTCGTGAAGTTGTGCCCGGATGCGGGCAACGAAAATTGATTTTGGAGCACCTTTTTTGGTCACAGCTTACGGCCTATACGTAAAAGTTTCTTTAGTTGGCGTGCTAAACATGAAGCCACGTACATAGTTAACAAGAAGACATATGACACAAATGTTGAATGGGTCATGGCAACGCAACGTGCTTCGATTGTAGAATCACATGCTTTATTAGATTGTTCACAGCAAGTTACAGCAAAGTGTTCTACCCATGTACGATCAATTTTGTTCCTAGCCAACCATTACAAGCAAACAATTTTGGCGCCCCCTTATCTCCATTTGCACCCATATTCAGGGGGGCATGTCTCCCTGCCCCCCCCTGCCACCACGCCACTGGTTGTTCATCCACTTCTCCTGAGTTTGACTTACGGGAGATCAATACGAAGATCTTTGCAAAGGTCCAACAGTTATCCCCTGAAAAATATGTAAGAAAGATCAAGATGAAAAAAAATCACGAAGATTTAATCAATGTTAAATTAAAAGTTTTTACATTGAAGCCTAAATCAGCAGACTGCAGCAAAATATTCTCAGCACACAAGAGACCCAAGTAGTTCAAGAAGCCATCTTATACACAAGGCAATAAGCCCATACCTAGGTATACATCAACATCAACTAGTTTTTAAATGTTACAATATTTTTGATTAAACAAATTGTATCTTGCGTTTAGTAAGTGCGTTTACTGTTTTAAATATTTCAATGCACAGAATTCTTTGACGAGCAACGAGCATCGTGCATTTGTCTGAAAAATACCTGACCAAGGTATAGTAATTGAAATTTGAATATACAAAGCTCTGAACAAGAATCTTTTTCTCCTGGAAACCAATAAATGTCTTTAATCTTTTAAAAACATTTAATTGTGCTGCAGCTTTTTTGCAAAGATTCGAAATATGTCGGTCGAAATCAAATTTGTAATCCAACGTTACACCTGAAAGCTCCACTGTCTTTTCAGATTTAATTTTTTTACCATTAATGGTAAGCTATATTTTTCTTCTCAACTAATATTTGTTTGATTCTTCGAGACAATTTGTCTGCATAAATGAGCCATTCATGAAGAAGTTGAACAGGACTGGTCCTAGCACAGAGCCCTGGGATACACCAGACATCTCCTCTTGGAAAGAGCTATATGAATTGTTTATCCGAACACATTGTTTTCTTCTTTCGCGATAGGAATGAATTAGAACGAGCGCATCTTCATTAAATCTATAAGCATGAAGTTTGGTAATAAACAAATCACGTGGGATACAATCGGAAGCTTTCGAAAGATCCATTAGGATAGCACCAACGAGATAGTCGTTGTCAAGGTAAGTCCCCCAGTCTTCTATTAAACGTTGGGTTGCATATTAAACATATCAAAACTGCCGCTTTTTTGCATCGTTTGGGAAACGGAAACTATGAATGCTACAGTAGTTTGTAAGCTCATTTGCACAGATTTGCACAGACAATGTAAACAGATATGCTATCAATCTTCCTTTTATGATCAAATAACTCTCTCTTTGAAAAGTTTATGTTCCAGATTGAGAAAATATGGACCTCCTTGTCAGTTAAATCACGGATGCGCAATGATATCTTTGTAGCCGCAGAGGAAAACCTCAGCATTTTGATCAAAATGCTTCTCAGAATCTTTGCTTTCTTGCAAAGTATGGGGGAAAATGATGTTTTTGTCTATATGATCGGGGTGAAAGGTTACGAATGCACACCATCGCTTTTACACTGAAAAGGCACTTTAGCCCAAGTATTTGCACAAGGCTTCCTCAGTGTGAGCTCCTCCGCAACACACGAAAAATTGGCTAAATTGTCACAGTCCACAACATTCCGTTTCGTCACAACTTCATTTTATTAGTTAATGTATTTTCTCAAATGGCAACCGCATTTATTCATTAGCAATCTCAGTTTTGTATCATTACAATGAAAATAATACCACAAACATTTTCCGTAATTATGGACTTTCACGAAAGTAATAAATGGTTTCAAAGTACAGAGATACCCTGCTTTGTATTATTTGTTCTGTCGTGTCAGTTTCGTCTTCAGTCAAAATCATAACAGATTTAAATGAAACAATTTCAAAATTAGGACCATTTTTACTTAGGCCACGGCTTCTATTAGAGAAAATAAGGTTTATATTAAAATTGGCGTAGAGACATGGGGTCTGCACCTGTCTCTACGCTACGCCTGTGTATATTAACATAAAATCATTGCTATGCACAACTAATCAAAATTGATTTGGTCCAGCTTTGAGCTCAAATACCCTGCTAATTCATTTGAAGGTATCCAATTAGTTGATCTCCGCATTGTGGTCTGTCTGTTACACAAAACAACTTTGCTGCAAACATTTCTTCTCAATTTCGCTAAAAGCTTTGGACTAATATGGATATGGATCTCATTCTATATTATAACCATCGCATTTTCGAAATGTTTTATTTTCCGATGGCTCATTGTTTTATTTTCTGATCATGTTATTAATTAAATCCCTTGCCCATCGTTATGTCTTAATCCCATATTTAGGGAACCGAAGAGCTTCTAGTTTCCTAGTAATGGAGGCATGCCCTTGCATACAGTCAATGCGTATGTCCTTATGATTTAAAGACACTATAAGAAGAGCATATTAAAAACGCTATTGAAACTTTATATTACCAATGTGTATTCCCACTTTATATTCTCACTTTCAAACGGCTTTTTATGTTGTAAACAAGAATTTTATTGAGGGGGACTAGGGAGAACACAGAATGAAGCTGTGTAGACTAAGAACCTACGAAGCAGCAGATGAATATGGAAAAGAAAGTCGCAAACCTTGTAGATATTATGATGTAAATAAAATCAACTTAACAAGAACATAATCTTTTGTTATTAAGAGACAAAATGAAGTCAGAAATTCCTTTCCAGGGTATATAATTACTTCCTAACGGGTTTCTGTATGATTCTTAGCTAAGACTCACTAAAGAGCATAATGTCTTAGGGAATTGTTTGCTACTGAAAGAATCTATTCATTGGGAAGAATAACAGAAGTACGTCTAGACTAACTGGATGTCAGTTTTTTGACTGTGTAATTGTAACAGACTTTTAATATCAAAGATGATTTTTATTTCTGCAAAAGAGTTTCTGATTAAATTGATTTTTCTATGGATATTCTCGACACTTTATCGTCATCGGCCAGCATCCCCAAATAATATATTCACGGATCTCCAGTTTTTCTTTCTGACAAGGAATCTAATGCCAGTGGTGATTCCTTCATTATCAACCCTGGGTACTTCAAATCTAAGTTGGGTCACTTTCTTTTTTTATCCAGGAGTGGGAAAGCTTTATGACATCACAAACGCTAAATTCCTCCTTTGAAGTTTGGTTTACGTTTATTTTAAACACTACACCCTTTCTCAGCTATCGACTGATATACCTTATATCCAATGAGCTACTCTTTCACCAGTGCTCACATTTTCCAAGTTCCTTTCTCTGCAAAATTCACGAACTTTGTTCCACAAGCCAACTTGTTCTCCAGATCCTTGGAACCCTCAACCCTCTTTCATCCTACCAAGCTCTTATAACTTTACTCTAAACAAAAGACAATAAACCATATATTACCTCTCTATCTTCCTAATACAGCCCTCTTTTCCTTTGCTAGGACTTTGTTATAGGACCCCGGCCTTTTCCTAGACATAACTAACCAAAAAGGATATATATGATTGACGTCATAACTGTTTTTAAAAATATGTCATCCTAACAGAAAATGACCTTATAGATATGCGTTGTTTACAGTTGCGATAGCAACGCACCATTCATGATGACGTCCGCATAACTTAATCCAAATAACACGGACCTTTCCATGCTGAGAAACAAGAAAGAATGATGTCTGGTTTGGTCTGAATGATAAATTGTTCAATCAATTTATTTTGATGGCAAATCAAAATGAGAAAAAAATATAACAAGTTCCAAAGCACATTTGATATTGCTATGATACAAAGAAAAACAGTATTGAAAGCATCTACCTAGTTTCGTGAGAAAGTGAAACATGAACGAAAATTTGACAGGAAAAACATGAAATGCATAACAAGTACAAACTTTGGCAGACAATGAATCGCCCTACCAGATCACAAGAATCTGCTTTGCGTGTTGCAGAACCTAAGTTAAGAACAGTTCCAAGCTTTTGATTGTTCGAATCGGTTCCAAGCTATTGAATCGGTTTGAAAGCATTTTTCTGGTAGAGTGGTCCGGACTGACATGTAAGTCCAGTTTGATCTAGCCTGTACCTGTCAAATCTTAAAAAACTTATTTAGGGTTACAAAGGCGTTTAATACAAGCTCGGCGAACTCGTGTTTATTTTGTGCCATTTTCTTAGCTTGCTCAAATGACATACCCAGTTCATGGGCAATCTTTAACCACGGTTCACGTTCGCGGTATGTCGCTTTTTCGTGAATCAGATAGATCATTTTAGCCTGTGCCCCAGTCCACAAATGCTGCCACATTTATGGACTGTGCAATATTGATAAATATCCTGTCCACAGTTTCTACCAAGATCTGGTGGTAGTTTGTGCAACCCTTGAAAATCATGCAATTAGCTGAAATTGCCAGCGGTTTAATCCTCATAAGACTTTAAACTAATCATGCACCATTTTATCTACGTCCTATTTGGTTTCAGTCCATATTTCTTTGAGGATTTTTCAGACAAGACTTTAGTTGTTTCATTGCATAAGTTATGTTCATTAACTAGACCCAGTCCTCTGCCTGGACAGGATATTTAACAATATGGCAAAGTCCAAGAATGTGGATGCACCTAGATGCACCAAGGTATAAGAAATCGGTCTCTAGCAGCATCTGAGCGGTATCATGTATGGAGTACCGTTTCTTTATGCTGGATCTTGGGGGGCTACGTGCCAGAATTGCACTTAAATCCCCCACCCTACCCTAGTTTTACGAGGCTTTCATCGAAACATTTACTTCTCATGCCTTAATGTTTTAATAATTCGTACAATTTATCAACGTTTGGCAAATGTTATCATAATTTGAATCAAATGCTATCATTTGCTTGAAGAGAGTATGGAGGAGAGTAAGCAAACGATGACAAATAAATTATGGTCAGCCAAAAACATTCAAGAATAACCACAAGGATCCCTCTCCCTCTCCAAAAAATCTTAGCAACTTTTAACAAGAGGAGCTTTTCTTTAACCCAGCGCACATGATCGACTTTTTTGCTTCAAAGAAGCTCTTTCAGGGTGAAGAGCCTTAAGAAAAATGTTCTTAAAAATCTTAACGAAAAAGCAAAATATGATAGATTTTGTTATAAATTTGGCAATTTTCAAGGCCATGGCCTCCCCTGCTTGGGCACCTGGGAGAGGAAAGGTTACTTGCTGCCCTCGCTACCTGCGCAGGAGAAGAAAGAACCTACGCACAGGGACGTCTTTTTGAAATGAAAAAATATTTGTGTTTGAAATGCAATTATTGGTCGTGCTCTCCCACAAAAATTTCTACGAAATTCCTGATATGTTGCAAAGAAACTCGTGCATTTCTCAAGAACAGTGAAGTGAACACCTTTACACCTCATCTAAGATCGAATTGAATCATTGATACTTTCCGAAAAATGCAAGCCCCTTTTATTACAATACAACATTTCCCGTTCGAATTCTTAAGCATTCACAGGGAAGTGAACATCTATGGAGTTGACTGATTCTGTCAGTGTGACGTAGGCAAGGCCAATAGCTACAGGGGCATAATCCAGTTGCCAATGAAAAGCTACCATACATTGTATGCGCTACTTTTATTGCCCACGTGAAATAAATTGAAAGCGTCGATTACGCAGGATTTCTTTGGTTGAATCACTGAAATATTTCCGACTTACAAAGACCTTTGTCTCTAAAAGAAAGGGATGTCACCATGGGAATTCTGTAGTTTAAAACGAATTCTGAGGAGAAGAGGACAGCAAACAGGACAGGAGCGACTTTGTCAAGAGTGAGGAGAATTTTTGAAGGTGGAAAAGAAGGAGTCAAAACAAACGCAGTTTAAAAAAAACGGAGAATTACATTATATTAATATTCAATTGACAACGAAAGGCTACAAATATTGCTAAAAAGTAAGTCTCTCTTTATTTATACATATCTTGGTCTTGTAGTGCAGTTACCCTGGGGTTTCACTGCAATTTTTCAACATCCTCTTTAAGCTATTGACTTTGTTAGCACAAAACATAAATAGCGTTAGGCTTGAGAAAATTGTATTTGAAGGTGCTTTGGACATTTTAAATATTAAGTCTAACATAATGTAGATTGCATTTCCAACACGTCCTCTGATCACATTGCGTTGATAAATCTTTCTAGAGTTTTGTTTCCATATATTCGTCAGCTAATTGCATCAAAATATGCGAGTATGTTATTTTGAATTAACAATTTTTTTTCCGAAAAAAGATGATTTCGAAAATTTTATTCGCGCAAGCAAACTAAAATGTGGCAACATGATACCAAAAATTGGAAAAGCTTCGGTCGACTTGCAAAAGTTTTAAGTTTTATAGAGTTGTACATACAATTTGATACTGTGCAGAATTTTAATGTGATAGTTATAGAAGATATGGACCAACGTTATATGTTATGAATCTCTTTTAATTATTTTATAATTCAATGCCCAATCAAACCATTAACACTCAAGTTTTTTGCTCTATTTGAGAAATACGTATTTTCTGCAAAAATTTTGTTTTATTAAGTAATATTTGCAACATTTTTGTTAAAATTTCCCGTCAAATTTCAAATAAGATGACAAAATATGGTAGTTTCTGTATCGTGATAATTTTTAGATTTTTGTTGCTTCATAAGGATAACAGTTTTTTTGAGCAATAGCTGAGTTTAAAAAATTAATATATATTAAAACTTACAATAGTCAATATATATGTAAATAAAACAATGTCGATGCCAATGGCAGTTAGCTGCCTTTGATCGTTGCGTGCATCCAAGATCTGACTCATTCAGAGACATTGCATTGAATGTGATTGAATTCTTTGGAGGCACTTCGAACAAAACACCTGATTCATCGAAAAGATATTAATGAATTCATGGTCTTTTGTGGGCTCTTGTGGGCTCTTGTGGCCTCTTGTGGCTCTTGAAGGGCAAGAAAACAAATATTTCTTCACATCCCGTCAAGCAATAAAATAAATAGTCTTTCTACGTACATTTTTTAACCGAAGAATAATGAAATTCTATTTTCTGTGATATTGCGTAGGACTTCAGGTATTCAGAGAACATAACGGTCCGTGTTTGTTACTGGGTTCGTTATCAGCTATGCAATATAGGACACGGCATTGAGCGCAAATTCCGCTTATGCAATCTCTGTGTCCTGTCAGGCAGTGGGAGGCCGGAAAGAAACTTTATCCAATAATACCGCAATAATGCAGGGCCTCCGATTTAGGGGGGCTGCATTATTGCGCTTTTTTCAAAATCTTTTGTTATGGGTGTTTTTCAGCCTGTGTCGGAGCCCATTGCAACAAAGACTTGCTTAAGAGATAGTTGGCCCATTTGGCTTTAAAGTACCCACCCTAACATCTCGTTATTCACAAATCTTGTTTATTTTTAAAAGTGGGCGATATTCCTCCAAAACCATATCAGATTTGAAAAAATAAGAATACTTTAAGAATATTTTCCGGAAAATTTCTTAAAAATATTGTGCCCGGACAAACTTCTATTCTTTGTTTTTTGTTCATTACAAAGAAATTAACGTCAATTTTCGTTTATACCTTTACTCCGCCTCAAATACTTTCAACTTTTGTCTATTGAATAGCGTTGTGATGGGTAACCTACGTCGACCTACGTAATCTTTAGACCTCGTCATTCTGTCGTACAGCTTGAAACATTTTAATTAAGTGAAATCCCTGTTATGGCCAATGGCAATCAATCTTTTAATTCTATGATTCAATTGCGTTGTCGGCTGATCCATGGTATTTTGATTCAACAAGAAGTCTAAAGACTATTCTTGAGTTGAAATTGTTTATCTGTATTGCTTAGCAACATGTTAGTTTCCAGGATGACGGACGCAATAAATTACATTGGTTACGTATTGCGGTTACTTTCATCTGGAATGCGAAAAATGATACTGGCTGAACAATGACGTCTTCCCAGAGATGCTATAGTTCCCATTCCCCGTCAAAATGAGAACAATCCACCCAGTGGTGATTTCAAAAAAGTTAACATTTATATTTAGTTTGTGAGAGTTATATCATAAACATTTATATTTTATTTTATCAGAGTTATATTTTTAAAAGCACAACTAATGCAAATTTGTTTGGGGGGCTGCGCCCCCCCCCAAATTCGAGAACAGTTTTAACAAAGGGGGCTCCGCCCCTCAAAGCCCCACTAGAAATCAGCCCTGAATCCACCACCCTTTTCGAAGTTCCCATCGTCGTCTTCTTTAGAACAGTGTATCTTGATAAGTGAGACCCTGGATACTTTGGTCTTTCGCTACGTGGGACCAAATAAGCAGCAGTAACTTTAGTCCCTATTGTTATGCTTCACAGTAAGTGAAAATTATTCAAACTAACCCCAGAGAAATATAAAAATATAAAAATGCAAATTCGCATCTTAAAAGGCAAATTCAACCATAAATCTTACATTCAACCTATTTTGAAATTTTCTCTTAAATTAAACGTAATTTAGATTTGTTGTGTAGCTTATTCATCCATATGATGATGTGCAAGGGGTATCCTTAGGACATTTTGTTGCAGCAGCTTAAACTTACACAAATCGACAATAAAATGCTGAGGAGTAGATCAAACTTGAATGATTCCCACCGTCATATCCTTTGTACTATGAATATATGAAACATCAAAACAAAAACCACTACCCATTGTGGCGGTATGTATCCCCAATCAGATTTTAGCTTGGTTGAAACGAGGATGTACGAAAATGAACAGTTAGTTGTGAAAGCAATTCAAATATAAAATCCAAAACAACGGGAATGATTTTAAATTCTCCCACAGGAGTATAATTCTTGTTTATTTTACAAAAAGCTTTAGACCTTTGGAAAACCGACATAATATCTTTAATAACTTGAAATATTTTTATGCAGAGATGCCAGGAAATTTAAACTGCCTGTGCAGTATGTGATTACTTTTATCGGCAGAGTTTTTTAAACTTATAAACAGTGAGCAACGGTAAGGTAAAGCAACATTTGGTTCTCAAAGTCGGCCAAAAGTGTGAAAGCAATTCAAAGTTCTCAAAAAGGCCATAAAGGTCGAAAAGGCTTAATTTAAGTAGAAGGCCAAAAACAAATTTTCCAGGCAATTGGAAAAATTGGCCCGATAGGTCACAGATCTGAATTGCCTATCAAAGGAAAGGAGGGCAGCAGAAAGTCTGAAACACTTTAAGAATCTATTAAAAATAGGACGGATCGACTTGCATAGGAATATGAGATCTGAGTTCTAAAATATTTCCATTGCTTCGCCCACCTGCCGAACCTTGTTCGCGTCCCAGACCCCTTTTCCCGGTCTGCTCCTTCAGTGTCCACCATATTATTTTTATGGATGGCGCCGCCCCTGGGTACGTGTCGCATATTTCTTTAGGATTCGGGATTAATTTGTGCAAAATGACAGACAGAATATGGCGTGACCTTTAAGTGAGCTGAGTCATTTCTGTTTCGTGGTTTTGCCCTCATTCTTAATTGCTTTCAAGCCTTATTTTGTCACTGACCCCAACGTGGCTTTCTTTTCAACGTATCATGCATCAGCCAACATCCAAACTACTGAATTTCGAAACAGCAAGAATTAGTTTTCAATTGCCAATGTGGGTTTGAAAGCAGACTGCAAAGGTCATTGTTAGTTTATTGTTTCAAAGTCATTAATGGGTTTTCAATATATTGCCTGTTTCGCCATACCGAACGGCGTCCTCGTGCGTTCAAGAGACAATGGCAAACTCATTCCCGCAACTGAAACTTTCCCACAAGGAAAAAGTTGATTACGTAAAATTACCAGAATAAAATTCCTTCCTTTATTTGAGCCTGGTCCTCGCGAGAGGGTAGGGGGTAACTAAGCCTAGTTTTGGACGGGGACATGCCATTTTGGTTCAAAATTTGGACTCATAATCCTGCATGTTTCTTCCTACGGTACCCATAATTCCGCGCAAATTTCAATAACTGTTCCGATAATTCCACGCTTTTCAGAGAAAAGTACACCTAAATAATGGCACGTCACCTTACCTTAAAACCGTCCCCGTACCCAACGAGGTCTGGTCTGAATGCTGAAGGTTGCAGATTGCTGTCAAGGCAAAACTTTAGCCCATGAGGGCTAACTCGAGAGTGGGGGTTTATTTCAAAAAGATTCCTTTAAGGGTAGGGGCCTATCGAAGCAGGGGGCTTATTCTAGCACTCACAGTATATACTTCTACCAGCAACTTTGGTCTGGTGAGTGATATTTTTGTTATCGACTAGAACGGCAAATTTCAATTTCAGGACTGCAGAACAAAGATAGATTTTTTGTATGTGAATAAAGGAGAGACCATGATAACAGGCTGCTTGACGGATTCCGATGGAGTACTTGCGGCAAAAAATCGATAAAATAATAGCAAATATGGACACACCGCAACGCGACGAGAATAAACAACAACAAACACACAAATCAGTGATGGCTAATATTTCGCTCCGGTATACAGGGCTTCATAAGAGCACAAGTCAACGAACCAAACATTTGACCTTAAATTAGGCCTAACTATCTCAACTTAAGTCAGGTTACAAGTTTTTTCAAAATACTAATACAATTTGCAAAGCTTATATATATAAAGATAATATTGAAAAAATTATCCGATATTTGATATATAGAAAATAAAATGCTTTGTCCTCATTAAGATGATACGCTAAATAGAATGTTGAACGAATCCTTAATAACAGATCTAGATTTTGGAACTCTTTTGTTTTCCATCTCTTTAAAGTCCTCGCTTACAATCCCTGTCCTTACTTTTTATTAACATTGAAAAACAAAGCTTTTTGCAACATTGACAAATCATAATCCTTTTTCATTTCAGATGATTTCCTTTGACATTACGAAAATGAGAAGAAACACTTTCTTCAAACTAGCTATTTACATGCTATTAAATTTGCTACTTCAAGGTATGTAACGCTTTTATATACTTCAACTCATCTTCTTAATACCTACGCCAAGTCTACGCCTGTGCTTTATGCCCCAACAAGATTTGATACACAGGTAGAAACTTATAGTTTAATACTTTCGTTTTCTACAAAGCCAAAAAAGCAACTTTTGAATACAAGCAGCAAACCTCTCTCAAGATCAAGTTAAAATTGGCTTAACCTGTCAGCAAGCTAAGAAGACAGAACGACGCCGGTTCTATTTTAAAAAAATTCTACGTTCAAGTTAGAAATTGTTTTCTTATCGTCTAGGATTATCAGAAAGCAAAATAGAGAAATTAGTTTAAACAGAGCTAAAAGAGCATAAAAATTAATCTTAAAAGAACTTGAACAAAACGAAAAAGCATTAATCAGGAATGAAACGTTAGAAAAGAAAAATATTAATGCCAAAGTACATTTATAATTGCAGAAAAAGAAACATTGGCAGAAACGACAATTGTATCTTCATCTGCTGTAGAATCCAGTTCAGTCTCTCCTTCGTCAAGCATCGAAGCAATAGTTTCATCATCTTCGAGTGACATTTTACCTTCAACTGCAGCAGAGTCATCATCGTCGATTGTGGAGAGCACCTCAATCCAAGCATCACCAAGCGCTAGTAGCAGTACATCAGTCGTAGAAGTATCATCATCTGCTGTTCTGCTGTTGAGTCCAGTTCAGTCTCTCCTTCCATCAAGCATGCGAAGCAAACAGTTTCATCATCTCGAGTGACATTTCTTCAACTGCAAGCAGAGCATCATCGTCGATTGGTGGGAGAGCACCTCAATCCAGCATCACCAAACGCTAGTAGCAGTTCATCAGTTCGGGAAGTTACGTCATCTGCTGTTGAGCCGAGCCTCACTTAGCACTTCTCCTTCATCAAGCATTGAAGCAACAGTTTTCAGTCTTCGTCTTAGGCCAGCTTGCCACGTCAACTGCAGTAGAGTTCATCCTCGTCCAGTGTTTGTGAGAGCACCTCAATTCCAAGCTATCAGTCAAGCGCTATAGCAGGCTTCATCAGTCGTGAAGTATCGTCAACTCTGCGTTGGTCCAGCTCAGTCTCTCCTTCTCAAGCATTTATAGCAACAGTTTCATCCTTTCGTCCTTAGCCAGCTTGCCACGTCAACTGCAGTAGAGTCATTCAGTCGTCGATTGTGGAGAGCACCTCATCCAACATTCTCTATCACCGCACAAGCGCTAGTAGGCAGCCACTCTAACTGTCGTGGATTATAGAATGAGAGTGCGAGTCCTATCCTGCTGTTGCGTCCAGCGTCAGCTTCTCATTCTCTTCATCAAGCATTGAAAGCCAACAGTCTTCATCTTCATCTAGCCAGCTCCTACGGTTCAACTGCCAAGCAGAGTCATATCGATCGTCTATATTGGAGAGCACCTCCATCCAAAGCATTCACCAAGCCTAGTAGCAGTACACAGTCGTTTGAAGTATCGTCATCTGCTTTAGTCCAGCTCAGTCTCTCCTTCATCAAAGCATTGAAGCAACCAGTTTCATCTTTCCGAGCGCTACACAGCTTGCCACGGTCTGAGAGCGCCTGCGCCAGTAGAGTCATCATTCGTCGATTGTGGAGAGCCCTCAATCCAAGCCATCACCAAAGCGCTGCCTAGTAGCAGACTCCTACTATCAGTGCGTGGGACACGTTCTGTCATTCTGCTGTTGAGTCCAGCTCAGTCTCTCCTTCTATTTCAAACAGGAGAAGGCAACCAGTTTCATCTTCGTCTTAGCCAGCTTGCCACTCCGGGAAATTTGCTAGTCAACGTCCGATTCCCTCGTCCATTGGGAGAGCACCTCAATCCAAGGCATCACCAAGCGCTAGTAGCAGTACATCAGTCAGGGAAGTATCGTCATCTGCTGTTTGAGTCAAGCTCATAGTCCTCTCCTTCATCATAGCATTGAAGCAACAGTTTCATCTTCGTCTAGCCCAGCTTGCTACGTCAACTGCAGCAGAGTCAATCATATACATGAGACCCGATGTGGAGAGGCACCTCCAATCCAAAGCATCACCAAGCGCTAGTAGCAGTACATCAGTTTTGGAAGTATCGTCACCGCTTACAATCGGAGGTCTAGCTCTCAGTCTCTCCTTAGCAGTCAAAGCATGTTGAAAGCCAACCTATTCATCTTCGGGTCTTAGCCAGCTTTCCCACGGTGCAGAGCTGACAGAGAGTCAATCATCGTCGATTGTGAGAGCACCTATTACAATCCTACACCATCATCCATCAGAAGCGCTAGTAGCAGCTTTCATCTCCGTGCGAAGTATCGTCATCTGCTGTTGAGCTCCAGCTCCAGTCTCTCCTTCATCAAGGCATTGAAGCAACGAGTTTCGATGTCTCTCGTCTGCCAGCTTGCCACGTCAACTGCGAGTAGATCATCATCGTCCATTTGTGGAGAGCACCCAACCAAGCATACACCAAGCGCTCCCGAACTTTCTTTCAACTTGACTAGCCCGAATTCTAGCATTCTATTTCCAGTTCTCGTATGCCTCAAGTATTTTATCATTCTTCGCTGTTGAGTCACACCGTGCACATACACAAGTCAGTTGAAACCGATAGCTATACAGTTTCATCAATACTCTCGCCTACTGGCGCGAGCTGAAACGTCCAACTGGCGAGGTTAAGACGTTTCCAGCCCAGCATACATAATACACAGATTGTGGAGAGCACCTCAATCCAACCCATTTCTAGCTACCAGCGAGCAGTTCACACTGCCAGTTGCGTGGAACGTATCTCCGTCCACATCTGCTGTTGCGCAGTCCAACACACACATACATCACTGTCATCGAAGCATTTGATCGTACGTACAGGTTCAGAGCGAGAGTCAGGCTTTCGTGTCGTTCTCTCCCAGCGCAGGGCAGTGTCAAGTCTCTCAGTCGAGAGCGGTGCGCAGCTTCACTCTCCCTCCCATTGTGGGAAAGCACCTCAATCACAAGCACTCACGCAAGCCTCATGAAGTAGCCTACATCAGCGTGGAAGTATCGTCATCTGCGTTAGAGTCCAGCTTCAGTCTGGCTCCTTCACCAAGCGATTGAAGCAAGACAATTTTCATCTCTATGCTAGACCAGCTTGCCACGTTTCAACTGCTAGTAGAGTCAATCATCTGCATCACATTTGCTGAAGAACGTAGCCACCCAATCCAAGCAATCACCAAGCGGCTAGTAGCAGTACATCAGTAGTGGAAGTATCGTCCTAATCTGCTTGTTGAGTCCAGGCTCAGTCTCTCCTTCCATCAAGTGCATGAAGCAACAGTTTTCATCTTCCTCTAGCCAGCTTGCCACGTCAACTGCATCAATATCATCCTTCGTCCCATGTGGAGAGTTCACCTCAATCCCAAGCATCATACCAAGCGCTCGTAAGTAGCAGATTCATCAGTCGTGGGAAGTATCGTTCATCTGCTGTTGAGCCACTCCAGCGGTGCGTACATCATCTTTCACCATACGCAGCTTGAAAGTCATAACAGTTGATGTTCTACCTCCTCATCATCACACCGCCCTTGCCAGCGTAACAATCTACATAGATAGAGTCTTTCTCACTCAGATACCCCTGGAATCGGCAGCTACGCCCCCTTCATCCAAGCATCCACCAAGCGCTCAGGAGCAGTACACCTCTGAGTGATCGTTACACTTAGTATCATCATCTGCAAATGTTGAGTCCAGTCAGTCTCTCTCACATATGCCAGTCTATTAGGCATACGTACGAGCAACAGTCCCTTCTATTCATTGCGTGTGCGAGTGAACATTTTATCTTCAACTGCAGCAGGGAGTCATCATCGTCGATTGTGGAGAGCACCTCATCCAGGGCATCACCAAGCGCTAGTAGCAGTTCATCAGTCGTGGAAGTTTACGCATATCATGCTGTTGAATGTTCCACGACACAGTCTCTCCTTCATCAAGCATTGAAGGCACAACTCAGTTCATCTTCGTCTAGCCAGCTTTGCCACTCCAATTGCAGTAGCAGTCACATCGTCGGATTGTGGAGAGCCCTTCAATCCCAAGCATCACCAATGCTAAGCTAGCAAGTACATCTGTGCTCATACAATTCTGCTGTTGAGTGACACACGTATCAGTCTTCTCCTTCAATTTCACATACGAATTTAGCAACAGTTTCATTTTCATCTTCGAGGTTGACATTTGTTATCTTCAACGCAGCAGACTCATCATCGTCCATTGGGTAAAGCACACATACATAGCAAGCATCACCCAAGGCTCTTTTCAAGTAGCAGTACATCAGTCGGTGGAAGTATCGTCATCTGCTGTTTGAGTCCAGCTCCAGTCTCTCCTTCACCAAGCATTTGAAGCAACGTTTCATCTTCGTCTAGCCAGCTTGCCACGTCAACTGCAGTAGAGTCATCATCGACTCCATGTGGAGAGACAACCCTTCAATCCAAGCATCACCAAGCGCTAGTGCACGTTACGCATCAGTTACAGTGGAAGTAATCCGTTCATCATGCTGTTGAGTCCAAGCTCGCTGTCTCCTTCAGTTTTCATTAAACCATTGAAGCAAACGTTCTTTCAGTACACCTACTAAGCAGCTTGCCACGTCAAACTCAAGTAGAGTCATCCTCTCCATTGTGAGAGCACCTCGCAATCCGAAGCAATCACAAGCGCTAGCTAGCAGTTCATCCAGTCGTGGTAGTATCGTCATCTGCTTGTGAGTCCAGCTCAGTCTCTCCTTCATCAAGCATTGAAGCAACAGTTTCATCCTCGTCCAGTCAGGTTGCTACTTCAACTGCAGCAGAGTCCTCCTCATTGATTGCAGAGAGCACCTCAATCCAGGCATCGTCAGTTGTCAGTAGCAGTACACCGGTTGCTCAAGTATCTTCATCTACTGTTGCAACCAGTTCTGTATCTCCATCATCAAGCATTGAAGCAACAGTTTCATCCTCGTCTAGCCAGGTTGCTACTTCAACTGCAGCAGAGTCCTCCTCATTGATTGCAGAGAGCACCTCAATCCAGGCATCGTCAGTTGTCAGTAGCAGTACACCGGTTGCTCAAGTATCTTCATCTACTGTTGCAACCAGTTCTGTATCTCCATCATCAAGCATTGAAGCAACAGTTTCATCCTCGTCTAGCCAGGTTGCTACTTCAACTGCAGCAGAGTCCTCCTCATTGATTGCAGAGAGCACCTCAATCCAGGCATCGTCAGTTGTCAGTAGCAGTACACCGGTTGCTCAAGTATCTTCATCTACTGTTGCAACCAGTTCTGTATCTCCATCATCAAGCATTGAAGCAACAGTTTCATCCTCGTCTAGCCAGGCTGCCACTTCAACTGCAGCAGAGTCCTCCTCATTGATTGCAGAGAGCACCTCAATCCAGGCATCGTCAGTTGTCAGTAGCAGTACACCGGTTGCTGAAGTATCTTCATCTACTGTTGCATCCAGTTCTGTATCTCCATCATCAAGCATTGAAGCAACAGTTTCGTCCTCGTCTAGCCAGGTTGCTACTTCAACTGCAGCAGAGTCCTCCTCATTGATTGCAGAGAGCACCTCAATCCAGGCATCGTCCGTTGTCAGTAGCAGTACACCGGTTGCTCAAGTATCTTCATCTACTGTTGCAACCAGTTCTGTATCTCCATCATCAAGCATTCATGCAACAGTTTTATCCTCGTCCAGTCAGGTTGCTACTTCAACTGCAGCAGAGTCCTCCTCATTGATTGCAGAGAGCACCTCAATCCAGGCATCGTCAGTTGTCAGTAGCAGTACACCGGTTGCTGAAGTATCTTCATCTACTGTTGCATCCAGTTCTGTATCTCCATCATCAAGCATTCATGCAACAGTTTCATCCTCGTCCAGTCAGGTTGCTACTTCAACTGCAGCAGAGTCCTCCTCGTTGATTGCAGAGAGCACCTCAATCCAGGCATCGTCCGTTGTCAGTAGCAGTACACCGGTTGCTGAAGTATCTTCATCTACTGTTGCATCCAGTTCTGTATCTCCATCATCAAGCATTCATGCAACAGTTTCATCCTCGTCTAGCCAGGCTGCCACTTCAACTGCAGCAGAGTCCTCCTCATTGATTGCAGAGAGCACCTCAATCCAGGCATCGTCCGTTGTCAGTAGCAGTACACCGGTTGCTGAAGTATCTTCATCTACTGTTGCATCCAGTTCTGTATCTCCATCATCAAGCATTCATGCAACAGTTTCATCCTCGTCTAGCCAGGCTGCCTCTTCAACTGCAGCAGAGTCCTCCTCATTGATTGCAGAGAGCACCTCAATCCAAGCATCTCCCGTTTTCAGTAGCAGTTCGCTAGTCGCTGTAGTATCATTATCTACAAGCACATTGTCGACATATCAACCGTTATCTACTTCCGTATCACAATCCTCCTCATCTCAGGCTAAATTGTCAAGTTCATCGGTTGTTCCGTCTCTCTCCCAGTCCGTTTCAGTTCACATCAGCTCTGTTGTTGCTCCTGTAACGACTCCACCTGGTGAAGGTTAGTTGCTTTCTCAACCCTTTTTTATTTCAGATAATTTATATTTTCTATGTTAACATTTTTGCATGGACAGATTTTTAATATCTGTATTTATTTGCAGTTGTTTGCAAGAAGGATCCTTGCAAAAATGGTGGAACCTGTCGACTTTGGAAAGGCAAACCTAAGTGCACCTGCCCAAATGGCTTGACCGGAGCCACATGCGAGACAAGTATGTTCAATTATTATCAGAACGTTTTTATGTCTAAATAAATCAAAATGGAAATGGAATGTTCAATATTATACACCGTAAAGACCTAATAAGTACTTTCGCCTTGACTCAAAAGTGATTACTTTCCAGGAAAGCTTACCAAAATTTAGCCAATGCTGGTAATGTGTAGTTATGTCAATAATGAAAAAATAAGAGTTTCTAACCTTTTTTATATCCTATTTTGAAAAGATCAAAGTATTTTTAGAATCAGTGTCCTCTTTTGGGTGAATTCATTAAGAAGGAATTTTTATGAAAAATTTTCACTCTGACCCTCAGAATCTTATTTTGCCATTTGCTTTGTCACATAATATTTTTTAACCACCGTTATGCCAAGATATGATTATTTTTGTCAATTCATTTCAGCAAGAGTGACTTTTATGTCATATTGAATGATCAAATTAGTATCTTTATGCTATTCTTTCTTTTACCTTTCATTTACCAATCTTTCACAAATTCATGCAATTTTTCTTCGGTTTTATACTTTTACTTTACTTGAAAATTATTTATAACAACTTTCTGTAAGTTGAAGTGCTAATCTAACTTTTATATTCGTTCTATAAATAAATAAATAAATAAATAAATAGATAAATAGATAAATGAATAAATAAATAAACGGATAAAAGAGATTCTAGCTCCCTAAGATATCTTTCTGTTTCATCTACACTTTTTTCCTTTTGTTGTTATCTTTTAATTCTGAAATCTTTATGACACCGTTTCAATATTCTAGAGATTGTATCGCTGTTTGGCAACGTTACTTTAAAGACAGTCTTTGTTTCTGGAGGTGAACTAAACACAAGCGACCCTTCTGTTCACAAAGATCTAAAAAATTTAAATTCGAGTCTTGCTCGTGAGCTGATAGATCGAATTGAGCCAGAGGTAACAATTTTTTCACATTTTATTTATACTTATGACAATCACACAACCAGGATAGATCCTCTTTTTTTCCATTCTGCAAATTGTCATTACTGTTGATGAAGTGATTGTTACCTTGATATTCTTGTCCTCTATAAAAAAAACATATTTTTCTTGGAAAAAAAGACAAACAAACGTTCATATCAAGGTTTCTTACGAAAAGGTTTATGGGATAGTCCCTTATAGTATTAAATTTGATAGACAGCATTGCTATCACTTTGTAAAGAAATGCTTTTATCTAGTTTAGTTCCTGTAATCCACTCCAAATTACCTAGCTACCATTCTTTTTTATGCTGAGCCACCATTCTTTTTTATGTTTCTCCAATCCACTAATTTTCTTTCATGATTGCGATAAGAGACTGCATAACAAGCAACCATGATCTGTTTAACATATCAAGCTACAAAATATCAAATTCTAATCGAACTTACTCTTAAATTAATGTCTGGTGGAAAGCTTGCATCGCCAAATTTGTGTGGTCGCCTGTTATTGTTTACTTTTAAATTCATTAATGTTCTCTTCTTTTTCTGCAGTTGGATAACAAGTTTAAAACAACGAAGAGATATGTTTCAAATGTCAAAGTTACTGGATTAAGGTATGGTTTTGACTTAGAAACAGGTTTTTCAAATAATGTTTCAACGGTACGTTTCAGTTTTACTAAGGCTTTGTGCTTGACAGAGTAACAAAATAAAGCTAATTACCATAAAAACCATGTACTATATTTTAGCATAAGAATCCAACATTAGAATTAAGCAGTAAAAGTTGTATGACAAGTAAAAATTGTAGCTCACCAATCAGATAACTCTTTTACATCTGGTGAGTGATGTGTGAGCCGTGTGCATAATGTAGTCAGTTTTAATGTTAAGTATGCCTCTACCTTTGATTTAAATAGATGCCTGTACCTTTGATTTTTGCTTCGCAGGCCTGGCAGTTTGATTGTAGATTTCATAGTTAGCTTTGCTGCTCCAGTTAATGAATCTCTGAAGATTGTTGAGCAAGAGTTCTTAGCTTCCCTCAACGGCTCTTTGATTGGATCAGCCGCAGTTGTTCGCCTGACAGGTATTTAAATTTCATTTGTTTAACATTCAGAACTATTTTTGTTTTAATTAGTTGAAGCCTTCCATTTTAAGAAATTCTCAACGTTATGGCTCTGCCTTATGTAAATTAAAGAGATCCTTTTAACTTTTGTCAAAGTCAAAATGTAAGTGATGAAGTAGCTTTAAAAAACCATTTCGTACTTCTTCTTCTTAGACTACGATGAATGTTCTTCTTCTCAACAATACTGCTCCGGCAATGCCTTTTGCGCCAATACCTTCCAGTCTTTCACGTGTTCTTGCAAATCTGGATATTCAGGCAATGGATTTGTCTGTACAGAAGTTGATAAAGGTTTGTTCAAGAGTAAATGTTGATAAAAAAATTTTCGTTGAGCTTCAAGTACTCTGTGTTTATCTGAAAAATTTGTCAGTTTTCTTTACCAGCTCCATTATTTTTACCAAAAGACACTTTCAGATGTTACTGGTCAATAAAAAGCAGGCAATGAAAGAAGTCTTGACATTTCTTGATTTTCTATATCGAGCCAGCCAATCAGATAACCGATGCTTTTGACATCATTTCATTATTTACTTTATCGAGCCAGCCAATCAGAAATCACACCACGATGTCGGTTTTCCTCATTAAAACCTTGAGTCGTTTTAATTCTAATGCTATCGTCTATCTTCTTTTTATTTAGAATACAGAATACTGGCAATAGCTCTCTCGATTACTGTATTCATTCTCCTCTGCTTGCTGTTTTTGCTGCTGGTATTCTTAAGGAGAAGGCGAAGATCAAAAAGTGAAAAGTGAGTCTTCATTCCACCGTTTTATTTCTATTAAATAATCTAAAAGTATGATATATCTTTACTTATAATGTATCCTGGACCAACTTTTAATCATTGCTTTAGGTGAAAAATGTCTTTTTGAAAACATTGCTTTTTATCATTGCTCGTTTCATATGACAATGGGTGCTGTAAATTAAGCATTTCAATACCGGTTCCCAGCTGTGTGACAATTTTACTTTGCCTGAAACTCGTAGTAACAACATCAGACTGTCTTGCCCTGCTTGGTCTGATTATATCAACTGTGACAACATGAACCAATCTCACATGTAATGTGCATCGAAACAGATCGCCTCTTGTATATAAAGCACAATTATGAACTAGTTTCAGTCATTAGTAAAATTACTGTCATTTTATCAATTTATTTTTAAATGTAATACTCGATTAATATTATACTCATTTTTATTACAGTTTATTTTCGGAACAAGCTGGGTATTTCTCGTGGAGACTCAATTCAGAGATGAGAGCCAAAAAAGTTTACGACCTCTCTGAAGAAGTAGCTCTTGGGTACAAAATAGTATATTAATATTGTAGGTAATAACATGAAAATTGTAAATAATTAATGACAACAGTAAATGGTACTGAAAAAGCTTCAATACACTATTGAAAGAAAACTCCGTGTTAAAATGTTAAAAATCTGCTGTATAGAAAGTTTGATGTGTATTTACAGATTACACTGAAGGTACTTTTCTCATGGACAGGACACTCGCTCAACTATTATACCTCCTCTCTTCCTAATTGTCCTGATTCCGATCTTTATGTGTGTTACAACTGTACTACATACCACATCAAAAACATACTTTGAAGAACCCTTTCACACTATGGTATTGACAGCAATTCGAGTAGAAAGATGTTTAAGTAAAGAGCAAATGCAACCTCTCAAAAGTGCTACAATTTTGAGGTTCCTGGAGACTGGCTATGCAAGTAGTGAAGCTTTTGCAGTCATTGGACTGGCTTTTAATTTGTATTAAATACTTTGCCATTTATTTAATTTTCTGCAAACGCAGAAAGTAGTTGTATTGGATTCAAGAAGACTAGAGTCAAAGTGCATGTCTAATTATGTCGCATAGATACATTTGACAGAGGCATCTCTTGCACATGTTGGACCTCTAGTCTACAAATATTCCTTAAAAGCAGGCTAAGCCATTTTTTACATTCATTTTGTGTCCTCCGTTTCAATGAAGTTGAACATTTGTGCTTGAGATTTTGAAATCCGTAGAGGTGTCTTTACAAGAAAAGGCCAGATTAAAAGCAACCTTGTGAAAAGGTTACCATAAGTTGCAAAAAGTGCCTGAAGTTACCCATTATATTGAATAAAGTAAACATATTGTTACAGAACAGCTTTAGATTACACACAGTTCTAACCTACATTTATGCATAAAATCATGCATGCACTAGTCAGATCTCTTTCCCTATTTCACAACTCAGCCTTCAACTCAAAGCAAACACAGCTTTTTCCTTCAATGTTGAGTTTTGCTCAACACATTCATACTTAGTTTTAGTTGATTTGGCTTTTTTTACTGAATACAAACAAGAAAATCGTGTACATAATATATTAGTGCCAGGTCAATGTTTTTTGTACATCCAAAGATAAAATGAAAGAAAGAATACAACTGGACTATTTTGTACATTACTTGTAACCCAAAGTCTTTTTAGCTTTCAATTTTCATCCACTTTGTTAATTAATTAGATATTGAAGCAGGCTTGGTACTTACTCCTTATCATTGTGACTAATAGCAAGTTCCCTCCTTATCCGTAGTCCCCTCCACTTTTGTGACGGTATTTATTATTCTCTCTCAGTTTCAATTAGGTGTTATTGGGAGGTTTGTAGTTAGTCATATGTCAGCTATTAGAGCTCATAAGAATTAAAAAACGTCACTTCGTTACTTTTTCAAGTATAAAATCGTAACTTAACGGAATTTTTTACATTTTGCTTAACGTATAATTGGAGAATATTTTGCGTCCTTTTGCATTTGAAATTAAGATGAGATTTTCATAGTAAATGACTTTAACAGTGGCTATCATTCCATATTTTCTATATGCTGCTGTGCAGCTTCATTCCATTGCTGCCACCGGTTGGCAAGTAGAGCCTGTGTTCCTGACTTCTAACTTGAAGTAGACGTCTTGAACTACGCTTTCAAGTTAGGGGTTTGGAGTTTAGGCTAGGCGTACAGTTGCATATATCTAATCGACGTTTTCGTTCATTATACAGTTTATTTTTGGACCTAAACTTATGTTTTAATATAATATATCATATGGCGAGAGATAATTTATTATTGGAAATGACGTCTTGCTATTTTATCCACGTGGTTTTCATTGTTTTTCACACTTCTTCGATTATGGCTGTACGAGCTTAGTTATTCATTCCTTGCTGCATCTAGCATAGTTTGCAGTTTCTATAAAACTTTCGTATTCAAAATTATCAACTACAAGAGAATACAAACAAAAACACGAGGCTTCATTTCGATGACGACTTTGTCAATACTGTATCATTTGTTCATGCACTCATTGCTGAAAAAACTATTTCAAAGTTAAGATGTCGAAATGGGTGCTGAATTAAAAGCAATCTCTTTAATTCAAAGTCGTAGATTCTTTTTCAGATTTAAAAGTGAATTCCATAAATAAACTCATGTTGTAAAGTAAGAATTCATTCATTTACATGATCAATATATTTTATGCAAGAAAAGAGTGAAAATCGATTTTTTGTTCTTCAAAATTCAGCAGATTTAGATAAAAACATTAATCTTTTAGAATGAATGGAATGGTCAGCGAAAAGTTTTAGGTTAACACCTGGCTGTCTTTAGACACCCATTTGCCACCAGTCAGGTCTTTACCTTTCCATTAAAGTCGTGATTAAAGAATGGCAAACACTAGAAGCATTCTTATAATGAATATTGTATGAGTTTCATTTGTACAGTAGAATTCTGATGTCGCTTTGTTTGCATTATCACAAAGAAAGCAAACAGTATAGTTCCTCTTATTGGTATGTATGTTCTATTTATTTGTAAATTGAAGAATACAATGCAAAAACAGAAGTATACTCAGGGATGTTGTGACTGCAGGCAGGGGGGCCGTGGCCCCTCTGCTTTCAAAATTTGACGGATTTTTGGAAAAGTCTTTGTTTTGTCACAAAATTCTCAGACTTGAATTGTGGGTAATTCTCAAACTTTTAGCAACATAAACTACTGGTACTAAAGTACTTACCGTAATTTCGAGGGGCAATTCACTTTTGTAGAGAAAATACTATATTTCCACAAAACAAAATGATGTCTCAGGATTTACAGATTTCTACCATAGAGTGATTTGCTGCTCGGATGCCAGATAAAATCAGAATCTTCAAGGGCCATATTTGGTTAAAGAAATTTGTCAATATTGGTCATAAATTATATCTTTATTTGATAAGGGGACAAGCAGGGGCACCACCGTGGCCCCGAGGTCTAGGGAGCCTCTTAAAGCAAGGAATTCCAATTTAAGAACCGAATTTTAACGAAACGCAACAAAGTATGCCAAAAAATTGCAAAACGCGGTAAACGACTGCAAAAAACATCCTGAAATGTATTTGAAGCTAAAGAAAAGGGCGTGGCCGTCTTGCCCCCCCCCCCCCTCTCAAATTTGTGGCGCGAGTCCTGAGTAATAGAAAGGTGCCTCTGTTGTTGACGTGGCGACCCGAAGGCTAAGCCTCTAACAAACAACGCGGGTTACCCGCAAGACAGCGGCAAACCGCGGAAAGGGAGGAATAGCAGAAATTCAAAGCTTCACATTGCAGTTGGGCGGAGGAATCACAACCAACAAAGGGAAATTTGGCGAGTGGAAACTGAAAACCCAAGAGTAACAAAATTTGATTAAGAATTAAGTGCGATTCTGTTGTTTGGAGGAATACAAGTGTAGGTAAGATCAATGTACGATTATTTTCCGCTGTTTCTTGCTATTCATTAGGTTAGACTAGGCCCGTCCGACTGTCTGAAGGCAAAACATATGTGTCTGAACCAAGAAGGTTTGAGTAATCAAAAATAGTTAAGCATATAAATTCGTTATATAAATAACTCGTTAAATTGTTCTGAGACCTTCAGTAGATCAACATTTAAGCTTGAGCAAAAATATTGTGTACAAACTTAACATTTGTTTATCCTGTTAGGTTATTGTGTTGGTAACAACTCCAGCTAGGTACCTATGTTGCCTGAAGGTGCGAGTAGCATGCAAGCATTAGAATTTAATCATTTTTGTCAGATTCAAGAAGCTGTACGTTTGGTAGACAAATTGTTTCATATGCACTTGCTAGGCGTAGAAAAGTTCGTAGAGATGGGACAATAAGGAAACCACCAAATTAATTATACATAAGTTCACCAATTTCTGTAACCCATTCAAAACAATAGGGAAAGAAATGCCCGGGTACATTTACCTGTTTTCTAAAACTCTGCGGTAAAATTGACAAAACTAACCACTTGTTATACGATTTATGGCATTTTCCCTTGGGTTCTTGGAAGTTGCCATGTTATGAAGTTATTAGCTTTCAGAGTGGCATTGACAAATCTCTTTGAAATAGTTTTCGTAACCTTTCAAGCTGTTGCTTCTTTCAACAGCAAGCGATTGAAACCAAGAAATGAATGTGTTTGTTATATAAATTCCAAGCCATTGAATTTCTAGACATTATTTCAATAAATCTCCATTTTCCCCCAAACACTATTGAATTGTGAAGGCAACTATAAATTTTACCTTAGCCAATTATCTTTGGAGATTGAAAGTGTTTAAATGTCGATAAAGAGAGGTACAATTAATTCCTGAGCATCTCAGCATTATAAAATGCACAACAAATTTCAAATTTGCTTGACTAATCACATTAGGTGAGATCATGTTTTAATATGTTTTAACTTCAAAGTAAACTATATTGGAACTCCACTGTAATTCGAACTCCACTATAACTGGGGCCTCACTGTGGCTTGCCCATGGCAAATTATCTTGCATTTGCTTAAATTTCCAGGTAATAGTTTGTTGGTTAACACAGGTTGTCCATAATCAAATACTTAGTTTGATAAAAGAAGTGCAATTTTTATAGAAAGAACACTATGTGCACAAGAGAACTAATGTTTTATGTAAGTTTGTTTAACAAACATTTTTGAATATTCAGAAAATATGCTCAAGATTTTTTGTAATTATGGTAGCTAGACGTGAATTTTAAGAATATCACCATTTGTGAATTTTTATTAGTTTTTTGTAAAGATTTTACTAACAAGCTATCACAACAGTCACCAATGTTCAAGTTATCAAGCAAGCCTAGTTTTATTCCCAAATCATGCTTTGTCCTAAATCACATAGTGGTACTCTCTCAGAATTTTATTGCAGCCTGCTGTTGTTTTATTTACCTTTACAACCAAATCTTAATCTTTTATTCATTGAGCACTTAGTTTCCCAATCCCCTGAACCTTCCATATCTAGCTAAATTGTTATTTGCCAATGGGTTTATTTTTAAGATTTTCAGCATGGTCTTCATTCCTCAAAGGTCTTCCTTATCTTTTAATCCTCCTTATGTTGATGTCTATTCATTCTTCAAATTCTTTGCCCATTGTTAAACATTTGCCTTTGAAAACTCTCCCATTTCATTGTACAGCTCCTTCCATTATGGCATATAACAATTCTCAATCTGTACCATGAGCTCCACAGACCAGCTTTCATAAATTAAATATTTACAGTCCCAAAGGTTTTTTTAATGTTTCCCTTTAATTTTGAAGTATTTCCAAAATTTTTAACTGTATCTTTTAATTTATAGCAAGGTGTTTCTTCTTTTTTTCAAATTGTTTATTAGATGAGATAATGAAATGAGCGAGGGACAATTCACTCTTGCAAATAGCATACAAGATTTTCCTTAAAACAAAAGGATTTCTAGGGATTTTGAGATAAAACAATAGGATTTTCACAAAAGGTGTACGAGAATTTTTAGAGTGATTTGCCACTCGGAAATGAGTGTGAGCAAATGAAATAAGATGAAAAAACACTACCATGTTATAATAATTGAAAAAAGAAAGGATGATTTATAGACTAGTATATCAATTTACAATTTTTAGTTCATTTTGAGAGTTCATTTTCTGAGCACAGAAACTAAATTTCCAAAGGCTTCTCCAGGAAATTTCAAACCATTTCTTCCTTATATTAAAGTTCAAAATGCTGCAAGGTGCAATTTCTAAAGTGATGACATCACAGGTATTTTGAAAGCATGTGAAACCTAGTAATTTGCTTCAATTGTGTCCACTAATTTCTGAATAACCCCCTGATCTCCTAAGGCATTTCCAGATTCATCAGAGCTATTATTCTAAATGGGTGACCATCCTTAGTAAAATCATTTATCAAATAAATCCAAATTATTCTAATTTTCTATTTTATTGTTTTTAATTAATTGTTCTATTGTTAAAATTATTTTGAGTTTTTTGATAGCCAAAAAGTCATAGCTGGCAGGTTCACAAGCTTCCAATGTGTAATGTTGCTTAACTTGATGGGTTTGATGTTAATGGTGCTAAACAAGATACAAATCATTTGGTGTGTGAAAGTTGATGAATTTGATGTAGAGTACAAGACAACAAATTTTGTTGGTAGTGAGATGTTCTATACAAGAAACAGCCCTGAAATTCACTCTTCATTACCCAATGCAAACATTGAAAATCAATCATATTAATTTCATTTAATTAATTGATTTTGAATGATTTGTTAAGCCAGGGAAGACAGAAATGCCAAAAAACACAGAGAGAGCAATAGGATAGGTGTTGCATAGCATCCAAATGAATTCCTTTACTGTATTTTTTTCAAAGAATGTATTTCTCAAGCTTTGGCAAAGTCCAAAGTTGGGTATAAGTACGTCAGGAGGGAATGGCCCCCACTTTTTAGAAACAGAAATAAAGCACAAATTTGCAGCTCATGGAAGTGCCACCCTCACTTTTAAAATACTTCCTATGTCTATGGTTGTGCTAATAGTGTGAAACTACATTCACATTGCTTTATATTCAAGGGTGCTGTTAAGAGGGGCTAGTGGGTGGGAGCTTGACCCCATGTTAAAACTCAGGCAGATTTTTTGGGTTTAGAACGGCATCCCTGTTCAAATTCCTTTTGCTCAGTTTTCATTTCTTTCCATTTCAAATCTTTAAAAGTTTCTCGTTGAGATTAAAATTTTTTCAAAAGTTTATGTTCATGTAACGTACTTTGCGTAAAGTAGCAACAAAGCCTCTATTTCATTTTTAAAATGATCCGTTTTCGTTGTTCACTTTTTTCAAAGTTGAGTAATGAAAACTTAAAGCCAAATTGTTTTCTTTCGTTCCATGACGATGACGAAAGCTAGTGCAATATTAACATCGCGGTGTAATTCTTCTTGCAACTTGTCTTGTTGTGGCATTGCATCACAAATTGCTGCCTGATTGCAATTTGTAACCCATATATAGAGATAGTGACACGACGTCATCTCTTTATCATTCGAGCCAGCCAGACCTGCGCTTGCAACGGTTTTCTGAAGCAGAGCCATGTTCCAAGCAATCTTTGGTTTGACGTGTTTGCGCGTTTGTTAGACTTTTCCTAGTCTCCAAGACAGTTGCCCGATTTCAATTTTTCCGAGTCGCAGAGATCGTTGCTGCGTGTAACAGACACTTCTCACAAAAATCTCGGCTGTCCTTCAGATATCATTGCGAGACAAGTCGTCAAAAATTTGCACCACGTAACTTGAGCTTAACCACCCGATGATAACCTTTTTAATTGTGCTTGATTAAAACGCGATCCATAATTGAACTTTTGATCTCGAAGACGCTGTGTTAATTTCCCTCTCAGGCGATCATTTAAGCGATCAGGCTCGATCGAGCTGGCCTGAATGTTTTGGGAGAGGTGAACGTGAACCAGTCGGATTAATATTTCAACTTAGACAGAAATAGGTAAATGTCAATTGACTGGATGCTTTTTTCTGACTGTATGACTGGGGCTTGAATCTGCAACTCGTTACAAATGAATCAGGTTTTGGCATTATGCTATTCGTTGTATCCTTGACATTGTATCACGGCATCTGTTGGCCTGCTAGCCATGTGGCTTCAAGCCTCCCTGTTTTGTTAGTAACACTGGTTGATTGGTGGCGACCAAAGTCAGAATTACGCAAGAGTGTTGAATATCCTTCCCGTGTTTCCAACCCAGAAGGACAGATAGCTTTTAAAGCCACAAGTGAAGCCCTACTTTCTTATGTTACAATCCCAAACGAACTCTTTTGTCGGCCATACTTCTCATACAACCTTTCTGCCTGTCAATCGATACACTAGTTAATCATAATTTTAGCTCCTAGCTTCTTAAAAATTAAATTTTTCTCGCAGGCTTCAAAAGTCATTCTAATCAGATTCAAAATGGAGGCTGTTAGGCAGAAGCTAAACACAATAAGACAAGAAATAGATGAAACCGAAGAAAAAGCAAAGAATTTCGAGATGTATATAAGAATGGAGCAACAGAGACTAGAGTCGTGCTTGCTTGAAAGAGAGTCTCTGGAAAGAAAAGCTGATAACGCGCTTAAGAAAATAGAAGATGCCCAGGCTCGCTACCAAGAAGCATTGGACCGACTGGCAGATGTGGAAACGTCAGTTGATACGAATGAAAGCAAACGCAAGGCATTGGAAAAGAGAGAGTCTGACTATGATGATAAATTGGTGCTCCTAGAGGAGCGACTGCGCATTGCGAAGATCAATTTTGAAGAGCGAAGGCAACTGCTGGATGAAGCGAAGAGAAGAAAGGAGGTCTTAAACACCGAGCTGCAGAAAGCCGAGAAAAGGCTGCACGACGCCAAGGACAAGTCCGATTTTTTCGATTCCGAAATTGATTATGCCGGGCAGCAACTGCGTCAGCTGGAGAGGAGGGAGATGTCATCGACTGACAAGGAAATGGAGTTAGAAGATGAGGTCAGATATTTGGCTGACAAGCTTAGAGGAGCCCAGGAAAAATGGTTTGTGAGTGACGACAAAGTGAAAGCACTGTTAAGAACAAAGGAAGCTCTCGAAGGTATGTTCAAAATTTTAACGATTTCTTTTTTATAATAAAGTTGAAATTGCTGCATGTTACAAGTTCCAAACTGATGACATCACAACTATCTATTTTTAGAAGTTTCCAATTCGGAGCACACAACTTGAAGTGGCAATTAGGAAATATGAGCACATGAGCACTGGCTCTTTCCCGAACAAATCACTGTAATTTGGTCTTGGTTCATAACTTTATGAACCAGGCCAGAATATGAACCAGAGTATGAGCCCGGCCTTTTTAAATAGTAACCCGCTAGCAACTTGAAGCCTTTTATTGGCCATATCAAGCCCGATTTTGAAAATATTTTACTGATTTTACATGCTGTGAGGTATTTTGTGTTCTTTCAAATTATGTTGTCAAAATTAAGAAATTCTAGAAATAGATTTCATTCATTGAACATAGTTATTTATTCATAGTTATGAAATTGTAAATTAGGCTTTTAGCATTTCTTTTCTTTCAAGCAGGACAAGCATTGAAAATTGCAATTCTTATGTCGAAACTTTTATCCTGTTGAAATATTCGTATTATTATTATTATTATTATTATTATTTTTGATGACGTCACACTTCAGTACTATATTGTCATAGGTACCAATTGTGCTTTCTAATAGAAATATCCTTGTATTTTTAGACGAGATTGAAGAAATTAACTCAAAAACGCGAAAGCTTAAAGGTGAAATCCAGCGAATGTTTGATGAGATTCACAGCTACTAATTAAAGACGCGGCTCCAGCATGGAAGTTCTTTTTCTGGTTGTTCACAAAGAGCGCAACATTAGAAGACTGTTAAATGAAAATAGGCATGTATTAGGGCTAGGGTTCAGAGGTAGGGCTAGGGTTCGAGGGCATTGTCAACCTATCGTTTACAATATCATAATCTTACACAATCATATCAGTAGTTAACGAGCTGTTACACAGCACAAAGTTTAATCTTTCGCGAGTTTAGTTACCTAGTAGAATAACGCAACAACTTATAACATTTTAAGATTTAGTTCATGCATCAAAAACTAGTTGAATAAAACAAAAAATAATTTGCTTGTTCTAGGTCTTTAAACTCTTAGAAAAAATTCACAAGATAATTAATTAATTGATATTTCTTAGGATTTTGGAATAATTTAGGAATTAAAGTTTTGATTTGATGGAAAACTATGTTCAGGGAAATACAGATTTCTTGTATACAAAAAACAAAGCATACGATGTGGCAAAACAACGCTGATAGCAGAAAATATGTCGTTTCAAGTAACTGGCGCAACGGAATGCGACTAGAAAAAATTTATGTAGCGTGACATAAGGTGACATTAGGCGACATAGCATGAACTAGGATAATGTAATCCGTAGTATGTGACAAAGCATAAAGTCACGTATCGTGACGTTTCGTCACGTCGTACCGTCATTTGACGTGTCGTGACGTCACATGATGGATTCAATGTAGAAACTTCTATCATTCGTTCCTGCTTTTTAAAATCCTCGTTAGTTTTGCCCATAGAAAGAACTCGCAGTAATAACAAAGATAACGAAGATAACAGCCGTTGAAGATATCCTGATAACCTAGACGTCTCAACAAGATAATTTTATGATGCTTGTAGGGTTTGCTTGAAGTAATCGATCCTAAGCAAGTATGTCCTTCGTATGTGCAATCGTATGGTCTATGTGTAGTAAGTTGGTTGATCAACGTTGCTGCGACCGCCTCCATTTAATGTTTCCTTTAGCAAAATCAAAGTTGATATCGAAGCTTTGCAAAGATTTCTTATTGAAATTATAGAGAAATATCCATGAACAGATTGTAGCAGTCTGTGTTTATGTGCAGAAAATAGCAGTGCAAAAACTAGCATATGCTGAACAAAACTGAAGAATTTGTCCCCAACTATTCCATACCTCACTGAAGTCGATCAATGTCAATGCACCCTGGTAATTAGACACTCGATATTTTTACTGTAGCTCTTTCTTTAAGTTCATTTCCTAATTAGACGAACTAGAATTACTGGTATCTACTGGATATTTATCTCTTATAGGAAGTTAATATGATGGTGAAATAAAGCTAATGTTCAATTCAAAAATGCTGTTGAGCTGCCTTATGTTTTTATAATCATCCGTTCTAGCTTTTATCGTTTTAGTTGTAAAACCAGGATGTAGATGTATCATATTATTATTTTCGTTCCATTGCCCTCCAGATTCACACCCTTGTATCTAGGGTAAGAATAGATTCTTATTTGTAGAATGTTAATCTTTGCTTTGCCAAGGGGTTCTTGGATGGCCCGACAACACGTTTAAACTTCTCTTAGTCGTAGTTATCAATTAGTTCAGACAAAATTACGTTTTTATTCCAAAGCTTAAGCTGTTTTCAAAGACTCCTGTTTTCGCCCCTAGGTGATTTTATCTCTAGGATCAGCCAGACAGAGGCCAAAAGCTTTCCTTATTTCTTTGCCTTAGTTCTGCATGATCAATGCACGAGGTTTCAGGTTAATTTCTCTTCATTCAGAATCAAACTTTACAACGTCAGCTACACTTCATAAAATGGCTGATTGCCTTCTGACATAAATGCTCACTTCAATTTTTGACATTTAATGTCAATTCTTTTATATTAATTTCAAGACAAGAAGCTAGTTTTTACCAACTTACACTGAAACTTTAAGAATACATTTAATCATTTAGTCCCTCGATGTATAGATTTCGTTCTGTTATCTCAGAAGCTTTAGGTAAGCTGTAGTTTTTTGAAGGCTGTATAGTTGCTCGTATTTAACCAATTGATAATTTTTCAAATACCGAAATAATAATCCTTATTTGATGTCGTTAAATATATCGTTAATCAAATTTATCCATGCACTTCTGTTTTTCTGAATATCGCTGCTTGACCAAGGGGTAAGAGTGCAATTGCTCCGGGGTCCGGTACCACCAAAGTTAAAGCAATTGTTCAGCTTTGGAGAAAGTACATTTGGGTAAACGATACTTCTAAAGGAGTATGTTCGGTTCATTCAACATTTGTTTTCAATAGTTTTCAAAGCTCAGTATCAAACAAAAGTTGAGACTCCATAGCGAACACTGCCCTCTGAGCATTTACTGAAAATTTCCCTTAAATATTGAGGAGCAAGCGAGTTCAATACGCTGCTGTTTCTTTTTTGACCGTTTTCTAGTCTCTTTGCAAAACTTAAACACTTTGTCCCGCATTTCATTTGTCATTCCCTGAGCGTCTGAACTTTCAAACACAACTTCTTATTGCTTCTCAACTTCTTACATCCTGTCTTTTTCAAAACTAGCAACAAACTTGATCATCTGGCTATCTACACACATGCATGCCGTTTTTCCAAACACCAGTTTCTGATCAGTGTTATACAGGCATTCCAGCAACCGTTTGTAATTTTTTTAAATGAATTAAGGACCTTTTTAAATCCAAATTTTAGGACTTTCTAGGACCCAACAATGATTATTTAGGATTTTTTTAGGATATCTTATTCAACCAAATAAGTTTTTGGTACGGCAAAATTTGAAGGTTATACGAAATAGCAGAAAACTTTAAAGACTGTTGGATGAAAAGAACACAAGTACGAAATGCTTCAGCTATTTCATGCCATAGGCATATTAAAGGATTTTTGCCGGGAGAAAGAAGAAATAATTGTTCTCACCCTGTAGTATAATTGTAACATTTTTGCAACAATTTTAATGTATTAACATATCTGTAGCAGCTGAACTATCAAATTATACCACTAAAGTATGAATTTGAAATAGAAACGCATAAGAGCAGGATATAAGATTATCACACCCTTTAAGAGAGAGAAATCCTTTTTGTTGGCAAAAATCATTTCTGTACCCCTTCGAAAAAATTTTTTGTCTTCGTCCTAGTTCATGCCATTTTCAGATTTTTTAATTACCAATCACACAAAGGCATTTTTTAAAAGAAGCTAGGTTTTGAATAAGTAGCCAGTTTCTTTATTTTTTGCTGATCTCAGTGCTAAGTTTTTAAGGTTTTTTAAACACCAAAGTGCCAAAATCTACTTTCTAGATAAAACGAAAAACAACACACACAAATGCAGATCAACGAAAGCTCTTCAAATATGAAAAGCACTTCATTGAAAAACAAGTCAAGATAATGGAAATTTAGGAAATTTAAGATATTTTTGTCAAATTTTGGGAATATTTTAAGATTTAGACAAAAATGACTATATTTCGGGATTTTTAGGAATTTAGGACCCACTAGGAGGCCTGGTCTTGTGTCTTCCCTTTTAGGTCAAAAAAACATTCCAATATTTCAAAAGATGTTTTATGAAGGTATGCGTTTTGAATGCCAAAGAAAAAGAAAGTGCTCACTTGATGTGACAGGCAGTAACAGGGCAATGATACTTGAGGATTAAAAAAGGCTTCCCAGTTTAAAAGACTGACATAAAACAAAATCATTCTCATTATCAACATACACAATAACATCATCTGTGGATGCTCAAAATTGATTTTGGATCAAATACACTAAATTTCAAACAAATTCTCTACAATAGCAGACTTAATGTCATTTGTCATTATCATTGTTAAATTGTTCCAAAAGTTCTTTTATTCTTCCCATTATCCTAGGAACCATGTCTACATGTGTGTTACAACACTTAACTACACAGGTGTCTAGCTCTTGTTGCAATGAAGTCACTTCAGCATGTGTTGTGCTTGAATCAACTTTATCCTGTACCTCGTCCTGACACTGTCTTGCACATCTTCCAAGACGGTCCTGTGTTATCAAATAGTTGATCAATATAACAACAATGAGTTTGCCACAAAATTATTGGTAAAAAGACCATGACAAAACAACATAATGAGCTTAATTTTGAAAATGACAAACCAGACTCTGGATTTAATTGACCACACTGGAATTGTAAATTCTGAAACAAAGCCAAAAGTGCTTTCCACTGTGGTCCTCATTTAATGTTGCTGGAAATGACAGCTTTAATTATCATGAATAAATTAATATATTGAGGCCAAAGCCTAAACAACACAAGTTTCATTTTAAAAAAGGCAGATCCAGCTTTCTAATCCACATTTGAATTATGATATGCAAAAAACGGTATAGAACTTTTGTTGATTAATCAAATTCATTTTCAGCTATCTAAAACACACATATTCAATATCGCAGATTCTAAAAAAACTAGTTTTACATTGGCAATAGCAATATATGATAAAATTCAGCTTTTCAAGCTTCTTGTACATTGTCAAATTCTCTTATATAAGTAATGTTGTTTATAAAATTCTCCTTTCAGACCTTGAACCACACAAATCATTTGTAGATTTTAAGGCACAATCGCTTCTAGTCCATTTGGCTTTACATGGGCAATTGCGGTTGCCCTAGCTAATGCCCTTTCCAAACTAATAGCAAGGGCCATTAAACATCCTCACAAAAACATGTCTTTTTGCAAGAGATTGGAAAGGCATTTATAGAGAAGTTAGTTCCTATAAATTGCATAATTCCTGAATGAAAGCCCAAGTTGCTAATAAAAACAAAGCATTATTGCTTCATTATTTATTTTATATATCATAAAATCAAACAGTTTGTTTACAGATTGGTGGTAATCACACATTTAGAACACAAAGGGTTAGGCAGTCCTGGGCAGATGACATTATATAACCCTGGAGGACTTCCTTTAAAACATATCATTAGACAGATGACTACGTTTGTAAGCCAGTTGAGGTAAAATGTCTTGACCTAGCTCACGCCACATGTTGCAGGAGGCAACAAACTTAACTATATACAAGAAACATAACTAGACCGATCTTCTATTGAACAAATGCATTACCTGAAAATTTCCTAGCTCTTTTCCAATAAATTCCTGAACCTGTTGAACAGGGTGAAAACACTGCTGTGTGCATTGCTCTAATGACTCTTTTCCAGATATTTTGTTTGAATAACATCTAGCTGCACACATATGAGACTGTGCCTAGAAGCCAAAGGAAACATGAATCATATTATAAAAAACCCATTTCTCCAGCCTTGTATTTCAATCCATGTTCTGACATTTTTTCCTCAAAAGAGTATCAAAAAAGCCTAGATTCAACAAATTCCTTTATAAAGAGGAATCAACGCAAAACATTTTTCATCCTTCGAATTTGTTATGTGAACAGCAAAGATCTCAAAGAGGCTCAATGTTGTCTGGAATAAAGAAAGGGGGTCTAATTTAGGGAAAGAAAGTTAAAGCAAGCAAAGGTATGAGTGTTTGCGAGCGTGGGTCCTCTGGAGGCCGATATAGATATCGGAAGATTTAAATGAGCACATGATTGTTGTCAAACTTGCTTTGCCCGGCCCGATTAACAGATTTGACAAAATTATTAGGAAAATCTGTTATTATCGTATAAACATTAAAGTTGCAAACTATATGCCACAGGGTAAGATTAACAAAATGTATTGCAGAGGTTTGTGATAGCAACTAAAGAATTTAAGGCAATTGTTTGTTAATCAGGTAAATTTGTAGTTCACCCCACTCTGTAATAGGACTGGATGCTAGTCTACATCACTATGTTAATTTATGTTGCTTGTGTATAGTATGTATTGTTGTAATTATGTTATGATCATTAGTCAGTTTCGAGTCTCAACACGAGTTGTACGCTATCGTCTTTGCTTCTTATAGTGTACAACTACTCATAAGTTACAGCTAACCCTAGCCTATAACACCTCAACTAGGCTTGCCTCACCGTGGCCCTAATGATAAACTAACAACAAATGTTTCCAAGTTTGTATGAGAAATATTCAGACAACGCAAAAAATTGGAAATTCTCCTGTAAACTGGATTGAACTCCATTTCTGGGCATAGATTTTTATTCATTGCTTTTGATTGTACACTAATAATTTTCGCATTTTTTGTATACTATTGTTGCTACTGTTATTTAATCTGCTGCAAAATGTTGCTCATTATGTTTGTAAGAAGAAGCGCTTGATTAATGTAAATAGCTGATGTAAGAGTGGTTCTTCAACTAATTATATTTGGATAAATTAATTTTTTTATGATGATGATGGAAATGCCAAACATTGGTTGTGTGTTAGTCACCTTGCCATCAATATTTCACGATATTGTGCCATTCAATCGCCTGGGGAGAAAAATGACATTGATGTGCCTACAAGAAAAATCATGCCTGTCGTGGGATAAAATTTGGAAAATCCAGGAATAAGGTCCAGGAAACTGATGGTTTGCTTAGAAATAATTTTAGTGAGGCAGAAAGTTAACCTCCTCTTTAATCCACATTATAAGTTGTAAGAGAAATTAACAATAAATATTTGAAATTAACAACAATGGAGTAAACAGGTTACTTGTTTTTTTATTAAAAAGGCCTCTAGCCTAATTACAACATAAATATAACAACAAAATAGCAGTCTAGCTCTACAGGGTATTTTTTTGTCCCCTCTGACCCCCTCTATCTATGTCGCCCCACGCCACCATAGCTATTTTAGCAACCAAAATAGCCACCAGAGCAGCCATCATTTTCAAAAATTTCTGCCTTAGGTACACTGTCTTAGGCACACTCAACTATTTATCCTTTGTCCTGACTCGGGGCCCATAAATTCTCTCTGCCTGTTGGCAAAATCACAGAGCCTCCGAAACAGACATAGACATGATTGACGGCCTCTCGATAGTGCGTGTGCTAGCCCACACCAACTTCAGAGAGTTTGATTATAAACACCCCCACAAGTTATTTACTAAACAATTAATTCACATTTCCGCTTGTTACTGGGTTGTTACTGGGTTGTTCTGCTTGTTCCTCGTTTTAGCAACGGTGCTAGTAGGATATGATTTTTTAGCCTGTTCCAAGTTCTTCTGATAAAGCAAATTGAAAGGATTTTTCACTATCTGAATTTCTAATGAGGAATTTCCCCACTCGGCCTTGCTAATTATTTGAATTTGTGAGTTATTATGAGGCGAGTACTCAAAAGATTGATGCTAAAGGATTGTTATTTGCATCAAAGTTTTACAATTTGGGGATAAACTAAGGCCTTGCTGTGGAGTTTTCAAACATTTGTGAAATAGGCCGAAACTGTGTTTTAGTGTTTTTGCCTATTATATAGGCTCATTATGACGTCATCAAGAACCCTGAAATGATGTGTTACTGGTATGGAGCTTCATAGTAGCAGTACAATGCAACCGGGAATTTTAAAAGCAACCATATTCTAGTTTTTTAGACCATGGTTCTACTGAAAACTTTTCTATAAATTGATAAATGTAGGGGACCCTAAAAATGATTCATATATTATGAAGAACAAAATCCGAAAAATAATCGACGTCTGTTTAAAATTAATGTAAGAGTGATACAAAATCGAAAAAGACCCGTATGGCATAAAATGAAAGCTACCAGTAGTGGCCTGAGTCTTTGACGCTCAACATCACTTAGCATTTGTTCCACGGCTTGTTGGACCTTTGCTTGGGCTTCCGACGCCATTTTGAAAGATAGAATGTGAGCAGTCTCGTTATCGTTTATGAAAATGAGGTTCTTCAAATAGTTGACTTTGTTTTTGGTGTTGTCAAGTAGATCAAAGATCAAAATTATTGTGACTGGTGAGACGGGCATGGCTTTTACGTATGAGATTTATAGCAATTTGTATAATTTGCATAATTGCAAAAATATTTATTCTCGTGTTCATTTTTTTTAATTTATAACTTGAATTCCCCCCTTACATTTTAAATCCTTACATGGTCATGATGCCTTTGCAAAACAACACTGTTATTCCATCAAACCAGGCAAGACGTAATGAAAGTAGCCCGGAGGTTGTAAAGAACTCTAACCCAGATCTATGGCGTTTTAAACGACCCACTTATCTGTCATACCTTAAACAGTAAATTGCTCTCAATTTATTCAACAATAAATATCTGAAACCTGAGCAAATTTTGACCCCTGATTCTTAACTCCTAGTAATTTGAAACCGCCAGAAATGTGTCCAGCTTTCTCCCAACAATATCCTTAAGCTCAGAAAATCTCAAAACACAAAGGCTATAAAGCCAAGTTGTTCAAAAAAGCTCAAATGTCTTGGAAATACTGCTTGTGTGAAGTTGCCAAACAAGACTGACTACTCAATCTTGTTGCAAAGTTTATCAAACTATAAAACATCCAGTGAATTCTTATTGTCAGTGAATTTTTTAAGTAAGTGTGGTTTCAGGTGTGCACTTTCTGAGTTGTGCAATCAAAATGGTTTTTTGCCTGTGGTACAATAAACTCCACTTATAGTCTCTAGACATCTAAAACATCACACTACCATTTACAAGGGATTTACAGTCACATGAAGTTTATACCCAAATTCCTTAAACTGTTCAATTAGTCACACTCTACTTAATGTCGAAGCATTTATGCAATATTTGGTGTGACTTTTTCCAGTGTCTACTGTTTAAGGGAAAATCTTTTGCAGTTGAGACCCTTTCAAGTTTCGAATCTCTTAGTCACATAAAGGCTGCTGGTAACTTTTTTTCAGGGGGCCAGTTGGGAACATGGTACATCAAGCCTCTTTTTGATAAGATGTAAATAAGTTTCTATAAAATTTATGGATTGCTTGTGTTGTCCTGTGAAGAAGTATTTTCTCTACACAAGTATTGTTTTTCATTATATATCTACCAAATATTGCTTAGCATAGTTACAACCATGATATTTATCAAAGATGTAGTTTAGGACAACTAGAAAGACCTAGTTGGCTTTTGAGTTAGGTGTGATCTAATCATTTATTGAAGGTGTTACCCATTACCCTAACTTTATGTAGCTCCAGATTTTACTTACATATAACTAATTATTTTTGTTTCTTTGATCCAAATGAATTGCCAATTGTGTAGCCTTCATGCATACTGATAAAATATTTAAATGAAATGAGCATAGGTGCAATGTTAAACATCATTTTGTGTTTTTGAGAGAGTGATAATTAACCACCAGAAAAGGTATATTATAAAAGAGAATTTGCAATATTTTCTCTTAATTTATGATTTCTCTCTTGTGTTCTGAATTTCATCGATTTTCTCAAACAAACACTTTTTACATAGACTTTCCTTGATCCAGGTGTAAAACCTCTTAACTCAGAGATGTCTGCCTTTTTTTCCTGAACTCAGATAAACTTCTCTCTGAGATGGATTTTTGCCTTGACGTGTCCTTTAATCTGATCCTTAAAATTTAAGTGAAAGGATAATTCTTCTATAGTCCTGTAAAATGCAGAAACATCTCCACACCTTTTTCTAATTTTGTTAACATCTTAGTTCTCAGACAAAACAAAATACTACAGCAGATTTCTATGTACAAACTTTTATTTTTTTTTCTTAGATCCAAATGAATTGCCAACTGTGTTGCCTTCATGCATACTGATAGCTAATTTAGATGGATTTTGCATAGGTAGTTAACCACCAGAAAAGGTATATTATAGAAGAAAATTTGCAATATTTTCTCTTCATTTATGATAACTCTCTTTGTGTTTCTCAATTTGATTGATTATCTCAAACCAACACCTTCTACTAAGACTTTCCTTGATCCAGGTGTAAATCTTCTTATCTCTGAGATGTATGATTTTTTCCTGAATTCAGATAAACCTATCTCTGAGATGGATTCTGGACTTGACACCTCTATTAATCTGATTCTAAAGTTTAAGTGGAGGAATAATCCGTCTATAATCCAGTAATATGCAGAAACATCTCCACACCTTTTTCTTATTTTGTTGACCTCTTTTCTCAACAAAAAAGTCCTGTGATGAAATTGTGACGAAAATTAATTACATATGAATCATTTTCTATTCTAGCAACTGAAATGGCTGTTGACCTTCAGCAAGAAATTGCAATATATGCAAACAAAATTGTATCCAAATTGGAGGAAATTGATTCCACTGGGTCAATTACACTATTAGTACCTATATTTCAGGTACAACTTATTCAATATACTATTTGTGAAATAATTTCAAATTATTTTGTGAGTTCCTTCCCATTGCTTCTTGAATTAGTAAATGCTATGACTGACTTCCAGTTCTTTTACAGGATGTAATTGTGAAAATTCTTCAGTTTTCTTCTAAGGCATACCAAGTCAGAAAGGTATACTATGTTTATTTTATCAATTTATCATTATTAATGTTCAATTCAATATTAAGTATCATATCAACTTTCCTGTGCTATTTTTGATGTGTTTGTTTTTCTGCAATGAAATATTGTTTAGATCTATCTTGTCAATGGCAACTAGATAATCTCCTCCACTTTCCCTTTCCAAAGAACATATGTTTGTAAGCACAAATTCATTTTTAACATAAAAAGTGCAATGCTCTTGTCTGGGTCAGGGTGCTATTTATTCAAAGACTTCTTTTGACCGCAATCTTTGAAAAAAAATTTACAGTGAAAATCATTAGGATTTTTTGTTGGAATATGTCAAAAAGGCATTAAAAATTATGCTGTTAAAATCAAGCAGGAGCCACAAAAATGAATGAATCGTTTTGACGAATAGCTCATTCTAAAAACTGCAGTTATGTTTAGAAGAGATGAATCTGTAGTGTTGTGACTGAGGTGCAAACAGAAAATTTTTCAGAAATTGATCATATGGGAGATCGGTTCTTTCTGTGTAGCCTCTTAGGTTCTCTTTTGTTTAAGTCAGAGTTGCTGGAAATTAGAACACGATTAGCAAAATGAGGTGCAGATAGCAAGTACAAAGTTAAAGCTTTTTTTTTCTTGGTCAAGAAACAACTCGGGAAAAGACATGTTTAGTGGATAAAACAATTGAATAAAAGTTGCCCACTTAGTGAGATAGATAAAACAACATGTAACAGCCCTTGCTCTGGTATGGGTGATAAGACTGTGAATTGACCTGACAGAGAGAAGTGCAGAAGTAAAATCTACACATTGAATTACAGAGGATGGGTAAAATCTAACAGAGATTCTCCTCTATGCTGTTGAGAGGAAAGGGCAACACTGCTAGAAATGTGGAGTGGGGGTATAAATTGTTTTACAACATGACAGCATCTGTTTTCCAGTTTAGGGTCTACTTATATTTTATTAGAAAGGAAACAAATTGGGAAAGATTGTACATCGTTTATTGAATGTTTAAAATGAAAATATTTTTGTTAACCCAGGGGTGTAGAGATAAAAAAAGAACAGGGGTCAGAGGTGCATGTGAAATTTCCTCAAACGACCATACCAATAAGAGGAAATTTGTTACTTTTTGTAATGGAACTTGGTCCCTTTCAGCTCCCCTAGCAGGAAAAAAAGTGCTAAAAAATGTTTTGATCTTTTTTGACAAATGCGGTTATTTTTCTTTGGGCATTTATATTCCTGCCAAACTCCCTAACTTTTCATGAAGTGTATAAAACTGTTAAATTGCTTATTTCTAGTTGACAATTTTTTACCTATGATCCAATTTCCTATAGCCAATTATCACACAATCATGAGGAAAATAATGCCCTGGTCTAGATGTCTGTTTTTTAACCTTCAGTGCTGAAAATGTATACAATAACATTTCCCTTTTCCCTGGTGTGTCTTTAAGCACAATCTTCGGGCTGCAAATTAAAAAGATTCAATTTACAGATGTGTTATTTTTACATTTTTTAGGCCATGAAAGATGCAGTTAAGAAAGAAAGCCTTTCACTTTTATTGAAAAACTTGAAGCATAGCATTCCTGAATTGTCACATGTATGCCAAGCTGATTTAAAGTCAAGAAACAAGTCAACAGTTGATGTATGTATCAATTGCCGAATGTAGAAAAATTTGAGTGATTATTAGAATTTGATACAAGACGCTATTAATATCATTGCAAATTGATGACATCATAAAACCTATTTTTAGAATTTGTAGATTTTGATCACATAGCCTGAAAAACTGCGAATCATATTTCCTGAATGTGAACATGTCTCATGAAAAGCAGTAGCAAATCTAACTGATTATGAACATTTAAAACTTCCTTTGAACATTTAAATGAAAAGAGAACAACCTCCTCCGCTTTGAAAATAAAAAACAACAACTAAAACGTATGCGATTCTGCCATTGGGCATCATTTACTTGAAACCCAGTGTTTCGTACAATTGGAAGAGCACAGTAGTCGTTCCGTGTAGGCAAAAATAGTCCGTTTTTACCCTTAAGACATCATTGGTAAACGTTTTTCAATAGGCAAGCGAAACTGACTGGGCAACAGTCATGTACCCGCGTTTCTGATTGGCCTATTTCGATCCACAGGGTATATAGATAAGAGTTCGTATTATTTAAATCTATGTTCTGACACTTTAAACTCTGAAGTGTTTCAGACGAAAAGTTTAGTATGTTTCAAAATGTTTGCTTTCTCAAAACCCCAAAAAAACTGTTAAATCATATCTCGTAATTGTTTCTATCTGGGTTGTATATCAACATGCAGGTAAAGTTTATATATTCATATGTTGTAAATAATTTCTTAAAGAAAATAGCACCATTTATTATCAATTCTTGATGTTTTAATTTCAATTATTTTTTCAAATATTGCAACAAAATTATTTATGTTTTAGCAAAAGGCAGACGTTTTGAGGAAGATGGTTTTTGTTATTAAACAAATTGAAAGACTTACTGGTGATTTCGATCATGCTGGTAGTACGAATGCTAGTGCCCTAGAAGTAGCAGATTCAACTAAGCTGAGGGATCTGAGAAATAACTTCGCACTGGATTATGCCATAGAGCAAAATTCAATTGTGTCCACTGAACACTTTGGTGACATGACATCTGCTGCTTCGTCCTCTCCACCAGTTGATGATAGTTTTTCTTCTTTGGCATCAAATATTCTAGAAGATTCTCCTGTTAGCAGTAGAATTGGGATTCCTTCACTTATTGTGTTGTACAAAGCAATCAAGTCAAGAATGGAAAAATTTCACTATGATAAGGTAAATAGCCATATTGTCCCATTGAATTTAAACAATCTTATAATTAGCATTAATTAAGGCTTTCATACAATGATTAGTACCAGGCAAACGCTACCTTGAGGTTGAAATTCATTTTCCAGAATTTCATAATGCGTGAATTTTTTAACAATGTTGCTTGTGTTTTGAAATCATCTTTTTAGAAAGCTTATCGAAGTTACTTCCAAAAGTACTTCTATGCTCGATTGACAGTCCTCGATTGACAGTTCTATGCTCGATTGACAGAAAAGTTTGTCAGACTTCATTGTGTAAATAGACTTGATTCATTGATTAACTGAGAGTCTCTTGATTCACTGATTCATTTCTTACCTTTTCTAATATAACCTAGAACATCATATAATTGAATAGCATGTATTTTGTTTTTTTAGTCCAGCCAACAGATGAAATATCAAGGTGGGAAAAAGTTGCTGTCAAAGGTTTATCAATTCAGTGACATGGCTACAACACTTCATGACGCTAACGGTAATTTCTACAAATTTATGAAAAATTTTGCAAAGAACATTTCTTAGCACTGAATTAAAACTACTGTCCTGGTTGCATTTTGCCTTGTAAACAATTTGAAAGCAAGTCAAAACTTTCGCGGTTTGCACAAAGCAAACCTGCAATCTTTCGGCAGCTGACAATTGCTGCGAATTCTCGATTAATTTTCCCGTTGTTTTAGTTAAAACGATTCTAAACACCCTCTTGTAAATTATTCTTTCATTTTTGAAAATTTCCAGTAGGTGTTTCAAGGCCTATAAAATCTTCACAAGATAAACAATACTTTTCAAAATTTATGGAATTACATGTGACAGGTTTTCATCAAGAAAGGCTTAATAAACTCTATTGAAATCTAATTTCATAAAAACAGTTTGAATTTCGTTTCTGTCCCAATACTTTGAAGATAAGTGTATGCCTACCTTATCTCATTACAGACATTAATAAATTTTCTCCATATGGTATTGGTTACGCTTCTTCCCATTTCCTTCTCGAATAGAACTTTGTATTATGGAAGAGAGAACATTAAACTGCGCGGTTATCACCATATTTTGCTTGCCTTTGTCAAAATATATTTTGCAAATTTTGACTCCTTGATTTAATTTACCAATTTTTTGCTACAATTAATTCTTCATTGAGCAATAAAAACACCCCTTATTTGTTTGGTTTTGATTGGTTGAAATGATTATAAGGGAACTTGATAACGTTCAAACCTTGTCTACTTTTGCAATTTTTTTAGAAGAAGAAAATCATACCTCTAGCAGATTGAAGGAAAAGACAATGAATTTGAACGAGCTTGCTGCTGATTTCGTTTCAATGGCCATTGATGCATCAAATGGGTCATTTCTTTATGAGGATCAGGAAATGTTAGGCAAAGTCCACGAGAATGTTTTAATTCTGCTCAACGAAGTGTTAGAAATTTCTACGTGCAATTATCAAGATGAAACATCATTTGCTATGGCTGGTATGAACTGATTAGCTGTTGTTTTATTCAACTAATCTGTTGTTGATCTGTGCACTCTTGTTCGGGAATTTTGCACTTCAATGTATATAATCTATTGATTCGAGCAAAACATGCCAATTTGTTTTTATCTTTAAACAATCCATACCTTAACTTTTACATTGTGTTGCCTTGATTGTTGATATGAAAGGCAATGAAAGCATATGTTTTTTAGATAAGATATCATGTGTAAAATGACAGCAGATGTGTAGGCCTACTTCGTGATATATATATGCTTGATCAAACCTATACCCATAACTTTCTGCAGAAGATGTTTTTCAAGAGCTCATTGAAAAAGTCAGAACTTGTGCATATGAAAACAACTTCATTGGCCTAACCGAATCAACTTTCCAGTTTCTGATCAAAGCAAAGGATGCTGGGAAAGCTTTAGAGCAAATCAGTAAGGAGAAGAATGCGACTTGGCAACCTGGGTTGATAAGAGCTCTTCAAGAGGGTAAAGAAAACAGTGTTTTTAAAATATCTGGGATTACGCGTGTTGATATTTTTGTCCATGTTTGCAATTTGTGCTTGCATTTATTGAAAAAATGACAGTAATTCAGTTTTGAAGTTAGGATATCAAACCTATCTTTCACGCCATGATCTTTAAGAATTCTGTCAACTTCCACAGCTTTTTGTATTTTTGATATTTATTCATGAAATCATAATAAAAATTTATAAATTCTCGTTGTGGTTTTTGTTTCTAGAGATAGTCGTTGTCGGGTTTTCTAGTTATTTTCAAAGAAGCCATTTCTCTTGTATTTTTAGACATTTTTATTCTTACTTTTCCCTAGCATTTAAACATTAATTCAATTGAACTTAATAAAAGCAATACTAGGGCACTAATGTGAGTTTAAAGCATTTCATAAACACCCTTTCTAGCATCATATTTTATGATCATAACTTTTCTTTAGGGGTAGCGGATGTTGAAGACACTCTAGATTATCTTATCAGTGATATTGAAAGCAAAGCACGATTAGATTCTCTCACAAGGAAGATGAAAGATATCTTAAAAACTCTGGTGGAATGGCGCCTGCTTGCAGTGAAAACTGCCAAAGGTATCTATTCAGTGAAACTCTTATCTTCGAAACATCTCCTTTTGAATGAATTGTGAAAATCGATATCATTTTGTCCTGTCCTTCTCACTTCTTGTCCAAGCGTCCTAAGAGGACGTCCTAACATCATATAATAGACTGTATGGGTATACGATGTGCAGTGGCGAAGCTAGCCAAAAATTGTTGGTCCTGCTATATGGACAGGGCCACGCCCTTATTCAATAGGAAAAGCCCATGGACAAAAATTCTATTTTGCAGATGAATATTTTCTTAAATTCAGTAAAAAGCAAATTTTAAATCGATGTCTATCTTTTGAAAAATAAACCCATACTTGAAGACGTGCTTCAGGGTGCTTACTTTTCAAACAAATCTGTGTTAAATTGTAGTAAGCCTCTACAGCTGAAGTAAAAGTTCAAATTGGTGATAACTAAATTTGACGATAAAAGGGGGTAGGGGTGGCATTTGAAGCTGCATATCATATATTTGTGGTATTCCAGATTTTGGTCTTATAAACCTGACCAATCTAGATACTCTATTAAAATAATTTTAATAAACAACAGAGTTTAAAGTCTGTAGGGGCAAGTTCACATATTCTGCAGAACAATTATTCTGCAGCTGATAAAGAGAGGTACAATTGAATAATGTGTCGCATTATCAATGAAAACAACTTTATTAGCTAAACCATTAGGCGAGAAAACAATTCAGGTAGAAAAATGCAAATTCCGCTGAAATTGGTTTATTCTCCAACTCCAAACTTTCAATCACACAACAGTAAATAAAATTATGCTTTCATCGTCCTTGTCCAAGTCTAAGAAAATTTTATTTAGGCCACCATGATATACCGTGCCTCAAACGATCGTACAAAGGCCGAAATCAGAGTGCCTCATACAGCCAATTCTTGTTGTTTACATTTCTTACTTGCGAACTTTGGACTCTGTCTTATTACAAATAAAATTTATGCAGCTCAACTGAGGCAAGTTTTGCTGTCAATAATAATATCATTGGTATTGCCAAAGCAAGCAGAAAATCCGCATTCACATCGCCTCGCCATAATACTTGAACTGGCCTCCTTGCTAGTGTCTCATTGCAGAACGAGAATGCACAAGGCAATTCTTGCAGTCCTGCTCTCAGAAATAGCAGGACCAAAGGTTTTCAAAACAATGCTCTTTGACCTACGTAGGTGAACCCTCGACCAATCAAATCACAACTGCTTACGAAATGTTATGATGGTCATTTCGACGAGGTCCTGCTTCCGAAATTGAGCAGGACTGCTCTTTGTTCTAGACTATTGTGAAGCAGGACTAAATTTACAAAAGCCCATTGTGAAGCAGGACCAAACATAGGGTATCATAGTTATGAGCAGGACCAAAATACAGGGCTGCCGTAGAAAAGAACAGGACCTTGAGACTAGCATGGGATGCCTGTATCAGCTGGCGGAACTGGGGACTGTTTATCGATTAGAATTTGAAACTTCCTTTTTGCAAAGAAGAAATTGTTTATTGTTTACAGTAAATCTTATCTTTGGAAATTCTTGGTCCTGCTCAGCAGGACCAGCAGGACCTTTGGCTTCGCCACTGACGATGTGGTGAGAAGTTAGCCTTGCTCATGTTAAATGCTTTATGAGCATTGTTTAACATTTTCATGATCAGAATTCATAGTCATCTTCTTAATATGATGAATGGCCTTTATTACTGCTAAGTTGATATATATCTCAAACCATTACCCAAGTCAAATGGAGTATCTACAAAAGTCATAAAATCTTACAAAAGGCCGTAGATTTAAAAATATTCATGTTATGTCATCAATTTTACATAAATTCTTTTCTCGAGAAGTTAACAATGCTCCTTTTACTAACGACTTGTCTTGCAGACAAACATGCTGTCTCGATTAGTAATATGTCGATTCTAGGCAAAAACAAAGACGAAGAAACAACAGAGAAAAACTTGAATGAAGGTATTGTGCTTTTCATATTGCGTCATATTTGCAGTGCAAGTCAACGTCGGATACCTAAATGAATATGATGTCAACTATTATGATAAAACACATCTCCCCTGTGCTGCATTGCAAATTCCCCCCCTCCCCCCCTGCCCACTTCAAACTTTTTATCGTTTTAGATGATAATTTTCATGCTTTTCATGCATGAGCTTAGCGATTCTTCTTCTTAATGCCTTTTGCCTTTCATCTGCTATGTCATCCTCCTCCTTTCAAAGACACAAGTTTGCTTTAACCCAAATTCGATTTTTGATTTCTCTTGCAACATGCAGCTCTTAAACCCATCTTAGCATTTCCCGAAACAATCCGGTCCTTCAATGCTTCGTTTATGACTTCTCCATTCAGTCTCCGTTAAGGCTGATTAAGCTGTGATTCGTTTGTCCATAGGTATAAACCTGGCTGTAGAGAAATCAAGCTTTGGTACAATAGTTGATCAGTTCCCGGAAGCAATAAATGACAATGACTATAGGAAAGTTGAAGTTCTTGCAAACAGATTTCTCGGAAATATCAAGATAGTTGGAGACCTGCTGCAGAAGATTTCTCTTCACTCATCCCTTGAAATTAAGTAAGTATGATTTCACATGGTATTCAAACATTGCCTATTCATTTGATTGTTTTAAATTATTCATTACAGCTTCTTTTAAAGACGCGAATAATTTCGCTCAATAGGCTCTTCTGAAATATATTGATAGAAGCAAAGTATTTTTTCATAATTACCTTTTCTTCTGTCCTTATTGTAGAGAACTACGTATGCGATTTCACCAATATTTAAAAATAGCTGGAAGTTTTTGTTCACAAGCGAGGAAAGCCGTTCTTGCCTCAGAAAATCCAGATTTTATCAAAAGTCTCATCATGACAGGAAAGGGGATGGAAGAAAAGAAACAATCATTTGTTTCCTGCTGTAAAAAATCCTTGAGTCCATGGCTTGACATCGCTCAGTTGACTGTGTGCAAAAGATCGGTAAGAAATGATTTTGTATCGAGATGGTCTCAAAGTAATCTAACAGCCCCTGCCAAATTACTTTTGCAGTAATTTTCCTAAATGCTTTCTCAATCACTCACGGTCAAAAAGGTATCGATTTACCATCTCCAGATTTTCTTTAACATTTTTCAGCAATGGTTTGAAAATTCTTGAGAAGTACCAAATTAGAGTCAGTGGGCTCTTTATGAAATATGAAGCGCTCCAAAACATGGCCTTTTTCTGCCCCTCTAAAGAAGCAGCTTTAGACTGCACCTGTTATTTTGTTTATAAGATCACTACCAGCCAACATGTAAATAAAGAGTAACATTGAAAGAAAAAGCAAATCCTAAGCCCAAGCAATGAAAACTCAAGAAATCAGGAATAGGCCTTTGATTCCTCGTTTCAATATGACACGCAAACATGTTTCTTCCCATCTACTTTTGCTGCCAATTTTATTGTCAGCAATTTTTATTTTTACTGTTTTCTTATTTTGGAGATGGAGATAAATCAGTGGATTTTTAACATAAAGCGTGAAAGGCCCTATAGAAGGCGTTGCACACGCTTTAGTGTAGGCTATGATCGCATTAAGCATGAAATCGGGAGTTGCAACTTAGAACTGTCTCATTCTTCACACCTAAGCAGTTTTTCTGTAGCTTTTTTCTGATTGTGTGAAGTTGTATAACACACTTTGACTTATATAATTCTTTGCTAGTTGTAGCGAATTGTAGAGCCAATTTTTTTCTTGTTAAGGTTTCAGTCTTTCATAATTTGACGAAGAAAATCGAAAAAATCATAGAGACTTTACGTGCAACTGAATCTTTGGAGAACAGCGAATTCAAAGCTTACATTGCAAAGTTATCTGCTATTATTGGAAAAACTGGTGAATCGATGTTTAATCAGGCAGAGGTTTGTTCAAAAAAGACGTTTACATTTCTGTTGGATTTTTAGAGCTTTTACCAAAGCCAGCCCCTTGAAATTGCATCATTGAAAAAGTGAACTTTTGAAGTAGGTGTCACCAACGTTGAAAATGCCGTAAAACGAAGCAATGAATTGTTTGAGTAGGGTAAATTTCGTCATTGAAATTAGCAAAATCTTTAATCAGAAAAATGCAATGTGTAGTGCCATTGTTTGTTCGATATTATAGTGTATGTGAAATTTAATGTCATTTTTTGTTCTTAGTTTGTTATTGCTTCTTAGCAATACTGTTTTCCAAGTAAAAAATTTTTATCATTATTATTTTTTGATTAATTTTCGTTATTATTAATCTTTGCTGCTGTAAAGATTGAGAGTTTCATAGCACTCTAATTCACTGAATCTACAATCGCAATCTACACACTTAGTTAACGATTAATATCTCTTGCTATAGGCCCATGGAACCCGAAATTCTACCGATGCGTTTTTGGTGGAGATGTCTACTATCCAATGGGCCTGTGCTGTGATCTGTCTTTTTGGAATTGTTGATAAAATTGCTCAAATGAGATTAATTGAGACAGCTAAGATGGACAACAACCAGCTCAAGTCTAGAACGATAGCTTGGCTTTCTGTGTTGAATGAACTAGCCGTTTGGTATGTTGTCGTAACTGTTGTTTTTGCATTTTTACTTCATTTGCTGTTGCCTTCATTTACCACCGAAACTGCTATATCGGAAAGCATCGCATTTAATAAAACTGTTTTTGGTGACTTGTGTAGAACTTGGATAAATCATAAATTTATTCAGAAGAAGAAAAAAAGGGGGGAAGATGACATTTTCAGAAAAAGAGAAATAAAACAACAACATTGTAGTCATAGACGAACGGTGTTAGGATTTTTTATTCTGTCTCCTTTGAAATTTTGATGTGAAGCTGTTAGTGAATCTACCATCTTGTATCATATTTGTGTATGCTACCCTCCCTGTGTTGATGTGTTTGTCTCGACCATAACGATGGCCCTACCTCTATGGATCTTTCGTCTAATGATAAAAGTCTTAAGGCCCTTAGTCTTTGAGAATGGTCCTATCTCTTTGGATCAACAGCTATCCCCAGGATCTTTTCAATTTCGAGATTGGTATGAGAGTCACTAGTATCAGGACAGATTGTTTTTTTTATAGCTGGACAGATAAGGAAGTGTCGGGTGAGATATCTGAAGGCATAAAAGACCTTGAAGAAATGCTGCAGAAGTTAGCTAACGAAGAATCTTCAGCAAAAGATTCCCTGGAATTGAAAGCTGACGTCATAATTCTTAAGCGAGAGTTCATGTCAAAGGTAAAGTATTTGCTTCACCTATAAGTCGTGGCCTTTCTCGTTGTAAGCCATAGTGTTGTAGAAAAGGATTGAATTATTGAGTGGACACCATTGTCTGAAGACAATTGGAACAGAATGGATTGTTCTTTTGGAATCAAAGGATTTTTCTTATTTCAGAAAGCACCCACTCCCCAAGAGCAATAGCAGATACCTTCATGATTAACCATAAAATCATGTTTTGAGGCTTACTTGACCTAAGGGTGTTTTTCGTATCAGACACTTCGTACGCCGAGAAAATAGTGTGTTTCCTTGCCAAATGGTAGGAATGGATCCTTTGCTTATATTTTCTAGCGATGAATAGCTCGTCAATCGACTCCAATCATGAGGTTTATAGGTAATGCATTTGTCAAGTATAAGTTGTACCTTTTGTAGCCATCGATTAAACTAGCAACGTGTTTTGATTCAAGACTGAAACCCTGAATCTTTGCATTTCTAGATGCTGCTTCTAAATGAGCTGGCTGACATCTTAACCCAAGAGGTTCGTGAACCCATGAGCGTTTACATTGATCCCTTGGCTAGTCTTTCGTTTGCACCAAATTTGCGAAGTTTTAAAGCGATCCAAGAGGCTTTCTTCGAAAAGATTGACGCTGTTCACACAATGTCGTGCCTAGCCGTTCAAGATTCTCCGTACAAATCAGAAGCTCATCTTGTTTTTGTTGCTGCAGATGATTTAAAAAACATTTCTGAAGAACTTGTGTCCACCATTTCTTTGTCAGGTATATACCTATGTCAGAAAAACGTTCAAGCTTGAGCTTTTCCGTTTATTCCTACGATTTCGCAAATTTTTGTTAAACGTTAAAGTTTTCACTAGACGTTTGATTTATGCCCCTCTCTGCATCTTTAATTAATTCCTTGCCAGGTGATTTTAATCATTACTTGTGTAGTTTTGAAAAATTCTTGCGATTCTGATTACCATATTTGGTTGATTTCAAGTGACACTACCTTACCTCCTAATACCCTAATACCCAAAAAATCACGACCTTTTTTAGTTTTATGTGTATTTCTGTTGACTTGGTTTTTTTGAAGGTGCGGCAAAGAAGAGCGTCGATTTTCTAAAACTTCGTTGGAGAGTAAAGGCTACATATCTTATTAAGGTTTTGATGATTGTTCCTGAAGTGAACTACTCCGCTGTGGCAGGTAACCATTTTGATTTCGATTTAACTGTAATTTGATTTCTGTATTCAAGAAACTTTTCAAATAGCACCGTTTACCTTTCAAATGATCTTATCAAAGCAGTTTCCACCAGACGCTCTTTAGAGTAGGAAGGAAGGAAGAAATTTAAGTGTTATTTGCTTAAGAAGAGTGTCTAAGTATGATATTTTACGGGCTATCTGTTCTATTTTCAAATTTTGCGCTACCAATCCTCAGGGACGGATGCAGAAAAAAATCTGACATTCGCAAAGTTTCGACCACGCCTATGTGACCACGCCCAAAAAATCAGTCAAATTTTACTATAGTCTCAGAATCGAAGTTTTCCACTTAAAGATGTATTTTTCCTCATATTAAGTTTTCGGATTAGGAAACTAACAACACATTTTTTAAACAGCATAGATTAAATAAAAATATTGAGACTCAAAGGTTGAGAAATTTAGGGATAAATATTAAGAATCACAGCCAGGTCTGGATTTCATTGACAATTTGACATTCTACTTATTGAGTGAACAAGAAAAGAGATCTCTGGAAAAATTTTGAGAAACACTCATCAAGCTTTTGTTGTTTTGGCATGTTTTGTTTCCTACATGGCTTTTGTGATGGAAAAACAACAGCAAAGATTTGAAATGTCCTCTTAATGATGATTTAATGGCAAGTCTAGACACAGAACCACAAATTGTCAAGAACTGTGTGTATCACCCCTTCTCAGGGAGAAAAACTCATGAAAAACATTTTATGTCGCTCACTTAAAAAACAGCCATTTTAAGAAAGGAATCTTAGTTCTATTTATACAATTATATTATTTAACAATCAAATACTGTGTTTAGTGTAGAAATTTTCAATGCAATATCCACCCAAATGTTTGACTTCAACACCAAATACTTTAGGGACTCAGAGCTTTTCTGTTATTTATTTTGTGCATTCACCTTTCTATCTAAACTGCTGTGTGATATGCCTTAAACAGGGCCAAAAATACAAATTAGGTCAATACACATCATACAATTTTTGTATTTTCAGGTGTTGGTAAAACAGCAAATGTAACAGAATTTAAAACAATTCATTGTCTTTCCATAACAAGAACATCATAGATATATTATATACAAATTTTAAATGTACATCAAACAAAGTCAGTAATGGCAAAGAAATAAGGCAAATATGGTAACTTTTACTATATGGATTTATATGAGATATTTAATTGGCAGAACCAACTTGCTGTGAATTTCTTATTAATAATGTAGTAATTCCCCCATTAGGATCATTCCTTACTACCCATATTTACATTTATTTACACACACAATTACATAGAAAAGAAAACTGTCAGTCACTTGCAAATTCATAAACAAAAATTAATGAATCTTAAGGGTATTTCAGAACCAAAAGTTTTAAATGGTATACTCTTATAGTGTGGAAACCACAAATAATTTTACTAGTTTTAGAGGTTAAACTCATGAAAAGGGTTACCATATTTATGGCATGACCAGACAAATAAAATCAAAATACTATTACAATTTCTCATTTAAAAATATAGCAGTCTAGATTTTTCCAAAACTGACAGCATAAATTAACAAGAAAAGAATACGCCGTAGAAAATGCAATATCTTATTCAAAAACAAATCCCCAGCACAGTAAAACTATTTACAGGTTTGTGATAATAACAACATCTATCAATAAAAAATATTTAGAATTCTAAAATTCAGCATATTCAAATTCATCAATATATTTATAGAACAGAATCATTCGTCAGAATGCTACATCACCATTATCAAGATGTACAGTACATCATGTACCTGACTTGAACCCTAAAAGTTCTGATTGACAGCCTGCATAAAAATGGCTATTTACCTTAAAATGCAACACGTTTTCTTCAAAATATTATTTGAGTCTGAATCTCTGTCTAAATAACGTCTTCCATCATGAAAATAAAAACATAGGCAAAATTTTGGTTCAACAATTTTAGGTCCAACTGAACTGTCCTCGCATATTGCCATCTATCAAATTCCATCCATCAATCAAAATCTTCGACAAACTTTGAACATCTTCATAAGAAATCCCCTGATTCAAATTAAAAATCATCTTATATTTGACTCCTTTCACTCACTCTGAAGTACAATTGCTGCTCTTCTGCAAGCAAATGTCTCCACAGCTTTCCAACAACAATCATGGCCGTTGATGTGGAAGCGAGGTTTCAATCTGCTCTCTTTCCAAGGTTCTCTCCCTCAACTGGCTACCGAACATAGTTCGCATCTACCTTCGCCACATTCGCAAAAAAATTTCCCATATACATTTCCTATTGGTTTTCAGATGGCTAAATAACATAGGTGGACTGACATTCGCACAAATTTTTGGCATACATTTTTCAGTACTACTTCGTTTGCGCACGCATGCCTAATATATTATAATTCCATTCGACATTCGCATCAAATCTTATTGGTGCTCTGTGAATTTATGCGTAAAAGGGGGAGCCCTCTTTCGAATATATCATCTCTAAATCACGAAAACGAGGGAATAAAACCTAAAAAGTAAACAACAAGGTGACATCATAGCAACTAGGGCAGGAAACAAAACTTTTTTTTCTTGTATTCTTTGGACCTTTTTTTATTATCTGGCCATTTCCAGTACAATATTCACAATGCTAAAATGTATTAACAGACAATTACAAAAAGACATGTGGAAATCTGACATTCGCCAGTGCGAATGTTGCGAATGTCTGGATCCGCCCCTGCCAATCCTATTTATACAACAAGAACTTTTTATTCAAATGTTACATCTAATTTTGATGACTGTCCCAATATTTTTATACATCTAAGTTTATCCTAAGTATGATTTAAATCTATATATTCTTTAAACATTACTTTTGCAAGTGTGTGTCTAATGAATTACTTATCAATATTGATTTGATAACTTTTTGCTGACTTGAAGTTTATTTCTTAGGTGTGACGCGCCATCTTAAGACTGCCTCGCATTTGGGAAGGTATGAAGATTTGATAGCTATCCTAAAGGATACGGGGTCACCTCCAAGAAGCCGTGTTAACAAAGATTCCTGGAAATTGAACACGGAAGTATCCTACCGTGATGACTTCTATGATGACCAAATCACAGATTGCAACAGCAGTGCTAGCAGTATCCTTGATTATTCACTATCAAGAGGAACGGATGCGGTATGTTGTCTTATTTCGTGAAGCTTTGCGTTTATTTAAAACTGCATTTGCCACTCAGGTTATTTCATAAGCGCTCCGTGTTCTTTCTAAGTATCAACTATCTTTTCCCGACGTAGACCTGACATGCGAAACTTAAGACCTTAACGAATGTTTTTTCAAAATTTTTATTTTTCTTTCAAATATTTATTAAAATTAGGTTTGCAGTCGTTATATGAGCTTAAGATCCAACTATATTATGAAGGCTGTACTGGCCAAAGCCTTCTTTATTTTGGAACTAAAACCGTTTTTCTACTTGCAGTTGACCGCATCTTCTCCAAGGCAAGCAACCTCAGATCTGAACTTCTTCAGAAACTATAACACGCGTCTTACAGAGGTAATTTCTTCGAATCTAAAATGACACAGTGAAACAGATCCTATTCAAATTCTTTCAGTTATGCAAATAGTATGAAGAGTGCATATGATTATCGTCTTTGACCTTCTGTTCTCCTTTTCTTTTCGCGATGTTGATTTTCAGATTCTTCCTAATACACAGCGATTCAATTTAGGAATTGTTTTGAAAAATACCAACACAATAAATATAGTACAAACACAATAAAATAGAATACAACCAATATTTCTTCCCGGTACGCAGGGCTTTGTCAGAGCTACTAAATTGAAAACAACGTTTGTACAGTTTATTTAAAGTTAACAATGTATCAATTAAATATATCTTGTGTAATTCAATTAAATTACAGATGTAATTTCTAGTGAAATTCTATTCGTAGCTATTATATGAAGAGGTTACCTTAAAACCAGCTAATATAGCTGTTTCATCTAGTTCTTTTTCATTTATTAACCCGTCTTAATCATTCAGCAGGATGCTCTCCCGCCAATGCCTTTGATCCAAACTCCGGACACCTACAACCCAAGATCTTCGGTCTCATCAACAAGATCTGATTCTTCCCAAGACACAGAGATCTTCGTTGGAAGATTAGCAAGGAAGGTCCCGCCTGTTCCTGCAAAGAAACCCATGCCAAAAAATAACCAAAGTGGCGATCACATTGGCACCAGTTCTGCCCATGCAACGAACAATGATTATGAAATGAAAAATAGTTCAGCTATAGACAGAAACGGAGAATTTTTAGAGAAAGAGGAAACGAAGATTTCTAAGCCAATAGCGGTATATCCACTTCATGTATTATCAAATACCAAATTTAATTCAATCACTTGTTTCTTGATGTTAATCAATATCTACATTTCAATTCTTCATTTCATTTACATATTGTGTTTAAAAGGCAATAAGTATCGAGTTGTTTAGAAAATTGCATTTTAAAGCAGAAAATATCCGTGACCTTTTGAAGATTCTTGTTTTATTCATTTTTGCCTTCAATGGTTTATGGCTCTAAGAGATTCTACTGTTAAGCCAAGGTTACACGAACAAATGGCGCATTATGTTTTTTGCTTGCTTAGATAGCGTATATTTGCATGAACGTTTGGTGTATAGAACAAGCCGGTTCTAAGTTACAACTCTGAGTCCAACGTTTATTTATTCAACAGGCAACTTTCAGGCTACTCTCTCAGTTGCCTGATGATCGCATTGAGTATGGAACTTGGAGTTTCGACTTAGAACTGTTTTGTTTTATACACCAACAGTGTGTACAGCTCTGCCTATACGGCATCGAGCACTTTATGACGGCCCGGTAAACAGTAATTTTCATTATGTTCATTTATAAATATATGATAAGATAGGATTAATGTTTTCAAAGAATAATAACCGGTGAATGCTTATCACTTTTTGAAATGTTGTTGTTTAGTGTAATATTGAATTTTCGTAGTTAGGCCGATTTTGCTTGATTTTTGCTGGATTTGATTGTATTTTGCTGTTCCTTCTAATTTCCGTTTTTTTAATCACAGCGTGAAAGCAGGTAATGTTGTTTTTTGTTGAATTCCTGGATTTTTGTGAAAACAAGACTTTTTGAAATTGCAGGCTGCAGCCCGTATTTTGCAGCGGGAACTCGAAGAATGGGAAGATGACGGAAACACCGTGATAACGGTCGTGAGACAGATGACCAATCAGATGCTGCAAATGGCCGACTATGCTAGAGGTGAAGGATTGTTAAGGGTAAGAAGAACTATTTCAAACTCTTTTCTTCATGAAAATGTCATGTCTCGTAGTTCATACAAAAAAATTCTTTTTGAAAGATGTTTGCATGCTAAACACATCCGCCATTGTTTTCCCTTCCTATGCATAAAAAATTGGCCTCTGTTTTGTGATTGTTTTTCTTGCTTTAGTAAAAGCATTTGATTGATGATCTGTCTACTTACTATATTTTTCTTTCCCTTAAATTTCTAAAAAGCCATCAACCGTGTATCTCAACCAGCGGCGTACCGCAATTTAGGGCATCTGAGTTGGATAACTAAGGACCCCCGATCAAAGGTGCCCAAAACATACCCATGTCTTGTAGCATGTAACTCAGCTACCCCTTAGTTAACAAGAAACTTTTACCTCTTACTATTGTCCTAGACATGCGCTACACGTTTTGATTGGATCTTCTAGCAGTTCGTAAATAGGGGCACCCAGGTGCCTCCGTTATGTCACTGCAAACTACTCCATAAGTCATCCAATTTTCAGATTCCTTGTCCCTTTTTTTATCTTCTCGGTCCTAGCCCTATCTCCATTTTACACACCCCTTCACAATCTTACCCACTCTCATCTGCATGCATACTAATTTCCACTGCTGCAATCAATTCTATTACTCTTGCAATCAAATCCTTTCCAGAGAAAACAGGATTTCATCAATACGGCGAAGGCAATTGCTGCCAACGCCAACATTGTTGCAAAGTTTGCCGTGATCATTGCAGATTGCTGCCTTGATGAAACGTGAGTAGATCATATCATGGTAAATACTGCAGTCTCTTTTGGTATCACTTATGCGGTTCTTTATTTTCAACAAAGCAGAAACAGCGGTTCAAACCCGAATTAGTTAATGCCATAGCAAGTTTCCAACCATAAAATCCCAGCCATTTTTTGTTTTGCATCGAAATCCTTTGCTTGACGATGCAATGCAAAGCTGCATTATCCAGTTGACCCTCAGATATAAACAAAGGTTAGGCCAAAACGAAACTGCTGGCAGTTTTTCAGCAAATGTTTTTATTTATATCAAGATATATATTTAAAATGTGTGAATACTTTGAGGATCTCGCTGATAAAGAATTAGCTTCCTTTTAATGAAGTCCCGTATGCTTGAGCGAAATACTGGTTAATTTGGTTGCAATTTTCTTCTTTGGATCATAAATCATCTCACATTCATATTGGATCTTTATGCAGGCCACAAGGCCTAAGTCAACGTCAATTTATACTCTCCGGCTTATAAGATCAAAATATTCAAGCTGACAGACGTTGGAGAATGGTATTTATTTGGATGATTTTCAACTTAATAAGTTTGTTCTATAGATTTCAACACAGTAATTGTTTATTTCAGCTAATTTAAGGATGAGCGACTTTAAATGTTCACTAGCATTTGAGCAAACAAGCAATTCGAGGCGAACGAGAGGTGAATAATGTGACGTGACAGTGTCAAAAAGTCGATTGGTTTTATAGATAATCAGTTTCAATAAATAATTAAAATTTTGCGTGAAAAACGGCTTACCGTAATCAGGAGAAACTTAAATGTATGCAATTTTTTATTTGTTTTTTTCGGCAGTTGCCAGCTCAACTTGATGCACTACGCGGAGCTTGTTCCCACCCTCAGCACACAACTGAAGATCATTGCATCAGTCAAAGCAGCCACTCCGGACGATGAAACGGTATTTAAGCCCACTTTAAATTACACAGTTTTGCTAATATAACGGAGAAGTTTTGGCTTTATCGTTAAAATTTCGATCAGTGTTGATGAAGACCGACCATACTGCCCTGTTTTTTTGTTCAGTTTTATTGTTGAAGCTGCCATCATTTTTGATGTATTCAAATGTCTGTCCATGTTATTTTTTTTTGCCATTGTCCAATAGAAGTTTGCAACTGCACGCTTTAATTCTTGCATAAACCCTTTAAGCAAGCACTCTCCGCTCTTTCGCACACGATAATGAATCAGGAACAAATTAAATGTAGCTTAGAGTATAACCCATTCCATATAGGTTTTATAGAGCCCATCCATCATTATAACCCCCCTTTTTAGTAAGGCCTATTTTGTGGAGCCTTCTCTGAGCTGTAGACTTGTCGTGTATCTCTCAACCCATTCGTTGCAGGACAAGTTTCATTTCAGCAAATTTAGCATGCTCATTTGTTGATGTATGAAATATGAGATAGATAAAGCTTTCAGCCAATGGATTCTGGAAATTTTTTAAGATAAAATTTTATTTCAAGGGAAGAACTATTTATTCCCTGTTTTGTTTTTTGGGTTGGCTTGCTTTTCGAAAGAAACAGCATGTATCGAAATGATAATAAATTTAACCTTAGAATGAAAAACAATAATATTGGCCTTAAAAAGTATTTCTATGACGTTTTATCAACATTTGATTCCGTATTTTTCGATGTAGGCCGATGTGATGCTTATAGGAAATGCTGAAAACTTAATGAAATCTGTTTTGGAAACACTAAAAGCTGCCGAGTCTGCGTCAGTCAAGGTAAATCACCATTTCGAAGCTCAGTTTCCAGCAACTTTCATTTGCTTTTTGAAGCTCTTTGTTGTTCGCCCTTTTCTTTGCTTAACTTTTTGGTTTTCATTTTGTACCATGACCCTTTCTGACTTCTCTGCCACCAACCATCTTGTGCAGCCCTGAAATTTTGTGTTAAGATGTGTTTCTGCGATTGGTTATTGATGGTTGGTTTTATAGTTCTACGCTACACAAAAGGAATTCCCTTACTGTGTCTAAGCTAAGCGCAGCCAATTATCGCACGATCGAGGGAGGTGCAGACAAACTTTAAGTTGCCTTTTTTATCAGTTCCTGCGTAGAGGACTAATTTTATAAAAGACCATACGGCGAACTGAATGAAATTTCCTAACACTAGAATTATAGTTTCTAGATTTATTAATTTTTCTCGTATCCGAGGCTAGTGATGGTTTAAGGCTGCGAGGCTTTTTGAGAGAGAATAGCTTTTGTTTTCCTTTGCGGAATTTGTGTACGTTTTCTCAAGAAGAGCCAGCGTGATTTCCAGTGCCATAAACCAGTATTTTGTTGAATTTCAGATGAGACAAGACCCAGGCACAGATGAAGGAGCGCCACTGAGCAAGAGCGCTACTTTGACGATGCAATGGAAGAAGAAGCTCGACTTGCGACGTTCCATGGAGTCTCTGACAGCACCAACCAATGACCTCGGTTTGAAGATAGTCTCGGTCAGTCCACCATTAGCTCTGACTGACTTGTGATTCAAGTGCCATGTTTTGTTTATAGTATATGATTTCAGTTTATTTACGTAGTATAACTATAACGAATTAACTGTAGAAGAGGTTTTGGACTTAGAAGACTTTATCTTTGATCTAGAAAATGTTTTTATCTTGTAAATTTGATGATTAATGAAAATTAAACCGAACCAAAGTTTGTAATTAGGGCAAATTTTTCACTGTGGTTGTATATAACTAGGGTTCTCTATGTACTTTTTATATAAATAGCTGATCCATAACAAATCTCTCTTATAACCAAATCTATATATTTATATTCAAGGTTAATTAAAAATTTTTGATCGAACTTTCCTAAGAAGAGCAGTCTTTTCTTTCAATTGTATTCAATGGTTGTCTCAGGGTGGTGCAAGCTCCCTGGTGAAATTAACTTACGTTTTTTTTAATGCTGCCAAAAACGCTGTGCAAGCTGTCAAAAAGAAGGTTTTTTATTAATTATGGTGCTTATGGTATTTCATCCATTCCTTAATTTTATTATATTGCAAACAAGATAATAATGAAGTTATAGGTCTTAGGGACAAAGTGACCTTTGACAGCCTTCTTATTGTTAGTTAATAAAGCTCAATTTCAAGCACTTTTTGAGAAATATCTATCCAAAAATAATAGAAGCAACTTTGCAGAAATTGCAATTGTTTTTAGATCAAATGCGTCGACCTTGATGATTAATTGTACCGCATTTATTAGAAGCCAGTTAAATATAAAAACAAGCAAAGAAGTATGAGGTAACTTTTGTCGAGCTTTCCTTTAGCATGAGAGAAGACTGAAAGAGCATCCGTTGAATTTGTCATGTGCCTACAAAGGACTTGTCGCCATATCAACTTTAGTTAGCCAATTCATTAGTCTTGGTCAGGTTGTCTCTTTTGTGAACTGGTTGCCAGTTCAGTTGATTGAAGGAAGAAATGCTGTTAGTTCTTCTGTCGACAGATTTTATGACAGAATCACAGAGCTTTGGCAGTTTCTTTTTGCTTAGATGATGGAAAACTAGCAAACAGTAGCTAAGGACTTGTTACGAGCTGCTGCACTTTCACACTCCTGGAAATTGAAATTCAATGTCAGTTTATATTATGGCACCAACTTTGATCAGAATTTTCAAGCCTCTAATCAAGTGTTTGCTCCTCTTCGCTCCACATTCGCAAACCCAAACCTTCATGTCCTTCCATTCAATTCGATAGCAAAGTCTACGGCTCAGGTAATAAATCTTGTCTTGTCATCTTCTATAAACTAAAGGTGAATCAGCCACATCGGCTGATCGGTACAGTTTCCATCGTCAGTACAGATGAACAATTTTATTCAGACAAAATGTGATGAGAAAAATAGTTAAAAAACACAGCATTTTATTTATTGTTTTATTTTTGAATTTCCTAGCTCCACAGAATTTCATATCCAGCTCCACATTTCGAATTCCAGCTCCAAGAGCCCAAATCCAGCTTAGAATAAGCTCTGATTACCATTAGCTGCTATACATTTAAGCATTTCTAGGAGAGCAAGGTACCTGGAGATTAATGATGAAATTGTTTGTAGCTCAAAGCCCCATCCGGTAGGACATAAAAGAAAAAGAAGCAAAAAAATTTGAGAAAATTAATTCTTTAAAAATTCATTTAAACTAGAATTGAAAATTTTTCAAAAGTATCGAAGCTTGAAAAACTTTATAGTATTCGTAAAAAGTACGTAGTGTAATGGTAGTGCCGTGAATAGCATATGAAAAGTCATGCAAATTTAGATTTATTACACGGCACAAACAAGTGTTTCAGTATCTAGGTCTTCAATATCAGGTCAAATAATTGGGGTTGGTACGTTTTCCTGGAAATGCTGTGCTTGCACGCCCTGATAACTGGTAAACAGCGATTTGCACGCACGCGGCGCCCACGGCAGAAATGACAATGCACGCGTGAGATATCATCAAAAACTGTCATTTATGTTGCCATACTCGGCAGACTGGGCCATCGCTATCTCGATCCGTTCCATTGGTCCCTTTCTTTGGTTCAAGGTATCGAGAGCTTACTGTAGTTTCTAGTCGTGTTTAATTTTGCTCCTCAGAAACATCTCGATCTGACATAGAAATATATATTTAATTGTTTTTTGTAGTTTTCTCAATAACCGTACGGTGGAATCTCAGAAATAAAATAAATTTATTTATCTTTTTGACAAAAGCTCCTTTGATGTTGTTAGAAACCGGAGTGTGTGACAATAGTTGAAGTTGAAAGGGTCTGGGAAAGAAGTCGGCAAATCATTCGATCCCAGTTCTTTTCCTGCAGCCATTTTGGCCAACTCACTCCAAGGCCCATCGCAGCTACTGTCGGAATTCTATGAATTTTTGTTGATCCCACGAGTGGAGAAGGGTGGTTACGATCAGAAAACGGCAGGCTAGTAAAGGTAGCTGTATTTATCAAAGGGCATATTCAAAATATAGCCAAAATGTGGAAGTTCAGAGAAATACAAGACAAAGTGTGAGTATTTTTTATGCGAGTTCAAAAATCAAATCACGACAAAATTTTGCCAAGACTTGTCACCTGATTGCCATATATCGTGACGAAAGGTTTAATCGAAAATTTTTAAGCCAGACTTATCAGTTGTTTGATTTAATGTGCTAACATTTGCTCTGCCCAACGATTTTCGGTCTTCTTCCGTTTGTCATCCTCGTCGAAATCTGATTCCTTGCTGTATATTTTCTCGTAACTGATTTTAGCAGAACAAGGTCTTAAACAAAAAGCAAGAGTTATTCTAAAAAAATTACATTTAAAACAGGGGTTAAAACAGTTCCCAAAGTTGTTTATTAAGGTACATAAACAGCCAAAATTAACAGGAACTGAAGCATATATAGTACATTTGTTTGCACATTTTGTACAAACACAAGATCACTTCTGATATTGTGACTGAATGGTAAAAGTCTCTGTAGCCCAATAGCAATTCCAAAGCAAGTTGTTTGTCCCACCCAGCGCAAAGACTCCTTACTCAAAAATTTTTTCTGTGACTTGTTTCTAACTATATTTCTGAGACTAAAGAATGGAGACTCTGGCACCCAGGGTAAGTGATTTGCTGCTCGGGTTTTGTCAGTTATAATCCAAATCTTCAATAACCAAATTTGGTTATGGAAATTGGTCAATATTGGACATATATTATATCTGTAAATTATATTGAAGGCCGGAACAGTGAGCGCCAATTTTGTGCCTATCACCAGATTTGAAAATTTTGTCCCAGATTAAAAATTCGAGACGAGAACAAGAAGGTTGATCAATACCATTGCTTTCAATAAGTGGATATTCATTTTGAAATATGATTTTATTATTAAGGTTTGCTCAAAAGAATGCAATTTCCGGCAAACTTGAAGCATTAAGCCTGGTTTTCATATATTGTATCCCGTCGGCGATGATCCCCGATGCATAGCATTCCTGATGGTAGGGGACCATCCCTGGCGGTCGGGGACGATCCCCGATGTTATAAACAATATTGAAGCGCCAAAACTAAAATTTTGATGAAAGTTTGGGAATATGGCTGCTGATAAAGGCCAATAGTCAACTTTTGATATTATCATCGATCTATGATCAACACATTGACGTTTATGATCAACACATTGATAATTTCAGGATATTTTGCAAATGAAAATTCATCACAATAAAGTAAGAAACTTTCCCCGCGCACCCGTCAGAAAAATATTGCTCCAGAAGAAGCCATTGTTACAATGAAGATAAAGGAGAAGCAAATTCCAGTATGAATTTTCTTGGGAAAATTTCTGTTTAGTGGATTATGTAATGATCATGACATAGCTGAAGATTCACCCTGATTCACCTTAAAAAATGATGAAACTCAAACTTAAGACTAGGAATCAAACTAGGAATTATAGCCCCCTTAATGTTCCCTGTACTGTCGAAAGCATTCCAGTTTTTCCGCAAAACAGTTACCCTCCCTTCAGTTCAAATGAACTCACTTTTGACAGAACATTCCTGATCAATTGTTCTCTTTACTATTGTTCGTTGGGAAGCGTGGGGAAAGTCAAATTATTTTGACTTTTGCGATGATCGGGGATGATCGCCGATGGTTCCGGATGACCCGGTTTTCATATGTCATAAACCATCGCAGACTGTAATAGACCATCGGGAAGCTGCGTCGGGGATCATCGCCGACGAATTAAGATATATGAAAACCAGGCTTTAAGATTATAAAAGATTTTTCCTTTACCATGGTGCTGCCTCAGGTAGTAACACTCTTGCCCTAATCAACAGATCTATTAGGCTGTGAGGTGCCAGGAACGTTCACAGTATGTATGAGAGAAATAGAGACAAAATGAAAAGTACATTTTAAATATCTTTCCAGCAAAGGCAAAAGTTTAGTTTTTCTGCCCCCCCCCCCCCTTTCCAATTCCAATAGTTGATCAATAGCTGCTTATGTCCAATAAAGTGAGCAAAGCAATCAGGCTTAAAATGGTTCCCTGAAAATTTTTTGAAGCCTTTGAACCCACAATTTTCAGCCTTAGATTTGTGGTGCAGGCAGCACCATGGAAAATGCAAGATTGGATGTTTTTTATTATTTACTTGAAAGAAATCCATTTCTGTTTTTCATGCTTTTTATTGCTGTTATGAAGATGGCTCAAAATAGGAGAAACAGCAATCTTTAGTACTTTTTGCCCTAAAATAAAAGTGTCTCATTTAAAAACCTGATTTGCTTCATCAGATCTGCTTTGTTATAAAACCTTGATACTCAGCTGTACCATTATCAAATATTAACAGGCAGTTTCAATTCTTGCATTTTTATTCAAAATGAGAACCATTTGTTTTATAAATGGCCCAATGAAAAATTTTCTCATTTATTTTTCCAAAGAACCCTGAAAACTGACACTATTTATAGTATCTTGATAACCTTCAAGCAGAAAACCTATTTCAAACAGAAGAAATTTTGATTTAGACAAGTTGTATTTAATTTAGAAGTATTCCTTTAAAGTCCTTATTCCATCATAACTTTCTTGTGCACTTAACAAGAAATGCAAATATTTGGCTGACTCTAAGGAGTGTCTAACAAAAATGACTTTTTTGATCACTGGCTTTTTGGGCCAAGGATTTTAAGAGATCCTGTGTGTTGTATGAGAAATTATACTTAATTAACTTAATTAAAAACACACATACACGATCAAAATTTATAGTTTCTTGATAACCTTTTGATAACAAAATATAGTATCTTTATAGTATTTTATAGTATCTTATATAGTATTTTATAGTATCTTGATAACAAAAAATTTTTGATTGTGTATGTGTTGTTAATTATGGTTTATAAACACATTAATGGTATCAAGTTACCTAAGAATAAAAATGACTTTGTTAAATTGATATAAGTATGTCTTTGTGTATCAGAACAAATTTTGTTAGAGATTTGTTAGAACAAATACATACTTCTTTTTGTTATAATTTATGGACATTTATTTTAGGGCAAATGTGGTGATGAATTATACAGAGGTGGAAGCCAAAGTAAGGGAGGCAACAAATGATGATCAGTGGGGACCTCATGGATCACTAATGAATGACATAGCAAAGTACACTTTTATGTATGAGAGTTTTCCAGAAGTGATGGGTATGCTATGGAAGAGAATGCTGATAGAGAAGAAAAATTGGAGAAGAACTTATAAGGTGAGAGAACGGTTTTGTCTTGTAAACAGTAATTTTCATTAAACCGATGTATATGTGCCAAAGAGTTTTAGGGTGATTTTCAAGAAAACATTTCACTTATGATAAATCTGCAGTAATGAATTTTATGATAGTGCATTTTAATGGTTTTCAAACAACTACAGTTAAAATTGATAATTCAAACCTTTTTTGAACCAAAATTGTTTCTTTCAATAGCAACAGCAGCCAATATATGCAGTGCACCAGTCTAGTACTTACTATTTTCAGGCAAAACTTTTAATCTATCTATGAAACAGGCCTTTTTGGTTTAATGCAAGAAATTGCCCTCGTCAAATTCCTCTCCAAATTATTGGTATGCCTGCAGGCTCTTGACCCTCCTTAATTAAGGAATATGCTTAAAGAAATATGTCTTGCCCACAAGAAGCAGAAATAGCATGTACAAAAAAGTTAGTTCCTGTAATTCATAATATTCATGAGTGAAAGATCAAGTTACATACATACACACAAAATTTTATTTGATATGCATGTTTTGCTAATGGCAGCATGTAGCTGATGTGGACCTGCTTATATACACACAATGATTAAATGATAAAAGAAAATGCTATAAATCTTAAAGTGACCATTTTTGCTAAAAATTTAAACATTTGAAATCAATGTGGCAAGAAATATTAATATATCAACACGTTGCACTAATATATTTTTAAGAAATACCTTAAGTCAGATTGAGTAAAAGAAACTGAAGATGAAATTCCAAATGAAATCGAGTCTAAAGTATTACTTATTTTTGATAACTCGTTTTTTATAATGCTTGGGAAGTTGCTAGGGAAAAAGGCAGTATTGCTTCATTTCATTTAGAAAGCCAAAGGTTAGGCTTTAGTGTTTGAGGGCTTTTCCTTTTTACCAATATTATCGTCGAACAAGCAGTCCCTGACCTTCGTAAGGAAACTTGCGGGTAGTTTGTCACACTTGTAAAAGACCTTCCTGAAAAAGCCTTGCATGAAACTATTTTCCTGAAAAAACCAGGGAAGTACTTTTGTTCCTTGTTGAAGCTCCCACAATACCTTTTTTACAAATCGAAAGCTGCATAGAAGACAGAAGACAGCTTATTCTGTTAAACTGGATTTCATCTGAGTGGAGTGCTTGAACCTGTTGTTTTAATACTACCTCCAGAAATCTTGCTTTCTTCACAATGGCTGTGTCTTATCTGTTTTGCTAAGCATTAAGTGTGTATTCAGAATTCATACAAAAAGATATGGCAGCTTTTCATTTTTTTGGAATTTGTTGCCAGTAGCATTCATCTCATTCAATGATTTTTCCCTCTCAGTTTTTCAACCGTTATGTGTTTAAGACATCAAATATTATTGCAAGAGAAAGTTTTGCTCTTGATTGATTTTAAAAAGTTGACAGTTAACAAATTTGTACAGAAATGGGTCAAAAGCAAAAATCCTTCCTTAAAATTTCTTCCAAAAATGGTTTCATTCTCCAAGGTGTTGGGTCAACTATCTTGGAATTGTTAACCAGTCACAGAGGACTTGAAGGGTGCCCTGGTGGGTGTAATCATGGTGTAGATAGTGAACATTACATCATAATCTCAGTTAGATAGCTATAGATCTAGGACAAAGTTGTCATACTTAAACTAATTTCTCATTTGTTATTATCTTTTCAGACAGACATTTTGTAATACTGTTTCATTATACTTGACAATAATCAGTTTATTTAATGTAAAAAAGCCATGAACTGTATTTCTTTCTTCTTTGTGCTAGTCCCTGTTGCTGTTACATTACCTTCTAAGAAATGGCTCAGAAAGAGTTGTCACAAGCACAAGGGATCATTTGTATGACATGAGACAATTAGAAAGCTACCAATTTACAGATGAGAATGGCAAAGATCAAGGACTTAACGGTAAGTTCCAGCTATTTAGATTTAAAAACAACATGTTTCTTTCATATTTAGTGTGTTAGATGTAGGTTTAAGCAGTTATAGAGACTTAAATACGCCATTATTTGCTATTTTCTTGTTATGTTCTGTCAGATGTGTCTATAACATATATGTAATCTGAACACCAAACCCTCCGATAGGTATCCAAGATATAATTAACTATCTCATCCTTTAAATTCTGCCTGCCACCTATTTAAAGTTCTGTTTGGTAAAGAGGTCCTGAGCTTGACAAATGTTTCATATTGCAAACCATATATGAAAAGCGTCCCGCCCTTCCACAGCAAATAAGTTTGTTTTCTTTGTGCTTTCGTCCTAAGTTTTTAAATCACAGACCCTTAGGAAAAGGTTTCCTGATACATTAGGCGTTTCCTGAAACAACAAACAGCATACTGAAGTATTTTTTGTTTGACACTCTTCAGAGTAAAACGTCGGATACTGACCGAAAGTAAGCAGAACATTGATATCCAGGTGCGGATTCAAAGTAACGTGAGAGGAAAAAAGACGCGCTTGATTGGCTTTTTTTACCAATCAGCGAAGTTAGCGGACGGGCGAAAAGAACTTTAGTATGCTATGTTTCCGCGATTTTGTGCCATCGATTTTAGGCCACACAGATCTCACATCCCTTCTCCTTGGTCAAGTTTACCTTTTAACCTTTATATCTAAGGTAGAACTTTCATATGTATTATGCTGCAATGTTTTTAGATGAAAAACAAATCAGGCAGATTTTAGCAAGCATGCGACATGTCTTTATTGGGTTTTCCATTTCTTTTCGTATGTTCAAAGCTTCATTGATATATATCAGGGTGTTGTTTTTTCATAGACTTTGTGTGACTGCAAAGTTTCTGAAGAAATTTTACCTGTAAAGATAGTTTGAAAGAAGTAAATTCGAAATCCAAATTCTTAAATATGCAATGATAGAATTTTTGGTGCTGTCAACAACTTTTACAATGGTATTATTCGACATTATCAATAAACATTTTCCGAATGAATGGTAGACAAAACAACCAACAATTGCTAATAATGCTTATCTGATCTGTTATATTTTGCAAAAAAATGCATTAGTCTCATTTTTTCACAGTACGACACAAAGCCAAAGAACTCATAGATTTTGTCCAAGATAACGATCGTCTGAGACAAGAAAGGAAAAGAGCGAAACAAAATAGAGAGAAATATGTTGGACTGTCGTCAGATGTAGTTTCCGATGGTTTTTATAGTAAGTAATACACAAACGGTTATTTGATTTAAATTTTTTAAATTCTCAACTCTGGCCGAAAGCTTCAAATCTCTACTGCCATTATTTTTGTCGTTTCCTGCTAAGATATGCCTTTATCTATTGCAATTTATCTATGAAAACCAACTCTGAACATGTCCATCTGTGCTGGAAACATAGTTTAGGACAATTGGTTTTAGTAGGTTCTAAGGAGTTAAGGGTAAACTTTAGTATCTAAGTTTAATGCATAACCGAGCTAGCCTTTTCCGTTATAGTTTTAGTTTTTCTTTGTTGTTTTTATACATTGATAGCAGCCTTTTAGACGTAACCCTGTAGCACACGTAGGAAATGCTTGATGTTAAAACAAATAATGTAATGATTCACATTTTCTATTTTCTTCTGATTTGGTTCTGGAAATCGTTTGTAATGAAGTTGTTCCTTTTAGTTTCTAAATTACCTAGACACTTAAATGTATTTAAAAGTTGTCCGTGAAGTGATTGCTGGATAAAAGATAATGTAAAGTTCATAGCGACTGCCTTTTTCGTAGACCATTTTCGTACACATTCCTTTGCCTGTTTATATGCTTGAATTTTTTTTCAATTTTTCATTAATTGATTCGTTTAAGGTGATCGTTACGATAAAGAGCCTTCATCGATTCGGTCACGGGACGAATTCGATGCAATGGATCTTCAAAGAAAAAGCAAACTTGGGGAGTTTAAGGACAAAATTGGACAAAAGTTGAACGAGATTAGGCCTGGAAGGAGGGATTATAAAGATTACCAAGAAAAATCGTGGGATAAAGGAAGAAAGTAGGCGAAATTTTGTTTTTGCAACATTCTCTTAAGCTTGCACCGCATGCGTAGCATACATAGACGCCTTTTACTATGATATAAGATATCTGGAAATGTTGTTTCTTCGTTTTAGTGCTTATAAAGACGAACCTGAAGATGGCGAAGAAGTATCGGAAGATAAAGAGGCAGCTGATGAAGATATTTTCTCATACCGTTCATCAAAGTCAAGTTCCTCCAAGTTTAGTTCATCAGATCTGGGTTCGGAGCTGGATAAACCTGACACGCCCACGCCAACGCCCGCTCCCACGCAAACTCGGCAGCCGGTTAGAAAAATCGATCTGGGTGCAGCTGCCAGTCTTGTTAACGTTCCAAAACCAGCAGCGAGTGAACCTAGAGAAAATGGAACTTCTGTAAGCACAGTGCCAATTACCACTGCGACAGCACCCTCCGCTATGAATGACCTCGTCGATCTTATGAGCGCTGGCCCCACCGACCCCCCTTTGCTCCCAATGAACACTGCACCCGAACAAGATTTGTTTGGGGGCTTTTCAAGTGCACCTACTCCAGGCATGAAACTTTGAATGCTCTTTAAACTTAATGTTTGTAGTTTGGTTTCCAAGGTGAATGCTTTAAGGTTATAAATGCTGATACTTGAGTATTATTTGATTAAGGGGACTTTAAATCTTAAAAAGTGGCTTGAAAAACAAAGTTTTAAGCTTCGTTCCCCACGCTTTGATTAAGATGGTCACAATATCTGCTTGGCTGCTCTTGAAAAGATCAACTTGCGACAACATCTGCTTTTTCTATAAAGACTAATTATATCAGATAAGGAGCACTGAAAGGGATCTAATAAAGGCTTAATAAATATTTAGGAGAATCCATTATTTTGATTTGGTGACAGAATGATAGAATGGACAAGTGAAAACCTATACAAAGTTAAGACAAATTAATCATATCACAGTCATATCAAAGTATTAACTTTTTACTCAATGTCTTTACTCTCTTGTATGTAGACAAATCATTTCTTTGCTCAGTCAGTAATGATAGTCCTGTGTTATGTTTTAAGGGCACTGATTGGTTTGAAAGGAACCAATCATGTATGATTTCTTCTTATTTAACCTTGATCCGTATTACATTAACTTTGTTCCCGGCATTTTCGTACTATCAAAGGTATTACATGTAAAAGCTCCCACAGGACATCGATGTAAAGATGCGTCGGGGCTGGGCCGGGATGGTTCTGGACCCCTTGCTAAGGCCGAAATGTAGCCCTTTTGAGAATGGTTATAAGAGGGCCCCCTTGGTCTTGTCCTAGTACCACACCCTTGTCTCAAAGGGTATTAGATAAAAAAGAACAAGTAGTGCTTGAACTGCGCCATCCTATCCTGAAGTTTTCAATGCGTCATCCATCATCAGTATCTGTTTTCTTAAAGTAGCTAAATATGTTTTTCTTCCTCGAAAAAGATACCCTCAGGGTTTATTTGTCTTAAAACATTATCTTTATTTATATGCATTTGCCTGACTCTAATTTATCCTTTGTACTCCATGCAAATAATTTGATCATGCCAATAAGACCATTTAAAGGAAGAATGTATATAAATGTTTTATGATTCTGACAGTTTTTCCTCAATTTCAGCGGAGACAAACAACGGTCAGTTCGCAGACTTTGGCGCCTTCAACTCAAGCAAACCTGCCGAAGACGATACGGACTTTGGTGACTTTAGCTCATTTGGGACAAATGTGACACCGGCTTCTCAGACAACAACATCACTGCAGGTAAAGCTACCATTTTGCATTGTGTGCTTCTAAATTTCTTCTAAATGTGCAGATAGTCCCAAAACCTTATTGGTTATTTTTTCGTGATAAAATCATTACATTGAAATGGAAATTATCCCCAACTTTCATATAACCACAGTTTTAACACAGGGCCACAATGTAGCAGAAGCAAGAATCAGCTGCCCGCCAAACAATTGTTGATCATAAGGCAGAAATATCAAATCTGTTTTGTATATTTTACCTAAAGTTGTTTTCATAGTTTGTTGTTTTTGTTGTCATGTTGTTTTTACAATACTAATTCGAAACTGTATCAGCAGACATTCAGTAAAGTTTCAACAATACACAACAATAGAGGACGATTTATACTTAATTTGCCAAAACTCATCCAAGAATCTGCAGTTTTTCAATACGGGCTTTTGCTGTTTTATGTTGTCACTAGTAGTGAGTTAGCTTGGCTTTTTGTGAAATACGCAGTACTTTAAAGCAAGTTAAAACGTGTTCAATATCATTAGACTTTCTTTGATTTTTTTTCGTTCCCTGATCTGCTATTGAACTGTTCCCAACTTTTTCCATCGAAATAATTATCCTACCTTCTAACTGCAATGCACTTATGCTACCCTCTTACTGCACTTAGAGTTATGCTACCCTCTTACTGCACTTAGAGTTATGCTACCTTCTCACTGCACTTAGACTTATGCTACCTTCTTACTGCACCTGGACATGTGCTACCATCTTACTGCATTTATACTTATGCTACCATTTTACTGCACTTAGACTTATGCTACCTTCTTATTGCACTTATACTTATGCTACCATCTTACTGCACTTAGACTTATGCTACCTTCTTACTGTACTTATACTTATGCTATCATCTTACTGCACTTAGACTTATGCTACCCTCTTACTGCACTTAGAGTTATGCTACCTTTTTACTGCATTTATACTTATGCTACCCTCTTACTGCACTTAGACTTGTGATACTTTCTTACTGCACTTGGACTTATGCTACCATCTTACTGCACTTAGACTTACGCTACCTTCTTACTGCACTTAGACTTCTTCAGTATAAAAAGCCTCATATTTCTTCAATTTTTGTCGCAGCAAGTCGGCGCATATTCATCTTCTGACTGATTGCCCTATTTCATGCAATTTTATGTGCCCGCTCTTCTCCCTTTGTTGAAAACGATTGTTCCTTTCAGGGTTTGGACTTTCTTTCATCTCCAAGTGCCGTTCAAACAACCCCAACACCGTCCTCGTTTCAAGCCGGCCTCGCTCCTACTGGATTTTCGCAAACAATTAGTCCACCTTTAGCAAATCAAAATACTTTAGCTGCAAATCCAGTCAGATCATCGGTAAGTCTTTTTAGAAAATTCTTCCAAAAGAAGCTTCAGTAAGTAATTATATTGTTTACATTTACCTTCTATATGTATCTTGTTCTAGTGACTAATGAAAATTTCAGTTTACCGGTCTCTCAAAGTGATCGATGCCGTTTAGGCAGACCTGTACACACTTTTGGTGTATAAAACAGGACTGTTCTACGTGTTGAGCTCCGGTCCTAATCAGCAATTGTCTGATAATCGCATTAAGCCTGAACCTTGGGATAGAGACTTAGAACTGTCATGTTCAATACACCTGTGAGCGAACCATGAAAACGAGGCTACGATATTGATAGGTGTGGCAAATTGGAACTTATTATTATTATCTAAACGCTAGCGCACAGACGTATCTACACACTATTGAAAACATTCATTCGAAAAAACTCTTACGAAACGTCGTTGTGTTGACATTCTCACGAAGATTAAATCTTATTCGAATCATTCTTGCTGTACTGTTTCTCTGATGATTTTATGGTATTTCTAAAGACAA